GCTGTTCATAGACTATGTTATGCGTCAACATTCGCATCGATAATTGTCAACATATTTTATGTATAAAATGTATGCGGAAATTGCGAAAAGAATCTCATTTATATTTAATATGTCGAACGCTAAATTGATGATAATGACCGATCAAGATGAAGACGGCTCGCATATAGCCGGATTGATAATAATATAATCGAATTTAAAAACTCACATTTATAATATTCATTCTTTTTAAAAAAGGATTATAAATGTCCTTTTCTGGAAGATAATGTTTGCAAACTAAATGGTTTTTGCTTTTTTTCACATGATGAATCTAATGATGTAGAATCATTTAGCAAATTTCCATCATATATTTGTTATTACTTCAACTTATTGAACAAATGTAATTGCACCGTTATGTTATTGGTGACATTTATACTCACCTTTATAATATTCATTCTTTTTTAAAAAACGATTATTGTTCTATTACACGTCATATGTAATACAGCTAATTAATAAACAACATTTTAATATTTCAATTTTGTGTTTTCTTTGTTTTGTTTTTTGCTGAAATATTATCACACTCTACAATGGAGATTGCCCCTCTGCCTCAGAATAATTTTGCTGTGTGTTTATGTCGACCCAGTTACAATTCTTCGAAACTACAAAGTACAGTAGTATCTGGAATTTTGTTGTGTCTAAATTTTGGTTGATTATTATGATTCTGATGATATATTTAAAATCAATAGATTCGATTTTTATTCATCTAAATATTATGTTTGCTAAAAAAGACCTGTTGTTCATACACAAAATGTTATGCAAAAAAACGACTGGTCTTTTTAGCAAACTTAATATCTTCTCAGATATCAGTCATCGGGTAAAACAAATGAACAAATGTAATACAGATGGTTAGTAATTCTATTTTCGAATTAAGTGGTAAATTTGTTTTCAACATTTTATCTGAAAAATTCGATGGTTTAGCCATCGAATGTTAGTTGTCGTGTTGATATTGTTAAACGTGATTATAAATATTTAATATTTTAAAAACTTTTTTTCTTTGATTCATTTATTCATCCATTAACGTTATCTTTATTATTCATTGATTTATCCATTACAATTTTTTGATATTAAAAAATCATGAATAAACAAATTGAAAAAACAGTTTTGCGCAGAATTGTCATACAATATCATAAAGACGGGTTAAGCATTCGAAACATAGCAGAAAAAATTAAGACCAGTAAATCAAACGTTCATCATATCATTAAAACATACGATCAAAATAATCAAACGCGATCAAGCCACCAGGTCGTCCTGGACCGTCAGAACGGACACTGAGAAGACTAGGTCGTCAAATTGAAATAACGCTGGCCACAGCAAGCAAAGAATTGGCGAGCCACATGGATGTTTCCGCAAACACCGTTCGGAAATACATTCCGATGTTGGAATATGGGGCCAGAATTATCTGCCACTGCTATCTAAAAAAACAAAAACAAACGCCGGCTATGGGCAAATAAAATGGTTGAAATGCCCACGGACTATTGGAAAAAAGTGATTTTTTTCGATGAGTGCCGGTATTCGCAATTCAATGAACTTACGTATATCGTAAGAAAAACCAGGCATACCAAGCCAAGAGGCTACAAGCCACCGTGAAACACAACGGTTTCAGTGTGATGGTTTGGGGGTGTTAACATTTAGTCATTGACTATGTAAATATGTAAACGTTCGTCATACCATGATTGTCATTGCGCATATGTGTGGCTACGGTGACAGATATATAAAAAGAAATAACTCGAATCAACCATGTGCTCTTCTTGACTTGTAATGATTGCTCTATCTCTCTCTCTCTCTCTCTTTCTCATCTATTATTGTTTTCTTAATGTTTGTGATCTATTCATATTTGTATCGTTTATTATCTTCATCATTATCTTCAATTATCAATAAACTATTTCTTTATACTTAATTGTGATTGTGTCACGTATTGCTTCGAATAAATAACAGGGGGGCTATATGGTAAGATTTTTTTCGGCCTGATTTAATTATAATAACAATAATCATTATTCCTTGAAAATAGACATGGTGGGAGATCAGAGCTAAGACTCTGCTCTAATGGCATGAATAGCGAAGAATATATCAATATGTTGGAAACGACGCTATTCCCCATCTTCCGTGATAGAAGAAATAAAGTAAAGAAAAGGAACTTCCTTTTCCAGGAAGATGGGGCGCCATGCCATATGTCAAAGCGATCACAGGATTTTATCAAAAAATCCAATATAAAAAAACTGGAATGGGTTGCTCAGAGTCCGGATATGAATCCGATCGAGCACCTATGGTACTCGTTGAAGCGCCGATTGAAGCAGACAAAGCTTCATCCATCGACTCCTGTTGGTTTATTCGAGCTCCTGGTGAAGTAATGGGCTGAATTACGGCAGAGTTTGATAGATCGGCTGATTGAAAGCGTGCCAAGCCGATTTCGAGCTTTTAAAAAGGCTTTTATTATATATTCATCATTTATCTCATTGTATTCGTTTCTTCTTTTTGGTTCGATTAATAAAGTTAACTTAAACATTTCCAACAGGTTATGGGCCCGAGCAGCTTACATGCTACGCATCGTTTCTTTTTTTTCCTCATGCCTCTCATCTTTGATCAATAATCAATAATGACGCAACTGAACCCGAAAAACGTTCAATTTTTAAATTTGGACAAAGTACCGTATCATCATTGGTATGAATCGATCAAGGAATGTCTTATTGCAATGGAGTGCGATGATTATATCGACCCGAAGTTTGACTATAAGCCGAAGAATGGTCTAATCAAAGAACAAAAAATCGGAATTAATAACAGCAAAAATTTAATCAAGTCATCACTCTGAATTGCATGGACCGAGAAACAGTGATCAACTATGAGACACCCCTTGAGAAGATAAACAAATTAGAGCATAAATATCGATCATCACAAACCAGAAATGTATTCGACCTATTCCGGCAAAATCACAAAATCAAATATGAAGGTGACATATCTAAATTGTTTTCCGAAGTGAAACGAAATGCGCTACAACTGGCTGAGAAAAATCTTAAGCTTCCTGATTCATGTATTGTAGCCAAAAAAAGAGAACCAACTATCTATTTGGTGGTGATGGTTTGTTTTTTTTCTGTTTTTAAAGAAAAAAAAAAAGATTCTTGTCTCATTTCTGGAACTTATTTTGATCAAATCAAATCGAAAAAACACGATAATGAAAATCATGTGAATTTCTAAACGGGAAAAAAAATCCAAATCTAATCCAATTAGAATAAAACATTTGTCATTATAAATTCAGATTCTTACTAATTATATTTGATATAAAACCTGCACATTATGCTGGATTGAATCAAGTTTTTTTGTGATTCCAGATCAGTAATCACTTCTTTAAATTTATATCCATTTCGATTCGTTATTGTATCATTCCAATAAGGATTCCTAGCATTAAAATCTCCATAGAAAATAATCGGCAAATTAGAATAATGATGAATATCATCGATTTTGCTTTGATGTATATTCATCCAGTGAAATTGAATATCGTTTGCCATCATAAAATCACTTGTAGCAATCGATCGAAAAGTCAAGCCATCTTTGTCGATGTCTATTTTTTCTTGTCAAATTAAACTAAACCATCTTATTCTTAAGTTAGTTTAATTTAACAAGAAAAAACAGACAAATTTTTTTAAAACAACATTTTAAAACATTTCAAAGGCAATTTAATAATTTTTTGAGAACCGGGATTTTTTTTTTTTTGAACCGGTTCGGTTCCCAACAGACCTGGAACCGGGTGCAAACCCTACGTGTAACGCACGAAAACAGGCAGCAATTATATTGTAAATATATTTTTAAAAATTATTTGAAAGTCAGCTTCACCGCGTTGCAATTGTTCGATTAGTATGCTGTCTGGACATCATTCCTGGTTTTTCGGAAGCGCTGGATGAAGCACATAAAGACACTTAGGGAACCAGACAGCTTGAAGATAGCAACCGGTCGGTAGATGCAGTTTGAGGAGATTATCGTAAAGAATATTCCATAATAGAGGAGAACATTTGGCTCCTTGTGGACACCCACGGCTCAGTAGTTTTTCGGCTGATTCCCCACATATTGTGGGATTACTTTGACGATAGATACTTTCCATCTGTCCGGGAATGTACCGAGCTTTATACATGCATTGTAGATGTTTAAGAATAAGGTGGGAAAAAGATTGTTGAGATGTTTGATGATGTTGGCACAAATTCCGTCTTCACCAGGGCTTTTATTATCGTTTTCGGTCAAAATGGCATCATATGCTTCTTCGGAGCTGAATGGGACGTCGTCCAATGTTGTCGGGTGGGTCGTCAGGAAAGAATTTGTTGAGCAGATGACTAGCTTGGCGTATTTGTCCATCCGTTGTCGGTTTTTATTGTTTTTAGGCTTTGATTGAGATTTTTTGGGGTTTTGCACCATTTGTATACTTGTTTCCAGACGGAAGAGCTGTCCTGCAAGGAGAACTGTCTGATGGAATATCTTATTTTAATTTTCCGAATAAAATCATTTTTATTTTCATTACGTATAACTTTTAAATCATTTACTAAGTAATACTACTCAGTCTTCGTAAAATTGAAACAGGCAGCAATTATATTGTAAATATATTTTTAAAAAATTATTTGAAAGTCAGCTTCCCCGCGTAGCAATTGTTCGATTAGTATGCTGTCTGGACATCATTCCTGGTTTTTCGGAAGCGCTGGATAAAGACACTTAGGATACCAGACAAAAAAATTCCGGGCTGCCGGATTTGAACCAGCGATGTTGATTTCCAGTTTAAAATCACTTGTTCTTTTACCTTTGAAATCTATCATTAAATCTATCTATTAAGTTTCTTCAAATCAACCGGAAGTGGTCGGAACTTCTTAAGCAAAAATCTCCCAAAACATTTTCATTTTCACTCCCACAATTAAATTGATCAACAAAAGATTGACCAATTCCAATTCCTAGCTAATGGTATCCTTTTCCAGCAAAGAAAAAGGCAAAAATCCGAGCTGCCGGATTTGAACCAGCGACCTATGGATTTCCGGTTGAAATCGGAAGCGCTTCCGCCCCTTTTTTCAACAACTACACCTACTACAGTCCACCGCTACTACCAACTGAGCTAAGCTCGGATCTTTTCTTCTTCCGGTTCCGTCATGTTTGAACCATTCCGGAACACATAATCGAATATAGTTTTACTTCAATTTATCAATTATCGATGACCAACGATGATGATTAACATCGATACAATTAGATAGGCAAAAACAACAAAAAAACCTGTCTTACAACATTCATCAAAACGAAAGCAAAGCAAAACGATTCCGACCCAAAATAGCGAAAGCCAAAAATAGCGAAAGCCGAAAATAGCGAAAGCCTAAAATAGCGACTGATGAAAATAGCGACTGAAGAAAATAGAGAAAGCCAAAAATAGAGCGACTCACTTGACAACATTTGCACCAGTCTTTGAATTACGATAGATATAGCACCAATTAAACAAATTAAATAAATTTTTATCTTTTTTGAAAGAATTGTGTTTTCATCACTTTCACAGTCATCAATTTGATGAATATCTTCGGATGAATTTATTCAAAAATTCAATCATCATTTCCGTTTCTATTATTCCTGTTGAATTAAGAAATGATGATGATAACAAACATATATACAGTCATTTACCTCGGACGTGCACATTGCGTCTAATGAGATGATGAAGAAGCTGTATATATATGATTGAAATGACAAAGAAAAAACAAAGACAAGACACAATCATTGCAGCAAATAAATCGATGATGAAAGTTCAAACGTTGCTGTTTATAACCACCGCAACAACAGAAATGTCGCTGCCAACACAGTTCTCAAAAGCATTGTCAAAGTTACAGCTCACAGGCTACACTTGTGTTCAGAAGCTACTTCTGCCTCTCAATGTTTTACATGGCTAGATTGTTGGCTGATAACAACTGTTGATTTTTTTTGTTTTGGAATGAGAGAAAAATAAACCCAAAAAATCAAAATCAAAACACTTTACAACACAATGTTCATGATGGAATGGAAAAGTAGAATTTAAATTTTTTTGTTTTTTTTGTTTTGCAAATTTTTAATCAGTCATTCAGATTATCATTCAGAAAACATGAAATAAAAATTATTCATATACAATAATAATCTCTGATGTAAAATAAATTTCAATGATTCATACACAATTTTATAACAACAAAATGCATCACACTTTCATTTTTTTTCCCCATTACAAAATAGATATAAACATTTTTAATAAAATATAAAATCTACACCTCTGTTTCACGGCCAACAATCATACTACTGTTGTTGGCACTTTGGTCTAAATTATTTGATTTTAAATCATTATTATTTTTATCCGTATCTTTTGAATCGGATGCTGTTATCGATGTAGATGTGGATGTGGATGGTTTGTTAGATTTTCGTGAAAATATCTTAAATGTACGTTTACCATCTTTCTTTTTATCAATTTTTTCGTCTTTGGTTTTTTTAACAGAATCATCATCATCCTCATTAATTATTGATTCATTTTTATCATCATCATGTTCAACATTATTAGATTTTGAATCTTTTTCATGTTGTAATTTTGATTCTAATAAAGCAACGACACGATTCACTTCATTGATAGCTTGTTTGCGATATTTACGTAATTCTTCATCACCATCAATATTGATACAATCAAGACGAAGTACACATAATGTAAGCATTTCATCTAACCATTTATATCCTTTATCATCGGCCGTTGTTGCTTGACATTCATGTACTTGTTGTTCCCAATTTCTTAAATCATATAATATCTCGTCAATGTAATCGAATGGTGTCTCTTCTTTTTTCTCTGTATTTTGTTGTTGTTGCTGCTGCTGCTGTTGTTGATTTTGGCTAGTTGATGGTTCATTCAATTGTTGTCCATTGTCACCATCATTTGATGAGAATGATGGTGGTGTTGGTGCTGCTGCTGCTGCAGCAGTCTGTTGATTGACAGCTTGTTTACATTGTATTACTGGTTCATAAGATAACGGCACAACTTTGGGCATTTCTTCATCCAATAATATTGATTCCGGTGTTGAAACGTTTTTTCTAATAATTGGTTCATAACTCATTGCATACACTTTATTAGGATCGGCTAATGTTGTTGGATCAGATGATGATTCATTTACTGGAATATTCTGTTGCTGCTGCTGCTGCTGTTGCGGTGATGATGATTGTGGTCGTTCATTTGTTGTAGATGGTGAAGAATTAGATTTACTAATCTGTATTGGAATTGAACGAACCATACGTGGACTACTATCCGATGATCGTGCAAATGATTGCTCATTTTTGATTGGTAATTGTTGTGGTTGATGCTGTTGTTGTTGGAAATGCAAAGGAGGAGGTGGAGTTAAAGAAGCGCATTGCGGAGGTTGCTGGTTTAAATGTTGAGCTTTTTGTTGTTGATAATCTGCATTCGATGATGATAATGGTGGTGGCGATGGTGGTGGCATTGGTGATTGTTCACGAGATCCTCGATTTGATTGTGATCGTAATGCATTATTTGCCATTCCACCAGACGTACGTGGTTCAATCTGGATCGGTATGTGATGTACTTTTGGCTGTTGATGCTGTTGTTCATCATTTATTGCATCATTTGTATCATTAAAAAATGTATCATGATGATGATATCTTGTTTCAGGAAAACGAGAACGAAAAAATGATGATGGATTCATATCATGAAAAATTGATTGTTGATGTGGATGATGATGAAAACGTGAATCATTCATAAATTCAGCAATAGGATCTTTATAATATGGTTGCTGTGTAGAATCATTATTTGGAACATTGAAATTATCCTAAAGGGAACAAACAATGTTGATTAATCGACAAATGTTTAAAAAAAAAACTCAAAATAAAAAAAATGAAACGAATCAATACTAACCTGTGACGGTGGATGTTGTTGATAATGATCATGTTGCTGAGCAGCAGCAGCAGTTGTTGTTGTTGGTTCAAACATTTTCGATCGCAATGATTTTGATGCCAATTCTGGATATTTTAATTTAAGCTCATTAAAACGACGATCAAATTCATCAATAGCACGTGAACGTGTATGCGAATCCCAACGATTATCATTACCAGTTGATGTGTTGTTTGTGAATGAATCTCGATCAATATTCATTCGGTTGTTGTTGTTAGAATTGTTCATTTTTTTTCTTTCTTTCTTTACACAAAAACTATGAACAACAAGGACGTAAAAGTTTGGCTTGCCTACTCTCTTGGATATTTTCAAAGTATTATTTAAAAAGGGGCCGAATTATATTCTTTGTGTAGTGTTTATGAATCCGCTACCTCTCTTATAATCATAAAAAAATAACGAAATTATGATTGACGTTGGCGTTATACGAGAACGTAATGCGTTGTTGTTGTTGGTAAATCAGATGAGAAGAAAAGCGAATGGAAAGAAAAAATGATGACGATTACTTCAACGACGCTTGTGTAGAGTGAATGTGAAAAAATTTCAATGTAGATTGGCGTCGGCGATTGATTAAAATAAACGTTGGGGGCGTCGAGTGTGTCGCGCGTATCGACAGCTTTTCAATGAATAAAACAAAAAATTCTTTAATACAAAACAAGACAAAATTGATGATGATGATGATTATGATGACGAGTAATTTCACTGTTGTTTGAATAAGAATTATTCTCGAAGAATGAACTTAATAGAACTTCTGGAAGATACTGGAAAAAGGACGAATCAGCAAACAGAGGAAAATGTCGTCTACTCTGTAGAGAAAAAACGATTAAATGAATAGAAAAAAAATGAATAATTATTGTAAGGATTAAAATTGAATGATGATGATGATGAAACTAATAGGCAACTAACAAAAGTAACAAACAAAGTCAACACCACCACTAACTACAAATAAAAGAAATTTTTTTCAGCTTTTACCACAATAAGCTTTTTTCGGTTGATAATTGATTGATTGATTGATTGGTTGAATTTTTTTCTCTTGCTCAATATATAAGAAGGTTAATATATTATGATGATGATCATGGTTGGCATTTTTTTTTAGTTTGTTTTTCACCAAAAAATACCATTATCATTGGTTGGTTGTACCTAAAACCTAAACAAGAATTGTTTATTTAGAATTTGGATTCTAATACACACCCGCATAGCGTCTTCTTTCAACAGTAGCAGCATAGCAATAATTATCTCTGCTTTGTAGGTGTAGTGTGTGCGTGTGTGTGTGTGTGTGTGGGAGTAGCAGTAGCAATAATCATAATATATACTTGTATATATTGTATATCTAACCTTAATCGAGGACACCGACAATGACTGAATCAAGATGATGACGCCATTTAGTCGTAATGTATAGGCAAAAAAAAAATACTTTTACACTTTAATTAGTGATGATTATAAATAATAATTTCTTATATTTCTTATATAACAAAAAAAATTCTTCATAAAAATCCAATCGAAACGATGAGTCATTGATTAAGAAATTTATTCAGAATTATAATCACAAAAAGATTGGAATAAAAAAAAAATGAGGACAAACCTTGATCCGATAATAAATCAATATGTATATTGACTATCGATATGTTATATATATGGGATTGTTTTTCCGTGTTTATATACATGAACATGTGACTGATTTTTTTTTTTCTCGATATATGATAATTTGAGAATGAAATGAATAATTTTCGATATAAACACTACTTTTTTTTTCTCTCGATCCAATGAATAGAATGAACAAAAATACAATGAGAGGGAAAGAGTGAAATGCAATGTTCACACATCATCATCATCATTTTCTTATTATTATTATTATTTTGATGCAATCAAAATTTACAAACGAAGCATCCGAAAAAAATGATCTTGAACAACAACAACAAGAACAACAAGTTTCAATGATCATAACTTTTTACGAGTATGTGCGTAGGATATTATACACAATGTCATACATATGTAGTGAAATTCCAATTGAAAATTAAATAAAAAAAAACAAATAACCAAGCTTGATTTTAAGTTAATATTTTGAATGTGTAAAACACAACTACTATACTACCCTTTTCACCCATGGTTTGAACAATTAAATTTGATCAAAAATAGAGAAAATTTGTTAATTTTGACAAATATTAATTATTCATTCATTCATTCATTTATTCATCATGTAATCTGAATAATAAAACTATATCCATCCCCCCATTCGTTCACAACTTTATTCAATTTGATTCGATTCATTTATTTTTTTGTTTGGCAATGAAAACAAAAAATCATCATCTCAATTGTGTTGTTCAATTTTTCGAAGGTCAAACACAAACACACACACACACACACATCACTTATCGATACAAAGGAAAAAATATTCCATTGTTTTTTCAATTTGATTCATTTTTTTTTCGAACACACACACACACACACACACAGAAGAAAACACAGTCATTGCATATTGCATTTTTGATCGAAAAATGTCGTTGTCATCATTGACGACGACGACGATGACGACGTCATACATTCATGATTCTTTTCGAAATTCTTTACAATTCAAATGTGGTTTCCAATCTATGATGCAACCAATTACAATTGCAATGACAAACAGAAAAAAAAAAATTCTTTTTTTACAACAATGACAAGAATAATGGGTTAGATTTTTATTTGATTGTTTATGTCGTCATCATCATCATCATCATCATCATCATCATCATCATAGGTGGTTGTGATGTGTGACATATTTAGAACTCATCACTATCATCATCAGAATCAGAATTTTCAATTGGTGATGAAATAAAAGAGAAAAATTCCTATGCAATAACAATGAATGATGGAAGAACATTTGGAATGTTCATGTTCAAGCAAGCAATGAATGTGAGATATATAGAAATAAACAGCCAATAACAACAGGTGTCACACACTCACACACACACACACACACACACACATACAAAAATACCGGAAACTTACCTGTGAAAAAATTGTTACGATCTAGTTTTCGTTGAAATATTACCGGGTGGGGTTGATTTTTAATTCAAAATTTTTTAAAAATTATTATTTCCACTTGAGACGATTATTACGATTATTTGATGTTGATTGAAATAGAAAACTTTGTTGATGACGATTTCTAGATGATTGATGAAAAAATGTTTGTAAAAAATTCATTACGAATCGTATGATTATTTTGATATGTTCAACAATAACATGATTCATGTAGAAAATATTGACACAAATATTGTAGAACAACATCGTCATTAAAATAATAAAGAGAATAATTATTCATGAAATGAAAATAAATGAACATAGAATTTGACCCAAAATGATTCGAATTGAATGAAACAAATTGTTTTAAATATTAAAAAAAAATAATTATTCGAAACGTTCTACAAGTGGTTGAAAAAAAAACAAAATTGTTTGATTAATATATTTAATAAATTTATCGATTGATGTCATCACTATCGATCACAATCATTGTCGACGTCAACATATTTATTTGTTTGTATACACTTGTTGTTTTGATTGATTTCAAATCAATCAATTCTAACAGGATTGCCTTCATCACTAAGAAGAAATAAAATCCAAAAAAAAAAAATATTATAATCATCACATCACATCATCATAAAATGAGAGATGCAAACGTGGACGATGATCATCGTAACATGTAACGTTGTCTATGTACAGCATGAATGAGCAATAGAAAATTCTTTCACTGTTTTGTTTTGTTGTCATTGAAATTTGTTTTTTGTTTTGTTTTGTTTCGATCACTATCAAATTCCCAACATATGATTTGATCTAAATTAAATTCAAGTATAATGAAAATTCTAAAATTATTGTCTTATTATATTGAATAATTAGCTCTAATATCATCGATTGATTTTTTTTTCTGCTTGTTTATTTCGCGTCTCACGTTTCAAGGTAATTTAATTAAATGTGAAATTCTAAAAATTTTAATTTTGCCATTTTGTTTATTTTCCATAGATTTATTTGTTGTGCACTTGCATATTTAATTTTTCAACCATTGATTGTATACAGTTTCAATATTTGCATCAAATATTCGATTATTGATGATAGAAATCAAGTAAAGTATTTTATTCCTTGAGAAAACATTTTATATTTATTGTCCATCGAATTGGAATTGCAAAACACAGATACACATAAATTCACACATACACACACACACACACATACTGACGAACACAAACTAGAATTTAAACACAAAATACACTTTTATATATATAATAATGGAACCCGAAGCTTGGGTTAAGGCCCGAGAATCTTTGGCCAAAGTAAATGGCGTCGCTACTATTGCATCACAATCACCTGCTTATCAACAGCTTCAACAAGCCTATTATGGTTGGTCAAATGTTTACAAGTAAGTTGATTGATCTTTGAAAACTTGAATAAATTTTCGAATATTTTTCATAGTACACCATCTTATTGGAATCAACATGGAACATATAAGCCACAGGAAGCAACATCCACTTATTCACAGCCACAATCTTGGCAAAATTATTCATATGGAACTGCAACGGCTAGCGTTCCTCATCAAGCTGGACCTGCACATGTTAATACAATGATGAGTCATCATCATCAGCTGATGATGACTCAGCAAGCGCCAACACCACCACCGCCACCACCATCCCTTCCTACTACACCATCTACAACACCTTTACATGCAGCGCCATTAATAAATAATAATAGTTCTTATTCATCACCTTCAAAGTCATCATCATCAAATAGTAACACTAATATGAGTAATAATAATGATAATAATAATTTCATCAGGTTCAAATTACAAAACCAAACAAATCAGAATCATCAACAACAACAACAAAAACAAATTCAGCATTCATCATCGTCAGGGTTTAGTTTTGGTACGAAAAATCATAATCAGCATAATAACAATATGATGTCAGATAATAAAAATAGTAATGAAGGAGAAAAATCACGTAATTTAGGTTTATTAGAATCTTCAACCAGATCATCATCATCATCACAAAAATCAACAGATTTAAAGTCATCGACTAATAATTTTCCACCAGATTTACAAGATTATGTTAATCGAGCATTCGCTTTATCGAACAATGATCTGGATAAAGATCGTATCGAAATAATCTTGAAAGGCAAGTTAACATTGGCATTGAAAAATGGTACTCTTTATACGAAAGATTGGAAAAAGGAACCATTACCACTGTTGAATCAATCGGGTGACGGTAACAAAAATAAATTGACTGCTAATAATAAAAATCATCAATCAAAAACATCGACGACGGCAGGCGATTCGTATAAATATAAAGGATATTTTTCTAGCCCGGAAAAAAGTCCATCGTCATCATCATCATCGAATAGCAGTAGTAATGGGGATGATAGATTTTATAATGGTTCTGGGGGTAAGCGTCATTCATCATTCATTGTTGATCGTAGTGTTTCGACAAAATCATCTGGCAGTAAAAAATTGAAAAATGATAGAAAAAATAATAAAAATAAGAGTAATAAAAAGTAAGTACATTTTATATATTATTTTTAAAATTCATTTTTTTTTAAAAATACATTTTTCATTTTCTATAGTGATAAGGATAATGATAATGATTTTATTCCACTTATTGAATCAATGAATAGTGGTGGTGGCAAGAATAATAAGCGGGGAAGGAAACGAAAAAATCGTCGACAACAGAATAACAAAGGAAAAAAGAAATCACCATTCTGGAATGATTTTGATGATGATGATGATGATGACGATGATGACTTTGATAATGATAATGGTGATGATGAAAATATTTCCACTAAATCAACATCGACAGATGTATTTAGCCAAGAAAAAGTTGCCAAACGAAAAGCTAGATTTGAAGATTCAATCAATGCTCAACCATCAATCAAAATGAATTCATTTAAAAAGTCGAATAATCGTGAAGTTATTAGGTTTAATAATAATAATCAACGTTCATCATCCACATCTTTTCAAATTGATTATGATGGTTATGGTGAATTTGATTTATCGACAATTGAACCGATTGTTGGTACAAATGATAATCTTGAGAAACAATATCTAAGGTTAACACAAGCACCTGATCCATCGACCGTAAGGCCATTAGAAGTGTTACGTAAGTCATTACAAATGGTCAAAGTTAAATGGCGTACTGGTCAGGATTATAATTATGTTTGTGATCAACTGAAATCTATACGCCAAGATATTACTGTACAATGTATTAGGAATAATTTCACTGTTGATGTATATGAAACACATGCACGTATTGCATTGGAAAAGGTAAGATTTGATAATAAAAACTTTATTTTTAATTTTTTTTTTCATATCAAAACAGGGTGATCACGGTGAATTCAATCAATGTCAAAGTCAATTAAAAGTTTTGTATAAAGAAAAAGAAAATGTTGGCGATTCTCCAAATCGTTGTGAATTCATTGGCTATTTGATTCTATATTATATCTATTCGAAAAATGAAAGTGGTAAGTATATCTGGTACATTGTTATTTGTAATTTTAAATTTTTTTATTATCATATTATTGTTAATGATGATTAGATCTTCAAAATATTCTACATGAACTTGATCAATATGATAAACAAGATGAGGTAATATCACATGCATTGCGTGTACGTAATGCATGGTCACTTAAATTTTATCATCAATTATTTCGATTATATGATCGGGCACCAAAAATGTCTGGCTATCTGATGGATTGGTTCATTGAAAGAGAGCGTAAATTAGCATTAATGACTATCATCAAGTCGTATGTATTATTTTATTGTTTTTATATGAGCCGCTTGGCAGTCTTAATGCGTTTTATAATATTTTTTTTTATTTCTCGAACAATCAATCACTTTTCAATTTGTTTTTTTTCGATTTATTTCCTTATTTAGATATCGACCGACAATTCCATTGTCTTTTTTGCGTAAAGAATTATCGTTTAATAATGATAACAATCTTTCAGAATTTTTATCACAATTTGATGTTAAATATGTTGAACAACAGACGGACAATACTATTACAATGGCTAAAAAAGTAGCTGATATTGGTGATAGGATAATTGATTGTAAAGCATCGCAAACATCATTGTTACAGCAACAGCGTCAATAATTTGCTTGAGAAAAAAAACAGGAATATAAGAAGGATGGTGATTGTGGTGAATGATGATGATGATGATGATGATGACAAAGAGAGAAAAGGAATCAAAGAAACTGAATGTCCAGAAATTTACATTTCCAGAATTTTTCAATGCAATTTTCATTTTTTTCGAAAATATGGATCGATGAAGAAGAAAAAAAATTCCTTCTCATCATCATCACCATCAAATTTTTGTTTGGTAGTCAAAGATTTTTTTTTGTTCGAAAACTTGTTGCTGAAACACAATAACTGGGACTCTACTTATTATCTCGGTCACATTTGGTCTTTTTTTGGGACATCTCGTCTCTTTATTTGTTGTTATTGTCTGTATATCGTGTTTGTTTGTGTTCTGTTGGTGAATATAGGTATCGATTATAGCTTATTGATGATCTGTGTTGAAAAAAAATCAAATTATTAGGCAAGAAAATATTCATTTCATTTTGAAGAAACCAAAAAAAAAAGGAATTGTCCATAAAGTATATATTTACGCTCTCTTTCAATGAATCGAACCAATAAAAATCAGATGAATGGTCAGATTTTGGATGGAAATCAAAATATCCAAAACAAACTCATCTCCCATCCAACAAAAAAATCATCTTTTTTATATGTGTGTTGACTTTCTATATCAACAAAATCAACCTATAATGAAATTGTTGTTGATTTTAATCCTCGAATTTTTTTTTTATTATTTATAATTATTGATTTATTATTGTAGTGTTAAAAAAATTTTTCTTTACCACATCCACACACGCACACCCACACACCCAAATACAAAAAAAAAAATTGAGCGCTTTATTATTTTTTTTTTTTTTCACTTTTTATTACTATATATTATTAATAATACCCATTTGATTAACAATAATCAATAAAATATCGATGATGATTGGTTGATTAATAATTCATATTTTTTTCATCATTATTTAAATTTCAATTCGTTTGATTATAAATTCATGATGACAACCAAGTCCAGGTATAGCAACATTAATTTGTTCAAGTTTTTCATGATGTTCAAGAATTTTTTCTGCACGTCGTCTTCGTCGATCAAATGGATTCGATTTAATTATTATTGCTATGAATGCCAATGAATGATATAATAAAACATTTATGATTATCATTATGATGCAATGATAAAAATATTCATCATTATCGATACGTAATTTATATAATATTGCTGGTGTTTGTCTTGGAAAACAACGGCCAAATCCATATAATCTAACCATAATTGCTTCGATTGCAAATCTTAATGGTGAAAAATTGGATAAAAATTGATAGAAATAATGTAATTGTCGTATTGGTGTACCGCCATTGGACAATAGTGCATTCGATATTCCAATACCAACCAATAAAATGGCCATTGTAATTGGATCATCATTGGTCATAGTGGCTACTAGATATCCAGCACCTTGTATTGAAATGATTGCCATAAAATGAAAAAACCATTGCCAAAAATACATTCCCGATTTAATTGGTTCATAAATATCGATTATATAATCGAAAATAGCCGATACGACCAAAATCTGTATCCATTCGATCATGATTCGTGTTAAATAGAATACACCGGCACTGTACCAACCTTTGGTATAAAAAAAAAATCATCAATAATATTATCCAATTATGATAAACATATACACATTTATTGCTTACCATTACGATGTTCATTCCAGAAAAATCGAATATCATAATAGAAAAAAAATGATGTCTGGATTAATAGTAATAAAGTTACACTAAACAGTATGGCATAATTGCGAACAAAATTGAGTTTCAAATCAAGCAATTCTTTATTCCTTTCTTCATTAGTGCATGTATTATTATAATCATCATCCCAATCTACACATCCACTTGATTGGGCAATTTTTGCATTGAACATTGATCCAAGATTCTTGGCTTGATAAATCAATAGAATTGACAATATTGTAAATGGAATCCATTGATAACCTTTAAAATAGTTCAAATATCGGCAAATCAAAATGAAAGAATGTCGTAATGAAAAATAATTCCTATTCGTTGGTATACCATCCATGACAAATATAGTATCTTCATTTGGATTTTCTTTCAAAATTATTTCATTAGCGTTATTGACCAATTTTTGAACAAACGAATTTGAATGATCCAAACAAGAATATTTAATTAATTTTTCAACTGGAAATATATCATTTTTCATCATTCCATTTGTCGATATTCTCGAGAGATATTTTCGAATGTTTGTCGGTTTTTCTGAATACACACAAACACCTCCTTTAGCCAATACATATAGCTGATCAAACATCATCAAAACTTTAACGTTTGGTTGATGAACACTTGCTATTATGGTTAGATTGTGTAGCTGTGCCAAACGATGTAAACAAGCAATTACAACTTCGGCCGAATTACTATCCAATCCGCTGGTTGGTTCATCGATACAAATAAGATTCGGCATTCGAAGACTGGTCAATTCTAAACCAAGAGCTAATCTTTTTCTTTCTCCACCTGAACATTTGTGAACATAATTGTCAGCAGAATCAGCCATACATAATTCATTCAATAAATTTCTGGCTATACTTTCATGATTTATTGATGATTCTTCAAAAGCATTTTTCAATCTAGATGCATAGATCAAACTTTGTAGAGCTGTTAAACCTGGCATCAAATGTCCAGATACTTCCTGTGTTAAATAACATACGCGAGTTGGACAATATTTTGTCAGAAAAAATTCACTTTCTTGGCTTAATCTTGTCTTCATTTGACCATTCAACACCTTCAATAATGATGTCTTGCCTGCACCGGAAGGTCCCATCAATGCATTCAATGTTCCGAATCTGAATTGACCATTCAAATTCCTCAATATTAGCTTAGAATCAGGCTTAATATCTTTAACCGAACGTATTTCATATATTGAAGTTGTGGCAAACAATGTGACAGAACGCCATGCTATCATAATTTTTCCACGTGTAAATTTCTCAAAATCAAGTTCTTTATCTTCTTTGTTTCGAGTTATTTCTATTTCGAGTTTTGTATCGATACTATTAACATATTCTGAATTAGTATCGATTTCTGCATCGAAATTTATCAATTTCAATTGATCATTTTTGGATTGTGAAAATTTTTTAGTTGATAAATCAGCTGAAAATCGAAAAAACATCAAAACAACTGTCACAATTCGAATTATCCCAATATTAATAAATATTTTGATAACATCACTATAGATTGTATTCGTATCGATACCATAATCGACCATGATATAAGAAATTTCTTTTTCTAAATCACAGCGATCCAAAACATAAAATGAATATAGCCAACCGTTGACGGGTACTTTTGAATTTATAATATTGGCTAACAATTTTAGTGTTGGATTTTGCATTTGTTCCAGATTATAAAGTGAACCGCTTAACAAATGAATGGTTTGTACAATAAATCCTCCGGCAACTATTGCTATTTCCAAATAATTCGAAAATATCAAGCATACTAATAGCGCCAAACTTTGCAAGTAAAGATCATACATCCATCGAAAATAGATCATGTTTCCAAGACGTAGCCAATTCATTTGATGTCCATCAACATAGGAATGATCGATTAGAAAATATAATAGTACGACAATATATGATGAAATGAAACATAATTCGATGAAATGAACGATTGAAAATGAGATATAAAATGTTCCTAAACTGTACCATTCTTTGAGCACAAAAAATATTAGTCGTTATGGAAGATGTTTAGAATGGTTAGAATTTACTTACGATTACGATGTTCATTGCAAAAAACTTTGAAAATTTTCATAAATGATATAATGTTCACAATGATCAGAATCAAAGCAAAATCCAAGGTACAATGTCCCATGAATGCTTTGTACTGTGCGTTGTAATCTTCGTCATTCAATTTATCCACACATTTTGTATAGGATTCATTATCATAAACATTGATTGGCATACAAGTTTCGGGTGTAACCATCTGTGGATTGAATGCAGATTTCAATATTACTGATAATAATGCCAATAAAATAATCTGTATGATTAACTTTCTATATTCAATTATCAACAGAATGTCAAACATTCTATATAATTGAAGAAATAAATCACCCATACTGAAAGCTTTACGATTTCTTTGAATTCCTCGATCTAAAAATCTTAATTGTCCATTGATTTGAGATATTGGTGCTCTTATTTGTTCATCATGAACTACTGTATCTGCCAATTTACGAACAAGTTCATTTTCAAATTCTATAGAATTATGTATCAGGTATATGATTGATTGAAATAAATTTACTTATTATTTTATAAAACTTACCATGGCATGCGACTTTAAGATATTCTTCAATTGCTGGTTTTTCTTCGCTCAATTCACTATTGCAATTTGTTTCCAAAGAAATTGACAAATTTTTCGGTTCATCTGAATATATGCAGACACCATTTTTAGATAGAATATAAAGTTTATCAAACAGATTCAACATTTCTGAATTCGGTGCATGGATTGACACCAAAATGGTAAGACGATCGTTGTGGTCAACTAATCTTCGAAGACATTGCATGACCAATAAAGCCGAATTACTATCTAGACCGGTTGTCGGTTCGTCTATGAACAAAAAACTTGGTTGTTGCAAAGACATGAGTTCTTGGGCGATACCTACACGTTTTTGTTCGCCTCCTGAACATTGTTCGAACTTATTGTCCAAAATGTTTTTGTCCAATAAAAGTTCATTTATAACTTTGTTAATGTGTTGATCGATTTGATACAAATTTTCACGACCATTTTTGAATCGAAATGCATAATATAAAACTTGTCGTATTGTCAACTGGCCAAGAATAGTTTCATGAACATGTTGCTCAATCATTCGAATCACAGGTGTTTGTTGTTCTTTTCTGTTGAGATAAATTTCTGAATCCAATGTAATACCGGATCTTAACGTTCCATTTAGGCAATTTAATAGAGTTGTTTTACCGGCACCACTTGGGCCCAAGAATCCATTCAAACTTTGATAATTAAGATGGCCATTTAATTGTCGAAGAATTAATTTCCGGTTACGAAATAAATCTTTGACTTCGTAGCTAAGATTACGCCAAGCAATCGATATATTCAATGTGTTATAATCACAAGACATCATCATGTTTATTTTGTCTTCAAATTAAAATGATATGCATTTTATCAACCACACTGAATCCTAATCAATAACTATACTGTTCATAAAATTTCAGTGTGATTGCCGTTTTTTTTGACACTATCAATTTCATATTTTTTTTTTTTGCATCCAAAGGAATCTGAATTTTTTATGCAAATTTCATTGCTTCATCTATGTTTAAAATAAGATGTTTATCAATCAACAAATTGTATTGATGTCATCTTTATTTGGCTATGATGTCATTCAAAGTTTTCATTTCACCGTTAACTGATTATTAATCAAGGCCAGTTTAACTCTTTTTTTACATTTATTGCATTCAAAATAAATACAATTTTTTTTTCGATACCCTCTTTGATCATATGAAAATGATTATTAAATCAATCTTCCATATTGACAGAATTAAATTAGTAAACAAGTTTATTATTGACATGGCAATGGATACAAAGTATATCTTTAATGATTAGGCATAAATTGTAATAACTTGAAATTAGCTTCGTAAATTTTCTATGATTGCTTTTCTTTTTCCTTTTCTAAACGTTTTAATTCATTTAATTTTTGTTTCAAATCATCCACATTGATTCCTTGTTGTTCTAATCGTTTCATATCGGCTTCAAGCATTGGTATCTCTAATTCAGGAACAATTTCAAACAAGTCTCTTGATAATAGATCATCGATATCGTTTGGTTCACGTAATGCAAGAAAATAGATCAAAAATATAGCGAATGATAATTTTATGGCAATATTATTGTATGGTGGTACAGTGGATTCTTCATTTTCTATTTCTGTTATATAGATGAAAAATATCAAAATCAAAATTTTCTACGTTATAATAATTTTATTTTTACCTCTAAAATTTTCATATGCTTTGTAACGGAAAGCTTTACTTTTTGTATATTGAATTGGTTTGCTATCATCTTCAACATTGTTATTTTCGGTTTTAGTTGATTGAAGTCTTCGATGATGACCATTCGATATCAATAGATTAGTAGTCAAAGCTGTTCGTTGTCGTATTATTTGCAACGGATACAATGATACAGATATTATCCTTTTTAAGTGAATCATTTTTAAAAATCATTCAAATTTATGAATGAAAAACAATTTAGTTTCGAATTACAATCAGAAACATATGTGGTGAGAAATTCAAAGATGAAGTATCGCAATTTATTAAAATTGTAAAATTCTTTATTATTCTCTATTGTCGGTATATACTTATATTTACACATGATTGACAATTTTTCAATACAAAGTTACGAGCTTTATATAGAATTAAAAATAAATGTCGAATATCAATCATTCAATAAAAAAAACACATTGCAGTTAATGTACAACAGGATTTAATGGTTCGGCTCGTATTATTAAATAGTTGACTTTTTTGTCCAACTCTTCATCGATTTCACCAACGACAGCCCTGAATTCATAATCAAAAAAAATAAAAATCATAATTAGAATTTTATTTGAAGAAAGGAATAAATTCTATATATAAAAGTAACATACACATTATCACCACGAATAATGTAGAGTCCAAGAAAAACTTGTTCAACGCCAGCCGAAACACTGTAGACACGTTCATGACATTCTTCCATGATTATATTAATTGTCTGATCAAATCCTTTTAATGTACCCTGTAACAGTTTTAAAAATATAAAAATTGGTCAATAAATCCGAAAAATCGAAAAAAGAATGATACATACGACAATTTGACGACCATCAACCGTAATAACAGAAACTGTTCCTATTGGGTGAATTTTCACGAAGAAAAAAAATTATATTTCAATTCAGAATTTAATCACTAATTAGATGACTTACTTCCGACATAACTTTCCAGATTGTTTGCCATAATTGAGGAATCTTTTTTTTGGTAAAAAATTCAAATTAGAAAAATCAAACGGTTATAAAAGTCAACACACGATTCAAAACGTTGTTGAGTTTTTTCTAATTTACGTTCTTTATGAACGATTTATGGGGGATTGAGGGGTGATTGTGTGCGCGTGTGTTTTGTTTCGTGCTTGTTTGAAGGTTTCCGTTTCTCTCATTTCGACGTGTGTGTTGTGTGTGAAAATTTCGTTTTTTTTGTAAATTTTGGTTTTTTTTGGTCTTAAAAATGGGACGTCGACCAGCTCGTTGGTAAGTTTTGATTTGAAAATTTTGAAAATTATTTTACATTGAAATTTTATGATTATAGCTATCGGTATTGTAAAAACAAACCATATCCAAAATCACGTTTCTGTCGTGGTGTCCCAGATGCAAAGATTCGCATTTTCGATTTAGGCCGTAAAAAAGCACGTGTCGATGAATTTCCGCTATGCGTTCATTTGATTTCAAATGTATGTTTATAAATCTTTAAATGATCATTACGATGATTGATTGAATTTTTTCTTTCAATAAAGGAATTCGAACAAATTTCAAGCGAAGCATTGGAAGCTGCTCGTATTTGTGCCAACAAATACTTGGTAAGTTATCATCAATCAATAATTCCAGTATTCAGACTATTGAGTTCTAGAATAGACAAAGCTTTTAAGCTTGATTTTATTCGAGAAATTAAGTCTGATAGATAATCATAGTGATCATACTCTCATCTTGGAATAAGAATTTTTCCTTTAATTGTTCTCAGATGCAATTGGTTACTAACATGTTTTTTTTGCTCATTAAATAGGTAAAAATGTGCGGCAAAGATGCCTTCCATGTTCGTATTCGTGCTCATCCGTTCCATGTATTACGGATCAATAAAATGTTATCATGTGCCGGTGCTGATCGACTTCAGACCGGTATGCGTGGTGCATTTGGTAAACCATTAGGAACAGTTGCCCGTGTACACATTGGCCAGGTGATCATCTCGGTACGAGCCAAAGAACAGCACAAAGAGAATGTTATTGAAGCACTTCGTCGTGCCAAATTCAAGTTCCCTGGCCGACAAAAGATTGCCGTATCAAGAAAATGGGGATTCACTAAATGGGACCTGAAAGATTATGAACAGATGCGTTCCGATGGCCGATTGGTTCCAAATGGTGTTACATGCTATTACAAACCGAATCGTGGCCCATTTTCCGATTGGGTTCGAATTCAGGAACAATTGCATGGAGTAAATTAATTTGTTTGAATTCAAAATCAATAAAAAAAAATTTTTATTTACAATTTTTTTTTTTTTCTACTAATACATCTGTATCTCGGTAATCTTCAAAGTTTTCTATTCCACGTTGGTGTATGATGTATACACTTTTGAACAATAAAAATGTCCAATAAAAATTTATCAAGTAGATAATATACAATAGGCTGTAAGCGATGATTATAGTGGATAATGTTTCCAGTTGACAATGCTTTTGTGCTGTATCACCTGCAAGTGGTATCATGAAAAAAGGATATTTATATAATCTATTTGGTATCCAAACAGTTAGCGTTACAAAAAACCATATTGTTCGAAATATGTTATTATAACTGGCCATTGAACATTGTAATCGAGAAAATTTTAATTTAAGAATAGAACGCATAAATACAAAAATCGTGCTCCATTCTAAGATGTATATGGATAGTACCGCAAGTAAATGTTGTCGTACCATGTATGTCAATGTTAAACATATTATGACAACCATATGATGCATAAAGAATATCAAATTATCTTTATATTTTTTACAGCCAACAATTAATTCTATTGCTGAACGAATATATTCACAAATGTCAAACAGGAAAAATAATTTAATCTGTGTCGGAATGGTTTTATTGTAATTGCCAATATTGATAAAATCATCGGTTTCGGATACAATTTTCCATGCAAACAGAAATAGTATAATACGATGTATGAAGGTCCAAAAATTTTCATCAAACTTATTTCGATCTTCTGGAATAAGAATTTTATTGGCAATCAAATTATCAATAAATCTTTCAAACCATGAATGACGTAAGTTCCAAACAATACAGGTTACCATTACGATGGATAAAATTTCAGCAAAAAAATAATTGTTCAATCGAAATGAATCGAATGTTGTTTGTCGAAGATCCAACCAAAATGGTCGACAAGATTGGTTATAATATTGCATCATTATTATATGATAAGAATCATTCAATAGATTTAAATTTTGATTGATATAATTAGCCATCGTTGAATAGTTGATAAATGAGTGAAAAGCTTGTCTTATAATCGATTTATGAAGAATATAAATTGAAAATGAATGAATGAAAAAATGAATTAACGATTCGAGGGTTTATATAAAAAATAAAATAAAGTTTCTTAGTGGGAATCCAACTTTCTCCTTTCGCGCCAAATATACAAAGATTTGATAAATCTGCAATAATCAAACGCAATCTCTACTTGACGTGATTCCATGGAAGACATTTTTTCATTACGAATAAATATCTACAAACATGGTGAATTTTTTTATTTTTATTTTTTTTTTATTTTTGTTTTTATTTTTATTTTTGTTTATTGATTGTGGACAGGTTTGGCAGTTTTTTTTAGTTAAACGTTCGAATAAAATGCCATTTGAAAAAATTTCGAAAAATGTCCTTGATTAAATCTTTGAATTTTCATAAATTTTTTTTTCTATTCATAGTTATTTACATAAAAAAATTCAAATGATAGTGATGATTACGTTTAAAGTGTACCCTTTGTGTCAATGAAAAACATATCAGATTTCATACGTTTATTATTTGATGATTTATCTAAATCGTCATCTTCATCATTACTAGAGTCGAGATCAATTTCATCAGGATTTTTTACGTCATCAGCTTTTTGTTCTATGAACATTTCGTTAGGATCCCAGATTCCTAGCTTTGAACAAAAGCTAGTTGTCTGTGGATTTGTATAGTTGATTTTTCTTGATGCATCTGAATCATTTGTACGATCCAATACTGGTTTACATGGTTGAAAATTATTTGGTATGGAAAAATCACCATCTGAAAATTGTTTAGCAATTTCATCGAGATCATTCTGAGTAATTTCAATTTCATTAGCACAATTGAAAATGTTGATTCCATTTATCTGTTCACGAGATCCTTTCCAAAGGTGATCGGTTTTTTTCAATACGGCTAACCATTCTGGATCATATTCAAACTTCAATGAATCGTTGACTACATTATTATCTTGATCGATTTTGATATCTTCAATATGTAGAAAATACCTTCTTGGTAAAACTTTATCTAATGCTTGAAATTGCGTTTCAATTACGGGCAGCGATTGATTCGATTCACTAGATACCTGTTCTTGTGAATTAGAATGTGTTACAGTCACATTGAATCCTACATGTAAATGTGCAGCGAACCAATATTTCGGTTTGAAATGATGAACTAATGGTTGAAGTAATGGATTACCAAGACGACATTGTTCAATTTCCTGACGAAAGAATGGTTTACGATTCAAAAGATTATTCAAATTACGTTCGGTTGCACATTGATGAATGTTTATGGGCCAATCATGTGACATGAAAATATCGAGCAATTGATTTTTATAATTATCTGTTCGAGGTAATTGAAGTAATTTATAGATTTCCATTTCTCGCATATGATATATTGATCGCATTGTTCCCTGATCATATGGCAAACATTCAAAATGTCCTAATTTAGCATCATGTTGTTTGAATATACCGGAGATTCCACCGATTCGTAATGGTCCAAATCTAATGACTGAACAATATCCAAGGTAATACATGTTGGGCGCCACCCAACCGCCATACGGTAATGTTTGAAGATAATTCGATGCTTCATGATTACCACCAATGAACAATGTTAATTTTGGAATAATTTTATCACCAAAATAGTACTGATGAAAATCGCCAAGACGGCGATATTTTGGCGGTACAGCTAAACATTTAAAATCATTTTCATTTCGAATTGTTTGAACATCACCACATATTAGCACTAAATCGATAATAATGTTTTTACTTTTTTCAAAATTTTCAATTTGCTGATATACAATGTCCAATTCTCCATGTAGACATCCGACAACGGCAATCTTCATCTTTTAAATTATAATTGAAAATTTTGATCATCCAATCATTAAAAAAACGCGCATGAAAACCACTCACAATCGTAAACAATCGATTGTATCGAAATTCGAATTATTTAAATAGCGCCATTCATTGCTACAAAATTCATTGATTTGATGAACTGCGATGAATCGAAATCAATTGAAGTGACGACAATTTAAAATTTTCGTTTTTTTTGTGATAAAATTTTATTCTTTAAAATCTCAATATATCAATTTACCAGAATGACAGAATAACATTTCGAAATTCTTTCGGGAAAAAAATTCAATTTTGTAAATATCAATCATTTGGCAATACTTTTCGACATTAATATGACATATGCAAATACACGTAATATAATTATGTATGAAATGATAAAACCAAAATTGATAAATAAATCAATATTATCCAGATCGAAACGGCTCAAAATGATAGATTGATTAATTGTTTTGATTTCATTGTTAAAACCATCAATTATATATTGAACGGGTGGTAATGATGTTAATTGTTCCATACAGGTGGTTATATTCATAATTGAATCACCAAAATATTTGGTAAAATCCGATAATGATAAACCTGTATGATCCGGATTACAGCGACCAAATCCATAGAATATAATCAAAACGGCTTCAATTGAAAGCTTATAAACGGATAGATAAGTAAATGGCCGTACATAATAAGGCAATTTGTTGACCGGTATAACAAAACCACTAAATATGAAAAACGGTACGAATAACATTGCACCACAAATTAATGCAGCAATCGTATTGTTAATAAAATGTATTGATATGACCATAGCGAAACTATGGGCAAGTAAACTGGTTGAAATGATCAATGAAATGTAGATGAAAAAACGCCAGATTCCGGGTGGTGATTCAACCAGAAACCAAGTAAACACTGCATATATTAATGGAAATATCAATGTTGGTGGTATATCCGAAAATGATTTCGATACATAATATGACCATCGTGTGTACCATTTGTTGGAATGTTCCTATAGAGAGAGAGAGATGGAAAAATTAATGAATAAAATCGATAATAAACAATGATAAAAACTTACTTTGATGAATACTGACAGTTCAAGAGGAAACAGCATCAATGATGGTACCAAACTAATGATAACCGTAAACATTACCGAAGTGATTAACAATATAATGTCACGGCTTAGAAATGCAGTAATTTTATAGTTTTCTGGATTAGATCCCATTTCAATGAATTTCTTGGCAAAACGTGTTGAATTGAAACATTCATTATCGATCAATGTGGATTGCCGATTTTTCAATACAAGCCGTACTGCCATTAACATCAATAGACCAAATGATCTGAGAGCATAGTTGAATGGTTCACGATACGATATCAATGATGAACGTTTAAACAATGCCCATGATGATTGTATCTGATCGAATGCCATTTCTTTCGAAAGTGCTCGATCAACATTAACATTTACTTGATATTTATTCTGATCAATCAATTCTTGTGATGCTTCAGCATCCGTTAGTTTATAGATGATCTAATGAATATAAAAAACAAATTAATTTATATAATTATAATTCTGTAAACAATAATCATACCTCATCACCATAAAGGCCACTAGCAATTTCAAGTACAAAATCTGATATGTTATGAAAGACGGGACAATTAAGGCCAAAACTTTGAAAATGATCCAGAACCTGGTTACCTGGACCACGATAGATACATGTACCAAATGTTGATATAACATAAAGATCATCAAAATATGAAAATAATTTAGCCGATGGTTGATGAATTGTAGCACAGATGATGATTGGATTATTTTTAACCATCGTTTTCAATAACTGTACAAGCTGTAATGATGATACAGAATCTAATCCTGTAGTCGGTTCATCCAATAACAAAACGTTAGGTGAAAATATCAATTCCAATGCTATCGAAAGACGTTTCTTTTGACCACCACTGCAATTACTCACACGTACATCAGCACATTGTGTAAGACCTAATTGATCAATAATTTCTTCCACTTTATGGCAATCATATTTCGATGCATCCAATAATTTAACATCACCATCATCATTGATTGTATTATCATTAAGTATATCAATATTACGGCCACAATAACGTTGTAATTGACATGCATAGTTGAGATTTTCACGTATAGATAATACAGAGAATAGAAAATCTTTTTGTGGATTATAGATGATGCGAACCTCTTTAAAATCACTAAGTGATTGTAAAAAAAAATTAATCAATCACGAATTAGATGAACAAACAAAAAAAATTGATTTAAAATAAAAGCCACTTACCTAATTGAACTGGATACCCATGTTTGTCCGGTCATACCTTTTATACGACGTTTAGCTAAGCATTCAAATAACGTTGTTTTCCCAGATCCACTTGGACCAAGAATGGCGGTCAAATAACCACTTTGAAGATGACCACTTAAATTATTGACCAGAATTTTATTCTTAGCCGTTTTATATGAAAGATTTTTCCAATAAAAATGGATGGCTTCATTTTCAATTTTTTTAATATTATTTTTATCAATATTAATTGGATTCATTTTCAATGATTGTCTCTTTTCTAATGGATCATTCTTCTTCTTTTTCTTTATTGATACTAAAGATGATGATTGTGGATCGATCACTATAGGTTCCATGGTTGATGGTAGCTACTTGACTACTGAAATTTATTCAACAAACAAACAACGAATGAACGATGAAATATAAAAATAAAATAAAATGAAAGGAAACAGAAAAAAAATTCAAACAATAAAACAACAACCGTCTTGCGAAAAAAAAAGAAAAGAAAAAACAGAAATTATCAAGGAAAAAAAATGAATGATTCTCTACAATGCCATGACCATTATCATTTAGTCATCATTATCATCATCATCATATGGATAGACCTGAAAATTTTCCTACAATTCCTATATAACAATCATCATCATTATTATTATTATCATCATGGATGCAATAGAACGTCCTACGATTGATGAATCATTGTACTTGGGATAGGAAAAAAATTTTTTTTTCTATATTAAAGACTTGACCAAGACAATAAATTTTCTTTTCTTTTTTTTCCCATTTTGTTGTTCATATAATTATGATGATGATGATGATGATCTTCATCATTGTATTGTATTTTGTATTGTCATCATCAAGAGATGAATTTGTATGTGCGTTTGTGTGTGTGATTAGGATTTATGAAAGAAATGAAAAATGAAAAAAAAGGGAAATGAACTTACCTTGTGAACTCGGTGATGATGATGATAATAGTCAGTAACGATGATGATGATGATGATGAGGATTGCAAACAAGTATTAGTGGATGAGAAAAAAAATTTTTATCACCCAAAAATAAAAATCCAATGAAAGAAAAAAAAAACGGAAAATCTAAAAATGAAAACAAGGAAGACCGACGACGATAAAGATCAAATATGACCAATTTAATTAATATATTTATATTGAATGTGAATGAATTGGACAAAAAAAAGAGAGAAATTTTAAATTTAAACACCAATGTACACATGTGTTTTCGAATTACTTTGATGTATAATAATAAAATGTCACTAAGAAAAAACAAAACAAAACAAAAAAGAAAATTAACGAACAAATATTGATTGATTAATGTCAAAAAAAGAAAAATTCGATATTTAACCACAAATGATATTTGATCAGATCTTCCATTATATATAGGCAGGCAGGCAGGCAGGTATTGATAGTATTCAGTGATCATTACCGTCATTTGATTTTTTTCGTTCGCGTCATCGTTGTCAAAATCAAGTTTTTATTTATATTAGCCGGTGTATTTTGGCCTATTATGTAGCCACAATATATACACGCACAAAAATAAATAACAATCGAATCGAATACACAAAACATTAAAAACGTTGAAAGTCAACAAACAAAAAAAAAACACCTTGTGAAAACCTGTATTGTCAATCAAAAAAAAAAGTTGAAAATTCTTCACGAACAACACACACACACACAAAAAGGACAATTTATTGTTTGTGAAAGATTTTATTTGGTGTGTGTGTGTGTCAGAATTGACAACAATTTTTTTTTTTTTTTTTGACACAAACACAAAATCCAATAGTCAAATGATAATAAACGAATCACCTAACCCTATCGTGGTTGTTTGAAAATTACGTTTTTTTTCATACCACCATATATACAACATGGTGTTGCTCGATTTTCCTTTCCTTTCCTTTTTGTTTTAGTTTTGGCCAATTTGGATCAAACAACACAACCACCACAGCAACAACAACAACAACGACGACGACGTTGAAGGGAAAAGGGAATAAAATGACATAGCATTCAGTCTATATAATAATAAAAAAAACGGTTATAATTCTGTCATCAAAATGCGCATTACATTTGAAATCTTTCTCTCTTTTTTTTTACTTGGATAGCAACAATTTGTATTCAATGTAGCACTTTACCAATTTATATTCAATTGTTTATCATGAAATGTGAAATTGAAAATTTTGTTTTGTTTCTATCAATGATGATTAATCATTGAATATTTGTCAATTTTTTTTATTAAATGCACCACCGGTGCATTATTATGATAAACAATCGAATCAGAATAACATGTTGATAATTCACAATATATTATAGATATAGATGTTTTAAAATTTAAAATAAACAAACAGAAAATTGACCAATACAAACATGTATTGTAGTCGATTTATTTGAAAAGTATAAACAACAAGGTCAAATTGACCATCATCATAAAGATGGATGAATGTATAATTTGAATAAAGATAAAAGTATTATTATTTGATGTTGAAATAAATTTAAAATTTTAGCCCATTAAGATGAATTGCTTCCCCACCCCCACCGTTGAATGAAAATAGAGAGAGAGAAAAATTTCGTTTGACCATGGGCCACTGCAATGGTAGATCATCATCATTATGGAAAATGAATAATGTACATCATCATCATAATAATAAAAATGAAAAAACCAAATGAATTTCAAATGAATGACCATCAAAAGGATGGTTGGAAAAAAAAACGAATTTCATTAACCATCTAATTATCGCTCATGGCAAATCCATAAATGAAATGTTCAAATTTATTCGATTAGTAAATATCGTGTTTTTTTTTTGGTAAAAATCATTCTCGCATAATCGAATTGTGTGAGCATCATCACATCATCATCATCATCATCAGGTTTAAAACAATTCATTTGAGTAAATTTTAAAAAATTTAAATTGAATTTTGAATTTTTTTTCTATAAATTTCAAATTAAAAATGAACATTCTACAACAATTTACTGAAACATCGTTGATGTACAACAACCGACGTAACAGCCCCAGTCAATCATCAGATTCTAATCATCATTATCATGATCATCATCAAGATGTTTTATTTGGTAAAAATTTATTCGATTCTCATCTATTAGGTAAGTAATAATTTTTTTTTTTATATAATTCAATTAGTAGAATAATTTTCATCAGAAATAATCAAAGTGCAGAAAAGATACAAAAAAAAATAATAAATGACATTGGCAAGAAAAAAATTTCATAATTTCCACAAAAAAAAAATGACAATTTTATTTTGTTGAAAAATACAAAAAAAAATACTAATATACTAATATTATTCTCTCTATCCATTATCATTATTATTATTCATTATAGGCAAAATAACTGCATTCGATTTGGCCATAATCATCATAACATTAATGGCCATTGGCTATATGATCATTATTGTCATTTATAATTATATATACAAATATGATCACTATCGTATATTGATGCGTACAAAACGTCAACATCATTTGGATAGAAAATATCGTCGTGGTTGTCGTCGACAAACCGATTCGATTGAATTACATTCATTAAAAATGTTTGCTACCGATTGATTTGATTGATTAAATGTGATAGAATGAAAAATGTTGATTATTCCAATCGAATAAAAAATTTTTATGTTCTTTTTTATGTACCCATCACTACACAGTTATTTAGAAACGTCGAAAGCCACCTCCTCCTCTTCCAACTCGACCACCGCTGAATCCTCCACGTTGACGTTGATTAAATCGTTGGTTATTGATATTATAATTTCGACTAAATGATGATCTTGGCCGAAATGATCCGGGTGATGTTTTATTGAACTTACCCACTGGTGGTTGATAAAATTTTCGTTCACGTTTCACTGTTGTTGATGAGGTTGTTTCTGAACCTTCCGGTGCAGTAATCAGCGGACGTTTTTTGGTAATCGTAGCTGGATCAGCAGTAGAAGATGAATCGCCACCATTATCGGTTTTATCCGATGCTAAAGTCGGTATGGAAGCAGCAGCATGCAATGTCGTTGTTGATTTTGAACTCTTGAATGATAATTGTATAGATGTTTTATAGGATGGTGGAATTTTAAAAAAATCTTTTGTTAATGAATTGATATTCGATGTTGCTTTCAATGCAATCATTTTGATCTTGTTTTCCGGAGTTTTCAATTCTGATGGTTTCAAGGTAGAGATGACTTTTTTCAATTTGTTTACATAGCTTTGTACGCCTATGAATATTTGATTAAATTTGGAAAATTGCAATTTTTATCAAAAAAAACTTACCTCTAGCCAAATACTGAAGTCGTAATTTAAAATCCTTGAATTCATTTGCCTTACTATCAGCTTCGAAATATTTCGGATTCAATTTGCATAACTGATGTAGTGAATAGAGTAAACATTCGACATGTGAAAATTGTGTACTAGGCAAATCATCGGTGGATGATAAATCGGTAGCTGATGTATTCAAATCTTCTGGTGGTTTTGGTATGTAACCAAGTAAACATTGAAAAACGGCATTTTGGCATTGTTCAAATTGAGATGTTTCCAGTGTCGGTGATACGAATGAAATAATTTCCGATAGAGCCTGAAGAACTTCCAGTTCCAAACCTGGTTGTTGTTGTTCAATTTGTGCCAAATGTGGAAGAATTTTTAAACAAATGTATTGAACAAATTCAGTCGATGGTGAGAATTGCTATAATGAAAAAAATTAATGTCAATATTAATTTAGATAACAATGATAATGATAGATAAATTACCGAAAAATACGGAATTCCGTGACGAACACACATAAGAAATTTATCTAATGAGTCCGGTTCAGAAGGCTAAGTAAAAAATTTAAAACATTAAACTTGTCAAATTGAATTGAAAGCGTCTAATACTTACAATAAAATCATTATTTAATTCTGATTGATCTTTGACAATGGCCAACAAATTATTATGACCATGAACAGTTTTGGAAATTTTTAGTCCAGCCAACAATGTCATCAATGTAATGAATTCTTCTTTGGTCACATCGATTAGAATTTTTTTGCAATTTTCCAGAATGAATTCTTCAATTTCTTTGGTCAATAAATCCGGTTTGATTGTTCGAAATTTTGTGCCAAAAAATTTTACAACACGATCACGTGTTTCATCTTCACCATCGAGAATTTGGCCAAATAAAGCGAGTAGAAAACTTTTAATATCATAATTGGCCAATGTTATGAGTGCCTGATTGACAATGTTCAATTCTATTGGATCTTCCGACAACAATAGTTGTGCAAGAACATCGGCAATTTTTGTAACTAATTCTTTTCGATCACGACAAATGTTTGGCAATTCTTTAATGGCATGTCGTCGAATCTATATGACAAATCAACAGCAGAAATTTATTTTTGTAATTAATTAAGCCAACATTAAAATCACACTCACATTAGGATCATCATCTTCACAAAGATCTAGCAATAATTCTATTGCCGATTCATAATGATCAGGAAAATGAACAAAAAATTTCGATATAAATTGTGAACAAAGTTGTTTTTCCTGTGGACTACCATGTACAGCATTCAATATGGCCAAATAATCGGATTCAAACTTTGTAAATAAAGTGAAAAAATGTCATATGAAAACCAAATCAAATCAACCAACTGATCTTACCTGTTTGATGTTTTCTTTGGCGGAATCAAGCTTATTATAATGTTCATATAGTTGATCAAGTGGATCAATTGAAGCCATTGTTTTTTAAAAAAAGTGACAAAAATCAAAGAATCTTCTTTTTTTTTGGATGTCAATAATTTTTGGAACACTGGTGGACTCAAATTTTTCAATTAAATTCTTCGTGATATGAGCAATTGACCGGCGTGTATGAAAAAAAAATAGCTAGCAGCATGTCGAATAGATATGAGATAAAAATATATTTGTCGTCGATAGATGGCGTTTGATAGTCACATTGTGGATGAATGGTTCAATAATAATGAGACAATTGAATTTTTCTTTTGCATGCATTTTATGTGTGAACACACTCGCGGCACAAAGCAATGTGATTTCAGTCTGTTCATCGATCCTTTTTGTAATAAATATATTTGGCGAATTTTCTCGAACGAAGCAAAGAAAAACACTTGAAATTTATTATATTAATTTAAAAAAAATTCGAAAGAAATTATATAATCACAAATTCTAACATTTCATGTCATTCATTCACTTTCGCTATTTTTCTTCATTGTAATTTCATTGTGACTTTTTTCATAGCGATCAATTTTTTTTATTATTATTTCAATCAAACATAATGAGTAGTAAAGAAAATTCCGTGTCATCACTTGGTTTGGGAGATTCAACCGAATCGGATTCTCTTCAAAGTGAATTTGATATTTCACCACAAAAAGATGGAAAGCTTATGAAGACTATCATTACCAAAGGAAATGGTATGGCTTAATTCGATATAAATGGTTCAAAATTTTATTCTTTTTTTCTGTATATTTAGGTTGGGAAAAACCCGGTAATGGTGATAAAGTTTCGGTTCATTATGTGGGCAAATTATTGGATGGCACACAATTCGATAGTTCACGTGATCGCAATGAAAAATTTGTATTCACATTGGGAGCCAAAGAAGTGATCGAAGGATGGGATATTGCCGTTAAAACGATGAAACGGGGTGAAGTTGCATCGTTTAAAATTGATCCATCATTGGCATATGGTGAACGTGGTTCACCACCTACCATACCGCCAAATTCTACGTTGATCTTTGAAATTGAATTGTTTGATTGGAAATTGGAAGATATAACAAAAAAAGCTGATGGTGGTATTTTGCGACGTATCATTAAAGATGGTAGCGAATGGTCTACACCAAATGAAGGATCTACTTGTAACATTGAATACATTGGCAAATATGAAGATCGTGTATTTGAATCACGTCAGGTGACATTCTATCTGGGTGAAGGTTCTGAAGAGAATCTTGTACCAGCAATTGAAATTGCTGTGAGAAAAATGAAAAAAGATGAACGTTGCGAGATAATTGTCAAGCCAAAATATGTATGGGGTGATGGCCAAGGCAATCAAGAATATGGCATTCCAAATGATTATCAACAATTAAAATATGAAATATATCTGAAAAATTTTGAAAATCTCAAAGAAATTGAAGATATGGAAAATAATGAACGCATAGAACAGGCATTGTTGGTCAAAACGAAAGGAACAAAATATTTCAAAGAATCTAAATACAAATTGGCCATCAAACAATATAAACGTGTCATACAATTGATTGGTACTGAAACAGATAATTTTGAACCAGAACTAAAGGAAAAAGCACGTGACATTTTATTGGCAGGTAATTTAAATCTAGCCATGTGTTATTTGAAAGTGGAAAATTTCTTGGAAACACAAAAAAATTGTGACCGTGCACTAGAAATTGATCCAGAAAATGAAAAAGGTCTATTCCGTCGTGGACAAGCATTTTATGGTCAGAAAGAATATGAATTGGCTAAAAAAGATTTTGGAAAATTATTGGAAATTGATCCGAAAAATTCGGCAGCAAAAAGTCAAATGATTAATTGTATTAATCGTATTAAAGAACATATGGAAAAAGAGAAGATGAAATACAAGAATATGTTTGAAATATTTGCCAAAAGAGATAGCGAGGTAATTGAAAGGTTTTTATTATTCATAAATTTTAATTATTTTTGTCTTTGTTACCCATCTTTAGAAAGAGGCAAAGAAAAAAGCCGCACAAGCTACTACTATTACTACTGCAGCAGATGATTCGAAAATTTTCAACATTGATGGTGACAATGAAACCAAGGCTAAGGATTCGGAATCCCCACAACAGCAGCAGCAGCAACAACCGGAACAACAACAACAAGCTGCAAATGCTTGATGAACTGAAAACAAACGCAAATACACACCAAAATTTGTATGGAGATCTTAAATTTATTTTTTCGTCTTACACACACACACACACCACAACCACCACTTACATCCAAAAAAAAAAAGTCAAAATTCATTTTTACTTTATTCATTATTATTGAATTCAATAATTTTAAAATGTTCAAAAAAAAAGAATAAATTTTCAATTCTTTGATTCATATCTCCAAATGAATAGAATGTGATAATGTTGATTTGTTTTTTTTTTATCAAAAATTCAAAAGATATTAAATGATGACGATGATAATGGATGTATGAATGTTGGTTGATAAATAAGCTAAATCAAACCATCTAAGTTTTTTTTCTTAATTAAAAATTATGGCCATGTAGGTAGTTTATTAATCAATGCTTTTTCCTGTTCCGATTCTTCACGTGCTATGAATAGACTATGACCATATCCAGTTGAAACACGATGAATATGTATTCCTTCTAATGGTTTAACTTCTTGTGGTGTTGTTGATGATTTGGATTTTGTATCACCATATGCTAATTCACCATATGTTGGACTTGGACCCCAGCTAATAACACTTTCATCGGCTGTTAATACAATTGAACGATTAGCACAACCAATTGATCGAATATTCCAACCATTAAGATCTTGTACATTTTTCGGATACATTGTTGCTTCACCCGATGTTTTTGATTGGCCCCAGAAATAAAGTAAACCATGTTGATCTAATGCGAGTGAGAATGTTCCACCACACCAAATAGCTTTTACACCACGATTATCAAATGTTTTTATTAAACGTGGCATCATTTCATCTTTGGTTTCGGAATGCCCTAGTCTTCCATAGCCACCAAAACCCCAGGAAAAGCAACGTTGCTTATCATCCAATGCAAGTGAATGATTAATACCACATGCAACATCAATAATTCGTGCATCTTGAATGGGTGTAACATGACCATCGCGTCCTTTTTCAATGAATAGCAAAACTTTTCGTGGTTTATATTCGCATTTATATGCCAATTTGTTACCAGATGCAAAATACTTTGCTTCAGTATTATGGCCCAATTGACCATATTGTGGAAATCCAAATGAAAATAGATTACCATTACAATCAACAATCAATGAAAATTCGGCACCACATGCTAATTTGACAATTGGATTGCCACGATGTGCAACCTATAAGTAATAAGATTGATTAGATAAATCTAGATTCGAGTAATGTATTCAACGAACCCGTGTTGGAGCCAATACGGTCTGTATCTGATTACCAACACCAAGTTGACCGCTTTTATTATCGCCACAAGCAAAAACTTGACCTTTGGATGTAAGAAACAATGTATGTCCACGACCAACAGCACCACCAACTATTTGATAATCTTTAAGAACTTCAACTTCAGTAGGAACATCACGACGAATTGTATCACCATGTCCCAATTGGCCACGATCATTACGCCCCCATGTAAGTGCTTTACCATCTTCAGTGACAATTATGGAATGACATGCAGTACAACCACTAACAGCAAATCGAACACGATATTCAGTCTGATGAGGTCCCCATAGGTTACGGCCTTTGAATGAAAATTTATTTTTTTAAATACTAGAATTCAACAAACAAAACACAAACCATTTGAAGCAGTACCAGCAGCAGCTGCCGTTTTCGGTACTTCTTTTCGGCCAATTAGATCCCAATTGGTACCACCGCTTACAAGAAGACGACCAACAAGATCATCCGGTTTGATACACCAATCGCTTGATACTGTTGAAGTTTCTTCAGCTGTCGTATCATTATTACCATTATTGTTGAGATTTTCATTATCTGAACCAAGATCCGAATCAGATGATAGATTCGATGATCGTTTTTGTTTACGACTTTTTTTGGTTGGCTTTATCGAATCATTAGCCGATTTGGCTGTACGTTTTTCGGCGCCATTCACATAAGAAAAAAAATTTTTTCGTTTCTCGGGTTCCTTTTTTTCCCAACTTGTTTCCCAATCAAGGTTGCCTCACACAGTTATTATTATCAAATCAAATCAAATGCCAATGTGTGAAATAAACACAAAAAGGGAAAATAATGATAATGATGATGATGATGATGGAAATTTTTTTTCCCCCACAAATACAAAATAAATAAATTTCGTACACAAAAAGAATAATGGAATCCAACAATTCGATCAAATTATACTAAAATTATAATACAAAACGGACAGTGGTGGTTGTGGTAGATAGATAGACAGACAAACAAAGACAAATACACACACACACACACACACATACACACAATTATCAATAGACAAAGAATGAACAATAGTGTAGAACTATACCACTACAACAATGGGTGGCCCCTATTTTTTTTTGAAAAGAAAAAAAAAAATTTTTTTTTTCAACTAAAACCGCCATTGAAATGTCAGTGATGTATATGTGTGTGTGTATGTTGTGGTTGGTCGATGATATGAATACCTCTACCCCCCATCATTCATAGGTGTGTGTGTTTATGTGAAATCATTCAATCGTTCAATCAACCGTCATTTTTTTTTTTTTTGTCAAAAAGATCATTGTCATACAAAATCATTAATCAATCAAAATATTTGATAAATAAAAGTGGTTTTTTTTGGTGGTATTTTTAAATGGCCACCATGAATACACACATGCTGGGAAAAAAAAGAGGATGCTCAAATCTGTAAAATTCTTGCATTCTGAATTGAAATCAAAAAAAAAACTTTAATGCTACGGGCGCGCATGCGCTCCAAGAATATAAATTTTTTTTTAAAATTTTAATTTTTCAAAAAATTCATTTGAAATAATAATAATAATTTTATTTATAAACGATTTATATTCATGTGTGTGTGTGTGTGTGTGTGTATGTATTGACGTTGATTATCTCAAAAACTTTTTTTTTATTTGTTTTAAAATTCTGAAACAAACAAACAAAAAAAAAAAAGAATTTGGTCTGTGGTGTGGTGTGTGTGTGTGTGTGTGTGGTGTGATTGAAGTAAAATAAAATTAAAAAAACAGAATTTCAATTTTGACTAATTCAAGATTTCAATGAATTGGACATACACACACACACACTTGTTGCTGATGATTATCAATGTTGCACCTGTCCCAGAAATAAAAAAAAACTAATTGAATACAAATGTGTGTGCTTGTGTGTGTGTTTAAAATTCCAAAAAAGAAAATCACAAATCACATTGTTTGAATGAAGAATATAAACACGAAACTTTCATTTCGAATGTGAATGAATAATTTACAATGTTGGAATTGTTACAATTTTTTTTTTTGTGTGTCTGTGTGTGTGTGTATGTAAAAAAGGCAAATTTTGACATTAATAAATCAATATATAATGAGAATGAGAATGATCTCATTACATTTATAGAAATGTGAAATTGTGTAAATTAGATTCTGGTGGGGGTGTTGGGATGTAAAAGATAATCTCTTGATGATAATGACTATTTAGGGTAGTTATAAATAAAAAATTTTTTTTTCTTTTCATTCGAAAAATATATAGAGATTCTTTCTTTGATGATGATGATGATGATGATGATTATTATAATGATGATGACTATTTGAAAAATTGAAAAATCAATTAAAATTACTTTGATGAAATGAAATTCGAGGCGTCGAGAGAAAGTTTTCTCATCATTTTTTTTATACAAATACGAAACGAAAGACTATTTATTCCGAGGTTTCAAAATTAAGTTGAAATTAATTTTTTTTTATTTATCAAAACCCGGTGGATTAAGAATAGATTTGTGTTTTGTGTGTGTGTGTTTATAAGTGTGTGTGTGTGTGTGTGTAGTATTGTTTGTTTATTAAGCACTGGATTTATTACGTTCATTTCGTTCATAGCTCGGATTTTTAAGTATTCGTTTCTGTCGAAAATCATAGACTTTACGACAACAGAATACAAGCTCTGGTAATGTATTCAATGGTGGTATACGATTATTATCACCTACTCGTAATACTGAACGATTAAAACGATTTATTATTTGTTGCTGTTGTTGATATTGATCATTCGATGATTGATTTTCATCACTGGACCATGGTTCACCATTTGGCACAATCATAGCAGTTAAATCTGGTTGTAAAAATGCAAACATTTGCAATTTTCGACATTTTTGTCGTTTATAACGACAATATTCATTGTATGTGAGTACAAAACATTTATCATCGATACAGGCAACACTATTTGCATCACGATGTCTTGAGGCATATATTTCACCCATTATAAATGGAATATCCTGAATATCTGTATGTTCAGGTCGATAATACCAAAGTAAGCTCATCATCATTTCTCCTGGTTTAGAAACAAAACAAAAATAAAAGTGAGAAAAAAAACATTTCAAAAAAATAGTTCTAACAACACATTTATGAAACGACAAAACTTACTTTCAGGTGATTCCCATAATGATGTTATCTTAGCAACAAATGGTAGATCCGTTTTTCTTGGACCACTTTTAAGCAATACACAATCACCAGGTCGTATGATTTCACCTTCATTATGTTTAATTGCTGGATAACATTTACGTCGATATGATTGTTCATCATTCTAATTGATAGTGGATTCATGATTCATTATATATGCAAATAAAATAATAAATGAAAAAAAAATTTAAAATCACAATTCCTGATCATAAATCACTTACATTAATAAAAATATTTTTCTCCATTGGTTCACCTTCCCATGACCAACCATGTATGATTGGTTTTCTATTTGTTCGTTTACCCATTACGCAACGAAATTCACAATTATCTGTCGTTGTTGATGTTATCGGTGGCGGTACAATTTCATTCGATTCAATTCCACTATCATTATCATTACTATTACTATTATTATTATTGCTGCTGTTGTTTTTCGAATTACTTGCTGAAACCAATGTTATACTTGTTGTTGGTAATAGATTATTACGCCTTTTTGGATATGGTGACGATGATGATGATGATGATGCTGTTGCAGTGGCAGTGGCGATTGTACCAATACCATTTTTCAATAATAAATTTTTTCCATTTGATTCAATTGTGAGATTTGATTTAAATTTTCTTCCAACGGCAACCACCGTTGTTTCATTATTATAATCATTCGCCATGATGGTATGATCGGAATTTGAATTCAAATTAGTTTTTCTTTTCGATTTACCACTATTTGATGTATTTTTTCCCCTACTATTTTCCATCGATAATAATTGTTTATTTGTTTGTTTTTTATTCATCATTATCATACTTCCTGTATGACAACTCCCATCGCTCACATTTCCATTTTTATTATCAACATCAAATTGTTTTAATAAATCTTCATCGACAACACCGTTTGTTGATGCATTCTTACGTTGATTATTTTTTGTATTTTTCAATGTTTTTGATTTTGATTTCATCATCATTGGTTTCTTTTTTATAGAATTCATTGTTATCGTTGATTTTAATGATGAAAGATTCGGTGGTTGTATACGTGTATGAACAAAAAATGTTGGAGTCTGTTGTTGTGGCGGTATGAAATTTGAATTTAGAAAATTCAATGTAGATGGACGAATCGATGAGGATATTGGAGTAGCAGTAGATGATGATGATGTTGATACTGGTATCGATATCGTTGATGATGATTGTGGACGAAAAAATCCATAAGGTATGACATTCGGAATTGAATTTAAAGCCGATGGTATTGATCCAGTATTAGTCGCACCATTTAGATTGATAATCTGCGGTTGTGATTGATGAGCGATCAATGAAGGGCGTGTTGTGTTCATGGACGTATTCGTTGTATCAACAGTTAATGATGTCGATGTAGATGATGATGATGGTGATTGACCAGATTGATGATGAATCGATACTGGATAAATAATTCGATCACTTTGATTATTGGTTATGTTTGAGGATAATGAAGATGATGATGAAGGCGTACACCTACTACCCGTAAATACATTCAGATATGATTGGTTTGATGTTGAAGATGATGATGGAATTGTCGGTGGAGGTTGATAATGACAACTAGATGGTTGTGTTGAATGTCTTGGTGGTAAAGCTACACCGATTGAATTTGATCCAGCTAAATAATGCACACCCAAAAATGGACTAGCTGTTGCTGTTGCTGGCTGGTGTAAGGTGGCAGTTGGGAGTTGAAAAAATTGTCCAATAGCCGAAATCGGTGTGGCTGCTGGTGTAAATGATGGATTGATATATGGATAGATTGTCGGTGGTGGTGCAGCTATGAATGGTTGTGGTGATATGAATGGATGACCACCTGTTAACGGTGTTGGTTGTTCCAAAACGTGACCACTATTTCCAAATGGTATTAATTGAAATGGTACCGTTGAAACAGTGGCCGGATTATAAAGACCATATGATTGTGATAATGAAAATGGGTATGAATAAGGTGTTGAATGTGTATGATTTGAACCGATTGGCTGATTGCTTGTTGTTGGCATCAATGTTGAATGAGGATTGTATGGTTTAATTAGTGATGGATTCATATAACTACCACCACCACCACCACCACCAACGACGGCATTATATGGTGATAATGATGAAAATGTCATCATACCATTTGGTGGTGCAATAGCATTAGTATTATGATGATAAAAATTTGTTCTAGGATCATGCTGATGTATAATATTGGACGTTGTTGCTGTTGTAACTTTTGCTGCTGAAATTGCTGCAGCATTTGCTGGTACTGTTGCCGCTGACGATTGATGTTCCACAGTACGTGTTTCAATTTTACGGTAATATTTTTTCATTATTGATGAATTTGAGGGCTGAATAGTATTCGTCGTCGATGATGATGTTGTTGATTGAATAGGCGGTGTTGATTTTTGCTTTTTCTTTGATCTTTGACTTTTATTTTTACCCGCCATCATTGTTGAATTTTCATTGATCATTGTTGAATCTATACATGTTGTACCACCAGTTACAGGAGATGATTGAGATGAAGTAAAACGATGAGAATGAGAAGGAACTTGATATATCAAATCTAGACCTTGTGGATGAGTAGTAATAGATGAAGGAGGATGTGTTGCCGGAATAATTAAAGGTGTAGATGAACCAGAAGGACAAGGCGTAAATGCTGAAATAGTTGGTGATAATGTTGTTTCTGTTATTGTAACCGGCGGAGGGAGATTAGAAGAAGAAGAAGACAAAGTAGTAGAAATAGATTTTGATGGTGATTTCTGACTTGTTGCATCACCTATCATTTGATTATTTTTGATTGTTTTACGTTTTTTTGACGATGTTGATTGTTTTTTATTCGTTGTCGTTTTATTTTTTCGTTTTTTATCCGATGATTGATTCAATAGATTCTGTTGTTGTTCGATACGTTGTTGTGTTGTCGTTGTTGTTTCTACTACGGTTGTATTATCATGTCGTAATTTTACCGTCGTTTTGACGGTTGTCATTTCGATATGTTCTTCAACCATACTACTATGATGTGTTGTTGACCATATTTGCTGTGGATTAGTGGTCGATGATGATGATGGTTGATGATGAGGATCACTTGTTGATGATTTTAACAATGGTTTTGCACTAGCCAATACTAATCGACGTTCTTTTTCCGGTGAAAATGTTGCAGCCATCATAGCCGATGCATTCAAATTTGCCATTCTTTTATTTCTTCTTGTATCGATTATTTCTACATCTGGATCGATTGATAATTTTATCGATTTCTTTTTCTTTTTTTTATTATTCTTTAATTTTTTCTTTGCCACTACTGTTGTTTTTGTTTTCGTTTTATTAACTCTATTTTTATTATTACTACGATTATTAACGGAAGTAGATTTTCGTTTAATCGTAGATTTTTCTTTCATTTTATTGGTTGAATTTTTTAAATTTTTCACTTTTAATGATGATGTGGAAGAGGCGTTTACAGGCATCACTTTTTTAGATATAGCAACAGATGATGATGAAGTAGATGAGTAGGCAGTATTCGATTTGTGTTGAGCATCACTTTTAGTATTGATTCGTTTCACTTTTTTCATTGATGATGACTTTGAATTGATCACATTGAAATCATTTTTATTCTTATCATCATCATCATCATCATCACCACTTTTGATGTTTGTAGAAGGATGCTGTAATTTTTGTTTCCCGGCCATTGTTACTGTTGCATTTTGACCATTTTCACATAATAATTTCACTTTTGCCAACGCATTCAAACTAGCCACGCGATGACCAACTAATTTTCGACGTTTTTTTGTCGTTTTCGATTGTTTTTGTTTGACTACTTTTATTGGTTTTTTCTTTGCCACAAGTTTGGTTGCGTTTTTACCGGAATTTGATTTTGTTGACTTTGTTGGTTTCGGTAAAATTGGTGATTTTACCACCACCACCACCGCCGCTGCTGCTGAAGTTTTTCTTTTATTGGATTTCGGTGAAATTGGTACCGTTTTTTTCATCGTCGTTTTTGAAGTAACCTTAACATTTTCTTTCTTTTTTCTTGTCGAAATAGTTTTAGTATTTTTCATTGAAATTGATCGTTTATTCGTTATGGACTTGGATTTTGCATTTTTAATTTTCCTTTTCGCCGTTGATTTGGGTGTTTTTGAATTTTTATTAGTTACGGAAACAGTAGTTGCAGTGACTGACTTTTTGGCAGTTTTTTTCTTTTCTGCACTGTGCGTTTTGTTTGATTTGGCAATCGATTTTTTTGTCGATTTTGTTTTAGATTTCGGAACATTTTTCGTTGATGATGGTGATTTTCTTTTCACTTTAGACTGATTGGATTTTTTATTTTTCATTATTGTGCCATTCTTTTTCCTAGAATTGGGCGCTGTTTTTGCGACATGTTTGCCCGATTTATTTACAGACTTTTTTATATGATGCATTATTATTATATATATGTTGGTGTCAGAATTCACGGGAATGCTTATTATTGATTAATTTGACTTTTTTTTTAAATGACTGAATGTGCTAAAATTAGCAACCAAAAAAAAAAAAATTCAATCTGAGATCAATTTAATAATGAATCCGAAAAGAAATTCGTTCGAAATTTGTACAAGAATTGATTCAAAAATTTTAAATTACCATTGCACTCGTTTTGTTGTTTCAATTTTTTTTTGCCCGTATTGAACGTATGTGACGGGTGAAAATGAAATTCCAAAAAAAAGTAGGGTGGTGGTGTTGTAAAATATTGAATTCACATTTGAATTTTTTTTCATATTTTCATCATTATTCAAAGTAATAAATGTCCAGAATACCAAAAAAAAACAAAACAATTTATAGAATTATAAAGTGGGAGTGAAACAAAAATCAAAGTAAAAAGATGATGATGATGATGCTGATGATGACGAGAAAAAAATGGCAATGATAAATGTCGAATCAACGGATATCAAACAAACAGACCAAACCATATATATCATACACCCACACATACACACACACAAAACGAACAATTTGGAATAATGAAGTAGCACAATTTTTCCCTACTACCCCCTCTTACATCATCATATAGGGGAAGCAGACAACAAAAAAAAAGAATTAAATTCTAAACATTCGGAAGAATGTTTATTGAAAGTTGAAATTTGAATTTTTCTTCTTTTTTTTATGGAAAAAACAAATAGAATTTTTTTAAAAAATTTTTATAATGATAATGTGATGATGATACTAATGGTAATAATCCTTTCGGATTAGTTACGCAAACACATTTAAAAAAGAAAAAAAAATAATTTGTAAACAAACAGACAAAATGATTTCAAAAACGATTAAGAAGATCCAAATCTTTGGAATCGAATAAATATCTGTGTATGTGTGTGTGTGTGTGGAGGATGATGATGCTGAGGTTAACATTCACATACACACACACACACACACAAAAAATAAGAAAGAGTGAGCGATAGGAGGGAGAGGGAGAGGATGATGATGATGATGTGATGTGCTGAATGATGAGAATTGCATATGATTTGAGGAAACAATTTTTTTTTTCAAGATTGAGTTATTGAGCATCCCGTTATCATCATTACTATATATGCGTCTCTTTCTGTTCTATAATAAAATAGGTTCAAAATTACACTATTTGAGAAAGAAAAAGATAGAGAGAGAGAGAGAAAGAGCAAAGCCAGATATAATAATAATGTTATATGTTATTTATAATGAAACGGTAAAAAAAATCAAACTCACCCTCAATAATAATGTGATGATCAAAATCAATTTTTTTTTCTGTATTCAACACTTTTTAATAGCAATGCTCCACCTTTTTTTGTTCATCTTCCTCATCAAACTTGATTTTGGTTTAATATTTATATGAGCAAAGACTGCCCATTTTTGTTCATATTTATGTGTAGGCTTTTGATTTTCATTTGAAAATGGCATATATATTTTTATGCCATCTTCATGTTTGAGAAGCAGTTTTTTAAGTCATTGTCAAAAATAAATAAACTTTATATATCGGCATTAGGTTTTTTTTTGTACGCATGTGTCAACTGAATTTCGATGACGTTATTATTTTTATTATATACATATAACATTGATAATCACTTTTCACAATGCTACTACCATTTTTATTTTGGATTGTTCATAAATGATATGATGTTTAAAATTCTTTTTCGAATGCGCGCTGTTTTTTTTCCAGATTTTGATATCCAATTATTCATTTATTTCATTCTTTTTATTCATGTTTCATACAATTTTTATCAAATATCCACATTGAGAGCAGGAATAAAAACTTTTTATTTGTACATTATTTATCGATTATGTTCAAAAAAATAAAATAAAATAAAAATAAAATGATGAGATAAACAAAAATTCAAACTTCTGATGCAGTATCAGAAATGAATGTATCGGCCATTATATCATTGTTGTTTATATTATTATTATTATTATTATTGTTGTTGTTGTTGTTCAATATTCGATTGGCCAAAAAATGATGACGATTATGATGATTTCTATACAATGTACTATATAGTGGTGAATAAAGTGGTTCTGATTCAGCATACGATGCATAACGAGATCGATTAATGTGATGATGTTGATGATGATTATTATTATTATTGAGAATATTATGTGGATGAACAGCAGAATGTAAATTATGTATCAATGTATTTGTACGATTTAACGTCCAAGATGGAGTGGAATATACTATCAATTAAAAATGAATAAATGAATTGATCAATAAATTCAGTTTTTGACATTTTAAATACTTACTTGAACTAACATCCGGTATGCCAAGTCTTGGTGGTTTTTTTACCGGATTTACCACTAATAACGGATTGAATTCATTTTGTGATGCATTCCGTTCGGTTGTTGTTTCTGTATTTGTTTCTTGATTTGGATCATCCAATGTATTGATCGATGTATTATTATCGGTATTCGATACAGTATCAATCATGATTAATTCTTGTGGATTTGTCGGCACAATTTTTTGTTTACGTACAAAAAAAACAAACATAATACTAAATATGACTAGAACCAGGAATAAGCCACTTAATATGCCAAGCACTAAACCAAATAGAACATGATCGGCATCTGTTGCATTATAAAAATAGTAAAAATAAAAATGAAAAATGAATGGATGATAATCATCTCGAATACATGATGATGATAAATAAAAACCACATACTTTCATCCTGATGATTTATAATATTTTTATTATATGAAATTTGTGAATCAGATGATGGCCTTTTAGCCGTATTAGCTGGTGTTATCACTTTGGGATGTTGATCATTTTGAAAAAAATTTGTACTATGTGAATAATATGGTACAACATAAACGGTATAGAACATTTCATCACTACCGGCATGATTAACAACACTACAACGATAATTTCCAGCATTCAATGTCATCACTGAATATAATGCTAGCTGTGATACTTTAAGTTTGATTGTTGCATTCAATTCTTCAATCGATTCATCGATTTGAAATTCTTGTGAATGTGATATGGGCATATGTTTATTACAATTATGATCACAGCCTTTTGAATTGTTCATAATTTGTATATTATTCCAATACCAATTAATATTTGATAGAGATAAATATTCACGATCAACAATTGGATCACCAAATGTTTCTATTTCAATGGCACATTTCATACGTAATGTTGAACCTTCACTTAACGTTATATCTGTATCCGAAACATTATGATAGATTTTCGGTGCACATTGAAAATGATCTAATGCTAAATTACTCCATATGACCGATGTTCCTGAACAACGTGGCTGATCAATAATCTGTAGCCGATTTCGTTGTTGTATAAGCATTCTTTTGAATGGTTGCATACGACAATTACAATTCCATTCATTTGATTCTAGATATAATGTATGAAGATTCTTTAGGAATATAAATGAATCTGGATTCAATATTGTAAGATGATTCGATGCAAGATTAATTGTTTGTATGTTGATAAGACCGGCAAATGAATTAATATCAATATAACTGATATTATTTCTTTCTAATGATAATTTTCGTAAGCTAACCAATTTGTTGAATGAATTATTTGAAATTTCACGTATACGATTCCAGGATAAATCTAATGTTTGTAATCGTATTAAATGTTCAAATGCAATCGTTGGTATCAAAGTTAGAAAATTTTCCGACAATGATAATTCAATTATATTGGTCAATGGATAGAATGCATTGTCATCGATTTCGGCAATTAGAGCTATATATGAAATATAATGTGGAAAAAAATTGTTATTTCAATCACCAATCAATCAAGATTGATTCATATTACCTTGTTGTAGATAAATTTTTTGCAAATTATCCAAACATGCATTATTAAATATATGGCTATTTAGTTTTGCAAAATTATTCCGTTGTAACCAAAGAACCTGTATACGTTTCATACGTTGTTGTTGTTCAGGATTTAAATCCGTACACTAAATTCAGAAAATTATAAATTAATTAATCAACAAGTTGTTCACACACACATGTAAATAGAATTTACCTGAGGTAAACGATGTAAGCTTAATCCAGTACAATTGGCTGTGAATTTTCCCGATGATTGTATACATGTACATTGTTGATCACAAATAAAACCATTGACTAATTGTAATAATGATGATAATTGTAGCATAATATAACAATGAATAAATATTTGATGATGACGAAATATTCTTGATGGATACATTCTTCTTCTTTTTGGTTATAATACAAAAAAACACAAATTTTAAGAAAAAAAAAAACGACTCAAGTAATGTCAACCATAATATTTGTTGAAGAAAAGAAAATTTTCAAAAATCAATTCAAATTGAATGACCATCGACGATGAACACAACGATCGAATGGAATGTGAACCATACACACACACACACATAAACACAACAAAACCACTCAGTTGACCCAAGTTTTCATTTGACCCTAAGACGACACAATAAAGATCCAAAAGAAATGTAACTTTTTTGTTTTGTTTTGTACAAAACACAGTTAAATGACACCGAATACCAAAGCGGTCATTCTACGGTGATTCGATTATAATAATGGAAAATAAAAATTCATCCAGCTAACCCACTGTATTAGACATGGAAAACTCACAGATACACACACAATAGAAAACACGTTAAGAAGAAGATATTATTTGGGCGCGCGGGCGATAGTGAAAATGGTGGTCTCTTGATAATGATGATAAAGACGATGATGATGATGATGATGGTAAGCGAGCAGGTCGGTGGTTGTATTATTTAGTTAGTTCGCGAGCAAAAAATAAAGGTGGTGTCAGTTTGATTGTGTGTGTGTATTGGTCTGGTATATACCCCGAAAGCTTGCTTTGTCGGTTTCTAAATTCTACCTCTCAATATATATTTGGTTTTTTCCCCCTCTGTTTCTCTATTGAAACACAACAATCTCGCGCGGTCAGGTCGAACAAGATTTTTTCCCAAGTTAATAAGGTAATAGGTACCATATAAAAACACACGTATACACGTTGTGAAAAATCATCGAAAGTTTTAGGTTAAAAGTCAAAGTACACACCACACATAGATTGGCTGTATGTTTTGTATACACACACACACACATAAGGTCCCAGGGATACAAACAAACAAACAAACAAATAGTCCTGAAAAGCATATTATGTATGATGAGAAAATGTATACATTAATGTTGCTTTGATTATTTGCAATCGTTGATGTTGTTGTCATTTGAAAAATTTTTTCTATGTAATGTGTATTTTGTTCATTTTATGGATAATAATAATGATGATGGTGGCCAAGCGTATATATCATTTGTATTTGTGATGATCATGATCAACATCATCATCATCATCATTATTATTATTCACTATGTAATGTCAATGATGATGATTGTTCCATTCTTTCCATTGATGATGATGATGATATATCATCGATCGTTGATTTTGCCGTAGATACACACAATTGCTCACACGCTTTATTTTATTTCATCAATATAGTAGACAATATTAAAAAATCTATCGCATACCAAAAAAAAAAAAAAAAAATTGAATTTAAAAAAAAAGAGAAATTGAATTTGATGAAGGAAAAGTATGACACAAACAATGTGTGTTTGTGTGAGCGGGTGTGTATATGTCTTGTTGTTGATTAGATTCGTTGTACAAAAAAAAAAAATAAAAGTTGCATGGTGACTAATTCAGTTGTTGTTGTTGTTGTTGTTTCAAATCAAATGATGATTGAAATTTTGGTTTTTTTTTGCATTTTGTTTCACCAATGAATCATTCTTTGAATGATTTGAAAAGCATGTAGAATTAATTAAAAAGGCGTGATGTGATGATAAAGAATAGAGAAGATATCACATCGGTATGTGTGTAGGAGGGTAAGATAATTTTCTTATAGAAATGGTGGCCGCTGTCTTTTTCGTTGTTATTGTGTATACATATAAAACTTTAAGAACGAGTTTAATATATTCACCACTGTATATCCACTACATCCATTATGATGATGACCGATTGAAGATTCGATGATGATGATGATGAAAAGAAGAGGCAAAACAAAATGTATGGAAATGGTGGTGGTGTGTGTGTGTGTGTGTGTGTGTATTGTGGACATTGACGATTTGTTGCTCATATAATAAAGAAAAAAATCATTGATGGATGATCATTAGTTTAGTTTAGTTTAGTTCTTTTTTTTTTTGATTCATTCGATGATCATTTCAATGAATGTTTATTACCATAACATAATAAACATTAATAATAATGTTATGTAAAAACGATTATGGAACAATGATGATGGTAATGGATAATCGATCTTGATTTGTAAACATAAAAAATTTTTTTTTTATTTGACAAAATTATGAACAATGAAAAGTGGAGCACCAAGAAAATGAATTTCTTCCGTTTGTTTGTTTGTTATGATTTTTTTTTCTCACATAGCAATCGATACATAGTAATCGTATCATTCATTTTCGTCGTTGTTTGGCCAACTTGTTGCATGTGATATATATGGAGAGAAATGATTATGATAATAACAGAAACAAAAAACTTTTGATGATTCGTTTGTTTCATTGGTATTGATGATATTGATATCAAATATCATACAAATAATAATCAATAATGATGATGATGATTGTCAATCATTGAAAATAACGATTCGAATCGAACAACAACAACAAAATATCAATGTCACAATCAAATTATATTTCAAGCATTGTTGTTGTCATTTTTTATTGTGTATTTATGGATAAAATTTATTTTTAAAAATGACAATATTTACACATTAAGTTATATAAATAGTGAAAAGTTTTGTATTTTTCCCCCCCGTAATATTCGATTCCTAGCAACAACAATTTTGTATTATAGAGATTTTCATCTATAGATTATTCATAAACATCATCATTATAATATGTTGGTGTTAATGGTGGTCTAGTTTTTGGTCTATTTAATGTTCCTTCTGTCATGGCTAGATATTCAGGTTCCATTGATTGATATTGTATTTGTTCGGATAATCTATTAGATGGTTGCTGTTGTTGTTGTTGTGATGATGATGATGAGAATGGTAATGGCAACAATTTTGGTTGTATTCTTCTTGCTGGATCAATATCATAACGAATATCTTCGGCCATTTCATAATCAGGTACTGTATAGATTTCTTTACAATCTTCATATATTGTTTCCAATCCAATATCACTATAATAACCATCGGATGATGCTGATATTTGTTTATTCAATGCTTTTTCTTCTAATTCATATTTTGCTGATTCTAATTTTCGATTTATTTTTTTTCCATGTGCACGAATCGATAGATAAACAATCAATGAAAATACAGCAATCAATATGACCAATATGATTATGATGATACTAATTGTGACTGATCCCGAATTAAGTGCTAGAAATGGAATAGAGAAGAAAACATTTTTGTAAACGGGATTGACAGTCCAGAGAGAAAGAGAGAGAGATAGAAATGTGTTAAAAAGAAAAAAAAATTCAATTCATCAATCTTGTTATTATACCACCACCACCACCACCTACAGTGAAATATTATTATTTACCTGTGGTACAATGTGGTACTTTATTGGTCCAATGACCTCCACGGCAGGTACGTTCAGATTTACCAACCATAATACCATCAAAATTTGAACATGTATAATGTATCCATGTATGTTCGATGGCAAACCATTCACTCTCATTAAACCAATAAACATTACCAATTTGTTCCAATTGTATTGTTGGATTTAATGTATCAAAAATTTCTGATTTCGAACACGTTTTCTTTGGTGTACATACTGGGAATTCACCTTGCCATAATCCATTTGTACCACATTTGAGAAGTTCAAAACTAATAATAATAATAATGAATAAAAGGACAATCAGAAAAAATAAAATGATTGATTTAATGTTCATCATCATCAACAACATACCTGGCATTGTTGTTGATGTTGTTTGAAGAAAAATAAATGAATCATTACACCTTAGCTTAATATGTGACAGATCAATTTGTTCAAGAACACCTGTTCTTTTCATTTCTGGTTTTCCACAATCAATATTGGATTTATTTCCCAAATGTTTTAATATTTTTTTATATGTTTCACCAATAAATACTGCTTCTAGGCCAACACTACGATTACCTTTTATTTGTATAATCATTTCTAAATTATCCGTTTTAATAATATCATCATCAAGCATCATCATTGTTGTTGTTGCTGTTGTCGTATTATAGTCACTATTGTTTTTGATTGTAATATTTTCATATAAATCACAGAAAAAATAATTTCCAAATATTTCATCCTGTTCAATCACTTGATAGCTTGTATGTTCTAGTTGACATTTTCTTCATTTTTTTTTGCCCCCCCACCACCACCATTTCCGTCATCGATCGATGTTAAAATTGATTTTTTAGGATTATATTGTTAATCAACACATTATTAATTAATTAATTAATTAATTAATGTTGTTATGTTATAATTACCTATTTTTAATTTTAATATCAATTTTAGGTCGATCTTTTTTTATTGAATCCTCTTTTTTGATATTGATATCAATCAATAAATATTGCATTTCAACTGGTTGTTCAAATTGCATATACCAATGATAACAATCGGAACCTATTACTGAAAGAGGTGTTTTGTCCGGTACTCTTGTAAAATGAAATGAATTTGGTGGCAATGGATATGGTGTTTCATCCACTTGTGTTAAATTCACTGACAATAATAATGGTTGATCTAATTCTGAACAACTTGTTGCTTCTAATAGATTCATTTTCGTTACAACTGCTTTACCTATTTTTTTTTTGTTCAAAATGAGAAAAAAAAATTAATTTCCTAGATTTTTTTTTTCTTTAATCAAACTACTTACCACAACGTGCCTGTTTACCAAGCCAACGTCCATGATGACATTTACGTTTCTGTGCCTGATGTGGAAATTGATTCTCTTCACATAGAATATAAATAGTCTCATTTTCAGCAAATTTAACTTTTTCCATGGATGCAAAACGTATTCGACCAGTTGGCGGTAGATTTGGTCTTGAACATGTTCCTGTGACAATTGATGAATTGTTGATGCTTTCAAGCAATGATGATGATGATGATTGATGATTTGTATCTTTGTATTTGTAGCAAAATAATAAGAATAAATTGTAAAGAGATGATTCTTTCAATCATCATATTGATAAGCCAAATAATGGCAGCCACTTTTTTTTGTCAAAATTATAATATCTACATTAACAAAAAAAAAAAAAAAAAAAAATACAACACCGAAAGACACACAAAATAATAAATGTGGATAATTTTTTTTTTGATTGGTATGAATAATTTGTCAAAACAATAATTAAACTAAATGTCGTGATCATTGTTGATTGTTTTTTTTTGTCAATAGTTTCGAATCATTCGGTGATATCCCGGAAATGATTTTTTTGTTCACTCTCTCTCTCTCTCTCTGTGTGTGTGTGTGTGTGTTGTATTTATGTATTTACACATGTTCATCATCATTACATCAATAAAGTGATGATGATGACAATATATAATAATGATGGCCATATATTGAATTTTATAACAATAAACAAATGTCAAATATATACACATTTAAAATGCCCAAAAACGGATATTGATAAGGATGATGGTTGTTCCGGTTTCGAAATTTTATATTTTATTCAAAAAAAAAAAAAAATCCGATTGCCATAATAATTGAAATTTTGTTTGTTTGTTTGTTTGTTTGTCATTTCAAGTACAAACTATTTTTTTTTTTTTTTGAAATCAATACTTTTAATCATCATTCAATTAATTTAGATTTATAAATCTTTTCCAAATATTCACTATTCTTTTTGATTATCATTGATTCTTCATCTCTACGTTTTAATGTCATTTCTAAATCAAATAATTTATTTGTAGTTCGTTTTGCATCCAAACGTAATTCTGTTATAAGCATCTCTTTTTCCTGTAGTATATGTTTCAATTCTTCCATACCATAATCACCATTTATTTTTTTCAATTTCATTGAATCGGATATAGTCGATGATGATGATGATGATGAGGAAGAAGAGGTGGATGATAGTGAAGCTGTTGAATTGTTACTAATTGTTTTCTTTTTATTCACTATTTTTTTCAATGCATTAGGTATCTTTGTTCTCCATTGATTCGAACGATTCGTTGTTGTTGTTGTTGTTGTTGTGGATGAAGTATTCGTATGCATTTTATAATTGTCGTCACAATGATGGCGTAGATTTTGTAAATGTGGATGATGATGATGATGATAATGTGGATGGTGAAAATTGGATTGTCTATTTATACTTTCCAACGATAGATGGGATAATGATCGATTTAATGGAACCGTTTGTGATGATAATGACGATTTTGCTATTATCGATGGTTTCGTCCATTCCGGATCATCATCATCATCAAAATAATCATCGTTATTGTTGTTGTTGTTGTTGTTGATACCATTTGATTTAATATCAACAGGAAATGGATTATAATCAATGACAGGCATTGTAACTGGTATGATTGCTGATTGTTGCTTGTTACGTTGTTGATTTTGTTGACATCGACATTGTTTTAATTCTTGATTCAATTCAATAATTCTACGACTCATTTCATTCATATCATAACGACGTTTTTTGATCTCATCTTGTAATTCGAATATTTTTTCATTTTTATCATTAATTTCATAGTATAACGTTTCCAATATTTTTTCCTTATCCATTAAAGATTTATAGATTTCCGTTATGGTCATTTCTTTTTCCATTAATTGTTTAGATAATTGTTTTTGCCGCTGTTGTTGATTGTGACGGTTGCCCATTTTAAGTTGGTCATTCATTTTTTTCATTACTTGTGTATCACTTATACGATCTAGATTTCGTTCTGATTGTGCACGATTTTTTGTCATAATATTCGAATCAATCTACAAACGATTTATACAAACGAATTAATTTTCCATGTATTCAAAAAAAAACAAAACTTACCGATTTTTCTGATCGTTGACATTTTTTCATCTTTATCAATGGACATTTATTCTGTACCATTTTATCTTCATTTTTTTCATCTTCTTTATCATCATCATTTGATATATCCATTGAACTATGATAGATACGTTGTCGTTGATTGGACATTGATGATGGTGATGGTGATGATAATTTTTTTATTGTTGATTTTACCAATGATATTTGTTGTTTAGGTGATTGTAATAATTCATCTTTAGCTATTTCAATATTACCATTCGATGTATCTGGCATTTGATTTTTGGATTCTCGTTTTTCCGATTGTTGTTGTTGTTGTTGTCGTTGGGGAGATTGTTTACATCTATTCAGTACGGTAATTGTCGTTGTTGATGAATTTGATGTTTTTCCATTTTGTACAATAATTGTATCACCATTTTTAGCCGTTACTGATGATTGTTGATTTTTTTTCACATTAATCGTATTGATTGTTGCCACAGGTATCAATGATGGTAATACTAATTTTTTTTTAAATTTTGGAACAAAAATTATTTTAAAATTTTTTTCGAACAAAAAATAAAATAAAAAAAAAATACAAACATGTGACATGTTGCTGCTGTATTGGAGATGGTAGTGGACTCATTGCTGTAAAACATTCGAATCGATAGTGAAAATATAATCAATTTTGATGGACGAAACAATCGAATATGATCATCACTGTCGTTTAATGTCAGATCAACTATCTACAGAAATGGATTTTCATTTTCTATATAGATTTTGATATATGAAAATTACTCCAGTTTTGTTTTTTTTTTTTTTTTTTTGCTATTTGTTTTGTTTGTACTACCCATATAATATAATCATTATTATGATTTCAACCTGATGATCTAAATTATGATCCAAATCTGTTGACAAGTGTGGCAAGTAGTTCCAGGTGTATTTTTGTTTGCTGATAATATTCGAATGTCTGATGAATAAGAAACCAGTTTGTGATTTAGATTGAAACAGAAGAGAATCAACCAAAAATGCCGAATGATAATCGTTGTGTACTCATTTTTGAAATACATGAAATATTTTGTTTTTTTTTTTTGCTTCATATTATCGCCTTATGGAAGAAAATAATTTCTTTGTTGTTGTTGTTGTTGTTGTTTTTTTGTTAAAATTCATTAATTCATATTCTCTTCAATTGTTTTGAATATTATTTGTTTGTTTGTTCATTTATATTCAATGTGTTGTTGTTGTTGTTGTTTTTTTAAGATATGAAATTGTGTGTCATATATAATGGGGAGAAAAAAAGCATTTTTTTTTCTTGACTATCAGTTCCAGACGAATGATTGGAATATATGGAAATTTTTCCACTCATTGGATATATATTGTAATTCAAATGGATAATGAATGGATCCAAATTAGCGATGATTGGTTGAATGAATGAATGAAATGGTTTTATTTTTTTTTGTTTAGGAAATGTCATTACGGTCTTTTTTTGGATTTTCTTTGTGTTTTTTTTCCACATTTCTGTGAAAAGCATTTTTTTTCCTATTCAAAGGTAAATTGATTTTTAATTTATATTAATCATTATTATCTGATCGTTTTCAATTTTTTTTTTTAAATTTGGGTTTTTTTTTCTTGTTTTCAAATGAATATTTTTACTGATTAGCAAGAAAAAACTTGGAAGAGGAATTTGTGAATCTTAAACTAGTCAAACAAGTTAGAATCCATTTGTTTTAATAATTTTTTTTTTCGTATCTTTTGTTGGAATTTGTTTAATTCATGATCAAACAGATAAAAATTTTAATGTACAAAAAAAAGTGTGATTAAAATGATACTTTTTTTCTTTTAGTTATTGGAATTTCAATATTATTTTATTTTCAATGTTTTCCAGTGAATTTATTATCACCCACAAGGATGAAAAATAATTTCGCCATCAGTATTTTCTAATCAAACAATTTTTTTTGCCAGAGTTTTGTAAATTAATTGGAAACGAAAAACGAAATCAGTTTCATTTTAAAAATTTATTTATATATGATGATAATTGTGAATGGTCAGAATCATATTCGAAGTGTTCGAAGTGTTCAGTGGACAGTGAATCAATTTTTTTTCCTTTTAAAATATTTTGTTATTTTGCCATTTTTTTTTTTTCTGGTTTTGATAATATAATAGACAACAAAAAAATGGAAATTGTGAATGTTTATGTTGATATATTCAACGGTACCTATCAGCTATTCAATCAGATTAATGGCCATACATTTTTCAATGATTTTTTCAATTGTTTAATAAAACTTTTCTATCGAAATAATTTCTTTTTAATTGAAATCATCAGCCTCACATTGGCTATATGGCTCAACTCGATTGGAATACATTTGTTTACCATCCATATTAGTGATAAATTTGTGAAGAATGGGATTATTCACGAAAATTATCGAAAACGATTCATACGTTTTGGATGGAATTTTTTCATAATGATGTTATTTGTGAATATAACTTGGAAATTTAACACTGATAATGGTTGCTTGAATAATCTAAAATTATTATGGTCTGATTATAACAAAATTGATGAAACATTACCATTTATATACATTGCTGGTAATCTAATCCACACTTCTTATTATTTTTATTCATCATATGCATTAATTTATAATGATGAACGAGACAAAAATTTAATTGGTATTTTAATACATCATACGATTGTCATCATGATCGCTACCACATCCTATATGGTTGGTAAAACATATCTTACTTTTGCTGTTGGTTTCATATTGGAACTGAATGATTTGTTAATGACATTAAGAATTTTTTTAAAATTACAATTACAATTTATAAAGAAGAATGGCAATCTAATACGTTTATTATTATTATCAATTTTTGACATTTTCTGGCTTCAAAATCGTCTATTCATTTATCCATATATTGTATTGGAAAGTTTAAAATTTTTACAACAATCCTATGGTCAAAGTGAATGGAATTCCATTTATATTTTTATATATTTTCTATATTTTTCAATATTTATAATGAATTTATATTGGACATTTTTTATAATCAATGATACTTTCCGAAATGGTATAGCCATTTTTGGAGATAATAGTGAAATTTTTGCTGAAGAAAAAAATGAAAATTTCGATTCCATCAAAATGTCTACAAACAATAATAATTATAACAAAAACAATATTAATTCTATCAAACTGTTGATTAATTTTTGATTGATGGCAATGATTCATAATAAAAATTCATATTCATGCAAAATTGAAAAAAAACATTTTTTTCTTGATTATCAGTTCCAGACGAATGATTGGAATATATGGAAATTTTTTTCATTTTTCCACTCATTGGATATATTGTAATTCAATTGGACAATGAATTTGATGATATAATGAATGGATTTTCAGCTTGTTTGACTGGTTTAAAATTTGCAAATTTCTTTCACTTTTTTCTGCCTAATCAGTAATCTATTTGAAAACAAGAAGAAAAACCCAAATTTGAAAAAAAATGAAAACAATTAGATAATAATGATTAATATAAATTAAAAATCAATTTACCTTTGAATAGGAAAAAAATGCTTTTCATAAAAATGTGAGAAAAAAAACAAATAAAATCCAAAAAAAGACCGTAATGACATTTCCTAAACAAAAATAAAAACTATTTCATTCATTCAACCAACCAATCACAATTCATCAATGTCATCATTATCATCATCATCATAATCGAATATATTAGCGGATACAAAGTAAATCACATGTTCTCCACATGATATTATCGATTCAATTCGTATCTTTTGATTTGGATATTTAATTCATATTCGAACAGATAAAATGATATCCTTTTTTCACTTTAAGTTATTGACGTTTCAATATCATTTTCTTTCCAATGTTTTTTTTTCACTGCAGTGAATTTATTATTATACCCATGGATGAAAAATAATATGGCCATTAGTATTATATTTTTTTATTTAAACAATTTGATGATGATGATGAATGGTCAGAATGACATATCAAGTGTTCAGTGAATCAATATTTTTTTTCCCTTTTTAAAATATTTTGTGATTTTGAAATTTTTTTTTCTTTCTATAGTTTGATAATAATTGACTGAAATAATGGAAATTGTGAATGTTTATGTTGACATTTTCAACGGTACATATCAGCTATTCAACCAGATTGATGGCCATACATTTTTCAATGATTTTTTCAATTGTTTAATAAAACTTTTCTATCGAAATAATTTCTTTTTAATTGAAATCATCAGCCTTTCATTGGCTATATGGATCCATTCGATTGGAAGACATTTGTTTACCATCCATATTATTGATAAATTTGTGAAGAATGAAATTATTCATGAAAAATATCGAAAACGTTTCATACGTTTTGGATGGAATTTTATTATGATAATGTTATCTGTGGCTATAAGTTGGAAATTCAATACCGATACTGGTTGTCTGAAGAATCTATCATTATTATGGTCTGATTATAATAAAATTGATGAATCATTACCATTTATATACATTGCTGGCATTCTAATCCATATATCTTATTATTTGTATTCATCATATGCATTAATTTATCATGATGAACGAGATAAAGATCTCATTGTATTTTTAATACATCATATTATTGTCATCATAATAGCTACAACATCCTATATGGTTGGTAAAACATATCTTACTTCGGCCGTTGGTTTTCTATTGGAATTGAATGAATTGATTGTGTCATTGAAAATTTTACTTAAATTACAATTACAATTTATAAAGAATAATGTTAATCAAATACGTTTATTATTATTATCAATACTTGCCATTTTCTGGTTTCAAAATCGTCTATTCATTTATCCATATATTGTATTGGAAAGTTTACAATTTTTACAACAATCCTGTGGTCAAAGTGAATGGAATTCCATTTATATTTTTATATATTTTCTATATTTTTTCATCTTTACCATCAATTTCCATTGGACATGGATTATAATCAATGCTACTTTTAGAACATTCCAAAATGGTTTAACCAATATTGAAGATGATCGTGAAATTGTTGCTGAAGGTGAAAATGAAAATTTTGATTCCATCAAAATGTCTACAAACAATAATGATAATGATGATTATAACAAAAACAATAATAATTCTATCAAATGTTGATTAATAATAAAATTTAGAAAAAAAAACTTTTGTATTCTTGCAAATTTGATAATGAAATAAAATTGGCAACTTTTTTTCTCCTTCTTCAAAAAAAGGTCAAATGTGTCAAAATTCGAATGTGTTGAAAAATTTTCAAATTATCAATAAAATTTCGCAATCATCACCATCTAGCGTCATTTTTGCACACCAACCGACTGATCATTGTTATCATGCCAATTGTCGTGTGAATAAAAAAAAAATGAATAAATGATGATGAATGTAGCATATAAGGACAATGAAAAAAAAAAACATCATGATAATTGATGATGTTATGATCATTTTTTTGTTGTTGACGTTGTGTGGTTGTTATTGATAAATGACTTATTCGTCTTGTCGATCCATTCAATGACATTGTAGTCTTTTTATCCAGAAAAATAATAAAATACATATATAGATTTCATTCATTTTGATCCAGAATTTATAAACAAAAATACCAAAGTTCATAATTCAAAAAAGTACAGAAAATTTACATTTGATAAAAATAAAATGTACTGTCAACGTTATCTATCAACGATCGTTTCAACACAACGAACCATTTGTTCATCGTCATCGTTATCATCATCATTAATCGGACAAAATTTTCGTTTTAATGTTATTGAAACTGCCAAACTAGTTTCAAATGTTCGAGGTTTATCGTAAGTGTTTAATTAAAATTCATTGGGTTTCGTTCAAAGAGCAATGTTCCTCTGTGATTTATAGAACTGGTTTTTTTTTTTCATTCATTCATTCTTTCAATTTTAATATCTTTTCAATTTTTTTTTCATATAAATATAGTAGTCAATCTCCGGTATTCATACCACCGACAATAAAATCATGTCATGTGGAAAATGAACCAATGTTCGCTTATCAACCAGGATCGAAAGAACGTTCCGAACTTGAACAACGTATTAAACATTATCTTGGAACAGTGACAGAAATACCACTGGTTATTGGTGGCGAGGAAATCACCACAAGCAATGTTAGTCCTAATCAAAAATTTATAGAATGTTTTCATTCATTTATTTCAAATACACTTAGGTTGAAACACAATTGGTACCGTTTGATCATGGTCATATTCTAGCTAAATATCATGTGGCCACAGCAGAATTGGCCAAACAAGCCATTGAGAAAAGTTTGGCCAAAAATCTTGAATGGTCACAGACTGATGTTAATCATCGAATCGAATGTTTGTTGAAAGCGGCTGAATTAGCCAGTGGTAAATATCGTCAAGATCTGAATGCAGCCACCGTTTTGGGTCAAGGAAAAACGTTTGCACAGGCAGAAATTGATTCGGCTGCGGAATTGGCAGATTTTTTTCGTTTCAATGCCCATTATCTCGAACAGATTTACCGTTATCAACCATTAAGTCCTTCACCATCGGAGATTCGAAATGCTTTTCGTATTCGTGGTCTTGAAGGTTTTGTTGCAGCAATATCACCATTCAATTTCACGGCCATTGCCGCCAATCTTTCATCGGCGCCAGCATTGGCTGGCAATGCTGTCGTTTGGAAACCAAGTCCAAATGCTTTACTTTCGAATTGGATAGTATATAAAATTCTTCGTGAAGCCAATTTCGCACCCGGTGTCATTAGCTTTTTGCCATCAACACCAGAGACATTCAGTCAGAATGTGATTGCTTCACCGGATTTAGCTGCCGTAAATTTTACTGGTAGTGTGGCTACGTTTCGAGCCATTTGGAAAACGGTTGCAGCCAACTTGGACAGCAATAAAACGTTTCCTCGATTGTAAGTAAATCGAAAACAAAAAAAAAATCATTTATGACTATTGATTTTTTTGAATTGATTCAGAGTCGGGGAATGTGGTGGCAAAGATTTTCATTTCATTCATCCATCAGCTGATTTGGATACCGTTATTGCACAGACAATAAGGGCTGCATTTGAATACAGTGGTCAAAAATGTTCGGCTTGTTCACGTTTGTATGTACCAAAATCGATTTGGCCAAAGGTAATTGTATATATTATAGAAACATTTTAATGATATTAATTTTCAAGCAGATCAAAGATCGTTTAGTGGAAATAACTGCTTCGCTAAAAGTTGGATCACCACTTGAATCGGACACATATCTATCGGCAGTAATTAACGAAGCATCATGGGATCGTAATACATCATTTTTAAATCATGCCAAACAAAATTCAACCAATCACAAGATATTGGTCGGTGGACAATCGGATAAAGGAAAAGGATTTTTTGTGCAACCAACCATTATTGAAACTACGGATCCTCGAAGTAAATTAATGACTACAGAAATATTTGGTCCAATTTTAACTGTTTACGTCTTTGATGATGATAAAATTGATGAAACTTTGGATCTGGTGGATAAATCAACACCATATGGTCTTACTGGAGCAATTTTCGGTCAAGATCGTGAATTCCTTCTTAAAGCTACGGAAAAATTGAAATTTGCAGCAGGAAATTTCTACATTAATGATAAATGTACTGGAGCTGTGGTTGCACAGCAACCATTCGGTGGTGCACGACTTTCCGGTACCAATGATAAAGCCGGTGCACCTCAATATCTATTTCGTTGGATTTCTCCACAGAATATCAAAGAAACATTTGTCCCATTACCAAATTGGAAATAATTCTTTCTATAGGAAACTCAAATTTGATGTCTTTAATCAATCAATTCATTCTATGACCTCTTCATATTACCGATTGGGAAAAAAATTAACGCAATGAAATATTGATATTTGAAATAATTCACAGGTGAATAAATAAATTTGTTGATTTTTTTTATTTTATAAAAAAACGTGCTGTTTTGTTGGGTTTTTTTTAAAAAAACCAACGAATATGTACAATTAAATAAAATCAAATATGGATTACAATCAAAATGTTTTAGTTTTGTTTATAAAGAAAAAAAATTTCCACTTGTTTTCAAGTATAATCTGGTGTAGAAAATCAAAATGGGACATTTATTTTTTTTTCATTATTATTATTAATATAAAATCACCATCATCAACGGGCTATTTATTTATTCGCTGTCAACGAATTCGATAACCATTCCATCGCTTCATCGAGGCCATCACCTTTAATGGCCGATGTTTTAAATATTTGAAACGTTCGATTCTTTAATACATCAAGACCAAGTTCACGATGTACTTCGGCAACGGATAATGCATTTTCCATATCTTGTTTATTGGCCAACACTACTAGTATGGCATTTTTTAATTCTTCTTCCTTTGTAAATAAAGGTAAAAAATTTCAATAATTAATTATCAAATAAAAACGCTATTAGTACCTCGAGCATGGACACTAATTCTTGTTTTGAAATGCCTATTCGTTCACGATCACTACTATCGACAACATAGATAATGGCATCAGTGTTTGAATAATAACAACGCCAATACGGCCGAATCGATGTTTGACCACCAAGATCCCAAACTTGAAATTTTAGATTTTTATATGTGACTTGTTCGACATTAAAACCGATAGCTGTCAATTTTAAAATCAATGATGAATAAATTTAATGATTTTGTATCAAAAAAAAAATGTAAACTTACTTGGTATTGTTGTGACAACTTCACCCACTTGAAGCCTATAAAGAATGGTCGTTTTACCGGCACCATCTAAACCGAGTATCAATATACGCATTTCACGTGAACCAAATAATGATTTAAAATATGATAATAGATTGCCCATATTGTAAATGACTTTGTATTTGTTTCAGAAATTAAAGTACAATATGATAAAAGGATTGATGACAAATATCGTATGGAAAAGATAAATCACGCTCGTTTGTTTTTTCGTTACTTCGATGAATGAATTCCCGAATGATTGTTAGCAAACATTCATCACAGAATTGTCATTTTAGTATCATTTAATAATTGAATATTCGAATTAATATCTTGATGCCGTCAATTGCGAAAAAATAATCGGGAATGTGTTTGTGTGTTTTTGTTATCCAAGCAAGAATTATATAATTTAGCAGTGTCGCCGCTTCACGGGTTGACGTGTAGGTAAATAAGCAGTGGCTATTTTGAGTGGATAAAGCACATAAAGTCGATATGGAAATTTTTTTTTTTTTTGGAATTTTTAAATTTTATTATTCGATTCTTTTTACATGTGTATACACAGCTGCTAGTTATTTACATCGATGGTTGAATTTACAAAATGAAAATTTTTCTGCAATTAAGTCATCAAGATAATTAAATTTTATTTTCTTACAAATTATAATGAGGGTAACAAAAATGAGATCACAATTATTATTAGGCCATTTTTTTCATTACATCATAGCATTACCATTCGTTTTGCCTGTGTCCGCTGTATTCACATTCGTTTCAAGACATGCTTCTAATTCTTTTGGTTGAGTTTCTTTTTCAACGATTTGTTTACCTTCACGATGTTTTTGTTGTTGATTACGATTATTACGAATGAATAAAAGAATTGCCAATAGAAATATACCGATGAAAATTATAAAAAATATAGAAAGAATAATACGTCGAAGATAATAATGTCGTTTGGAACCGGTAAAAAGATCCTGAAAAAATGTATTCAAACCAAGCATTATGTTAGGATGTTGACATGTTTTAAAATAATCCGGATTATTTGATCGCCAATATGAAGGTTCGGCTATGTTCTTGGTGAATTGTATATCGGCCAAACTTTCCTGGCCAGCAATACGATAATGGACATCATGATCGAAGAGAATGACATCGATAGTATCATTAATGCCCGGTTCAACTAATGCTGCTGTTGTCGTTGTACCGATGAATACGCCCGGATATGCAATCACTTGTGCATATGGATTATCGATGCATTGATTTTTATATAAAACCTTGAAAACTTTATCACCTTGTATAAAATAGGCAATGTCACCAATCACACCGAAAGCTCCATCCAATTTACGTTTAAAATCAAATGCCATTGTCATGAAATATGAATCGGTTGCCGTACAGATTTCTGTTTTTAGATCACAATTTGCAATTTTTTGTATTTCATTCCAGAAAATTGGTGTCGTACTATTCCAACGATTAATTTTCATTTCTAATTGAAACCATTCGGCCTGTCTATTCGGCGTAATTTTCATCTATTTGAATGAAGAATTTTTTTTAAATTCATTTTCTGTAAACATTGAAATCAATCTCGAAACAAATCACATACCTGAATCAATAAAAGTGATCGATATCCATTTGGTGAACATTTACTTATATCCTTTACAATGGCTATATCTGGCTCAAAATTATAGGGAATTTTCAATGCCATTTGTTCATTTGGTGGTTGTTCATTCAGATTATATAACCAATAATAATGGCCATTAGATAGAAAATAACGTTCAAAATGATCATCAAAACGGATACGGGCAGCTGAATATACGCTTTCATGTTCACACATATCTGGTATACGATCCGATTCAATAGTGTGTACATGTTGAATTAGAATGATACATGAAATAATCAAATAATAATATATGGCGATTGGTGTGAAATGGATATATTTTGAACATTTCGATGAATCATACATCATCATCATCATCATTGATTTACGATCAATATCACAATTAATTGAATTCTGATGGTTGAAATTCATCATTATTGTTGTTAGTTTCGTGGTTCAAACAATTAATTTTTTTTTTTGGCCACGAATACAAACAAACAAACAAACAAAAAAACGAAATCGATAGTTTATATTCGGATATATGAGAAACATAGACAATAATAATCGAGTAAATTTTTTTTTCCAACTTTAAGCATTCATGCATTCATTTTTTTTTTACTCGGTGTATCAACAGGTCTCGATCGGTTGGATGGTTGTTGTTCTTTTATTTGGGTTATTATTTATCAACAGGTCAATTGTCAAGAGTCAAGTTTTTTTTCTGGATATAAAAATTGCTAACTCAAACGAAACGAAACAAAACAAAATAGATGAAAGTCTCGTTCTTATTTTATTGTTATTTATTTGTTTGTTTGTTGTGTTCGTTAAAATCAACATCAAAAAAAATGCCAACTATGCCCAAAATTGGCAACCTGTTGTTACCTGCAAACAACAACAACAACAACAAAAACTGATGGTGGTATTTGATAATAATATCGCCAACCGATCCTGTTATATTGATCAGGCTTGAATGGCCACACAAAAACATTGAAATATTTTGTTTCGTTTCGTTAGTCATTCAAAATGAACAAAAATAAACTAACGGCATTTCAAATATAGTATAGCCATGGAGATTTTTTATTTTTCGTCATTTTTTTTCTCTTTCAATGATTTTTATCACAACGGCAACAGGTACGACTTGGTGAAATTTTTTTTAAAATCAAAATCAAAATCAAAACAACAACAACAACAACAAAAAAATCATGCAAGCGTCTTCGGTTGAAATGGTCGCATGTTGAATCTTTTTTAGCCGTTAAAAATACAAATATTTCGACATTTTTCATTTTAATTTATTGCCACATTATTATTCGATTGGTCTTTTCATTTCATTTCATTTCATATTTTCATCATCACAAAAAAGACAGATTTAAATTATCAAACTCGATGATCTAACAATGAAAAAAAAAGTTGACAATAGAAAAAAAATATTTATTTTTTCTTAATTTTCGTTCAACAATGAAATGACATTCAAAACTAAAACTCGGAAACTATCATCATCATCATCATCATCATCATCATCGTTTTATTCTTTGCCATATTCGAAATTGTTCATTGAAATCATCATGCATCATCGATTACATTAATTGTTTCGTCAGGAAATGTGTTAAACTAAGAGAGAGAGAGAGAAAGAGAAAAATCAAACGAAATCGCTTCTCTTGTTCCAGATTTTTTTTCCGGTGCCAATAATCGTTGGATTGTTGATATGTTTGGTTTTCGATAAAACCAATATCACAAACAATGATCTGCCAAAACGAGGACAGAGCTTGTAATTGGAATTTTTTTCCATTCATTCAAAATTCCAACAATCTTCGAAATTAATCAATTAATCAATTTCGATTAATTGTTATGATTTATATTTCTTTTTTTAATTATTCGTAAACGAACTATTTTTAGATGGCGATCAATATAATCTTGATTTGGTGCTATTTGTCGTGCTTCATTCAGACAATCTTCGGCCAGATCCAATTGATCTTTTTCAATGAAAACAACACAAAGATTATGTTTGGCTTGGATATTTTTCGGATCCAATTTCAATATTTGTTTATAACAATGACTAGCTTGATCAAAATCTTTGACATTATTGATTAGAATATCGCAAAGTAAAGTTAATCCTTTAAAATGTTCAGGCTGTTGTTTGAGTAATCGTTGTAAATATGGTAATGCGTCGATTGGTCTATGGTTTTCGGTTAATAATAATGCAAGATTAAAATTGGCACTTGAAAAATTTGGTTTCAATTGTAATGTTTGACGAAATAATTGTTCAGCATCGGTATAGTTTTTATTGGCCATTGAAATCATGGCCATATTGAAATAAATTCTTTCATTATTTTCATCATATTTTGTTAACATTTTTAATCGTTTCCATGCCTGATCAAACAATTCAAAACGTTTGGCATCTTGTACGACAATGGCAAAATTGAATAATGCTTGCTATAATGAAAATAAATTAGATACACACATAGATTTTCATTGGACAAAAAAAACTTACCAAATGTTTTGAATTTATTTCGATTGCTTTCTGAAAATAATCAATAGCCATATCAAAACGATTCGAATGTATGGCTACAACACCAAGATTATAATAGATATCGGCATTATTATGATCATAATTTAATGCCGTACGATAAATATTGTTCGCTTCATTCGTACGATTCATTCGTAAAAGGATATCACCACGATTAATATATGCTTCAACATAATCGGGACGCATTCGTATCACTTGACGATAAAGATCATCAGCTTCTTGTAATCGTGATTGATTACGTGAAATTAAATTGGCTAAATTGAGAAAAATATTTAAATGAACTGGTGCTATACGAGCAAAACGTTGTTGTTGATCATTAATGGAAGTCTGTCGTAATTCCGACATTAATATCGTTTTTGCTTTTGAATAATATTGTTCCGATAGATCAATACGTCCGATGTGATTATAAACACGTGCTACATTACTATAGGCACCAATATCATCCGGTTGACGGTGTACGGCTTCAAGGAATAGATCAAGAGCTTTATAATATTGTTTTTCAATCTCATAAACATGGCCTAAATTGTTCAATAATTTTGCATTATTTGAATTTACACGAATACCCGATGCAAATATGTTATGTTCATTTTTCCAATCTTCATTTCTCATAATGGTTCGTGATGAATGTACAATGATCAATATGATGAAAACGATATGAATAACATATTTTTCTATAAATTTTTGTTCGATTGATCAAAATGATACGATAACATTCCAAAACCATGTGCGATAAGCATACAATATCCAAAACTTGGTATATACAATACACGTTCGGCAACAACAAAACCAACAGGAAAAAATATATTCGATGCTGGTATAAATGGAAATATCATTAGCGACAGACTGACCATTATGATTCGACAGCCATCATTTACACCAAATGATTTGTATATTAACAAAAAGAAAAATGAATAAAAAATCAATGTAACAATATTACGATGATCATTAAATGATTCAATCAATTGTATCGATCCCATCGTCCAATCACAGCATAATGTCCATGGATTGAGCAAAAGCCAAATATTGAATGCATATAGATAATGTTGTGTCAATTGACGGCTTAATCGATTCGGTGCATTGACGGCTGGATTATCAAACCTATTTATATAAATAAATAAATGAAATAAAAAGAATGTATATTGTTCAAAAAGTCATAATCTTTAATGGATGAATAGGTGAAAATGAACGGTATATAAATTTCTATCGAAAATGTAAAAAAAAACTTTACTTGGTAAAAATGGGTAATTGCCAACGCATTAACCAAAAACGAATGGTCAACAGGAGAATGGTCCATACTATGATGATGGTTATTCTTGTGATCATTTCCTTAATCCATTTGGGACATGACAATACCGACAGCGATGATATTCTTTTCAATGATTTTGTCTGTTTGTAATCATTGTTGTTGTTGTTGTAATAGACTTTTAATGACAATTTAGAGGCTAGACGTTGTAGCTGATGTAAAAATTTTTTTAGTAAATGATGATGATAATAATAAAAATGAGAAAACAAAACAAAAAAAAAAAAAAAAGATGTTCAACGTTTAGGCTAGAAACTAATCTAATTTATATAGCACAATTGTCACAAGAGTATTATACGAAAGATAATTACTTTTTGATTGAAGAATATTTCAATGACCATACAGATGGCAATCGATGTGATACCTTGTTCTTTACTAAATGTAGATACCGTGATTGATGTAATCGATGCCATTAGCCATATCCATTCTATGGGCAAACCAAAACAAACAAAAAAATAAGAAAAGTATTCAACCGTAACAAATGAATGAAACAAAACAAAAATAAAAAAAATAAATCAGAAATTACTGTTATTCGAATCAATAGCCATCAATAAACGGTGATAGGAAAAAATTGTAGCTAAAAAAAATATTGCACAAAGACATTCAGCACGACCAACTAAACTGGTCACAGCTTCCGTATGTATGGGATGTACTGAAAACAATATGGCTGCTAAAAATGATGATTTTGTGGACATGAAAAGTTGACAAAATCTGCAAAAAAATAATAATAATAATAACATCAGTAATGATTAGTGATATATAGGAAAAAAAACTTGTTCACAAAAAAAATGATAATCCAAAAATTATTCATGCATATATACTGAATAATATGAATCCATCTATCTATATGTTTATACGCCCCACATATTCATGGATTCATGCAATAAAAAAAAATGTTGTATTTTTTGACATGCAAAATACTCATCATTTTTTTTTGTATAATTAATTCAGAAAAAAATATGATTCTATACATCAAACGATTGATTTGATTTGATTTGATTTGTTTGATTGTCATCATTGAATCTTGTCGTCGGATGCATCCATCCTTAATAATCATAGCCTACAGTATTTTTATTCTGATACAATGATGATGATGATGATGATGATTTGCATGCACATCATCAATCAGATCAGACGATCACCATTTATTATAGAATTATCCGTAATGATCATCAAATCGTTTTTTTTTCTCGTTCGCTTTCATTGTTGTTTGTTCAAACACAAAAAAAATATGAAAATTACCGAAAATATTGCAACGAAACGATTATATGCAATATAATGTTGATCAAATGATATCCATATGGCCGTAGTTGATGTAGCCAATAATTGAAACGAAATGTAAGCACACATAATGGTCGATATGACTATATATATATATAATCATTGTAAAAAAAATGAAAAAAATTTATTGAAAATAACAAAAAAAAATATAAATTTCAAATTCATACTCACTTTATGTGATTTTTCCTGTATGTATCGAATCAATTTGAATTTCATTTTTTTTTCATTGATAAAGCAAAACATGATGAGGTGAACGCATGAATGAAACAGCAAGCAGCAACAACAACAACAAGAAAGAAGAAAAATTAAAAAAAAATGATTGATTAGTTAATTAGGTGGGCGTTTGACAACATGAAAAAGATTTGTCACCACTACATCATATCATCATTATCATTATTAAATAGGGTATTAATGAATGAATGTTCGGCAGAACAAAAAAAATATTAGTTACAACAACAACAACAACAACAACAACAACAACATGTCATGTCATTGACAAAATTCATTTCCATAGAATTTATTTGTGAGTAAAAAAAAAAAATAAACAGGATATAGAAGAGAAAAACCTTAGATCCTTGATGATATACAGATTGGAAAAAAAAACCTAATAGATCATTATGTCAAATGATTATCAGGCAAACACATGCAGATGAAAAAAAAAAAAATAAAATAAATCGTACAGAATATTCATGACATTCAAAGTATTAATCATCGAACTATACCTCTCTCTCTCTCTTTCCCATTGCCAATCTGTTGTTGCTGTGTTTCATGTCATTATATTAATATTACATGATGATGATGAGGATCGAGAGAGAAAGAGAGAGTAAATTAGATTTTAATTATATATAGCTACATTGATGGATTGAATTCTTATGGATAGGTTCAATCGATCGGGAATTTATATTCATCTTCTTAGTGTTTATTATTATTTTCAATCTGTCAATAAACAAATTAATTGAGATTTTATTTTTATATATATCTCAATCTCTTTTTTTTTATTCTGGCTATTTATCTTGATCTTTATGCATATGTTACAAACTGGCCAGAATTTCAAGACAAATTGGTAGAAAAAAAAGTGGAAAGGACAAAAAAAATTGACAAGAATCAAATAAAAACATAGTAAATAATGAATCGGTAGCAGCTGTAATCGAAATCAATACAACAACAACAACAACAAATATCCAAATCTTGATCAAATTGAATGATTGTATAATAAACTGTTTGGAACACTAAGGGAAAGTTTGTTTGTATATATATCAAATGAAAGCTAATTAGCTTTTGTAGCTTTTACATTAACGATACAAGATGATTATATTCAAAATGAAAATCTTATCATTTGTATTCATATATGTTTGTTTGTTTATTTATTTCATTCCCATTTATATGTTGAAACTTTTCAACGAGTACATCTTTCATCATCTTTATATTATATATTCAAGTGGTTGTCATTGTCTCAAGTACAAGTTAGAATATGACTATGACTAACTTTGTTTGTTTGTTTGTTTGTTTTTTTTCAAAGATAAAATAAAAATGGCTAAAAGAATATTCTGGAATACATATATGAACAACAATCGATGATGATGATGATGATGATCATGAACATAAATCAACAACAATGGTTGACTTTTGGTTAGATTTGGATTCTATATTGAAATCCAGGAAAAAAAATCACTCGCTTATCAGAATAATGTAATATTGTGAAGAATTATTAATCGAAATTTTTATCTTTTGTATGAAATAAAAAATTATTTGTATTTGTGTGTGTATTTTTTTTTTCATTTGCGTGTTTCAAACAGTCATTTTTCTGTCTTATTGTGTTTAGAGATAAACAAAAGTTAGCCATATAAATTTAGAATTTTGATGATTGGAACTTACATTATCCATTGGTAGACCCCAGAAATCATTATAGAATAGATTGATAATCGGTGTCACGGTACGTATATCTGGATTTTCTTTAATGGCCGATATATCATCGAAAACAAAATCACAATTCAATGCATTATAATAACAACAAAGGCAAATGATCACAATAACTATATCGGATTTATGATTATGATGATTCAAATAAGTCCAAAATGAATATGTTGAATTTGATGAAAATGATAAATCTGAAACATTTTTATCTTTTTTCTTTTTCAAATGAAATATTTGATTTAAACATATTGGTAGTCGTTGTTTTTGTCGACGATTATGTTGATGATCATCATAGCCATTCGATGAATCGGTATAGAAACGAAAAGCAGCCATTATTGAACACAAATCTATATAGAAAAATATAAGTAAAAATTAATCAATGAGTGATCAATTAAAAAAAAACTTCAATTCGCTAACAATTTATTTTAAAACATTAATGATGATCATCATGGCTGCTGTTTCACTTTTTCTTTGAACATTTGATTCAGAGACAAAATGATGATCATTCACAGTTCACACTTTTTTTTCATTCATTCAATTGTGAAAATTTTTTTTTTCATGAATGAATGAAAAAAAACTTAATTCTGAATGGACAGAAAAAATGAAATTTAAAAAAAAAATTTTTTAAAAAAAATTCTAAACACACGCACGAACACAGAAAACAATTGAAAACAGACTCTCTCTCCCTCTGTCTCTCTCGTGGTGAATGAATGTTTCAAATATCTATTCGAAATAGAATTGAATTGAATTCAATGTTGGCAACGAAAAAAAAAATTTTCGGATTGGAATTTTCTGTATTTGTTTTGTATGGAATTCTGTTGCGGTTGTTGTTGTTGTCGTCGTCGTTTAAATCGAAACTTTGGATTCTCATTGAAAATCGCCACCAAACAAACAAACAAAAAACATGGGAGAAAATGATGGAAAAAACTGTGAGATGGGTGGAGTAGAGAGAGAGAGAGAGAGGGGGTAGTAAATGGTAACATTTTTTTTTTTTTAAAGCAAAAAAAATTCTTCATTTTTTTTCTCATTTCATATTATTCATTTGATGATAATTATTATTCGATTCGGTCATTACAAATTATATGAACGTATTAATGAAACACAAACACATGTTCATAATGGTGTTTGAATAGCCACCAAAAAAAAAAAAAAAAAAAAAATCGAATGTTTGGAATGTTTGCATGGTCTTTTTCACGTTCGAAGGTTTGAGATTTTTTTTTTTTTGTGTATTCGAAAAAGTAGAATCAACCAGATGTAGAATATCTATCATATTGTAGAAGACTATGTTTTTATGATTTTTTATCATCATCATCATCATTAAATAAAAATATGAAATTTTATTGAAATCAATGAAAAAACACACCCACCACCACCAATTTGTTCAAATAAAATCAATAATAAAGAATCGATTCTTATTGTATTGAGAAAAAAAATCAGACTCGGACCAACTAACCAACAAATAACAATACAATAATTTCGATAATCAATTTGTGAAACCAAAAATAAAAAAACATCATACAACGATAAAAACGATTCAACAACAACAACAACAGCCATGAAACTCAAACATACCCATTCGTTTTTGTAGAATTGCCAACATCATTATAGCGTTAAAATTACACACAAACAACAACAACAACAACAACAACAACAAACTAGAACCAGAATATCAAGGCTTAATAGCCGTTCGACGATCAAAAAAAAAAAGAAAAAAAATTCGTCCGAACATTTCATTTAGTGTAAAAAAAACGAAAATTTTAATCGACATTCACACTACTATACTAGCTGAAATGATTTTTGGATCTACATCGTTCGTTTATTTTTATTTTGTAGTTGTTGTTACTGTTGTTGCTGATGAACTATAATTTCTGATTCTGATGATGATGATGATCACTGGAATTTAAATAATTTACATTTCACACACACACAAACTGCATGCATGATGAGGGGAGAGAACATGACATTCATTGTGAACACATGGATCATGGTCATGATGATGATGATGATGAAAAATTCCATTGATGATTCAATGAAAGATCATTTTCATAATTTTTTTTCTTATAATTTTTGATTGAATTTTTTTTTTCATTTTGCGGTAGAATGATGACGATGATGATGATGATGGGAATGAATTATAATAATAATAATATCCGGAATCCGGATACTAAAACCAGTGGAGATGATCGAAAAAACATTCATGATAATGGAATACGTCATCTATGGACATGAATTTCGAATCTTTTTTACCTGGTGAATGAAATTTTGTTATACCTTGTGTGATAATGGAATTTTTAACAAGATGATCATTATACCCGGACACACCTATTGAATGTATTCATCAATTATAGTCAAACAACAACAACAGCAGCAGCAGAAAACACCCACCAACCAATTCTTTTTCAAGAAAACGAAATCATTTTCCATATCGTGGACCAAAAAATATTATCGCTACTTCATATACATGTGGTGTGTGTGTATCATCGTCATAACATGTAAGTAGATTCTTTTCTTTTCTTGTTATAAACACATATATAAGTGATATTATTTGGTTGGTTTGGACAAATAGGGGGCAGAAACCAAAATATCTCCAGTTTACCACTCGTTTTTTTTCTCTTTCTCACTCATTCATTCACGAATGTTGATGATTTCATGTTGATGATGATGATCATTACGAGCTATGGTTTTTTTCTTGTCTTGTTTATATACACAATGAAGGTTTCCGTTTCAATGTTGTTGTTGTTGTTGATACTTGAATACTTTTTTTTCAATTCATATCGTTCCAGTTCATTATACTTGAAATAGATTTGCCTTTTTCCCTCTCTCTGTGTGTGTGTGTGTGATATTCTTGCTGCTACTTGAACGATGACTGCCAAACGGGCCATATAAAACAGCGATAATAATAATAATAATCATAATCATAATTAGAGTTAGGCAATAGGAACAAGATATCAGATTTATCAGAATTTTTTTTCGGGTAATGAAAAAAAAACACTCACATTCTCAATCTGGGCATCAAACGATTTTCTCTATGCTTTCTTTGGCTAAATTAGAAACAAAATTACAATCTCCGAGAATATATAGAAACTCGAAACGAACAACGAAAAAAAAATAATTCAAACATTCGAACCATATGAACAATGGTTATCGATATTTTTATATATATATTCGATATTCGATTCGAATTGATTTAATCGAATTCGAATGTTTTTTTTTCATTTTCCAATTTAGTATCCATGATATTGGATAGGCAAAAGAGAGAAAAAAACAAAGCGAGAAAAAAAAATCACAAGAATTACTGTATTTCGAATTAGAATTCGATGATGATGATTTTCATGATTGGCGGTTCTAGCAAAAAAAAAAAAAAAAAATGTGAGAAAAAGAATAACAGATTCGGGATATCGAGATATGGACAACCGAATACATCAATGCTATGTGTGTGTGTGCTGTGTTTGGTTGGACAAGATAAGACGAACGAAGTAAAATTGCATTAGAAATTCTTGCTTTTGTTTTTGCCGCCAATATGAATGAATACTTTGAGTTTCAACGATATAATTGATTTATTTCAATTTTTTCTCTTTTTGCCCTTTTTCTTTCGTTCAAGTCCAATGTTAAACGTTTTTTAGAAGAGATTGATATGAAAGATATGATGATGATGATGATGTGAAATATTTGTAGAAACGAAAAAAAAAAAACAAGCATACACTATTGATGGGGATATTATCTTTCGAAATTTTTATTTTTTTTCTGCTTCAAATATTCTTCGACTCACCAAACTGTTACTTACTATGAGAATGATGATTTGGATGATTCTGGAGGGCAATTCTTTTCCGGTCTATGGACCGGAACCAAGAAAAAAAAATTGAAACAAAATTGGCAAAATTGTATAGTATAGTTGTATGGTGTTGTAATTATCAAATCATGTTCAAATGGTCAAATGAAAAAAAAAGATTGAAAAAAAAAACGGAAAAGAAAATTCAGTTGTTATAGCAATTAAATACTCATCACATTTGTAATAAACATAAACAGACACATCATTTACACACCACCCATACTCATCATCATCATCATCGTAAGAAAATGAGAAAATAAATACCAGAATCGTAATGTTATATGCAATTTTTATGGCTAACAACAACAACAACAACATGGCTAAAGATCATTGATGATTGAATGGAAAACGGAATGTATTCCAATTTGTGGAACAAGAGAATACACACTTTCGACAGAAAAAAAGATGTTTTTTTTTGTGGCGGCTATTATTATTACAGCCTTGGGTTATATTTCGAATGTTTGAAATTTTTGCTCTTTTCTCCATTGGGTGTAATCAACGAAATCGAATCGATGATGATGAAATTATTCCAGAAATCAATGTGAATGAAATAAAAAAAATGAATCAAATGAAATTAATAAACAAAATTATTATTATTATTATCATCATCATGAAATGAAAGTTTCTCCTCACTCACATTCAACCAGGTCCAGATGTTTTCGAATGCATTTATGAAACGAAGAAAAAAAATTGATAACTTTACCGATTTGGATTTGGAAACTCTTTTTTTTGTTGCCGAACTGATGGACGTGATGATGATGATGATGATGAAAGTCAACACTACGAATCAACATGGAATCTGATTCCAAATTCAAATCTTTACTGACAGAATTTTTTTTTCATTTGTTTTGTTGTTCTTTAAATAGCGACTAGCAAAAAAAAAAAAAACGATTAACAAAGTTAAATGAAATAGGCGAACGGCTGCTTGAAAAGTTGAAAATTCAAAGAATGGCAGTGCCACCCCTTCTATTGTACACAATTCTTAATCATCATTTTCATTTTTTTTTTCGTCCAAAACCAAATGAATTGTAATGGGTGAAAATTGAACAAAAAGAGTTAATTAAAGTCAAACCCCGTTGTTGTTGTTTTTGGAACAACGAGAACACGGACCGAAGAAGAAAAAGAACTTATTCAAATTAATTAAATATATAAAATTTCACCCCACATTAGACAGAAATGAATGAGCTAACCGAGTAAATTATTCAACAATTGGACTGCGTAATCAAAATCATGGGTAAAGTGTATTATTATATCACAAAGTTGAAAACTTTTTTTTTTAAAAATTTAAATCAATTTAAATATCATCATCATTTTAGCTTGAACAAAAAAAAATGTTATTTGAATTTTAAACTTACCCTTTTTTTGGTTGTTGTTGTTGTTGTCAAGGTGATAATGGTCGAAATGATGATAATGATGATGATGACATTAATCAATCAATCAAATGTCAAACGATCGATCGATTTCAACAACTATAATGAAATTATCCACACACACACACGAGGTAACTGTATTATTTGATTTGAAATTCCATATGAATACAATGTGTTCATATAAAATGCGATCTTATTTGTGTGTGTGTGTGTTGAAAGAATAACAGAATCACAAGAATTATTTATACGCCTACTACACATATATGTAAACAACACAAAAAAAATACACATGGTGTGTGTGGTTGGGCTGAATAAATGAATTTTGGCATTCTGATTCTGAATCAAAAAAAAAATCTGCGCACAACCAACAGTGAACAATCTGTTTGAAAAGAAAACCAACATCTGAAAATCTGACTGTTCCAGAAAAATAACCAAATCAAAAACAGTGAAGAATACATATGAGAATAAACAATAAAATAGTAGAAAGAAAATCCGATAACCTCATATGATGAGTTCAGATGTTTGGATTATAAACATTAACCAGTTTTTGTTTGTTTGTTTTGAATTGAATATAACCGGCAACACAAACACACACACACACAGACACATGAATTGGCTATTGAAAAAAATGAGAACAAAAAATTCGGCGTTGAATGAATGAGGAGAATCCTCGTATCGCCAGAAAAAAACCAGATCTTCATTTCAAGTCAAGTTTTTTTTCTTGTAAAAAAAAATTCGACTCAAAAAACATCACCATCACTCGACGAAAGAAACATTCAAGCGAGGTGGTGGTGGTGGTGGTGTTGTTGTTGATTCAAGTTGATGATCACCATCATCATCAATGGCTGGTGTAAAAAAAAAAAAACTCAAATGGCCAAGCCAAACATAATACATTCACACCATATGAAGAGAGAGGTATAGAGTAAAGGTAGTCCTGGCAAAGGTCAAAGCATAGGTATTTAACCTGTGTGTGTGTGTGTTAGTAAAGTATGGCCGAAACATGCAAGCTTTTTTTCCAGAAAAAAAACGCAAGTTGTTCTGGTTTTTTTTCACCTTTTAATCCAATGCAATGATTATGAACCCGTTGTACTCACACATCGAAATAAGAAATCTCGTTTTTTAACCCTTCTATTGTCTTCTCTGTTTGGATGTTAACAAAGAAAAAAAAACTTGTGCCTAATCTTTTTGTTTTGAATTTGAAATCAAAATGGCCACGATTCAAATTTTATGAAATCCATTGTTAGATGAATGATTCACATGAGATTTATTTTTTTAAAAATTGGAAATTTTTTTTCCAATTCTCTCATGAAATTGAAAAAAAAAAAATTGTGAATTAGCTTCAAGGGGCAATGAGGCGCATATGATGTGATCTGATTGATATTAGGAATGTTTTTCCCTTTTTCTTTTTTTTGATCTTTGTAATCGATCTTTTGAATAATAATCGAATGACATTTTACAAATCAATTTTTCTTTTCATTCAAAACTCTTTTTTTCATTCCTGTTCCAGAATCACATTGCGAATTCTGGTTGATTCACTTATAATAATCACATTTTCATCAGTTTGATGATGATGATGATGATTTTGTGAACGTGGTTGAATATTTTTTTTCTTCTCAAATTCGTTTGGTTTATTTATTTATTTATTTTTCTTACGGTTTTTTTCCGCATTCACCATTGTCAAATAATAAATTGATTTTTATTCACTTTTTTTCATTCTGATTATTATAGAAACAACAACAACAACAACAACAACATCGACAACGATAACGATAACCATCGTCGATTTATCGAATGAATGAACGAATGAAATGTGGAGGAAAAATTCTACACCGTTGATTGAATCACATACACACACACACACACAAATACGTAATATATAAACAATGCATTCTTCAATTCCAGAAAAACTTTAACCGCGTAAGAGAGTATAAGTTTTCAATATTTTTTTGCTTTGTTTTGCACCGTTCAAAGTGATAACGTTTCTCGTCTATTCTAGATCGTTGTAGAAAAGATTTTATCTTATTTTCATGTGTTGATGGACCGAATAATAATGGTCGAGTTTCAAACAAACAAAAAAAACGAATGAATGAACGAACGAACGACGGTTGGCTTTGTTAACAACGAATTTAAGAACGACAAAAAAATTTTTCAATATGCTCCGTTGACACACACACACACACACAGAATAAGGTTTTGTTGTTGTTGTTGTTGTCGTTTTTTTTGAGAATTCATTTTATAAAAAATTTTCTTCATTATTGTCAACCGTTTTTTTAATAAGCACAATTTAGTGAAAAACACACAAATGCCGAATGGTTTCGAATAATGGTGTTGATGATGATGAGGATGTTGACAACATCTTCTTTTTTTTCTGGATACAAAAAAAAATCCATTGCCATTTGATTCACCACTAGCCATTAAGTGTATGTGGGTGTTTGGACATGAATTTTTTTTTTTTTCGTTGTTATAAATCAAATTTTCCTCGATTCTTGGCTACACAGAGACCAGAAAAAAACCTTGCTTCAATTTACATTGTCATTGTTGTTGATTGTAATTTTTTTTTTAATGACCACAAATTTTAAATTTTACAATGAATCATTGTGATCAATTCGATAAAATACTTGTCGATTTGTTTTTTTGTTTTGTTTTGTTTTAGTGTGAAGAAAAAAAAACAAGAACAGAAAAACTTTTCAAACAACCAGGGACAACAACAACAACAAAAAAAAACATCAATGATGTTTGCCGAATAGAGAAAAAAAAACGATTCATTTTCATTTACAGCTACGATTGATTAACTTTATGGTTTTTTCGAAAAAAAAGTTCAATAAATATTGAATGAATGAATGAACTATAGAACAATCATGATCATCTCCATTATTTCATGAAACAAATTATCATTTCGTTAAACGGTACCATTTTGTAATTTATTATTACAAACCAATAATAAGATAACAGAATGTTTTCAGTTTCCGGTTCAGTTTTTGGTTCACTTAACCACCGGAAACAGAACATGGTTTGTATGTTTGTTTATTTGTTATATAAATGAATGAGAATTGAAATTTATCTAAATTGACATAATAATAAAAATTTCCTGTTTCGATTGATTGTATTCAATTCAATTATATGCAAATTATACATTAATTATTGTTTTCTTCTCAAAAGAGTTAATGATATGTTAATTTAATGAAAAGTTTGAATTTTATTCGATAGATGGCAATACTTTTTTATTTGAAATATTTTATCATTCGAAAAAAAGTTATAATCAGTCTACCTCTTTTTTTGCCTGATGATTGATTGAGGTCGAAGGCCTTTTTTTTGTTTGCTTTTGAGCTTTTGGTGACATTTACCTGTTTGTTACCTGTGTATGTGTGTGTGTACGTGTGTGTTTGATGGCAATATTGATCCCGGGCTCAAGAAACAAAAAAAAGGTGTGAACCTTTATGTTTAGCAGTTTTGTGGAAAAAAAATTATTTTTTTTTTACCGGTGACACTTGTAAACACATATATACAAAAAAAAGACATACACACACAAATTTACGATTGAGATCGATCAAAGTTTGAATAAAAATAAAAAAAAGAATGAATTGACAAAGAAAAAGAGAAAAAAAAATGAATCCATAAAATGTTGTATCAATAGGTGTGTTTGTGTCAAACAAAAAACAATCTTCAAAATGGTGATGGGCGATTTATCAACTGATAATCTGATATTCGAATGAAAGAATCGATAGTGTCTTTTATATGATTTGAATGAATGAATTGAAAGAAATTAATTAATCAATTAATTGATAATTACTGGCTAATGTGGTCTAAATAAAAGATGTGTGTGTGTGTGTGTTTGGAGTAGGCTATGAAAACAAATGATAAACATTTACAAACAAACAAAAAGCAAATAATAAAGAAAGATATTTTACAGAATTTTTTTAATTTTTTTCTGGTTTGAATTGATTGATTGAGATCAATGAGATCCATTTAGTTGCTCCATAGAATTGTTCTTGGATTAATTTTATTTTCACTGGAATCAGACATTGATGATGATGATGATGATGACGACGATTGAAGGTCAATAATTTCTGTAATGCGGGGGCGATAGACCAGAAGAAATGACCATTTGGTCAGTTTTATATGAAAGCATTGACCATTTTACCAGGATGATTGTTGTTGTTGTTGTTCATTTACGTTGATCCATATAGAATTTATTATTATGTTTATTATTAGCTGTTTGACCATTGATTTCTATTTGGGTAATTCATATCCATCACCAACATGTTTGAGTATTCCAGAAAAAAAAAAAAAATAAGTTTATTGAGTAAAACTGGTCATTATCAATTTGGTGGTAAGGGACAAAATTGTATGAATGTGTAGGTGTGTGTGTGTGTGTTGTTGTTGTTGATCGATCGATGTAGGGCCTTTTTTAGCAGAGTTTTTTTTTCTTTTCCTTTAGACTTTGGGTGAAAAAGTTTCATCTTATTATTTTTAGTGTATTTTTTTGCGTCTTCATTGTCATCATCATTATTATTATGATAATGATTAGGGTCCTATGACCAAAGCAGTAGCTTTTTTTCATTTTCAAACAGTACAAAATATTAGATTGGAGAAATCATTTCATTTTGGATCATTCACTCAAATCATGCTATGGTTCTTACCTTCTGCTCTATATATCTATACATTTATGGCCCCTATGGTCCATTATCACACATAAACACTGATTTATCAGAAAAAAAATAGAAATCTATAGAGTTGCCAAGTTGCCCTTGTATGTATGTATGTTAAGATACACACGCAATCAAATTCACTCAAACTTACACACACACACACACACACACACAAGAGTATATACGATTTGTAGTAAGAAAAAAAAATTGACCAAAACCTAAGGGCCTAGCCTTTTTAAAAAAATAATAAAAATTGTGATTTGAAATAGAGCATACACACGTACGCGATTGAAAATAAAGTGATCGCGCGCACGATACAATATACCATCATCGTATATATACAATATATATAAGAATGACCTTTGGCCGAGAAAACAAAATAAAATGGCCTTGAGTTTTTGTCCGGGCTCAAAAAATCAGATCAACACACACACACACGAAAGAGAATAAAGTGAAAATAAAAAAAAAATAACGAAAATGAAAATCCAAAATGACGTTGTCGACAATGATGATGACGAGATTTACGGGCGAATCTTTTTTTTTATTTATATGGCTATTAGCTGGTAGCTTATAGACCTATAGAACCATTGACCAACAGAGTTATAGATTTTTGAATCACATTAAATTCACATCAAGTGTAACAAGTGTAGTATTGTCACAAAATTGTTAAAATTTCAAGATGGTTTATAAATCAGAAATTTACCGATTAGATCCAACAACAAAAATAGATCAAACAACAGGTGTTTGCACGTGCATGACACTAAAATGACACATCCCACATCATCATCATCATCATTATCATAATCAATAAAATGAGGAGTGTCACTTTTGGAAAACGAATGAACGAAAAAAAAACAAAATTGCTCGAGGACATCGAATAGACATCAAGTGAAAAAATTGAAATTATCTACCATCTTCTTTTGGACAGGTAGCACCTGTGTTTGTGTGTGTGTGTGTAAGTTTATGAGTACGAAAAAAGGTCATCTGGTCTTTGCGAGACCTAGTGAGATTCTAGATTTTTTTATTATTATTATGTAATTTCCAAAACCCCAAAAAAAACAATCCTTTTCCAGCTAGCAAATTATATTTGTGGACCAAGAAAATGGTCAAAAATGGTCAAAATAAAATAGGGTCCACAATTTATTCAAACAAACGTAATTGAATACTGAATGAAAAGAAAAGAAGAGCTTATTGAAATTGGCGCGTAAATCTTTGACAAAAAAAAATCATTTGTTGTTGAATTACGTCTCGATCATCGTGAACGAAGGTCTACATTGGGTCTGGATCTTTATTGTGATCATGTAAAGAAAACTGAGCCAATTTTTTTTTTCACTTTACTACGCACGTTGCAATCAAAACCCAACCAAAAAAAAAAAAAAACAAAAAACTAAACAAAATCAAACTCTTATACACACACACTAACAACACACATATACACACAGTCAGGTATAATTTGATTTTTGGCGCGAAGCATTAATGTCCAGGACTAGTTATATATGTGGATAGTTTATGACTAAACATGCAACAACTAGCGTGACTAGACTTCAAAATAAACAAGTCCACATGGCCAAAAAAAAACCATTTTGGATGGGTGAATTAATAAATCAAGGTGGTACAGTGTAAATAAAAATCGGATGGTATTGAATGGATTGTGATTTGATTTAACAGGAAAAAAAATTACTTACCATCCTGATAATGATTGGAAAAAAATTTAGGACTTGGTGTACGGCGATCAAATGGTGATTGTGGTGGACTTGTATCCGAACGGGTTAATTTATGCCATTCATAACGGCCTTGAAGCGGTTTTTCCGTATGAAAATCAAAATTCCAACGATTACGATCGATAATTCGTCGAGAATTCATTTGTTCATAAAGAAGACGTTTTGTTTCCAATGGATCGCTTTGACCAAATAATGATCGATTTAATTTATTTGATGATGATTTAAAATTTAAATTTTCATCATTTACTGTAACTGGACGAAATAGATCCCGTTGTGATGATGATTTCCATCCATGTGATGAATAATGATGACAATGACCATGTGTATCATTATTTGATGACCATAAAGTTGTACGGCTTATTTCGGTCATTGTGATAGCTTTCATTTTGTTGTATTTTTTTTTGTTTTTTTTTTTGTTAATAATAATCGAAGGGATTTTCCGGATAAAATTAATATTAAGGAATCTGAATGTCACTTGTAAAATCTATGGCCAAAATATGATCATTGCTTTGAAAATCACAATTATATAGAAAAGAGAAAAAAATTTTTGAAAACGATTGATGATAAAATAATTGATGAAAATTCAAGTTTCTGCTTCAACAAAGTAAATGCGCGCCAAAAAAAAAATCAAAGTTTAAAGTTGCAAAATTCAAACAAATGTTTCTGATATCATGTCCAAACAGACACTGGACAGCTATCGTACGATAGATCCAGACTTTATTTTCATTTTTTTTTTTTTTCTTCATTTGATTGTCTCTTTTTTTTATTATGTTCTAAATCTTAAGTCCAGCCTATAGCTAGCGTAATCGTTGTTTTTTTTTGTGTGTGTATTTTGCACCCTGATTGGTGGTTGGTTGACTAGCTGCAACCAATCCTCAGATGAACGTAATATGATTGGCGAATGATCATTGATGATGATGATGATGATGGCCACCTGTCAACCTAACACTGGCCATATAAAGTAATACAAAAAATAAGAGGAGGAGAAGGGGGTAAATTGAGGGGAGATGAAATATATGAATTGTAAAAGAGAAAGCAAAAAAAAAGTTGCACCAATTTACTTTGTGGACAACAACAACTACAAAAAAAAGTTCAACAATAAATTGACTGTTGCTGTATAATCTGTAATTTTGGACCACAATTCAAAATCGATTGATGATTTGTATCGAGCCAGAGCAACAAGTTGTTGTGTATGCAATCATTTCACACAAACGTCATTATAAACTTGGATTTCAATGCAATCAGATCATACACAAACACACACACACACACACACACACATAGTAACCAACGACAATAACAAAACTACGACGACAACGACGACGACTAAGAAGACGACAATAACAACAAGTTGTATAAAAAGCCTGGTCGAACAGCAACAAACGAAAATAAGCAAATAAAATATATTCTTTCTTTCTTTCGTTTTTTCCTTTTGGTTTCATTAAAATCTAAAGCCCAGGCAATATTTTTCTCTCCCTTCGTTTTTTTTACGTTATGAACCTTGCAAGGTTTGCTTTTTGTTGTTTGTTGTTGTTTTTTTGTTCGATGGGCCTTATTGCACTTGTCTCTGATTTTGTTGTTGTTGTTTCTCGCTCAGCTGAATATATTCCATTCAAATCACTGGACTTGGTGAATATCACTCATATACGAACCCAATGACTAAGAGAAAAAAATCGATAAATCTTTGGTCATATGTGTGTGTGTGGCCTAGAATGGAAAGCAACAAAAAATAAAAATATGATCAAATCCACTATAATACACATGGCAATACAAAACACCCAAATGTCAATCTCAAGCCAGTCAAATATACAACCAATGACAAAAAAAGAAAAGAAAAAAAAACCAAGTTCATCTTGAGGTTAAGGTTTTGTTGGACGAGGTGAGAGTTTGACGATGATGACAACAACTACGACGACAAAGACGGACAAATCAAATCGAACGGATCGAATGAAAATGAAAATGACACGACCCTCGAACTTTGGTGCATGTGAGTTAGTTATATATGGTATTACATTTCATGTCCCAGATGATGATCTTAATGACGATGATGGTCATTATTGGGTGATGATACCATTATGCATTTGGTACCGAATGATCAGTGAACAAGAAAAAAACCAAATAGAAAAATAAAAATCCCAGATTCAGTAAATATGGATAGAAATGAAGAAAAAAAACTCATCATTAGACACATTATCATGTATGATGTGTGCACAACATGGTTGCAACACAATCAGCTAATGATTCGAATTCAAAAAATGAAAAACATTTAAAATCCAATTCATTTGCATCTTTTGCGGTCAATTTTCAATTTTAACTTAACCGAATCCACCCAAAATTATACGGAGGCTATTATTGTCTTTTTTTTCTTCATTGAATTGTTGTTCGGCCATCAACACACACACACACACACACACACACAGGGGCAATCTGATCATCATCATCCTCACTAGGTTCGTTGACACCTGTGTTGTTCACTTATTTTTTTCTGTTTCGTCTTTTTTTGAAAATTTGTCAAAACTTGAAAAAGATGGATGCAACGTTATCTCTTTTTTCACTTACTCTTTGTTCGAACATCAAACAAGCTGTGCAAGCTATAATATTCCGTATATCTATATTTGAAAAGAAATATACAGTATATATAGTATAGTATGCAACGAGAGAAAAAAAAACTTGAGCCCAGATTTGTCCAGGTAACGAAAATGAAAAAAAAATCAATCTTTGGCCACAAGCCATAATTTTTCTATTTTTTTTAGTTGATTTAGTTTAGTTTTTTTTTGCCCTTATATTCAACTACAAACCCTGATGATGATGATGATTAGGTGTAAAAACATATACAACTATATACTCTCTACTATACTGATGAAGAACAAACATTCAAATTTATCATATCACTGTCAGTGTATGTTTTTCATTCAATATAGTAAAAAAAAAAAAAAGTAAATTATTGAAAAAAGATCTAGCATAAACAATAGTAGCAAGCGCAGAAGCTCATGATGATGATGATGATGATGATGATGATCGTTGGCCACAAATTAAGCTCTAAGAGGGAGAAATCTGGATGTGCTACCAGTCATGATTCATCATTTATAATATAAATATCGTAATCAACAACAACCTATGGGCCCTAGGCTAGATTGTGAACCAAAAGAGAAAAAAAAATGACGACGAATATAATTTGCTTCATCATCATCATCATCATCGTGATGGTCAAAAAAAAAATCATAGCTTGAATTCAAATTCAAACTAAAAAGCTGTCTAATCACTTGACACCTGTGTTGAATGAATGAAAAAAAAATAAATAAACGAATCGCTACTGAGCTTAAATTTCTTTTTCTGAACCTGGATTTTTTCAGCTTCTCTATCTGTATTGGGGTGTTTGGGTGCTCAGATATATTTTTTTTTTACTGATCAAATACAAATACACAAAACAATCAGATCGATAGATGCAAATTGAATTTCAAATTTTAAATTGTTAATAATAATAATTTTCTAAATAAATTTTCAACAACAACGAAAAAAAAACAATTTACACAATTAAAAACATTATTTTCTTCAGGTAAATTTTATAAAATTACACATTTTGATTAATTATCAAAAACTAAATCATATCGGGTGGTTGTTTATTATATGATATAGGTGTTACTTTTGCTCGATTCAATTGATTGATTGTCGATTGATGTGGTTGTTGTTGTTGTTGATCATCATGTCTATGATGATGATGATGATGCTGATTATGACGATGATGATGATTAGATGATGTTGTTAAATTAGCTTTCGAATTCATTGTATTAGAAGTGGATGTCGTCGTCGTCGTAGTTGTCATTCGGTGATTATTTGGAACATTTAAATTATAACTTTGTGTTTTTCCACGCATAATTTTTCCACTAGTTATTAGATGACCAAATCCTTCTTGATGGGCAAATGCATAACCTGATCGTATTGAACGACGACTACGTAATGCTGAACTTTTTCTTCGTATATATGGATCATATGAATGTACCAATGCTTTTTTCCTTAGATATCTTTGTTTAATACGACAACGATCACTTAATGTTGGATGTACGGTGATATTATAGAAACGAACAGCAATAACAGGAAATAATAATATAATCAATATGATAAACATTGTAAACCAAAATTGTCCACTACTTAATGTCATACGAAAACATCCCAAATATTGATTGCCAATAAAATTACTATTGATCAATAATGTAAGTGAAAAATAAAATGCCAAACTACCCCATATAACTATATGATTGAATACAGTCCAATATGATGTATCAAGTGCAATCTAGATATCGATTTGAGAATCATAATTTGAGATGAAACAAATTAATCATCAAAAAAATTGAAACCTACCTGTGCTGTGACAACAATCACTAAAATGGTCGATACAACCGTACCGAATATTTGATGTCCATCCAAATTAATACCTTCAGGTCCGACAGCATTTTTAAATGTACCATATGATACAAAAAACAATACGAAAGACGTAATAATACCATGTGCAACACTTTTAAGAAAAATCAGTTTGTTGAATAATAAATCAATTATTCCTGGTGTATAAAGTAATGGAAAATGAACGGAAAAAATATCGTCAACATCTTGATCAAATATTCCCATTGCTAACACTGGTAATGATGTATAGAATACATTGTAAAATGATATAAAAACAGGATCGAATAATGTCTATTTTAGATTCAATTAAACAAAATAACAATTAGTACATTTTTTTACAATCAATCAATTTCTTACCTGAGCCGAAAAACCGCAAAAAAATGCATACCATAAATTACATAATGTAAACGAGAAATTTTTATAGAAAAAATATTGTAAAAATTTACACATTCGTAGATATGACCAACGGCCATGTACTAATAATAAACGTTCCAAATAACGGAATTGTGCGATAGAAAAATCACTTGATAATACAGCTTGCATACCTTCCTGGCCGCTAATACCGACACCAATATGAGCAGCTATAGAAAAAGAATTTAATTTAATTTTTTTCTAAATAAAAAAAATTTTACATACTTTTGATCATACTAACATCATTGGCACCATCACCAATGGCTAATGTTACGGCTTTTTTATATCTTTTGACTAGATCAACAACCAATGCTTTTTGTAATGGTGTTACACGACAACAGATCACTGCTTTACATGTTGATGCAACTTCAAGAAATAATCGTTCCAATGCTGGATCCAATGCATGTATCAGACTATGGCCATTTATAACCAATGCAAATTCTGTTGAATCATTCATTGAATCAGGATTTGGATTCAATCTTGTAACATTATATGTAGTAGCCAATGAATTTAAGGCATTCATTTTATTGTTGTTATTATTGATATTATTACAACTTGGATGAATATTGGTTGTATCATCTTCGAATGTTATCACAGATACATCACAATTCATATTGGAATTTTTTTGTTGCTGCTGTTTTGCAACCATTTTCATTATATCACGACAGGCCATTAATTCACCTTTGACTTGATCAAATTCCCATCCTTCTATGACAAATACATCGGCCATATCATCCGATAATAATTGACAACTGTAACCAATATTGATAGCTGTTTCTTGTTTATCACCAGTCAATACCCAAAGTTTGATACCAGCCAATGCTAGATTAGCAATTGTTTGTGGTACACCATCCTGTAATTTATCTTCGATTGCTGTTGCACCAAGAAGAATTAAATTCTGTTCAATCTCTTCATAACAGGCATCGACTTTTTCTTCACGATTCTCTAATGAACAACTTGCTTCTTGTAATCGATATTTCCATGATTGATAGAAATTTTCATCAATAATTTTACTAGCCAAACATAATGTTCGTAATCCTTCACTTGCAAATTTATTCAAATGTTCCATTGTAGTTTCTTTGATCATTTCACATGATGGATCCATTCTTTCAAATATCATACTATCAGCACCTTTACAATATAATTTTATTTGACCATTCTGTCTGACAATTACTGACATTCGTTTTCGTACATTATTAAAATCTAGAATATCCAATAATTCATACGTTTGTATTTGTCCCAATTCAATGATCGTGATGCTTGTCGGTGTCCGACTCTAATATAAAAATGAATTTAAATTTTTTTTTCAAATCACTTCATGAATAACAAACTTACCCGAAAAACAAATCCAAAATTACGTGCAGCTGATGTCAAGGCAGCTTCATCCGGTGATTGTGCTTGATATTCGAGATTTCCATCCTTTTCTTCACACATAACCGTATGGCATACGGCTAATAAACGAAAAAATTCATGTACATCTTCATTGCCTTCATTAACTTCATTCAATAATTTTGAATCATAAAATTTAAATTTTTTCTCATACAATGAATTTGCAGAAAAATCAACGGCTGGTGTATGTTCTGTGATTTCAATTGGTTCACCACGATCATCAATAATATCACCATAATGTATTCCCATTATTGTACATTTATTAAATGTCATTATATTCTGTGTTAATGTACCGGTTTTATCGGAAAATATATATTGAATTTGTCCCAATTCTTCATTCAATGTTGTTGTACGAGCTTTTGCTGGTGTATCCATTGGTTCATAATACATTTTAATATCCCAATTAATCCACAATGAATGGAAAAAACGTATAATTTCCACACTAACATATAATGATATTGGCACCACAGTATTCAATACGATAGCATAAGAAAAAAATACAAGTATCGATATGATTGTTGCACCAGATGTTGGATTCGGTGGTACAACATGATCCCATGGTAGATAAATACGAAAATATTGTCCAGTGAGCGTTTCCCATACACCACAAGCAATTGTACAAAAAAGGCACATTATAATCAGGAATAATACAATCTATTGAATCGAATTAAGAAATTCAAATTAATTTAGATTAAAAATGGACATAAATCAAACATACGCCTAAGATGAGAAGATTTAATAATCGATCCAAACTCGTTCGTTTGAATATGGTTTTACCACTATTTTGCATTAATTTTGTATCACGGCCGGCAAATATGACGACACCGAAACACCATTTAGTGTTTCGTAATCGGCAACCACGTAAAAGCATTTTATCATTATCTAGTGAAAATTTATCATCACGCCATTTGAGTACACCTTCAAATTTCGTAAGATTATTATTCGGTGCTTCACAATTGATTTCACCACAAAATTCCGCTAAACGATCAATATTGTCACTTAATTCGGCAGTTTCAGGTAAAGCTTGTCGACATTTAAGATTGGTTTCACTGTTGTAAACAAACAAAACAGACGATGAAAATAAAATGAAATGATAGATTTCTTTCTTTTAATAATAATGATGATACACTTACCCATCAAGTTCGGCAGTTTCAACATAACAAAGGCCATTAGGTTCACTTGTTGATAGTAAAAGTAAATCGGCAGCAACAAAATTATCATTTTCAATAAGTATAATATCACCAACTTGTACTTTGAACCATCTTTCATCGATTAATTTACCATTACGTAATACTTTTGATAGACGATTATTAACCTGATTATCACTTCGATGTTTTTGCTAAAATAATGAATGAATTTATGAATGAATGGATGATTGGTGATCAAAAAGAATGAAAAACAAAACAATCCATATATTACTTACAATATCATCGATTGCATCTTTAATGGCTGTGATTAATAATACAAAAATCAAAGGCACAGCTGTTGTTATTGGCGTTAATGATGATATGAATGGTATGAGCTGATTTAGTGATTTTTGCGATAATAGACAAACAAAAAAAAAAATTTTTCAATTTAAAATTCTAAATTCACACACTCACCTGTAATATTAGTAAACATAAAAAATAAAAATTTGCCAAACGTTGAAATTGTACAAATAAATTTAATGGTAAAAATGTTAACAATGTATATTTGGAAGTTTTTATATAATTTTTCTGGAAAAAATTTTTTTATAAAAAAAAAAAATTATTTCTGGAAAAATAATAGTCAATATATATATATACATACTGCATAATGAAATTTTGAATTAAATACTGGATCATTGGCACGAATAATTCGTTCATTTTCTGTTTCAAGAATGGAAAAAAAAATTTCCGGAAATGAAAATAGTACGATTATAGAAAAATTTTAATAATTTCAAAATCTTATTATTCATATTGTCCATTAAAAAAATGTTGATTCATATTTTTTTCATCTTGTTTATTTTTTTGCGTGTGTGTGTGTGTGTAAAATTGGGCCAAATAAAATCTGTTTTGTTTTGTTTTCCAAACACAACACAAGGACAATAATAAAATAAAATTCAAGACAATATAAAATACAAAATTTAGGTCAATCAATTGTCATCGACATAATTTTTTTTTTAACCAACGAAAAAAAATCACATTTTTCTTCATTTAAATCGACGACAAAAAAAACGACAACGACAATGATGAAAAATGCACAGAATCATCAATTTTTTTTTTATATTCTAGATTTTAGTTGAATTTGAGTCAATAATAATATCTTTAACATAGATAACATACACACAAACACACCCAGTTAACAATAATAATGGTAAGGTTGTTGTTTTTTTTTCACTGTAAAAAATCTCTGTTATTTGATCGAATGAATGAAAAATGAAAACGGACGACACTGCGGTTATTTTCTTTTTTTTTTGGTGCGGTAATTTCATTCGATGATGATGATGATGATGATCGGAAAAGGGAAAAAAGGGCATATAAAGAAGCGAATTAATAAATTATATTCCATTCAATTCAGCCAGAAAAAAACCTATACAGACACACACACACACACATACATAGATAGATAGATTGATTGGGTGACACTAATATGGCTGGCTGGATGGCTGGCTATTTGGTTGGTTTGTTAGAATCTTACTTGTAAGTGTCTGATGGACAAAAATTATTTTTGTTCTCAGTTCATTGATGATTGTCATCAAAAAGTATAGATTGAAAAAATTGATTTTGGCCCTCAGAATACTATGGACCGGTGTTTTATTTTTTTTGCTTTCATTCTGTTTTTTATCGTGCTTTCGATTTTTATCATTAGGTCATTTTTATTGTGTGTATGATATATATATATTGAACGGCCAATCAATCGATCGATCGATCTATCGATTTGATTGATCTGTTCATGTTGTTCATAATGACAATTACGATAATTTTATTCATCGCCATCTCTCTCTCTTTAAAGTCGAAAAAAAACAATCAACAACTGTGTCCGATTGTTTTAATGGTGAGAAAAAGATGGAAAATAATTTAAAATTTTAGTTGCAGATACAAATTTTTGTTTCTAGATTTATATTTGAGAATTCTTGAAATTCCGTTATCTTTTGATAAATACATTTGTCAAGGACTTTTGAGCGTTTTTTTTTATTTGTCTTGTTTCATTTTTCACATGTTGTCGTTTGTCATCGATTTGTGTCACAAAACAATTTGATTGATTCGATTTATATTCTTTTCTTGTTTTCTTGTTTGATTGATTGATTTGTTTATATTCATGATTGTCATGACAATCAAACACATACACATATATTCGGCGTTTTGAAACAAAACCATTTAAGAAACTTCTTGTTGTCATTATGTAACAAGAAGGCCAATGATGGACATTTATGTAAACCACTACTACCTAGTTAGATGATGGAATCAAATTGTTTTTTGTTTCATACAAACAAGATCGATAATAACGTTGATGGTGAATTAATTTCTATATTCTATTGAACTGATTTTGAATCTTATATATAAAAAAAATCGATCAGGTGATTGAATTGTATTTTACGTTTGTAAAAAATATCTAATTCTTAAAATCAATAATAGATAGATATTTACCTGTTCGTCGTCGATTACGTCGAATAGCCATTGAATGTGTGAATGAAAAAAAAATGTTGAAAAAAAAAAAGGAAATGAAATTAAGATGATGATTGATGAATAATGATTTTTTGTTGATTAGAACAAATTTTCAATTTTGTTATTATTTTAAATTTCTTTTTTAACATTATTTCTGATGATGATGATGATGGTGATTCACATGACGATCAATTTGATTGCAATAATTATCGGTAACATTTATAATTGAAAAACATAAACAATGATATGATGTGATGATGTTGTTGTTGTTGTTGTTGTTGTTTTTTGTTTGGATTGTTTGAACAAGAATCCAATTGAACTCTTGTAAAATTATTGAAATGGATCGGATATGTAATCAAACCGTACACACACACACACACAAAAACCTGCAAACGAAATCAAAATAAACATTGATTTGAAGCCAATCTCTAAAATCAGTTGAGAGAGAGAGAGAAAAAAAAAAATGCAAAAATAAAGAAATATAACAATGAAAAATCATCCAATGTTGAAAGTGGTTTTATTGATAAGCAAATTGCACTTATAACAGCCAATACATACATTAATACACACGGTGTATAACCGATCAACCAAACAAAACCAAACCAAACCAAACCAAACCAAAACAACACCTAAGAAGAATAAAATATGGATATTGTCGAGGGACAAATATTCAATGATTGGCACGCCAAATATTATTATTTTTATTATTATACACACGATATATGATGGTAATACATACATACATACACACACACACACAATGTCATTGTTTGTGGTACTTTGAAGATAACGGGATCATGTGTGTGTGTGTGTGTGTGTTTGGGTGCGCCTATCATTCGATTGGACCAGAAACAAAAAGAAAAGTTTTTTCACTGTTTCTTTCTCCTTTTTTTTCTAGTCTCTTCCTATGCAAGAACCCGATCATCAGATAGATCAATGATTGAAGTAAATGAGAAGAAAATATTTATATGAAAATGGATGGATGGGAACCATAAACACACACACACACACACACACAGCGAGGAAGAATTTCTCTACTTAATGAGATGATGGGGATGGTGATCGGGGCCCGAAAAAAAAACTATGAATCAACTTTGTCACTAGTATACACATAATCATCATTTTTTTGATGTTGATGATGAAACAAAAATAAGCCAAGGTAAGCGATTCCGGATTGAAAGAAAAATTGCTCAAATTCAAAACAATCACTCGATGATTATCATATTGATGATGATGATGATGATGAGATATAATTTGTAACGGCTTTTACTTTTTTGTTTGTTTTCTATATGCCGGAACTAGAATCAGATATCGGATAATCAGGTCAGCAATATACACTTTTTAAATAATTCAAAATGATTTCCGTAATTGATTGAAATTTTTTTTCCAATATAATCAAATAAGACGATAAACGTTTTTTTGTGAGTGAACAAAACAACAGAATCATTGGATAATTGTTCGTAGCCTGAATCACACTAAAATGTAAAAAATTGTTGAATCCAATTTTTAAAAAATGGCTATTATAATGATGATGATCATCGATGATGATTAATCAGTATTTCTATTTCTATTTTCGGTTCGCTGTATGTAATTATCTATGGAAAAAAAAATTTATGGAAATAAAATAAAAATGATGATGATATGATAATTTCAATTGTGACTGAATGATGATGATTAAAAAAAAATTTTTTATTTGTTTTTTACCGCACAAGCACACAAAAAAAAGTTATCATCATCATCATAGTCATTGATAAATGAATGAAATTTAAAATACCTGATATTAATGTCCGGATATCAAGTTGTCATGGCGTTTTGTTGTTGTTGATATCATTGTATCGTTGTTGTCAGTTGATTTTATCAATAAAACACAATAGTAATTCATTCACAATAATTAATTATTCGTTGATCATTATCGTTTGTGAGTATGTATGGTATTAGGATTATGCTATAATTAAGATAAGATTGATAATGATGATTAGAATGATCAATCACAATGATCAATGTCAAGATTGGTATTTTTACATACTCATAATAAATGATATTATTTTGGATTTTGATTTCGGAAAAAAAATATAATATTAAAATCAATCAATATTCGAGAATCTTTTCTGGATGGATTTTTTTTCCAGACAAGATTACAAGACTTGTGAGTGTGGCTGGTATTGGATTCTGATCAAAAAAAAATTCGATTCGATTCGATTCGATTCTGCGCCGTTTCCTGTCGTGTTTGAATTGAGAAGAAAAAAACATATGTGTGTGTGTGTGACCATAGAAACACTAGATGGCGTGACAAAAGCCTACCCTCATAGTAATGGAAATTTTTGTTATTGTTGAAAATATTTTCTTTTCAATTTCAAAGATTTTTTTTTAATCAAAAATTCAGGTTTTTTTTGTCTCATTTTTATATTTCATATAAATTTGTCTAATCAAAAATATTGAAATATTTTCCATATGAATCATAGTACAACTTTCTCTTTTCACCAAAATATTTTTCCAAACATAAATGTTTGACCATTTATCAATTGAATATTGCAAGATTTCTGTCGGAACAGTATAGTGTATTTAATCATATATAATCAACGACAACAACTTAAAAAAGCTTTTTCTATCTCTCTCTCTCTCTCTTTTGATTAAAACTGACTGAATATAGTGATCTTATCAAATCATCATATCATTGGATGTGGGTTTTTTTTAAACTGGATATATATAAAAAAAAAGACTGAAAGATATATCTCATTTTTGTGGATGGATTGAAATAAAAATGGTGGTGGTTGTTGTTGGTTAAGGAAATCAAGAAAAAAAAATTGGTGGTGGTGGTGGTGGTGGTGGTTAACATGTGACAACAACGATGACGAATAAAAATGTTGATGATATATGGTAACGATGGACGGTAGGTATGTCCATCGTTACGATGATTACGATGATGATGATGAATGAATGAACATTCCACAGTACCGACTGAACCACGTTATTTTTTTTTTTTCGTTTCGTTTCATTCGAATCGAGTATTTTATATTATGCCTGATGATTAGAAAATTCTTTTTGCACTCATCAATCGATTCTTTTATTTTATTTCATTTTATCAAAAACAGGCTATAAGTTTTTTTTTCATTTCTGTATTATCAAAACATTGAATTGCAATCTATCTCATATCATTGATTTATTTTATTTGATTGATTTCTGATTTTTGTTGTGTGTGTGTGAATAATTTTTTTTTATATTTTCATTACAAATGATAATGATGATACAATCATATCGTTGAATTTTTCCCTCAAATATGATTATGAAGAAAAATTCAAATTGCAAATATTAAATGGTAATTCAATCAAAATCCAACAGTATTGACCGCTGTGTTTGATCATGATGATGATGATGATGATGATGATCTCAATCCCATTTTCTAATGAAACAGAAAAAAAAATAATCTGCATATATTTTTTTATTGCTACTTGTTGTTGTTGTTGTTGTTGTTGTGTCATTGTCGTTACTTGTTGTTGTTGTTGTTGTTGTTGTCGTCGTAGTTGTCATTTCAATGAATCAATATCTACCATTTGATAATCATTCTCTGCAGAAAAAAAAATGAATTTTATCAATTTTTTTTCCACATATATAAATGAAATGAATGATATCAATCGTCCAATAATCATCATCTGAATCATTTGACTACTGGTGTTTTATTATTCGATATGAATCGAATGATCCACCAATAATAATACACTGCGCTACATACACACACACACACATTCATTTTGTAATCAATCAATTCAATTCAAAACAGTGTGGAAACAATTTCAAAACCACGTTTTTTTTCTAATTTGTCCACTCCCAATCTCTTATATACATACATTGTGGGTGTGAATCATCATCCGTGCAACAAACAGTGAAAAAAAAAAAAAAAAAATTCACCAGAACAAAAAAATAAAATACAAAAATCTTTCATCATTTCACTGTTACCATTTCGCTGGTGTTCGCTGTGTTCGTGTGATATATATACATCAATTCCGATTTTCAAATTCATTTCGGTGTTAAATTCTTATTTACAAATTTTTTTTTTTCGTTTCAAATTTTGTTAATATTTAGAAAATCAAAAAAAATGTGCTCAAAAAAAGGTCACGTAAATCTACTGTATGATATTGATAATAATATTGATGACATCGATAATGATCATCTTGAACAATTGCAGGATAAATGTGGTGTATTTGCCTGCATTGCTAATGGTGATTGGCCAACTAATCTGGATGTTGCTCATATTATTTGTCTTGGATTGGTTGGTCTTCAACACAGGTTTGTTTTCATTTTTCATTTTCCATTTTGTTTTTTTTTTTTTTGCCTTTTCCAATCACATTCTACGTCTTAATAAATATATTATTATTATGAAAAAAAAATTTGAATTTATGTAAATTTTTTCTATTAGAAACAAGCAAAAAACAAAATCTGTCCTTCTACAATGTCGTCGAATCATGTCATAATCATCGAGATTCGTTAATGATGATGATCATGATGATCATGATGATCATAATGACAATCATTCGGTTCATCTCTTGATATTTTTTTTCTGGTTGCCATTTTCTTCATAACAAAAATATTTATTTGTACAAGTTAGAGATTGTGTGTATGTGTGTGTGTGTGTTTTTTTTGTTGTTGTTGTTATCATGGTACAAAGTCTTCAATTTGTGTATGAATAAATAAATATTGTATATATGTTTTCACAAAGATTGATCAATCGATTTGATCAAAGATCGAAAGATTGTTGATCGAAGAGAGATTTTTCCAAAAAAAAAAAAATTTGTTGCTGATTGATACCGTTCATTGTCATCATCATCATCATCGACAACAACAATATCATCATCAATAATCAAAGATCTTTGACACTTATCAGACCATCACCACAATTATTATCATCATCATCATCATCAGCTGATGATACATACATCTTGATGAATAAAAATTTTTTTCCCTTTTAATTCACCAAAAAGCCAAGCAGCTAGACTATTAGCTAGATATGAAGAAAAAAAATTCCACACACACACAGACACACAAAAAAAACATTTCCATTATGAATTAGATCACACACACACACAATCATCACTAGATTATTATTTATCAAGAAAAAAAAATTTTTGCAAACCTCTTTTGCGAACGTGCCATACACATTGATTTTCTTATAAAAATTTTTTCATATTTGATGATTTCATTTGAAAATCGAATCTATTTGATAGCCACAAATTATCATTACCGAATCATTTTTTTCTCCCTTTTTTCTTCGTCACATGATACAAATCACATGTTTTGATTTCTTTCTACGTTTTTATTTTTTTTTTTAGTTTGTTTGTTTGTTTGTTTGTTTGTTTATGATTGGTTTACAATGACAACGGCGGCGGCGACGATGATGATGATGATGTTCATCATGCAATCCAATGTGTGTTGTTTGTGTGCGTGAATTTTGAAATCAAAAAAAACAGAAATTTTATTATCAAATAGGATGATTTTCTTTTCTTTTCACTTTACTTTATCCATTTATTAAGAAAATTTTATTTTATTGATTAATGCTAAAATTATTAGAAATTTTAATTCAAATTTAAATTTTATTATTATTTACATCATCAATGAATGTAGAGGTCAAGAATCAGCTGGTATAATTACATGCAAATGGACACATGGTTAGTCATCATTATGTGAAATATTTTATTTTGAATTTTAATTTAGCTAAGTGAAAATAAAAAAAAATTTTATCACATATTATTTGATGATGAATAGAACCATTGGCAATTCATCGTGGTATTGGTCTTGTATCACAAATATTCAATGAATCAGCCATGATGAGTTTAAAAGGTAATCTTGGTATCGGCCATACAAGATATTCAACAATGGGTGGTGCTGATAATGTACAATTAGTACAACCATTCATGGTACATACTAGTTATGGAACAATTGCCGTTGCACATAATGGTGAATTAGTCAATTCGAATCGTTTACGTGAACGAATCTTAGCCAATGGTGTTGGTCTTTCAACAGGTATATTTATTTATTTACTATATAAAATGATAAAACAGAACAGAATCATTTTTGAAAAATCAAATTTTTTTTTTTTGTTTTGTTTAATTATCAAGGAAGTGATAGTGAACTTATAACACAAGCATTGTCTATGGAGCCACCGGAACAATTTAAACAAGAGTATTTAATGCTTAGATATAAGATGCCGAATCGTATGTCATCACCACAGATATCGATGACAAATGGTCATTCTGAACATCATCATAATCCAATTAGTGTGGATCCAAATAGTGATACAGAAAGTATCGATTCAAAATCAATGTATCCAAGTAAATTTGCCACACAATTTTCACATGATAGTGATAAAGAGGCTAATTTTGTGGCCAGAATATTACATGTTAGTTTTGAATATTGTGATTTGTTAAATATAAATATTAGTGATCAATTTTTTTTTAAATTTAATTTCATTCAGCTTATGTCATTGACACCATTATCATATTCATTGACCATATTGTTTGATGAATGCATTTATGCTATACGTGATCCATTCGGTAATCGACCATTATGTTTGGGAGCATTAGTGCCCCCGAATACACCATTGGGTAAAATGGAAAATTTCGATAATGTCGATGGTTGGGTTGTTTCATCTGAATCATGTTCATTTCCATCGGTTTGTGCACGTATAGTACGTGATGTGATGCCCGGAGAGATTGTTAAATTAGAACAACATAAACCACCACAAACATTGGCTATTGTACCTAGGCCAGATAGTATGTTGTTGATTTTATTTCTTGATAAAGTTAATTAACAAGATTAAATAATTGAATAGATGCACCACCAGCTTTTTGCATATTCGAATATGTTTATTTTGCACGACCTGATTCAATGATGGAAGGACAGGTAAGTGGTGATTTATTGAAAATATTGTAATATATCGGATAATTTCCAAAACAAAACAAAAAAATTTCAGATGGTATATTCAGTACGAAGAAAATGTGGTCAACAATTGGCCATTGAAGCACCAGTAGTTCGTGCTAGCAATGATAATTCCGATTTGATTGTTGCAGCCGTACCAGAATCATCAATACCAGCTGCATTAGGTTATTCACAAGAAGCTAAACTTCCGTATATAGAAGTTTTCTGCAAAAATCGTTATGTTGGTATGTTGATAAATAATTTAATCAAAAAATTTAATCATCAATAAATTTAATTTAATCAAATTAGGTCGTTCATTCATTCAACCATCAATGCGATTACGACGTTTAGCTGTAGCAAAAAAATTCGGTCCATTATCATTGAATTTTATTGGTAAATCAATCATATTGATTGATGATTCGATTGTACGTGGTACAACTATTGGACAATTGATTCGTTTACTCAAAGATGCCGGTTTGTAAATCAAAATGAAAAAAAAATAGTCTTGTAAATGGCATTGTGAGATATGATTTTAAAATTTTAAATTTCAATAAAAATAGGCGCCAAAGAAGTACATATCCGAATTGCATCACCGGCATTACATTTTCCTTGCTATATGGGCATCAATATACCTACAAAAGAGGAATTGATTGCTAATCATTTTCAAGCAGATCAATTGGCACAACAAGTTGGTCAGTGTTCTTTTTTTTTCATTCAAATGACTCTTTTTGTTTTAATCTATATTCATTCTTGTTATTATATATATATAAAAAAATAGGCGCAGCATCATTGGTATATTTATCGGTTGATGGATTACGAAAATCTGTACAGACCGGAATCAAAGAACATATTATAATGAATAATCCAAACAAAACAGTGAGCAAAGAAGAGTTACGTAATCAGATTGGCCATTGTACTGCATGTTTAACCGGACAATATCCTGTTAAACTCAGTTTTTAATGAATTTTTGTTTTCGATTGTTTTTATCGATTTTTTGTTTTAATATCGACTATAACTGATTGACTATCGAATGGAATTGTATACATCCACACATACACACAAACACACACACATTGAACTTGAATTCATAGCAATAATAATATTGAGATATAAATCGGATTTGAATATATATGGTAATATATCAAGGAAAAAAAATATTTTGTAGCTAGTCACTCCATATATGAGAAAAAATTACGGAAAAAACCAACAACAGGCAGAAACAAAAATTCAATCAATCAATCAATCAATTAATATTGAATCGTTCTTTCATTTTATGATTTTTATGTGAAATTTAAATTTGAATTTTCAAAACAAAAAAAAAAATTCAAAATTACCAAACATTTTAATCAAAAAAAAAAAAAAAAATAAAATTCGAATCAAAAATCATCATCACAGTGCAGCCATCTAGTGGCCAAGAATACCATTAGCCATTTGAAAATGCCTTTGTCATTTGAATTTCAGATGAATTTTTCTTTTTCATTGCTAGTTTAATCAGTTTCCTGGTTCAATATTTTCTAAATATTTGAAATTTTATTATTTTATATTGAATTGAATTTATAGGAAAATTTTCAACCAGAAAAAAAAGACAAAAAAAAAAAAAACAAATCAAATCAAACAAGAAAAACTTTCCGACGAAAGAAAAAAAAAAAGCAAAAGAACCGACAAACACCAGATATTATCATACATCCGTCTGGTTTAGAATGATGATGTTTTTATGTATACATTCATAAATATATAACAAATAATAATAATTCAAATCGAATCCGTTTGAAAATAATGGATGTGGATAAATATACTCATCATCATCATCATTATAAATGGTGTGGCGCCCAACGGCGTGTTGTTAACAATATAATATTTAGAGATTGGATTGCGCTGGCGCCATTCATTTATTTCAGAAAATTTCTTTCTTTTTTTTTCTCCCCGATCATCCATGGATGATGATCATCACCATATATATATATTGGTGTCTATATGTATACAATGATGATCCACTTGCTTCTGCTGCTGCTGCTGTTGTTGTTGTTGTTGTTGTTGTTGTTATTATTATTATTATTGTGATTGATGCTTCACCAACCAACCGACTACAGAATATTTTCTCTATATTATTATTACAAACTGTTGCGCTGGCTACATTTATTTTTTTTTATGGATATATGGATTTATAATCAAAAATAAATGTCACATACATTTACCAAAACTTGTCCATCGAATGAAAGTCATTGATTGGATTAACGTTGGAATATATAGAAATAGAAAAGGTAACAAAAAAAATAAGGCTAATTTTGTCAAAAAAATTTTTTTTTGGATTGGTTTGATTAGGTTAGGTTAGGTTAGGTTAAACACACCTCTCTGTAAAATATTTTTTAAAGCCAGTTTTGAATGAAAAAAAAAAACAAGTCATGCGTAGTTGGGTTTTCTGTTTCTCCTGTGTGTGTGTGTGTGTTTAGACATATGGGTGGCTTATAAGCTTGTTGCTTTGTTGTTGGGTGAGCACAATATGAGTATGTTGTTGTGGTGTGGCAGTGGCGACAACCAGCGATCAAATAAATAAAAAAAAAAATTCATGAAATTCAAGCAAAAAAAAAAAAAAAAAATTATCATATATATTCATGAAAGAAGCAAATGGTTTTGATCGTTTTTTTTTCGTTGATTTTTTTTTCATTATACTTCTACAACAACATCAACATCAACATCAACAACATCAATAACAACAACAACAACAGCAGCAGCAGCAGCCATTAATATAATTCAATCAAACATATATTTTGAATATATTCAAAGAAGAAAATAGCAACAAACAAATGTAACGATTTGAATTATAAAATAATGAAATTAGTTAAATTCTATTGAATAATATATATTCTAAATGTTTGTTTAAATTCATCTTATTATTATTAACACTTTATGTCCGTATTTTTCTTCACTCTATAATGATGATAATTATATAGAGAATTTTTTTTTTCTTCTTCTTCTTCTTCATCACTACATTCCAACCGTGAATCTATCCATCCATATATACTATTATACTATTATTATTTATCAAAAGCAATCATCATTCAAAGAAGCAAGAATCGCATATAGAAAGTCTATCAAGAATAAAAAAAAACGCAAGATTTTTTTTTGTAAGTAATCGTTATTCATATCGTGTGTGTGTGCTTGTGTGTGTTGAAGACGTATATTATCTATCTAAGAAACAGAAAAAAAAAATTTCGAACGGTTTTGTATAGAAAAGATTCGAATCGTTTCACATTACAGAATCGCGTTCATCAACAAGTACAAGCTAACGAAATGAATGAATGAATGTATGAACGATAAAAAAGAAAGAAGAAAATTCTGTTCAAACTTTCTTTCTGTTTTTTTTTATCATCACACAAACATCAATAAAATCATCATTTTCATTTGTTCTGTCTGCTTTTTTTTTGTTTGTGTGTGTGTGTGTGTATGTAAAATTTGCACACAACTATATCTATCTATCCTGTATTGTTATAAATTCTTCTCAACGATGATCATATACTCTGGTTAATATTATTTACATATATTCATTATCGATGTTCAACAACAACAACAAAAAAAAACAAACCAACACCGCCATCCTAAATAACAACATCAACCACCACCACCACCACCACTATTACCACCCACAATTGGCCTTACAAATTCATACAAATTATATCCAGGAAAAAAAGGGGTGTGTTTGTTGTTATTGTTTTACATTGTGCCTTTCCTGAATCTCTCGAATCCATAATACCAATGGCTGTCTTTGTTTCCAAGTATTATTATTATTATTAATATCATCATTAAGAAAAAAAAATTTTTTTGTATGAATCATTTTTTTTTTTGCAAAGAAAATTATTATTTTTTGAGAAAAAAAATAATATATGATCATCAAATGCCGTCCATCATCATCTAGTGAAAATTTGATAAATATTTTTTACTTTGATTCGTTACCGTATTGATATTGATCGAATTTTTTTTCCATACATGACGATAACGAATTCATTTCATACATCTGTACCATCCTCATCATCATCATCATCATCATCATCAATGTCCTCATCAACAGCATCATATGATCCTTCATCATCAAATTTAATTTTTCAAAGTCCAACATCATCATCATCATCAGCAGCAGCAACAACAACAAATTTGGATACATCATCATTATCATCGTATCAGAATCGTAATCAAAATGCCTTACAACGTCGTGCACAACAATTACGACGTTGGCGTGAAATTGAAGAGATTGAACAACAAAAACAAGAATCGAATAATAAACAGCGGACACCGACCAAAGTTTGTTTCTCACCGACAACATTATTTTTGTCCGCTTGTGCACAACGTGATGTAGATGAATGTGAACGTTTATTAATGATAAAAGAATTAAGAGATGCCGGTGGTGTAAATGTAACGAATTGCGATGGTTTAACCGCCTTACATCAGGCATGTATCGATGATAATGAACAAATGGTTAGATGGTTATTAAGTAAATCGGCCAACATTAATTACAAGGATAATGAAGGCTGGACACCATTACATGCCAGTGCCAAGTAAGGTTTATTTATTTTATTTGTCATCGAAATTTAATCAATTTCTATTTTACAGTTGCGGCAATCTAAACATTGTCAAAATATTAATTTCAAATCATGCATGTGATCTATTTGCATTGAATTGCGATAATGAACTAGCCTGCGATGTATGTGAAACAAAAGAATGTGAAGATCTAATTCGCCATCAGATGAATTTTGCATTGAATTATGATCAAAAAACGCGACCATCATCAATTACGAATCGTCGGACAAGATTTGGTATTACGGCTAGAAGCATTTCTGGTGATGAAAATCATGATACCGATTATGATGATGATGATGAAAATGAAGAAGTGTATAAAAATCTTCGTCAACAAGAATTAAAGGCAATCGATCGTGATATTGATGCTTGGATTCAAGCAAAACAGATCGATTCATTATCGTTTGATATACGAACCGAACTGGAACGTACAAGAGATTCATTATCCGGTGCAACAATCTTGCATGTTTGTGCAGCCAAAGGCTATCAAGATTCATTGGAAAAATTTTTAAATGTATTCGCCACCAATGTTGATCTCGATTCATTTCGTGATTGTGATGGCTATACAGCCTTACATGCAGCTGCATTTTGGCGCCAACCTGAAACATTTGAAATATTGTTGAAATTTGGTGCCAATCCTGATTTGATGACTGAAAAAACCAGTGATAATATTATGTCTAGTTCAGTGTTAGAACTATGTAAAAATGATCCAAAATTTGTCGAATTAATTGAAGTGACCAAAGAAAAGGAAAAGATTGCCAAAGAATCAGAAACACAGAGGAAAATATTTGCAAAACGTCAACGTGAACAAAGACGTTCGACGCAAGGCGTCAAACGTGAAGACCTTGAACAAGCATTGAAAATGATGGAAATGGGTATGTCAGAACAAAAAAAAAATCATTTTTGATCGTACGATGATGATAATGATCTGTCAATCGTTGCTCATTAATTTATTTTTTTTTCTTTAGCTAAAAATACGTCATCTCCTGATTCTACAGACATCAAACGTCAAGCTGATGGTGATGAAGAAATGACGAATATCAATAATGAAAATAGCAACAAAGATGTTGCCGATAATTTGACTAATGAGAATGATAACAATTCATGTTCAACAACAGCAATCGTTTCGCTTAGTAGCCTACGACGATCATTGAATGTTAATGATGAATTGTCTGAACCTACATCATTGACTATTAAATTACCGAAACAACAACCATCAACAATGCCATTGACCAAAGTTGATTCCGGTCAATCGATAAACAATGGTGAAACAACAATAACAACATCATCATCAACAACTACTGGTACGGAAACACCGCCTATAACAATGAAAATTCAGATGACAACACCAGCTGAATTTGCAAGACGTAGACGGATAAAACGACGTTCAACCGGTATAGAAGATGATAGTGGTCATGCATTATCACCAGACATATTAGCCGATGCAACGAATCCATTAACAAGTTCCAACAATAACAACAACAACAACAATACAGTTAATACTACCAATGTAATAACCAAAGGTGAAACAACGCCCGGACAGATTGATGCAGCATTTGACATTACATTGAGTGTAAGTATTTATAATTATTAAATATTAATATAAATTTAGTCTTTTTATTCATATCAAATGTCAAGGCAATTATCCTCATCATTCGATAATTCGGGAGGGAAATTTGTCAAATGCAAATTTTTTCTTTTTTCAAATATAGATAGCTTTGAATAGATATTGTTAATTAATTAAATTATAATATATATAATTATTATTTTTAGATGAATGAATATTTAATTATTATAACTAGTTCAGTTGACTTGATATGTATTGAATTTTAAACAATCTTCACACACTTATTGCTCACGAATTGTGTTACAATTTTTTCATTCAAATTCCGTATGTTGTGTGTGTGTGTGTATTCTGTATGTATCTACAGGATGTATGTTTATATCAAAAAAAGAATTTTGTTATTTTTTTTTCACCATGTTACTCCCTAAACAACCGACTGCGTTAACAACAACAAACTACTACGATTTTGATTCTTAATATCTGTTTGTTTGTTTGTCTGTCTATATGATTCATATATTGCATGTGTTCTCGTTTTTCTTTTTCAATTCCAAGATTTGTTTAGACAAACTTTTTTTTAAAAGATTCTTGATTAATATTTATACACACCGACATGCAGAGAGATAGAATGGGAACATTGTATTCATATGAAATTCATGTTTTGAAATATCACCACACAGTCATCCAAAACCATTTCTTTAGCAATAATTCTGTACGAGTGTGTGTGTGTGTGTGTGTGTGTGTGTGTGTGTGTGTGAATCTATTTCTATTTCTAAACAACATTGTCCTTTCTATTTTTAGGAAAAAAATCCACATTCGGTAGCTTTGATTATTTCTGTGATAATTTTGCCACCACCGTGGTTTTATTTTTATTCACTGTGTTTAGCTTGTTGTTTCTGTTGTTGTTGTTGTTGTCTGTGTATAGGGTTGGTCTTATTTTGGTGGGCAATTGATGAAATGAATTCTTGATGATGATGATGATGATGATGATTATACAAGACCAAAATACCTATAGTATGATGATGATGATGATGATGATGAGGAAATGTTGAAATCTACATACGCACAAATCTACAAATGCATAAAAACATAATGAAATTGATTTTATTTGCGTTTCTTTTTCTGAATTATATTATTTTATTTTTTTTCAAATATTCTAATACACTGGTTGTCGGCTGCCATACTTTGATCATTTTATTTTATTTTTGATACGTAAAATGACAAACAAATATAGTTGATTAATTAATTAATTTTGATTGTTGTCTAATTTGTTTGTGTGTGTGTGTGTGTGTTTTTATAAATTGATTTGATTATTGTAATCATTTATAATGTCTTATGGATCACTTGGACGACGATCTGGATTGTCATACAATCCAAGGATATCATCATCGTCATCATCATCAACATCAAAACCATCATCAAGTAGAGTATCATCATCATTGACTAGTTCAAGTCCAATATCTCGATCATTAACATCATTATATGCTGGTGGTGGTGGCACCGGTGTTGGCCAATCGGCTGTTGATCAATATATAAAATCGGCTGCTGCCTCGACACCTTCATATAGTTCAGGAACAGGTAGCCATCGTCGTAATCCTCATGTTCGTCGACCATCATCCACTACATCATCATCTATTGCGAATCGTTTACGATCCCAATCACAAAATAGTTTAAATTCGATTGGCAGTGGAACACAAACCTATTCTGTAATGAGAGAATTAAGCCAAAAATTTTTTTTTTTTCACTTTTAATTTGAATTAAATCTCGAATTCTAATCATAAATTATTATTTTCTATTTTAATTTATATATAAATAGACACCAGTAAATACATCCAGTCGTTCATCACGAATCATTAATCGTCCAGTATCGAATGCATCATCATTATCATCATTAAATTCAGCACGTAGCCGTGAATCATCATTGGCCGATGATACTAACAGTAATCCAATGTCAACAGCATCATCGATAAATTCATTGGCATCATATGATAATAATAATTCATCATCAGCAAACAATTATTCTAGATCAAATTTTCATAATAATAATAATAATAATAATGATACCAGCAATCAAGATACGGGCAATAATCTAAAAGATCTATCTAATCTATTATCATCGGATGAAATTGATTATAAAAAATTATGTAAACAATTATTACGTGAAAATGAATCATTAAGACGACGTATAAAAGAAGTAGAAGAATCAGAAAAGAAACGTGAACAAGATTTTTGTCGTGAAAAACGTTCATTACAACGAAATATTTCTGAAATGGAAGAAGAATTGAAAGTAATGAATGATATTAAAGCTGATAATATGCGTCTAAAAGATGAAAATGCTGCATTAATTCGAGTCATTTCAAAATTATCAAAAAATTGATCCTCATCATTTATCAGAAAAAAAAAAAAATTTATTTTATTTTATTTTTTTTTTTTTTTGATCTATCTGTGTATCTGTTTTGATTATATACAAACAAATATATATGGTTGAGTGTGTAACATCCGGTCAATAATAGCAACAACAACAACAACAATCTTCATCTTCATTCATATATAATATGTTATCATCGTACGATTATTATAAACATCCGACATTTATAAAAATGAAACAAACAAAAATGATGAAGATTTATTCATTCAAAAGAATCTAGTCGTGTTTTTGTTTACACCACACACACACACACACATTGAATTTTAAAATAAATTTTTAAATTTATTGAACAAACAAACAAAAAAACGAAAACAAATATGATGATATTCTCTATACAAATACACACCTTTTCATATTATATTTCTTATTATTATTATTCATTGCTTGTTGAGATAAAAAAAATTTTATTCTGATAAACATGATTTTGATATTATTATCTACACCTGATGATGATGATGATGATGATATTAATTTGATTTTGATTTTGAATTTGATGATTGATTGTGTGATTTCTTTTTTTTTCTATATTAGAATAATGTTAAATGATCGGTAAGACGAAATTTTATATCTTTCAAATGAATGAAACATAAAAATGATAGTCCAATGATTAGATAGAATGCATATTTATTCGATTGTTTTACCCATTGATTTGTACGATTCAACCAAATGGCAATCAATAGATAATTTGTAAATGAATGTGGATTCAATAAACGCCAAAACCATGCTATTGTATACATTAATGATGATTTAAAAATTTCTTCTTGTAATTCTGTACGAACATTGAAACCATCGGTAATACTTGGATCAAGTGTATAATGATATTGATTTAGAAATAGATTCCATGTTAATGATGAAAGACCAATTTGTATCAATAGCAAAAGGTAATGTTTTATTGTTTGAAAACGTTGATGATGATTATTATTCATCATTATGGTATCATAACTTTTTTCATCATTTAACAATGTATATGTTGTATGTGTATGTAGAACATTTGATGATTTTGCACCAATTGGTTGCCGATGATAAGCATAACGGAATGCAGCATACCAGAATATGATAACACCGATTGCATCACATATACCATCGACAATATAACCACTGGAATTGGTTACCGAAACCTGTATTATGGATGACAAAAGAACAAAACAAAACAAAAAAAAATGTTTTTATCATTTCTTACATTTATTTAATCACTCTCTCTCCCTCTCGTTAATCATTATCATAGAATCGAATTACAAAATAATAATCGTACCTGTTTTTTAGCATCAATACCTAAACGACAACGTGCAATATAGCCATCAAGATCATCCATAAATTGGCGACCAAAAAATGCTAAAACACCTATTCGGCGGATAGCAAGACTATCGCTTAGGATTAATCGTGCAGCAATCAATGCAAAAACAACGCCCATATATGATACATGATTTGCCGTTATCCAAGGAAATATGTATAATAAACGGGTATATTCAACAAATATTACTGTCAATGGATGAAATATATAAAGATTTACATGATCAATCATCACAGTTTTCACTGTAATCGTTATCTAACGAATGAACAGAAATTGCCATTGTTAATAAATGACATTTATAATAATAATAATAATAATAAATGGAGAAAAAATTGAACAGAACTTACATTCATATTTGATTCATTTTGTATGATTTCATATAATTGATAATCGGATAGAAGAAAAAAGATGATAAATATGGCGAAAATAATGGTAGAATAATTATCTTTTAACATTTTCAAACAAAAAAAAAAATAAATAATGAACGAAAAATTTTCTTGTTTCGAATGAAAAATCTAAACTCGATACGATATCACTTTTATGGCATCGATTCGTTGATGAATTTTTTTGCAGGAAATTCGATGAAAAAAAAACTAGCAATGACCCAATTATTGTTATTATTATTATGAATTTGACGAAGAAACACCATATACACACACACACACAAACATAAAAATTATCGAAAAAAGATTATAGAATCAGAAACAAAAATAAAAATAAAAAAAACACATGAGAATGATTCGACAGAATAAAAAAGAAAATAAAAATTCATGAAGATAAATCAACAAAACATCACAATCAATAAGACCTTATGCCTGTTGATTTTTGTTGCTGATGATGATTTAAAAAATGGCACGTAATGTAATAAAAGTCGCTTTGTTATGTTTGTTGATGCAATCCAATGATGAATCCATATCATATCATAGAATCCAATCCATCCAGGTTACAATCCAAATCGGAGATATCCGGAAAATCCGATTCTCAATTTCATCATAAAACAAAATCAACTATTGATTGTGGCTAACTAATAGAATCAATGTATGGAAAATTAAATAAATTTTTCAAGACAATTAATTTCGAAATGATCATGAAATTAAATGCAGACACAAACTCCATCAAGTATTGGCGACACCATAGAAATCACAAATGATCATTGTGTATTTTTGTTATCGGATTTTGTATTTAATTGTATTGGATTGATAATTACAATCAACATAACAACAATCTACAATTGTTTGTATTGGTTTTTTCTTTTTTTTTTTGGTTAAAAAATTCAAATTAATATGATTATATTTATCATCGATAATATCCATCATCATCAGATGATAATGATGATTAATTTTTATTTTTTTTTTGTAGCCATAACAATAACCTTGGATACATTATATCTTCATCAGCAACAACAAAATGATCATCAAATGTTTTTGAATTTAGTCATTTTTATATGTATTAAAAAAAAATCCAATAGCAACCAAATATATTGAAAATATTTTATCGAAAATAGATAAAATGATTTTAGCAATACACCGAAATCATTACTAGATGGCAGTGGAAAGGGGATTTATTTTACTTTTTTGTTCATAATAATGAATAATGAATTGAATGGAATTGATTGAATGAAGGAGAGAAAAAAAAAAATTTGAATTTTCTGAATTAAAAATGAAAAAAATTCACAAGGTTTACATATTAATAAAATGTGGTGGCGTGATAACTTTATTACAAGTTATACACACACACAAAAATGAAATCATTGTCGATTGATTATATCCAATCGACAATGATGATCGATTTTAATCTTACGAATGTAGCAAAAAAAAAAAGAAGAAAGGTCCAAGATCAATTTTTGTTATTTTTTATTTTATTTTTCAATACATCGGACAACACCCAGAACATATATTATTGATCTTGTTCCAATTTTAATCATCAATAATAATAATAATTTTTTTTTCGTTTGAAAATCATTCAAACATCAAACAAACAAATAAATAAATAAATAAAAAAACAGTAGTAGCTTCAAGCATTTGAAAATATAATTCAATATAAATTTTTTTTCAGGCCTAAATAACAACAACAACAACAGAAAAGATTAAATTCATCGATCATAATGACGATCATAACGATGATAATGATAATATAATTTGTTGAATCTAGCTCAATTTCTCTTCATTTATCTTCATATAGGTATTTCTTTGATCTTTCTATCAAAAGATTCATTTATCAATAGCTAACGAAAAACAAAACAAAAAAATTGACCATGTGTGTGTGGAATAATTTTCACTTTATTTAAATGACTAGATGAATGACCGATCGATTGATATAAATTTGTTTTTTTTCCACCCAAAATTATCATTATCATTATTATCTACATCTATTGATCAAATTCATCGATTGTTTTTGGCGTGTTTCATCCACTGCAGCAACAGCAGCAGCAGCAACAGTGATTCTAATCGACACGGCAAACAAATAAAAAAATTTTTTTTTTGAATCTTTTATTCATAAATATGAATAAAAAGACATTTTGAATAGCCATCATATAAATACACAAACACAACATTCATAAAATTGTTGCCATTATGTGTTGATTATAGCAATCAGCTTGTTTTTCTTTCGTTTTTCTTGATTGCGTTTGGCTGGATGGAATTTTTTTTTGTATATTTTCATCTACTACGGCCATTGCATTTCATTTTGTATCATCATCTTGTTTTGAATCTGAATTCAACCAAATTTATGATTAACCGTGCTCTGATGATGATGATGATGGACAACCAAGGGTCATTAAAAAATTTTTTTTAGAGGCGACAATTTTATTTTTTTCACAAAATTTCTTTTTAAATCCAAATGGGAAAGATAACATGTTTTTTTTTCTTGAAAAATTTACCGCTACTAAATACTCATGATGATGATGATGATGATGATGGCAATGGAATTAACCCGAAGACCTTATTATTATTATTATCTTTTCTCTTTTTTTTCTTCCCGATTATGGCTACTATTCAGCAATGGTGGAAATCAAATGGTCAAAAAAAAAGAAAACAAAAAATTTAAACATATAACCATGATAAATTTGAAATTGCCCATCTTATTTACTGTATTTTTTGTTGTTGTTGTTTTTCCATTGAATCATGATAATGATTATAATGATAATTGATATAATATTAATCAAATGGTAAAACATAAATTTTGTTTATTACATCATCATCATCATCATCGTCGTCGTCGTTGTTGTTTTTTTATTCCATTTTGATTTTGTTATAAAAACAAATTATCCGAGATTCGGCCATTGGCCGAATAGATTGTAACTTTTATCTATTTTTTTTTCTCTCTCTCTCTCTCTCTCTCTTACTCTTTCTTCTTGTGTGTGTGTTTACGTTCAATTTTATAAACTTGTTTTCGGTATTTGAAATTGATGAAATAAAATGATTTCCAACGAATCGATTCATTTAATTTGGTTTTTTCTTTTTTTTCTGCTGCATTTTATTTCCATTTGGCTACAACAACAACAAGAAGAAAAAAAAACATCGACATTGGAGAACATTGTATCCACTTATTAAGAATGTATGTGTGTGAAATTGATAAAAATTTTTTTTTTCTACATTTATTTATTGAGAGAAAACGGCTCACACCCAATATAATTTTCGAATCGAATGGATCGAACAAAAAAAAAATTTCAAATAGGAATCTTTCCCTGAAAACAAACTATCCATGTCACAATAATGATCGATTCTCATCATCATAATCAAGAGTTGAACAAAATTCATCATTTTCAATCAATTCAATTGACGATCCAATATGTAATAATGAAGTGATTCAATAAAATCAAAAAGAAAACCTTCGAACCAGTAGGGAAAGAAATGAAGAAAAAAAATTTTAGATAAATTTAATTCAAAATTGAACAGAAAATCAAAATCATATATTCCATGCCATGTCATGCCTGGCTGTCATTTTCATCATCATCATCACCATCACCGACGATCATCTTCAGGTATGCATGGCATGGCATGGCATGGCAATGGGTTGCTCCTTGTTCCCAAATCATCAATAGCTCCCCTTTTTTATGATTATACGACGATGATGATGATGATGATGATCAACAAGTTTTCTTTCATTTTTTTCCAGACTCTTTTTTTTCCTTCACTTCTCGCTTCGTTTACTTGCCGTTGTTAAGCCAACGCCATCAACATACTACAGCTTTTCTTTCTATATCTTTATCTTTACTCTGTTCATTCTTTGCCCAAAAGAAGAAAAGAAAAATGTTAAGAACTTGTTATTCGAATGGTTTCGAATCATTGGTTTGTTTTTTTTGTGTTCGAATTCTTTGATAATAATATTTGAACAATTTCTTCTTCTTTCTCCACCCTATCTTACTGATATATCATCATGATCAAAATAACGATTCAATGGGAAAAAAACAACTAACTTAACTTGATTGGATCATCATCATCATCATCAACATCGCTGCCGACTCCATGTTCGTGGTTCTGTTCATTATCATCATCATCATCATCATCATTGATGATGGCGATTACCATAATAATAATGATACTTCTGGCAAATCATCATCGGTTATCTTCTTATTATTCTTCATTCGGTATTTAAACAACAACAATAATAACAACAGAGAGAGAGAGAGAGAGATAGGTAACAGACTTTATAAAGGGAGTGGGGAAAAAAAATATCTAACCAACCATTTTTTTTTTTTTTTTTGCTTCTCAATTCAACTCTTTTTTTTGTTTGTCTGATATGTCTCAAAAAAACTGATGAAAATATATTTATTTATTTATTTTCACATTTCATAACATTCTTACCATTCAACCATCATCATCATATATTTTACAATTCGAATTGAATGCCTATTTTTATTTATAATCATAGGTTAATCTTTATATAGCCAATTTTTTTTGGCTGAATCAAAATGGCTGAATGATTGTGTTTCAATCAATCAAAATCGCCAATCGACAATCGACAATCGACAATCGATCAAAGTATTGAGAAATGAATTGAGTACACATGTCTTTTTATCAAAATAACGGTGAAAATGAATGAAAAAAAATAAAATAAAAGAAATTCAAATTTAAATTCAAATATCCAAGAATAATGTGAATATACCAGACAGACAGTCAGGCAGCAAACAAAAAGAAGATGAATATATAAAAAAAATATTTACAGTAATCAAGGAATAATGGAATGCATGCAGAAAAAAACTGGTTATCTATCTTGTTCATCTTCTTCTTGTTTTTTGTGTGTGTAAACGAAACGAAATGAATATATGATCATTGCTTGCTTGCTTGCTTATTATCTTATCCGATTGGATTTTGTTGACTTTCTTGATTTTTAACATTCAATGGACCGAATGATTATCGAATCTGGTAAACGTACACAACAACTCAATTGTAATTTTGACAAATCCCGGTTGTTTATCGCCGCATACACATGCACACACACACACACACACACATTCAGATTGTCCAGAAAAAAAACAAAAACAAACGTATAGGAAACTGACAGACACCTGTTGCATTAGTTTAGTTTTTTTACTATTTCAAACGAAACAACAACAACAAAAATATGTAACATTCATACAGATTTTTTCCATTTTATTTGTTGAATAAAGAAAAAGAAATACTATAGACAAAGAAGACAAGAATAGCCAAGGCAAGAGAGAGATAGAGAGAGATTAAAATCTCATCATAATGTATAGCAATTTTACCAAAAAAAAAAAAAAAAATTTTTTTACCTGACCATTTATACATACAGTTTGTATACACGCATTCATTTCTCATGCTGTTATATTCCAATCGCATACACACACACACACACACACACACACACACACACACACACACACGTTTTATATTACAGGTGGTAGGGGCCCAATGGTATTTTAATTCTCTTCTCCATCATCATCAAAATAATCATCATCATCATCATCATAATCATTTTCTTCTTCTTCTTTAGTCTATCAGTTCTATTCATCTATCCAAAATACATACAGACACACACACACACACAAACTAACGTTGTACATATTCAATTCACTATTATTGAAAGATATATTTTGATCACGCCGTAGTCGATCCGTAATTTCTCTCGTTCTCCCTGTGTGTGTGTGGGTCTGCCTTTTTCTCTATCCTAACCACTTTATTTAACTTGTGTGTGTGTGTGTGTTTTTGAAAAAAAATTGAAAAAAACTGGAAATCGGTATTTTTTTCATGGAATGTGTGTGTATGTGCCGTATAGAACATAGAGAAAAAAAACAGGATGGATAGATAGAAGATAAAATTATTAATGTTTTGGTGATGTTAGAAGATGTAATGGTGGTATGGCATAATATGACCATGGTGATAGTGATGGTGGTGGTGGTCGTTGTTGTTGCCGTCATCCTCATTGTTGATCATCATCATCGTGGTGGTAGTTGTTAGTTTGATTCGTTTATTTTATTTTTTTGGTTAGGTTACGGGGTTTTTTTTTGCATTTCGTTTCATTTCATTCGTTGTTGTCTCCTTCATAAAGGATCCCTGAATTGAATTTGATTTTTTTTTCTAATTCAACAAGTGAATCCACTTGTGTATGTGTATATTCGATCATCGAGAGAAAGGAAAGAGCAGTCAGTCGTATAGTTATCATCATCATCATCATCATCGTCGTCGTCGTCGTCGTCGTCGTCGTCATAATCATCAACGTTATCATCGTCGATGTGTGCGTGTGTGTGTGTGTGTGTGTATGGTGCCTATGTGTGCATAAGTGCCGTATACGGATACCGGCAAAATATTATTTCATACACAACGAGTTTGTGTATGTGTGATGCTGCAATTATTTTTTATTATTTCCAAATAGAAATCAATTTACCGGCATTTACGATTTTTATTTTTATTTTTTATATTGGCTTCTTCAATTGAATAATCCACGACAACAAAAAAAAACAGAAAATTCTTAATCCTAGATTTTATCAGTGAGCAACAAAAAAAAATTATTTTTTTGTTTCATTTTTTTTTTTAAAATTTATTTCTGTACAGGTGTGTATGTGTGTCTGTGTTCTTTGTGCCTAATCATTATCAATTGATTTAATTGATTGATTGATTAATTTTGATTATCAATTGAATATAAAAAAAAAATTAATGTCTCAAGTGGTCCCCTGTGTGTGTGTGTGTGTGTGTGCATGAGGATCATCACTTCATCAAAACATATATTTTAATTTGTCATCAAAATCATCATCATCATCATCGTCGTTTTTGGAAATTTACAAATTCCTGTTCCTGAAACGAAAAAATTTGTGAAATTTTTTTCTTTTTTTTCATTCCATTTTCATCTGAACACAAGATTCAAATAATCTATTTTTCTATCAAATAATTTTCGTGTGACCGACGATTGGAACCATTGAAAATAAAATTTCAAAATTTTTTTTTATTGAATTTTATTTTTTTCTCAAACTCAAATATTATAATTCCTGGAAAAACAACAACAACAACAAAATGTTGAACAGTAGTAGCCTATCGAGCTTAAGCATCGACATGGAAACGGCATTCTCATCAAGCCGTTCATCACCATTAAATTGGGATGATTGTGAAGATAATGCTACATGCGATGATGTTTCATTACTTGAAGATGATGATGATGATGAATTACAATCATTACAGGTATGTGATTTTTTTTTCACCTAGATATCTTCTCTTTATCATCACCATCATCTTTTCATTTGATTGTCTGTCTGTCTGTCTGTCTGTTAATGTTTTTGTTGTTCTATTTGAAACAACAACATTTAAAAAAAAAAATATTAAAATTCATTCATTGCAAATGAAATGAAAAATAATAATAATTCGAACATTTTTCATTCCATCATTCATTCATTCATTCATTCATTCATTCATTCATTGTTTTAAACATTTACATATTTTTCTTGCCCATTCCATTCACAATAATAATAATATTTTATATGGGCCAAAAATTTTTTTTTTCTATTCATCCATTCATTCATTACAATCAATCATCGATTCATCAATCTTTGTTGTTGTTGTTGTTGCCTTTCCTCAAATGTCTATGGCCGAATTTTGTTGTTCTACATAAATGTTCTATATAAGGGCGATTTTACTATTCATACACAAATGGCAAAAAGAACTAAAAAAAAAATCTAAATCTTTTTTTTTTAAAAAAAACCATAGATCAGGATCTGTAACAAACAAACATATTAAAAATCATTCGATTCAAATCGATTCAACAACAACAACAACAATCGAATGATCAAAATCTGATAAATTAAGCTGCTTGAATCAGACAGATTTATTCAAATACAAAAAAAAAAAACAAATACAAATTAAAAATCCTGTAATCTGATGAACATCATAAAGGATATTAAAATGAAACAAAGAGGTTGTTTTCTGGTTGAAAAAAATTACTTTTTATCTAAAGAAACAAACAAACAAGCAAAAAAAAATCTCTTCAGAAAATAATGATCAACAGGTACACTTAAGACGATTGCGTTTGCGTATGCTATCTTTGATTGAATTTTTTTTTCATTTCAGTCATTACCGGTATCTTATCTTTATGGCCACGCTGATATCGATCTTTCTTTGGTGTGTGTGTGTGTGTTTGTGTTAATCATTTTAAATGACAAATGTCAAAAAGTCATAGACAAAAAAGCAAAAAAAAAATGTTGGAATTTAAATGTCCACTTTTTTTTGCTGCTGCTGCTGACATTTAAACACAAAGTATACATTCATGTGTGCATTGTGTGCAATCTTGAATTGAAAATAATTGCACATCATCATCATCATCATCATCATGGTTGGAAAAAACGATATTTACTTTTCATTGGTTCATTGGTTTTTTCCAGAAAAAAAAAGAAATAACAGATTCGATTGCATCTCACTTGAAAGAATCGTTTATGTCATTTTATCACATTTATGAATAAAAAACAATAATTCATATTGATGATTGAGAATGACAAATTTTTTTCCAATCAAATCAATCAAAATTTGCGAGAGAGAGAGGGAGAGAGAGAGGGAGATAGAGAAAGAGCGAGAAAGATAGAGATTTGATAACGGTATGATTCCAACGTGTACATTCTTGCCTGTCTGTGCGTGTGTGTTAAATGGCAGGACACGCCAGTCATGATTGATTTTTCATAAATCAACTAGACATCTATGCATGATAACATTACAATAGATTATGATGTGTCCACCTAGATATTTTTTTTCTATCGAGTATTTTCCAAAAAAAATGCAATAAAGAATTAACAAAAGCAACAACAACAACAACAACAACAACATTCTTTCAATCAGCTTCAAAAGCTTATAAGCACGATTCGAGTGGAAAAAAATGGCAGCAAAAAAAACCCACGATGAGATTTTTTGCTGCAGTTTTTGCTGTGATAAATAATTCCAAAGAAATTAATTCACAGTTGATTGGCCACGTTTTGTACATGTCGCGCCAGTCGCGCTTTTTTGATGATAATCGAATTTCTTTTTTTTTTTTTTTACTTTTGATATTTCATTTCATCAGACAAGTTTCATACATAGATATGTGTGTGTGTGTGTGCGTTTTGCTTGCTTGATAATTTAAAACAAAAAATCAAAATGTCGAAGAGTTACATGTGTGTGTGTGTGTGTGTATGTTGTGAACAGGAAATATACAGGATTGAAATGTGTATATTTTTTTTGACATTTTTTTTTCCTATAGTTCAATCAAATAGATAGAACAAAAAAAAATTCATGCCGGCAAAGTTACCAATTTCCGGAATATGAATGTCGATGAATTTAACATTCTCACATTTCACAGTCTGTCATTAAAAAAAAAAAAAAAACAACGAGAGCGAAAGCAATTTCCAGGAAAAAAATAAGTGTGTAGCCTCCCCTTTTCCACCAATCATTCATTCATTCATTCATCAAGGTTTTCGTTATTATTTATGATTCATAATTTGCCACCATTCCAACCCCCACATTTCAACAAACTTTGAACACATCAAATCAGACAGACAATCAAAAAAAAAAAATTTGAATAAAATAAACTAATATCAATATCATATTGAACAACCGACAAATATTATGTTGTGATATATAGTGAAATATCAAACAAACAAACAAACAAACGACACAGAAGAGTAATTTCGCTGATAACTTTTGACCTAATAATATTGCGAAGGAAATTCTAATTGATTCTTTTATTTTTCTCTCTCTCTTTTTATCGGAATTATGAATTTTTATTTTCTGTTGGACAAAATCATCATGGACAATGATGACCTTCACTCATATGTTTTTGGAACAAAACCGGAAATCTCAAAAAAATAATTTTAGAAACCATATTGGCCATTATCATCATCATCAATATCAAGACGGAATTATAGTTTAGTTATATTCAATGATCGTCTTATGTCGGAAACATTATCATTAAGTGATGGTGAAGATGGTTTGGATGGTATTACAACAACAACAACAACAACAGCATCAATACCATCATCCGCATCGGCAGCAGCGTCAATAAAACGTTCAAATATACATTTATCCAATGGATCATCATCAATGAGAGCTATACGTGCGGCTGCTGCTGCCGCTGCTGCAACAAATATACAACATAATAGTCATAATAATAATAGTAGCCATTATAATAATAAATTATCAACATTAACAATGCATTCTAATCATAACCATCATAATCATAATCATCATAATCATCATCATCATCCTCATTTATCAACATTGGTCCACCACCACCATCATAATAATAATAATAATCATAATACTTCTGCCGGACGTTCACCTTTAACATCAGGTATATTGCAAAAAAAAAAAATAAATAAATGTCGAGAATTTTCACACTTTTTTTTTCTCAATAAAAAAAAGTAAATAATTTAACACACACAAAGTTTATTATTCTCACACACCCTTCATCATCAGTTGAGAATTGAGAAATGGAAAAGATTACAAAAAAATGTCATAGAGAATTCATGGAATTTAAAAATTTAGCTACTTATTATAATTGAATATATTCATCTTAAAAATTATCATAATGATGATGATCTTCTGTGATTATCATGATGAACAGGTTGAATAATCTAAATCTACTTGTTGGTTACTTGTTGTTGTTGTTGTTGTTTTTTAGCCACGTCAAAAATATCGATCTAAAATGAAAATTATATATTCGATTATCATTTTTTTTATTCATTTCTATTCAATGTAGTGGTTAGAGTTACTTATCCTCACTCCAAATAGGTTATTATTATGTATCAAAATAACCCTCATATTTTTTTTTTGATATGACCTATCCTAGCTAACCAATCAACTAAATAAAACCGGATTAACTTGATCCTCAGATAGAGAATGAAAAAAATTGTACATAAAACCGAATCAATCAATTAAAATTGATTGAATTATTCAATACCAATCAATTGAACATTGGAAAAAAATATATATTCCATTCTATATTGAATTGATTGAACCACGAAATCGAACCAAACCCAAATATGATAATATTCATTTGCTAAACAAACGAAATTCTTTTCCTCTCTTTCCAATTTTCTTATATATGGCACACGATTTATTCGAATGTGAATTTATCGAAAAAAAAAAAAATAAAAACCTGAATGATCAACTTGTTGTTCACAACAATTTCAATTCATTTGAAATTTTAACAATGCTACTTGTTGCTCAATACAATTTTCTCTATCTACCTACACATAAATACGGTTTGGACACCTGATCACAACACCTGATCAACAACAACCAACAAACAAACCAACCACCATGATCATCATTATAACCAATGATCTGTTATTATGAATTGTTTTATACTACTCCCCCCACAGCAAAAAAAAAAAAACTTTTAATGGGGGCTGTTGTGCCTGGATGCTGTTGACCTTTGATTATAACAAAAAAATGCATGAATGAATTTAACTTGTTCGTTTGGGTTGAGGGGGGGTGGTTGACATATGATAATAATAATAATAATAATAATGTCCCCCATTATTATTATGAATGGTCATCGCTCTTTTTTCGTTCGCTGGCCATGTTTTCATTTTGTTATACAACAACCACTATTGTAATTATCATCATCATCATCATCATCGTATATATCCGCATTTTGTTCGCGTGTTTTCTTTTTGAATTCATTCATTCATTCATTCCTTGATTTTTTTTTTTTTTTTTTACTTTGTTTTGATAAAATTCTTTCTTTCGATCTTTTGAATATATATAAATCTCTTATATAAAAAAAATATTTTCTTTTTTTTCAAAGACATTGACCTTGAGCTGCAATTTACAACAACAACAAATACTATTGGTAATGGTCTAACAACGACAACAACAACAACAACAACAACAACTACAACAGGAACATTATCATCACCAACATCATCATCAAGTTCATCATCATCATCATCATCTTCTTCTTCATCGTCATCATCATCATCTTCAAATAATAGTAATTCTTTATTATTTAATAATTCAACGACGTCAGCCATAACAACAATAAAAGGTACGACAATTATCAATGGATTGTCATCGACAAAATTAAAACAACAACAACAACAACAACCATCATTGGCTACAGTAGCTGTACAAAATTCTACATTAGCTGCATTATTAAATAATCCATGTTTACCACCAACACCACCATCATCACAATGTGGATCAGATTCTGAAACACAAAGGTATTAAAAATTGATGATGATTAATTGATTGATTTTTGAAAAAAATTAACCAAAAAAAAAAAAAAAAAAAATCCATTATAGAAATACAACCAATGAAATTATTGTCAGTAGTAGTAGTTGTAATGGAAATGGTGATGGAAATCAAACAACATCTGGTCGAATAAAAAAATCTCGACAACAACAACAACAACAACAACAGAATTCCACAACATCAACAACGATGACAATAACAAATGTTGGATCATCCACAACAACAACAGCAATGAATAATCAAAGTATACATGCTTTAATATCGATTCAACCAAAAAATGCAACACATGGTACAGCCGGTAAGCTTCTGAATCATTGAATCGCTCCATTTCCTCTCTTAATATATATCCTTTAAATAACAAAAAAAAAATTCAAGGAAACTTTTCAGGGAATTGAACAAAATCATTCTTTTTTTTTTGAAGAAAAATTTACTGAAAATCAGGAAATCTTTTTTTTTCATCATGATTTGGTCAATGATTTCCTATAAATAGAGAAAGAGAGAGAGAGAGAGAGAGAGAAAAGAAAAGAAAAATATTTTTCTTACTTTTCTCATATTAAATGATGATGATGATTACAACACTTTGAAAGATTTTGAAAAGAAATATACCTTGTGTGAAAAAAAAGATTCTCTCTCTTTTTTTCTTTATTCACAAAAATGGCAACATACAGGTTTTACAAGCTCTCCGGAACCGGTATTTAACGTGGTAACACACACACACACACACACTGGTTACCTGCTCATTTAGTTTACCTGTTTTAACTTTGGTTTGGATGATTGAACTTACAATTTATTTGATTCTTATAGGTCGGTGACTTAAGTCACTTACTTTGAAGTGTTAATATCTAAAGTTAAATTCTCTCTCTCTCTCTCTCTCTGTTTCTTTTCTTCATTAACCGGCCCAAATTATTTTAAGAAAGAAAAAAAGAAAAATTCTTTTCAAACTAAACCATCAACCTATCAAACAAAGTAACCGGGTATTTGAAACAGAAAAATCAAATACCGGATGGAAATAAACAAAGAAAATGTTTTTCAAACAGGAGGGATGGTTTTTTTTTCTCTGAGTAGATCTGATCATCATCATCATTGTCACTTGAATGAACAAAATGATCTCAAATGAATGAAAAAAAATTGAACCATAACCGAGAAATAACAATAGATCCAGACAACAACAACAACAAAAAATAAGTAGAAAATCTGCAGACAAACATACGTACACAAATCAAGGGTGTAGGTTTTCGATGATGATGATGAAAGAATTCAAACAAATAAAAAAAAATCAGACAATGATGTTGTGTGATTATGAACAATATACACACACACACAACAAAAGTAAATGAAAAAAAAAATTCGAATCAAGATAATGGATTGCTTGCTTGCTTGCTTGTTGGCCAAATAAATGAATGAATGAATGAATGAAAAAAAAAAAAAAAGATTGAGATTGAACAAAACAAAACAGCAAAAAAAACCAAGCAAAAATGAATGAATGAATGAATGATTGCCCGATTGTCGAAGAAAGAAAGATTCACACAGACACATAAACTTCTTAACAATTTCATTGTTGGCCAAAAAAAATTGTTGTTGTTGTTGTTGTTGTTGTCGAATTGCCCAAAATGATAATTTTCTCTAAATGTTGAACAGGTTTAATTTTCTTTCCCATTCGAAATTTATCCTTTTTTTACTTCATTACTGAACTATTTGATCGATGTTGATTCTAATCATATCTGTGTATTTTTTTTTTTATTTTTATTCATTCCATTCACCGCCATCCGAAAAATTTTAGTTATATTAACCGAAGAAGAAAAACGTACATTAATCGCCGAAGGTTATCCAATACCACAACGATTTCCATTAACAAAAAGTGAAGAAAGAAGTTTGAAAAAAATTCGTCGAAAAATTAAGAATAAAATCAGTGCACAAGAATCTCGTCGTAAGAAAAAAGAATATATGGAAGAATTGGAAAAACGTGTACAAATGTTGGATTCACGTGTACGTGAGCTGGAAAAAGAGAATAAAGCATTGAGACAATTAAAAGTGGCTTAAATGAATATGCAATTGGATTTTTTTTAAATTTAATTTTGTGGTTCACCAAAAAAAAGACGACGTTCCACCGATGAATTGCAGCAATTTTTTTTCAGCATCAACAACAAATTCCGGGATCAGACAATTATTATTATTACTTTTTTTTCAATTCTATAATGATTCTTTTTTTCTAATAAGTATACAAATGCTCAAATTAATCGATTATATATTAATATATTTTTTTCCTTGAATAATTTTATTGAATTTTTTTTATTATATCTATAGAAAAAGTTTATGGAAATGATTATTTTATTTTATTTTTTCTGGTAAAATTTCCGACATTTTTTTTAAATCTATTTTTTTCATAATTTATATTGATTGATGAATATTTGGAATTTTTTTCTACTCGTATTTATTTCTTTCTTTCTTTCTTTTTTTATAAACAACCTACTATGATGACTATTTTTCTTTTACCACTTTTTTTCGCTGTAATGAATTTTGTTTTTTTCCCATTTTGTCATTTTTTTTTTGGTGCATAAAACAGGAAATAATAGAAATTTGAAATGAATAAAATTTTTTATTTTAAAATTTAATCAATCAAGGTTTTCGCCACTTGTATAGATTGATTGGCAATCGAATTTAAACGATAAATGTCAATGTCAAAATCATTATCATCAACATCAGCATCAACAACAATGGATTTTGGACCGTATTTTTTTATTATTATTATCCGTTTGAAGGATTAATATTTAAAAGTCGATAACGAAAGCCATATAAAAACGATAATATAAAATGATAAAATGGAAAAAAAATGAATTTGAAGAAAAAAAAATATCACAATAAAATGACTCGTGTGTGTGTATATATGTCAATGAATGGATATATATGGATTTTCGAAATTTTGTTCTTTTTTTTCTGAAAAAAATATATATTTTATATATAGCTAACAACATTTTCCAGAATTTGTCGTTCCATCCTGTAATGATATTCTTGTCGATCTTTGTTGTTTATGAATGAGGCTATTTTTTTTGCCAGTCAATGATGATGACGATGATGATTGTTCCATCTCGCGATATCGATTCAAACTATTTATGAATAATTCGGTGACATTGCTGCAACTTTTGGCACTTGTTTCAATGAAAAATGCATTGACACTATCGGCATATTCTTTTGCTTCTACAGAATTGATTAAAATCAAAATGAAATTTTAAATTTCAAAAAGATCAAAATCATTACCATGATACATAACAGCACGCCTATCGGCAAGATCGGATTTATTGCCCACAATACAAATTAAACATTTTTCCAATAGATATGTTCGTAATTCACGTATCCATGATTGAACCGAATCAAATGATGACTAAAGAATATGGATGAATGGAACAACAACAACAAAATATTAAGCTCAAATTTTTTAAAAACCCAAAAATAATTTTTGTTATTTATTACCTTTGATGTAACATCAAAGACAACGATACAAATATTTGCTCCACGATAATACATTGGCGCTAATGCTTTATACTTGATATATAAATAAGATTGTGTTTATAATTGTTTCATTGAAAATAAACAAAAAAAAAATAATAATCTTACCCGTTCTTGTCCGGCTGTATCCCATATGTTCAATTTATAACATGTACTTTTGATGTATATAGTTTTTGTCATGAATGAAGCACTGAATTTGGAAACAAAACAATGTAGATATTAATAATCTAATGAATGTCATCATCATCATCATGATGAATAAACAAACCCAATGGTATTCTCCATACAAGCATTGTATGTATTATGAACAAAACGTTGAACAATCGATGATTTACCAACACCGGTGTCCTGAAAAAAAAAAACATTATTTTGTAATTCAATACTAAATGATTGATTTTTTTTCTTGTTTAAACATATATATGAAATATAATCCAACAATACTTACGCCAAGTAAACAAATTTTATATTCTAAATTACAAAGTTTATGTGTTGAAATCATTGTTTTTGTTTTTGTTTTGGACATGTTGAAAATTCACAAAATTTGCAACGAATTTCAATCAAAGAATTGTTTTGTCTGTAAAAATTTGAAATTTATTTATTTAACGAAAAAACAAAACAAAAAAAATGAAAACGCCGATATTAATCTTAACAAACTTTTCGATATAATTTTTGGGTTAATAATAATGAAAATAAAAATTGAATGAATGTGCGCATATATTTATCATAATTTTATAGGCGATGCAATTATGGTAACATGTGTGTTGATTATTATATATGATGATGATGATTATTGCGATAAACTAAATCATCGATAATTGTGATCAATAAATGACATTTGTATAGATGCAATGTCCATGATGATGTAGATTCCTCAATATGCATATATGCATCAACAATATATTTCTCGAATTTCATTTCAAATGGTGGCTGTTTATAAACATACGGCCGTAACGTTCTATCCGTACGGATGAATTGGCTCGCTCTTTTACAAAAACAATTCCATTTGGTACTATTTTTCTATCAGATTTTCATTGAGTTATCGTGGATAAAAAGTACCATGATATATGTTATGAATGAAAATATATCCATCAATTTCGCTCCTTCTATATCCAACAAATATATTCAGTCAGTCATCAGCCAACAATTTTTTTTTATCCATAAAATCCATGAAATGAAATATTTCTATACATCCAATATAATAATATTTGGCAACGAAAACAACAACAATCATAACATTGGAAAATTACATTGCCAATAACTAGACATATACTCGGTGACGACAGAAAAAAAAATCAAAAAAAAAAAAATTTATTTTTTTTTTTCATTTCATCCGTTTGTTTTGATTGGCCAAAACAATTTTCATTTCTTATGTACGTGTTAATCAGTGGTTATCAAGAAGTGGCAAAACAAAATTTGTTTTCTTATAACTTTAAATTTATCATCATTTTTTTAGATGAAATTCAATTATCAACCATATATACCACATATTTCGACAAGCAAAACGGTGACCGATTAATTCATCTAGCCACAATAACAGCGGCATTTTGAAGATCGGCAAAAAAATTGATTGGTAATCACCAATCGAAACATCGTCATCGTTTCTATAGTTTGTAATATTTATTATATTATGCCCGTTCGATACAGTTCCAATATAACTGGATTCAGTCAGCAAATGCTTCACAATATTGATGATAATTGTGATTGCATTTGTGAAGATGATTGTTGCCACGAGAAGGCTAATTTTCCGAATAAAAATGCGGATGTAAACAATTATAACAGTATGATGAAATCATCGACGACAGCAACATCGACAGTGAATAAACCGAAAATTAAGCCAACATTGTTCTGTCCATCACCGTTGATACATTCATCACAATTAGGCATCACACATTCGTTGTTATTTTCTGGATCGAAATTCGGTGGTTATCAAAAATCCAAAGGCAATTCGTATGAAGTTGAAGTCATCTTTCAAGTATGAAATTTATTATTCACTAACAAATGTTGATGTTAACAAATCTCTATTTTTAAATTTTTTTTCCAAAATAATACGGTGGTAATTCATTTTTATTCATCGATATGATTTTCTTAACAGAATGTTGATGAATCTAACTCCTACCTTTGTGGCTATCTAATGATTAAAGGCCTGACTGAAGAATATCCAACATTGACGACATTTTTCGATGGCGAAATCATTTCGGAAAAATATCCATTTTTAACGAGAAAATGGGAAGCCGATGAAGATATTGATAGGTTAGTGAAATTTTTTTCCAATAATTTTAATCATTTAATTAATAACATTTTATTATATGCAGAAAACATTGGAACCGTTTCGATAGTTTTGCACAATATTCGAAAACGTTTAATTGTGATAATTTCGATTATAAACAATTGGAAAATAACGATCATATTTTCATGAGGTGGAAGGAACATTTTCTTGTACCTGATCATACAGTAAAGGTAAGTGAATGTATGAATGAATCGATTTGATTTTTTCAGTTAATTACAACTTTGTTTCTTAATTTAATGTTATTATAGGACATAAATGGCGCCAGTTTTGCCGGTTTCTATTACATTTGTTTTACCAAATCGAAAGCAACCATTGAAGGTTATTACTATCATAGACAGTCAGAATGGTAATATCTTATCAATTTGATAATTTCAAAAATAATTTTCATTTTTTTTTTTTTTTTGGTTATCTTCAGGTTCCAATCGTTAAACCTCAAACATATACCAGAAAATTCGATTCAAGTATACGAATTTCGTTGATCAATTAATTCAACAGTCACATATATATATTTAAATCATTTCTATAATCACAATTCACATACCCAATGAAAAAAAAACCGAACAGAACAAATCAACAGACAACAATAGAATTTCTTACTACAGAATAAATTTTACATGATAATAATAATTTCGAATGAAGAGTGAGATGATATATTATATAAATGAGAACAATGACAAACCAGGTATAAATATATTATAAAAAAAATTACAACAAAAACTAATTATTATTGAAAATACTCACCTAAATCACAAAAGGCAATTTTTTTTCTTGATACCAAACAACAACATCAACATAAAAAAAACAACTAGATTAACATTTATTCATGCATTCATTTTGGTCATTCAAACCAACATACACCCACACCACACACACACAGAGAGAGAGAGAGAAATTAAATCATTTTATTATTATTATTTCACGATGAATATGAAACTTTGAAACAAAAACAAACAAACAACTGTCATCATGTAACTGAATTCTATATCTGAATCACTGTAATCAATAGAATCATAATAACGAATGATGATGATGATGCTACTGCTTCTACTGAAAATGATATTCCTTTTTTTTCTTTCTTTCATTCATCATCTAGATTGAAAAAAAAATTCGAATGTTAATTTTTATTTGTCTTTTGTTCGTATTTTTATTATTCAAATTGATTGATTGATAGATTTGAAATCACAGATACATTTGACATTTGATGTTTTTCATCATTATTATTATTATTTTGTCTTTAATTCTTTGAAAGAATATTCTTTTTTTTCCATACAACAAAATATCTTATTTATTGATACAATGTTCTTAAATTATTCAAATGTGCATGGTTTCTGTATAATGTATTTGTGTTATCATTGTTCCGTGGAAAAAAAATCTCCCCCCGTCCCCCACAAAAAAAACATTCATCCATTTAAAATTTATCATTATAAATTCATAAAAAAATTTTAAAAATAAAATTTCTTGATTTCACACAACCAACAAATTGATGATCATCATTCAAACTTAATTCAAGACGATAAAAATCTTCTGAACTTAATTTTGGTTTTTCATTTGTTCGTTGATGTTTATGGTGGTTATGGTCAAATAAAAATCGAACATGAAAATCCGTACGAAATAATCGATCTACATTTGTATCAACCTGTTGGTGATTAGAATTGGATCGTAAAAATATCGATTGACAATTATGATCAAATTGATCGAGATTTTCAATAATCTGATTACTAAGTTCAGTTAATTCGATTATATCATCGAAACCAAAATTATTCAGGCCAATTTGTTTATCATATTCCAATAGTAGAGATTCCTAATGAAAATTTTTTTGTTGTTGTTAATTGAAGTCTATTTTTTTCAATTAAATTAGACTTACATCGAATTTATCATCGGTTAGTTTGGGCAACAAATTCGTATCGACAATATGTGAACATTCAATAATATGACAAAGTTGAATGATAAACGGTAAACATGAATCGGGTGATGATGAGATTCGAGCATTGTTCATATAATTAGTGAATTTAAAGCGAAGATTATTCTCAAACAAACGAATGTATTCACCATGTTTTTGTCCAAAAATTTTCCACATTGTTGAATCCTGTATTCTTGGAAAACAAAGACCAAACATGATTGAACCGAAACCAAAATGATCATGTATACTATTCTCTAATTGATTGGCAATATCCATCCATTTTCGTATCAATTCCAATTGTTTTGATTGATCCGATTGTTTTAAAATAGTTGTTATGACAAAATATTTAAGACATTCATGTCGAATAATAAGATCTTTTCGAAGCTGTGATCCTTCAGGCAACAGCATTAATTCAAGACCCGAACACATTGATTCATTTATTCCAACAATTTTACATTTACTCATTATGAATCGAATATTAGTTTTGAGTAAATATTTGGCCAAAAATTCAGCATCATGTTCAAGTAAAACATTGACAACGGATGTTGTTGTTTGGTCATCATTTGAGTCATCCAATCGAATAGCTGTAATCATTCGACAATCCAACCGGTATTCAATCGGTTCAATAATAATGGCACCAGATTCAATGGTTATTGGAATTCGATTAATCACATGATAGCTAATTAAATCTGATACAGTAGTAAATGATTCATTTTCGAAATAAAATCTTCGACATCCAATGTCATCAATGATGATTTCATGAATTATAAAATGTAAATGTTGATTACCATGTTGACAGGATAGAACCAATAATTTTTGTTCATTATTATTCACTTGTTGTACAGTATATCGAAGTAAAAATTGTCCATCATGTGCAAGAAGTTTTTCCGCTTCTAAACGATTTAAACGGCCATGATAATAACCAAGATTTTCAATATTAGGCCATAACATTGTTACAAAAAAAAAAAAAATTTATTTGTACCACACACACACACATTCGGTTCTCAACAAACACAACCGACGACCAGAGAAAAACATTTCCGAGCTATCAAACTATTAAAAAAATGCTCGCTCTTTGAATTTTATATTTGCTATAATAATCAAGCAAAATTGTATCAAGTTTCCATAATATTGAATTGTCAATGAAGCCAATGATGATGATGATGATGATAACAACAACATCCTGATTTATCAATGCCATTTTTTTTCTCGGTTGATGGCTATTATTGATATAATGTTTTGTGATTGTTGAATGTAAAATTCACAAAACATATGAGAATGAAAGGAAATCAATCATTGAATTGAAATTAACAAAAGCTAAATTGATCATTATCACAATAATAATAATAATAATACGACGATGAATCACATGTGGATGACTCTCGTTTTTGGCTGGCATTGTTTGTTTGTTTGTTTGTTTGTTTGGTTGTTGAAAAATGAAAATTTTTTTTTATTTTTGTCAAAAAATATTCTGTCATCATGAATAATAGATATTAAAAGATTTCATCAATGAATAAATAAAATAAATAGAAAAAATTTCATAATTCTTGATTTGATGTTGCAATGTTGTTTGTTAGATTGTTGAAAAAATTTAATTGTTTTAATAAATAGATTTAGTTTTCAATGTTTGTCCCTATTATAATAATGTGTGAAAATTATATGATGATTTGTAATTCTTTTTGTTTTGTTTGTTTGTTTGTTCACCATAAAATTTGTTGTTGTTGTTGTTGTTGTTGTTGTTGTTTTTTGTATCAGAATCACTTTATCAATTTACACATGGTAATTGTGTGTATCGAAGTGCTATTCCATTCTGTGAGAAACGAGCATTTTCTGTTTGATCACTATTTGAACGCAATTTCAATTGGAATGGTTTTGATCGAGCTATATAATTTGGAATCATAAAATTATTGGTAAATAATAATAAAATTCAATAAAACAAATAAAAAAATAACTTACAAATGACCAAATTACTATAGAATAATCGATCACCACAGAATCGATCTTCACCAACACCGCTGCCTTCCTGTGAACCTTGATCAATACCAATGAAATCATCATCATTGCATAATGATCCAGTTAATCCATATGAACTAATGTTTGCCTGTGATGTATACATTGGATCATTGGAAATACCCCAAGAGAATGATTCCGGTGTTTCCGTTGTCCATTTAATGGCACAGAAATTTTCTTCAACACGAATACAGGTCGTATATCGGAGATTAGCCAAATATCGGGATCGACCATCAATCTATGATAAAATAGATAAAACAGAATCATGAATTTGGTTTGTTGTGAATCAAATGAAATAACTAAAAATACTTTTGGTCCATAATTAAACGAACGGATCACATCGGATGGAGATCGATAATATTGTAAACAACCGGATGGAGCCATAACATAATTGTCACATTTGATGAACGAAATTTTAATCTTCCATTTACGGCTAACATTTTCCAATTCATTTGTAATGACAGACAATACGACTGGATTAGCTGAACCACGACCCATATCGACATATAGATGTTGACCTTTATTATCACCACAAAGCATTGGTAATCGTTCACCAACAGTTGTACGGACCATAAAAGAATCTTTAGTACAACGACCATATTCATCTGGTTGAGCTAAAGAAAATTCTTCCAAATCTAAACAGATGTAAAGAATCAAAGAATTTTTAATCAAAATTTTTTTCAATAACAAATTCATCCATTAACGTTACCCAATCGAAGTTGACAAACACCCGGATTATTTTGAATGGTCACCTGACATGTATTTGTACCATTTTCACCGGCTGGATATGATGGATTAACAAATAATGTTTCATTTTTGGCTGTCTTGCCACCACAGGTAAATTTCATATTACAACAGACCAGACCACTACGACCACATGTTCCTACACTGAAACCTTGACGTGTTTTACAATCAGCTTCCGACATACATGTTCCAGCTTCACCACTTTCAGCCGAACATGCTGTATTCTGTAAACGTAATGCATTGAATAATGGTATACCGCCTGGTCGCCAAAATTGCCGTGCTGTTGCATCTGTTTGTTCCGATTGTTTCACAAGGCCAATGGCCAAAACGATAGTTAACGTAATAATCAGATGATGATTGAAAAACATATTTTATGTGTACGTGTTCGTGTATATTATTTTTCTTAATGACTTAATCCGGTGTTTTATAATCGAATATGATCGAATAAATGTTGAATGATCGAATGAACCAATCTCAACTATGTATGGCAAACAACAACGACGATGAAGACGAACACTACACAATTTCAAACAAATAACGAAAATCTCAAATTACGGCAGTCTTGTTTGTAGATGAACAACTACGAAATATCAACAACGAAGACGACGACGATGAAGAAGAAGAAGAAGAAGACTTTTGAATGGTACTTTTAATTATTATTATCGGACAAATTTTTTTTTATGTTTCTTTTGATTTTAGTACCCAGTTTTTGGTGTTGTTTGTGTGTGTGAATCCAGAAAAAAAACAAGAAACAAGATTAATTTTCACCTGTTCGTACCTGTGCTTTTTTCATGGTGCCTGTTCTTTCCTTTTTTTTGTTGATATTCATATCGGAATGATTATTTCAAACTAGTTGTTACAACATCATGTTTCGTTTTTTGTTTCGGGTAATCACCAACTCGAACTTTAAAAAAACCAATCTGAATCAAAATGCTGAATGATATGAGAAAAAAAAATTACTTCAAGTACGGAAGTAATGGGTCACTAACCGCATAAATTTTTGACTGGAACGATAAATGGACGGATAATCTTTCAACATTTTTGATGAAAAAATGATGAAAAAAATAATTCATTAATTTATTTATTGAGTTTTTTTTTCTCTCTGTCTTGTTCTAACTATCTAGTCGAGGGTTATCTCTTGCCATCATCATCATATATATGTATGATGAACCAATTTTGCATTCAGCAGATTTTTTCCTCTTTCCATTTTCAATGTTGTAATTGCATTTAAATTTGAAATTCAAAAAAAAAACCCAACCAAAGATCTATCATAGATGAAACTAGTTTGATGCACATCCTTTTTTTTCGTTGTCAGTTCACGCTCCATGGCCATATATCAAACTTATCACATTGAATTTTAATCAAATGGTCAACCACGACGACGACGACGACGATTGTCTGCAAATTTAGGTTATTCCAACCTGTAGAATAATTTTGAAATTTCCTACCAATTTCATCGTTTTTTTCTCTTTTTTTTAGAAAAATAAAAATTAAAATGCTTTTGATAATTTAATTTAAAAATCTGGTTATTTTTTGATTTTCGTCAAAAAAATTCAATTTAATGGTCATCATTAATTCAATATAAATAAATAAATAAATAAAATGGTTAAATTGATTAAAATAATTTAGAGATTCGTATGAGATTTGATTCAGATAAAAAAAAATTCAGAGATATTCAGTGTGTCTATGTATGTATGTATGTATGTATGAGAAACATGATGTGGTGACGAAGATGATGATAATTAAAGAAGATCATTTCCGTTATATCATCAATGTGATAAATCAGGTAAACATTATATTCAGCAGCGTGGGCTTGGGAAGAAGGAAAAGAAAATTTTCCGTTTTTTTTCATCGTCTTCAAGTTCATTGCCAAGTGTTATAATTGTATGTACAGAACGAATGGTTTATTGGATAGTTTGAATGCATCAAGGATGACGATTGGGAGCCATCATCATTTCGACCTCATTTATTCATGATGGTGGATATAATAAGCTCGTAAAAAAAATTTGTTTTTTTTTCATTCATCATTGGTTGCATCGAGTTTAAAAATTTAGTGCATCTCCATTCGATTCGATATGAAAGGTTAGGTCAAGTCCTTTTTTTGTTTCATTATTGTAAATAATTTAGAGTTGGTGAAGAAGATGAAGGATGTGGGTATTTGATTGATGTCCGGGAAAAAAGGAATAGAAGTATGTGGAAGAAAGAACAGTATGAAACTCAGATTGGTGGGGGGGAGGAAGGCCAATTAAATCACACAAGGAAGTTGAACATAACGAAGACTGAAACCTGTAGAAGGTAAGATGAAAGATGAAAAAAAAATTTATTAAAGTTATTATCATACAAAATTATCAAGGTGGGTCCAGATTTTAAAGTTATCAACAATGGCAACAGGTTTGACTTATGTTATGAATGCAATAATGTGTGATTAAATCTAATCATAATCCTAACTAACTGTTTACGGTGAAGGGTCAGATAAAAATTCGACATTCGAGATGAGGTCATTGAGCTTAACGGTTATCGGTCACCAGTTTGGTCATCGAAAAACAAGAAATGCTACGGAAAATAATAAAGTGAATAAACTTACCATGTTGAGAATTTTCGGCATTCAATTTTTGATCACTATTTGATCGTACTTTAAGTTGGAATGGCTTTGATCGAGCTGTTTTAGGAATAAATTGATTTTTTTTCGAAATCGGATTAGATTAAAAATTATTTTTGATAAACAAAACAAAAATGTTGAATATGAAAAAAATACTCACATATAACGTAATCATCTTGTAAAAGTTTAGTACCACAAAGACGATCTTCACCTGGTCCGCTACCTTCGGCACTTCCCTGATCGATACCGATGAAATCATCGACATTGCAAAGACCACCGCTGGCACCACGAGCCGTAAGATTTCCTTCATATGGTGCACCCCATGAGAATGAACCGGGCGTTTCGGTTTCCCATTTGATTGAACAGAAATTCTCTTCAACACGAACACAGGCTGTGTATCGTAGATTGGATAAATATCGGGCACGACCTTCCATCTAATGAATTATGAAAAAAATTGTGGATTCGAAAATCAAATTAATAACTAAAATCGATGTCAAATTTATCGTTCATTCCACGTACTGGTACTCCATAGTTGAAACTTTGAATAACAGATGATGGTGATCTGAAATATTGTAAGCATCCTGATGGAGCCATATCAAGATTGTTGCATGGAATCATGTTGATCTTGACCTTCCATTTACGGCCAATCATATCGCCATTGGTGACAACCGATAATACGACTGGATTGGCCGAACCACGACCCATATCGACATATAGATGTTGACCATTATTTTCACCACACAAAATTGGCAATCGTTCACCAACAGTGGTACGTACCATAAATGAATCAGTTGTACATTGACCATTTTCATCCGGTTGTGCTAATGAAAATTCTTCGAAATCTATTTTCATCAATTCAACACACCAAAAGAAAGAATTGAGAGAAAAAGTGATAAAGTGAATAAATTGAAAATCAATTTTTTCCAATAATATGAAAAAGGATTTTAAAATTTGATCAAATCGATTTATCGATCAATTGGATTATTACCTAATCGAAGTTGGCAAACATTTGGCTGTTTATCAATGGTAACTTGACAGGTATTGGTACCATTATCGGTTTTTGGATACAAATGATTGACAAAAATTGTTTCATTTTCTTTAGTACGGCCACCGCATGTAAATTTGAAATTACAGCATGATGCAAAACCAGAAGCACAGGTACCATCCGGTGTACCTTGTCGTGCTAGACAATCATTTTGTGCTAAACAAGTACCCGGTGTATTCGAATCGGTTGTACATGGACTATTCTGGTAACGTAGAATGGCAATAATTGCTGGAATTGATGGTGGTCGAAATGCTCCTTGACTATAGACAACGGTGGCAATTGCCAATGGAACCAATAGCAAACTAATACGAAACTAATCAATTAAAGATGGATGAATGAATTAAGTGGCCAATAATCAATAAATGAAACAAAAGAAGAACAAATAAAGTGATGTAAGAGTAATTACCATTTTATTAAAATTTTATTATTTTATATTCAAATTGTTGATTCAATTTATTTGATGAATTTATTTTATTTGATTTTTTTTAATTTCAGATGAAAATGAAGAAAACTATCAAAACATAGCCGAAATTATTTTATTTGAAATAATAATGAACAAAGAAAAACAAAAATGAAAAATGCTGATTGTATTGACACTGGACAGTTATTTTATACAGATTGGCCAATCGTTAGAATATAGAACGAGCTTTTTATAGCGGATGAATTTTTTTTTTCGCCTGAATTTCCTCTATTCTAAAACCGATGAATGAATAAAGAGAGAAAAATACGAAAAGATGGAAAATAATAAAGACCGGTTCGTCGATTTGAATGTTGATCATGAATTATGATGATGATGATGATGATGGTACCCGTTCAAACAAACAAACGAAAAAAAAATTCAGACCATAGGTCTGCTTCAATCATAAAATGACCATTCAATCTCATTTTGATCTATATTTCCGTCATGAAGAAAATAAAAAAAGAAATTCAGGTTATATACTAAATGAATGGATGAATTTATTCAAATTTTAATTTACCACCTCTTCACAATCAATCAAAATCATAAATCAAGATGATCAAAAAAAAGGTCAAAGCGTTGACATTAGCGATGAGGAGGAGGAGGAGGTGGGGTGAAACAAAAAAATAATTATTTTTTCCATCAATGAAAAAATAAAATCATTTTTACTTTGAAATATTGATTGGTCCATGATCATCTAGTTTCTGTTCATTTTGGCAATCAATTTATATATCGTTAATCACCATCATCATCATGAACATCTTTTTTTTTCTTAACAAACTTGGTTTCTAACCAATAACTTGTTCAACGATGGTCATTACTTTTTTTTGTGACCATAATTATCATGAACATACAGTGACCTTTATCATTGAAAATTATTTATCGTCTGTTTTAGTATTGATGATGATGATGATTATGATGATGGTTGTTGAACACAACTATATGTTTGGAAACTGGATTTTTTTTTTTGATGACCAGAATGGCGTCTTTTTTTAAATGTGTGTGTGTAAACTGCACCTACTGTGTTGAATCACACACACACACACACATATCCGAATATAAGATGATTATGGTAATTTCCTGGTTTGTTCTGGCTTGAAAAATATGTAGAAATATTTGAAACTAGAATAGACAACATTTAAGCATTCTGAATGATGATATGGAAGAAGAAGAAGAAGAAGAAGAAGAAGAAGAAAATCCTGTGATTCAATGGCCGTCTATGATGATGATGATGACCAGTAACCAGTTGATTTGTGTTGCATAGATAAATGGAAAGAGATTCGTTGTACGATCATCGTTATTATTCATTTGTCTTTTTTCTGTCTCTTAATTTTTAAATTTAACGAATAAAAAATTTTTTTCTTCATCATTACCAGCAAATAATTGATTCAATTTGTTTCTGAAATCAATTCACACATTTTTACATACGAAAGCATTTCTTTGTTCTCGTTTTGATTTGTTTTTTTTCATTCATATAATTCATTCATCAATCAGTGTTAATAACAACTAGTAATCAACCGATAATAATGATGCTGCTATCGTGTAGGCATCATTTCACATTGTGGACATTTATTGCCACCATTATTATAATCATTCTGGTACAACTAGTCGATCATGGTCAATGTCAATTACGGCCAATATCATTGCCGGGAATATTTTCGGCCATTAGATATCAGAATACGGCTTGTGATGGTGAAAATGAAGAGACTGGTCTCTGTCTTTACGAGGTATGATTTTCATCGATTGATTGATTGAAATCATATTCATTATTTTTTTTTCTCATTCAGAGTGAATGTCTGAACCGTAAAGGTGCCGTTATTGGTCGATGTGCAAATGGTTTTGCTGCATGTTGTTCATTTAAATTTACATGTGGTGGTGAAACCAATCAGAATGAAACATTTTTCGTTAATAAACAATATCCAGGTTATGAAAACGAGACAAATACTTGTCAAGTGACCATTAAAAAATTGGAAAATATCTGCCAACTACGGTTGGGTATGTGTTTGGCATTTCCGTTAATTTGATTATATTGAATTGATAATAATTTTTTTCGGTTTAGATTTCGAAGAATTTTCAATGTCACAACCAGATGAGAATGGATTTTGTACGACCGATTCGTTTATGGTTCGTACAACAGTCGGTGAACGTTTACCAATTATATGCGGTGAAAATGCTGGTCAACATAGTAAGCTGAATTTTAATTAATTTAAATTAATCTCTTTAAGTGATTGTGATAATTTAATTTTTTTTATTAGTTTATATTGACATGGGACAAGGTAGCAAAAATCCGGTAGTATTATCAATTGTAACAAATGGAGCTCGTGTGTTGCGAAAATGGAAAATCAAAATAAATATGATCACTTGTAATAGTTTGGATATGGCTCCTTCTGGCTGTTTACAATATTATCGATCGGCCACAGATGTTATACGTAGTTTTAATTTTGGACCAAAAGTATGCATAGATTATTTGCCTGACTTTATTGTTTATTTTTTTATTACAAAAAATTTTTTCAGCTTGAATATCGGGCACGATATTTAGCCAATTTACGTTACACAACTTGTATTCGTACTGAGGAAAATTTCTGTGCAATCAAATGGGAAACTGAAAATCCAGGAATGTTTATGTTTGGTGCACCATTCGAAGGCAAAGATAATGAATATAGTGATTGTTCACAATCATTCCCATTCTTTGGAATGCAAGGAAAAACCGAAGATAGTGAACCAGTTATCAATTCGACAGCAACACAAATGACGTTGTATGGATTGAATGATAATCAAGAAACTGTTTCACCATCTGTGACAACAATGACACCATCAACAGTGACAGAAAATTCATTGATAATGGCAGAGAATCGTGAAGATAATATGTCGGAAAAGAATAATCCAACCCTTGATAAGGATTCCTTATATATTCATAGATGTCAAAACGGTGCCAGTGGTGTTCAATGTAATTTCGATGATTTTATTGGTATCGATCAAGGATCGATCGAAGGTACTGGACAGGGTGAGGATCGTTTCTGTGGTGCACGATTGCTTGAACATGATTTCATCATCTGTAAGTATATAAATAGTAATTTTTGTTTGTCATTTTTAAACAAAAAAAAATATCAATTTTCACTTTGTAGCTCGTTCAAAACCATTTCAATTACGAGTACGATCAAATGGAGATCATTTTAGCAATGCAATCAATTCACAAGCAGGTAAAATAATTACCAATTTCTTATGGTTTCTTAGCAATTAATTACTTTTAATTTAATTTTAGGTTTTTCATTGAAATATACTCAACTACCATGTGTCATTTAGAGGGAAGGAGGGAAATGGGAGTGGCAAAAATTTTCTTTTTCAGTTTTTGATTGGGTCTGGTCCAAATTTTTTTTTATTTATTTATTAAATTGGTTGAAGAGAAAAATTATAATAATAATTCACCATTCATCATTCAACAATAATTCGATTTTTTTTTTTAAATCTTTTCAAGCTTCATATTTCTTTTCATTCATTCAACGACAATTATTGATTAAATAATATTCTGTAGTGTAATGATATGTTTAATTTTTCATTTAAAAAATTTTTTAATGTCATGTTTTTTTTTCAATGTAATGCAATAATGAATTTTGGTAAATTTTTTTGTTTGTTTGAAGTTTAAATTTTAAATTCTTTAACGATTCTTTAACGATTCTTTTTGTCGATTAACGTGAAAAGAAAAATGTTTTAGTTGTATTTGTGTGGTTCTCTCTCTCTCTCTTTTTTTTTTTTTTTTTCTTTGAATAATGATAATATTCAATTGATCGGAAAACTAAATTTTTTATAGAAAATTCTAATTACACTGAATAAAAAGATAATACAATTCGAAAATGGTAGAGTACAAATGTTTCGTTTTGTGTGTGTTGACATTCTCGTTCAAAAAAAAATTATTCGAATTTTCGTTCATTTTTCAAATTGGTTTTGTTAATAGAACACACAAATTTTTGTTCCAATTCATCTGTTTGTTCCAATTTTTTTTTTTTTGAACGAAACAAATTCATTAAACGAAAAACGAAATCATGCTTATCATCAAAAAAAATATTTATCCTATGCGACCATATAGAAAACGAGATATTGCATCAATTTTTCTACAAAATTTTGAAAATTTAAAATTCTTCAATTCACGATTAGAATTTTCATTATCCGATTATGAACAACGACAAATTTCGATTCGATCATTACAAACAATTCAAAATTCAATTTGGATAACTACAATGGAAATTCTAACGATCATTACCTTTATAATTTGTATTATTTGGCCAAACAATGACTATACAATTTCTTTACGACTATTGGAACGAATAATCAAAATGGAACGAATAGATCTAATAATGATTAATTTGGTTTTTGCATTTGGTTTAGTTCATTGTTTTTGGCTTTATTCATTTAAACAGGCCACCACTTATCAATGTTCATTGATAGATTGTTGTTTAGCAAACAGTTCATGTACCGTTAATGATCGATTTTGTCCAGAATTTCGTTCATATTTAATAAATTTCTATGCAATAACTAACATGGTGGCTATCATCATAATTCGAACAATCATTTTCGCACATTTAATTTTATTAATCATTAATATTTATGCATACATTCATTTTTATCAATTGAACATATTGAGCTTGATACAATTGATCATTAGTTTACCACTTTATTCGATAACAGTTATTTATATTGCCTATATAATGAGTGAAATTTGTATGAACACAAATTTTCTAATATTCACAATGGTATTCATTGAATTACGATTAAAACAATTGTTCGAAATGACCAAAACGATGTTGGAAGATGATCACCGAAATATGAATCCATTTAAAATAAGAAATATTTTATATTGGAAAAAATTTCAAATGCAATATGTTCAACTTTATGCTGAAACAGCTAGATTGAATCAAACAACAAGTGTACATTTTGTATTCAATGAATTCATATCGAAATCAGCGATCATCACTGGAGCGGTATTTTATAGTCAACAAACATTAATGAATTCGGAAAATACTTTTGTTACTATAGTATCGATATCAATATTCTGCTTTATAAATGGATTATATTCACGTGCTTCACGTTTACCATCATATAATCAACGTTGTGTACGATCAATATTTGTTTGGATAGCTAGATCACAATTCAACAAATCGATACCGAATTATTATTTAAAACGAATCATTTTACGACATTTGATCAAATTAAATTTATTCATAACAACAATGACCAACAATCGTTTTGGTTTTACATGTGGTAGATTATTTTTCATCACCAAATTTCGTTATATAAATTTATTCATATTGAATTTTCATTTAATGATCAAATTTTATAAAAAAATTTGTATGAAATAAATAGATGAGAATAGCACTAAATAATCAGAGAAATCATTAATAATTCTGAATTGAGAATTAATTTATTACCTTGACAACAACATATATGTGTTTATTACCTTTTGAAAATCATTCGAAATTTTTGTTTATCATTCTAAAGAATTATTTTCTTTTTAACTTTCACTGAAAATGAATGATTGAATGTTTTCCACGAAAGTTAAATGAATTTTTCAATCCAAAAAATTTATTTCAAAAAGAAAATGAAAAAAAAATCCAATGAACAGAACAATCGATACAATCGATTATGTCAAAATAAATTTTTGCATCTTTACGTTTTCTATACGTTTTTTTTCTGTTCCTCTTGCTTTAGATTTGGCTCATTGTGTTGGATTTATTCATACGGATTGCGTAAGAAAAACGTTTTCATCGTTTTATGTTGATAATTGTTGTGTCGATGTTGTGGTGCAATTGAGTTGTGGTGGCTAAGATTGTATATAAATACTTTGTTGTTGATTCTTGTATAAATTGTATAGTGTGACAGTCTTATATTGAATTGAATATATATAATTTAGTGCTTAAAAGAAATTGTTATAAAGAAATGTCGAATAAAACCTGGTCCGAATTAGTTAGCCAAAGTTCGATTGGCCAAGAACATCAACAACAATCATTAACATCGATTGAAACGTTATCACCACCACCACAACAACAACAATCCATTTCATTAAATGATATCATGTCCGAACAATTGGCATTGGATCTTAGTGTCAATCAATGTTCTTCCAGAGATTATAAACAAATTTCTAATCAATCTGAAAATCAAATTACACCCGATTATGAAAATCCATTGAATAATATGACCGAAGAATTAGAGTGTTCCAATGATGAAATGTTGGCAAAATTATTACAACATGAACTTGATCTTGAACATGATCGAATGTTAAAATTGGAAGAAAAACAATACAATGCTAATTCAAAAGTACAGCTATCATTTGAAAAACTTCGCCGCATACGTGATGAAGATCTTGGTGATTCTGATCTGGATGATGAGATTCATCATGAATACGGTGAAGAATCAAAACATTGGGATTTTTTTGAACAAAAAGAAAAACAAGCACCGAAAATTGGTAAACAAGGTTATGTGGTGGCCAAAAATGGTGAAGTTACCACTAAACATGATATTGAATTGAACAAATGTCGTAATGCTTGTAAGGTGATGGAATTTGAAAGCGATATACGAACCGGTGATGGTGGTGGATTTCCGATGAAATTATCGAATAATGTATACAATGCATTAAAAGTACATAGCATCAGTGAAGGAAAACGTATGGCTCGTTTGCATGAGAAAAAGGAAAAATCATCAGCAGAAAAAGCTGTCGATGCTAAAAGTAGAATTCTATTATTTAAATTGATTAACGGTGGCACTTTGGAAACGATGAATGGTATTATTGCCACCGGTAAAGAATCGGTAGTTATTCATGCTATTGGACAGAATATTGAAAAAGGTATTCCATTGGGTGAAGTGGCTGTTAAAGTTTTCAAAACAACCATCACCGAATTTCGTGAACGTATCCAATATATTGTTGGTGATCCAATTCTTGAACAAACGGGAAAATTATCTAAACAAAATCCAAAATTAACGATACCTTTATGGGCAGAAAAAGAAATGCACAATTTGGTGAGTTATTTGAGTTTAATTTTGGACAAATTTATTTAAAAAAAAAAAAATAAATCTATAAAATAATTAGAATCGATTACGTAAATTTGGAATCGCCTGCCCTGAAGTTGTATTACTGAAAAAACATATCCTAATCATGACGTTTATTGGCCGTGAAGGCCGCCCTGCACCAACAATTAAAAATCTAAAATTTCCCGAAGAATTATTCAATAGAATTTGGACTGAAACTGAAAAATTAATGATACGATTGTACAAAGAATGTGATATGATTCACGCTGATCTAAGTGAATATAATCTATTGTGGTATGAGAATAAATTATGGTGTATTGATGTTTCACAATCAGTGCGAACTACACATCCAATGGCATTCAGATTCTTATGGAGAGATTGTGTCAATATTTGCAAGGTAAGATGAAAATTTTTTTTTGTCTACAGAAAGCTAACCAATCAATATGTTTGTATAGTTTTTCTCAAAAAAATTATGCGACTTTAAATCACCTTGCAAACTATTTGAAACGATTACGGGCAAAAATATGAGCGAATTGGAACATGATGCCGTTGTCATTGAATTATTCGACAAGGTATTATTTGAATCAATGTTGTTGTCATAGATTTTCTTATTTCATTTTTTACAATTATACACAGATGGAAAACTATGAGAAAAGTAGAAAAAATGTTGACATTTGCTCTTTTGAAACGAAACAACAATGTGAACCGGATATGTTTGATGAATTGTTTGAAAAAGCATTACAACAGAATCGTGCCGAAGGTTTTGTAAAGGCATAGACATTGTTCCTGGATATGTGGCAAAGAATTCATTATTGATTGATTTATGTGTGAGCAATTTTTGGAATCGAATTAATTTTTTTGAAAAAAATTTTATTAAAATTTTGTATGTTGATGGCAATAAATTTTTTTGTGAATAAATCTATCCATTCTGTACAAAATCAATTTTTTCGTTCAATTTTAATTATTAACCCGAAGAAGGGGGTGGTGGTGGAGGAGGTATACCAAACCCATGAATGTTTGCTCCTGGAAAGGGTGATGGTGGAGGAGGAGGAGGTGGTACTAGGTGCGGATGTGGATGACCATTCGGCATCATCATGGGTGGTGGTGGTGGTGGAGGTGGGGGAGCCATTGCCATCATAGCTGATGCTCCCGGTTGCGATTGACCAGATGGAGGAGGAGGAGGAGGAGGTGGTGGTGGTGGCATTGCCATCAAATGTTGATGATGATTGATCATAGGTGGTGGAGGAGGTGGTGGTGGTGGTGGCATTGCCGCCGGAAGACCATGTTGCCAATTCAACATATTCATGGCCATCATATTCATTGTTGCGGCCGGATCAGTTGCTTCTTGTCCATGGTAATACATGTTGACTGCCGGTGGTGGTGGTGGTGGCATAGTTGGAATGGTTGAAGATGCAGCTGCTGGAACCATCATTGGAGCCATCATTGGTGCCGCAACAGCTGCAGTTGTCGGGGCCGTTGGTGGAGCATCGGCAAACAATTGATGAGGTCGATCAGCCTGAGCTAATGGATTTTGAGCGGCCAATAATCGTTCGGCAGCCGAACCATGACGTTCACCTTTGGCATCTTTTTTGAATGCATAGCTAATCGTTATAGGCCTATTACAAAGATATTGGCCATTCATCGCTTCAATAGCGGCATCTGATGCTTCGAAACTGGCAAAATTAATGAATGCATAGCCTTTTGAATTTCCTGTTTCCGGATCACGCATAATTTTCGGTGTTTGAAGTATAACACCAAAAGCAGAGAAAGTATCGTATAAAAGTTTTTCATCCACTTCTGGATCAAGATTACCGATGAAAACATTTGCACCAACATCCAAATTTTTCTGATGTGCCGATGCTTTATTCACACGAATCGGTTTACCATAAAGTTTAATCATGTTCATAATTTTGATTCCATAATCGGCATCTTCTTCGCACATAAATTCAACGAAACCATAGCCTTGATGTAGATTGGTCACTCGATCTTTAGGCATATGAACATTGACGACAGGACCAGCTTGTACAAATAATTCCCATAAAATACTTTCATTAACTTTTTCATCAAGACCGCCGACATAGATTGTAGCATCCTGATTACGTTCAGCAATCGGACCGGCAGCCATAATTTATCGTTGAAAAACTTTGAGAGAAAAAACCTGATGAAATTATTTAAAAAAAATAAATAAACACGCGAGAGCGCGTTAATCAATTGAGGGTGCTCATCATATACAACGTTTTTTAATGAAAAAAAAAGATTTTATTCACAAGATGATTATAATGCTTGGTATAGAAAAACCGGATAGTTATTAAGAAATTAAATTAACAAAAAAAAACATAGGCAAAGATGTTCGATCAATTTTTCGTTTTAAAAAAAATTTTGAAATTCAATCAATTGATATTTTTCGGATTGAAAATCCAGAAATGAAGCTAACCAAAATTCGGGTAGATTATCTATTTGCTGTTGATGGTATGGAATTTCACCATTCTCATTATAATCGGATATCCGATTTGCGACAATTTTCAATCTTGAAATATTTTTTTCAAATATCGATTTTTTCAAATCCTTATCATTTACAAGTAATGTTTTTCGACGATTTAGTGATGTATTATCAAGGGTCCGTTGAGAATTTTTTTGATTACAATTCGTTATTTTTTTCAATTTTATTCGTTTGATTGTTTTTATTTTTCGAAGATTATATATCACCTCTTTGGGTGCAATATTTGATTTTTGTGCACAATTTCTGATGTGATTGATATTTTTCGACGATTTACAACAAATCGGACAGTGTATGTAAACAATTTCTTCATCAAAATATTTTTCCATAACAATTGATGTATCATTAGATGATTTTATTCGCTGATCGACATTATCGATCACATTGATATCAAACTTTTCATCTTGAACTTGTCTGATAAAATCATCGATTGTTTTTTGCTTTTGATTTGTTGATAATGATTGGCTATTGTTGAATGGTGATATCAAAAGGATTTTATCATCATCATCATCGTATTGAAATTGTTCAATTTCATTGGTTTCAGCCATATTTTATCAAGATTATTCGTCATGTAAATTGAAATAAAATCATTAATCAATAATTGTAGATGATTTTCTTTTTCATTGAATTTAAAATATTGTTATTATTATTTGAAATGAAACAAACAAACTCATATTCGATTCACACTATCGGACGACACATGCGCATTGAATGCCAAAAATAATTATGATATGAATTTTTTTTTCCCCATTTAATGATCGAAAAATTTTAATTTTGTTTTCAATTTTCATATAAATAAAAGCTTTTATTGGATGATAAAAAAAACCTTTGTTTGTCAAAAGGTTGTTCGAAATGATGAATTGATAGATATAGATTAATGATTGATATTTATATAGCCATTATTGTTGATGTTATTATCGATATTTCATTGGTCTTTGGCTTGTGAATGTGCCATCGCTATGGAAAGACATTGCATCCATTCCTGATTGTTTTGACTGTTTTTTGCTTTCAATATATAAGTTTTATCATTGGTAAATATTTCAAATGCTTTCGGTATGGTACGACCACGTGAATTACCAATGGCACGAACACTCTGTACTTTACCCACTTCGATCGGTTGGCCATCTTTGTCGCCGGTCTATATTGTTTAAAAAAAAAATAAAATCTACGATTAGAATATCAGATCAGAATAAAACATTCGAAACCACCTCGTCTCGGTATAGATGAATTCCCGAAAGGGTAAAATATCTCGTACGCCAACGGCGAAAAAATTTCCATTTTCCTTTCTTTTCTTTTAACTGTCCTTCTATAACTGGTTCGGAATTCTTTAGAAATCCGGTTGCTTTATCCGGGTGATTGCACAGAAAACAGCCCCATAATTGCATGATGGCATTAAATTTAAAAACATCAAAATAACGATTCGAACGTAATTCATCGATAAGAATTTCTTGATCTTTAGCTGATGGAAAATTTGATGTGACCAACGTAAGAAATGATTTATTATCCACCTTTAAGGTTTCCCAACAATTTTTCAATGCATTCACCGATGGTTCACGTGTACAAAGTGATGATTTGGCTTTTGCTTGTAATGCTAGAAACATTAAATGTATCCATACACGAGCATTTTTCGTTTTCATTACAAAATAATTTCGGGTATAAAGACAATGTTCACCTTTGGCTTGACATGCGAAATAGATTTTCGCAATCTTTTTCGAACGTTTCTCTTCGATCGTACATTTAACAGGTAATGGGATTTTTACCAATACTTTTTGCATATATGTTTTGATTTTATCATTATGTTTTTCACAAAAATGTTGTACAGCATCACGCATTGGATATGGTTCGAAAACAGTTATCTGACGGGAATCATTCGATGATTGTTTAGACGTTAAATCATTCGATACACAAGTAGCTGCATTGGACATTGGTGAATATGAATTGGAATCGGATGAAATCACATGATGATGATGATGATGGTGATGATGATGATGAAGTGCTTTACTTAATTCTTTACCGACAATGCTACCAGTACCGACACCACCATTACCACTGTTTCGACCGATGAAATTTAATTCATTTTTACTTGAATTATTTTTAAGTGTATATGATCCAGATATCTGTTGCTGAAGTTGTGAATCAATCGAAGAATTGACATTTTTTGATGCAAGTTCTTTTTCTTGTAAAGCAAGCAAATATGATGATGATGCACTTTTCTGTGAACTAGACGGTGTATTCGTCGTATTCATTGATTCGATTGACATACGATTTATGTAATGACGACTAGCCGTATTCGATGATGATGATCCACCACCAGCATTAGTGCCACCACCACCACCACCGCCATTTCCACTTCCACTATTACCAACGACACTGACACCACCGGCTGATGCAACCAATGCTGTCAGACTTCGATGTACATTCGATGGTGGTTGATTATGTATCTGACTACCACCACTTACTACATGTAATCTTGGTATGCTACGATTCCAGATGTGAAATCCACTATTTCCGCCTAGTTTTCCACCGGTGGAACTAATGTTACTATTTGTATTTGTGCTACGACTCGATTGCTGCTGTTGTTGTTGGGCTGTAATAAGGCTCGAAATATCACTGCTGAGAAAACAATTCTTATTGACCGAATTGACAAGGTTATTGACCAAATTTGTACTTGATATTGAATCTGAATTGGAATTCACACGATTAGCTGATGAATTGTTTGTCTGATTGATCACATTTAATTGTTGAAGATACGATTGTACGGTCGATGATGTTGAATTTTCTGTCTGTGCAATGATAATGGACATAACGTTCGGCAACACTGATGGATAAACTTCGGAAATTGATTTAATCTGTTTTAATAATGTTATTGTTGTTCCGAGATCAGATTTTGATAGCTGTGATGTTAAAAATCGAACACAATCTTGGGCTTCGGAAATATTTAATTTGCCAACAATTCCAAGAAATTCGGCCGCTATCGATACCATTCCGGAATGAATCTCACATGAGGCAATCACTCGAGGAATGTAATCAATAAATTTTTTATTATTATGATGAGCCATATCAAGAAAAATCTGCATGGTCGTATAGGCCGTCTGTGGATGTTGAAGACAATCGCTAAGCTGATGAAGATCATCTTCAAGTATAGACGGTTTATGTTTAGAAATCAAAGCAAACAGATTAAGCAATGATGATTTTTCCGATGTATCGCATTGCGGTAAAAGGCAAACAAGTGCCATGATATGATCATGTATTGGTTCCTTATTGATCACATAGATTTTCGATAATACTCGTACCAATGAATAATTGCCACTGATTATCGAATCAATTATTGGCTGTATATATGGAGCCAATAGATCGGCATTATGTATGGCTGCCAATGATAAATAGCTAGATAGATTTCGACTAAGTTCTTTGTTGCCTCTATGAAGAAGTTTTACAGCAACTGGTACGGCCAAACACATGACAGATTTTTTGCTATGATTCTATTTGGAAAAAAAATTTAAAAAAAAACAACGGTAAACAGGATTTTCATTTGGGAGAAAAAAAACTAACCAAAAATATAAATGAAACAACTTCGCTTGCAATCTTAGCATGTGGTGGATCCTGATCACGATTTGTTGGTTTCAGATTATAAAGTAAACATGATTCAAGTAATGCTACTAATGCACGAGCATGTTCTTCAATTGTATTCGTATCTCTGTGGACAATAGAATTATGAAAAATAGAATCATCATCATCATTATATTTTTTATAACAATAACAATTTGCTGTGATTCATCAACATACCTAATGGCACTGATAATTCGTGTTAGACAAATTTCAACAACACTTTGATCATTATGACGATCAATATAATATGGTGAATTGCTTATCTTTTTTATTGTTGCCAATAATTCAGATAGATCTTTAACAATGGCACGATCATCGATGGCGAATAATTCACCAGCACGGCTAAGATCTTTTTTACTTAAAACTTCAACAAATAATGGATGCATTGTGAATGATGATTTACATTAATTTGTTGCTATCATATATTCAAAAAAAATGGATGGATGAATGTTATTGATTATTGTATTTGATGACATTGTCGTTTTTTTTTAATTTTTGTATACAAAATCATTTTTCAATCTATCAATATCAATCAATACATCATCTTATCAATTTAGATGAGAAAATGATGAGAACTAAAGAAGCACAAACACACTTAAACACAAACACACGTATAAAAAAAAACAAATCACAATAAATGGAGCAACAAGTTGATTACATCTTTTTCATCAACATACTTATTATATTTGATGATGAATTCAGATTCAGAATGAAAACAAAAAATTGTTTCCATCATCCACCATTAACATATATCAACAATAATATGTGTGTGTGTGTGTGTGGTGTCATCATAGAATATTGTTCAGTAATTCTGAATACAAATTCTCTTATGTTGATGACTCGAAAATTATTCGAATCAGATCAAACAGGAAAACTGTATTTTTTTGTATTTATATATAAAACATCAACAGCAAAATGTTGCTAAAAATATTGCAGGCAATTATTATTATTATTTTTTTTTCTTCATTTGATCTATTCTTGTTCAAATTCGCTATATATATGATGGGATATATCATTTCTAAACATCATCCATGACAACAATGATGATGATGATGATGATGATGATGATGATGATGATAATAATGGTAAATGTTAAATAGTAGTAGTGGTGATGTTGTTGTTATTGTTGATATTTGATTATTGATATAGGTGGCCACCGGTTGTTTAACCAACACAATAATTGAATGAAAGATTCTTTTTTTTCTTCAATCTTCATATAAATATATGGAGATGTATGTAATAAATATATATCTAATCTAATTTAATAATAAAAAAATGTAATGTTCAATTGAGCATCAACAATTGTTGACAAACACACAAACAGAAAACTTTGATGAATTTGAAGAACCATTTCTTTGGCAACTTGTTGAATATTGAATAATATCCATCAACGTATCTCAAACAAACAAACAAACAAAAACAAGAGATCATTTTTTAGAACTACGAAAAAAAAAATTTTTTTTTTCCTTTTTTTTGTTCATCGACAACACGAAAAGGTAACCTGTTCGACTTGATAACAAACAAACAAGAGCCACGGAAAAAAAATCGAGTCATTATAATGAAGAATCGATCGAAAATAAAAAGAAGCCAAGCAGGGTCAAGCCAAGCTATATATACAACATATCATAAATGTATGCATGGGCTCCAAACAAAATTTTAGCTGTAACAAGTTAGCCCCCAAACAAAATGAATGTGAGAAGCTTGCGCGGTTGTATATTATGGCATCAACCTGTTGATTGCTGCTGCCGCCATTTGATTTGAATTCGAATCATCATCATCATATTATGGCATCAACCTGTTGATTGCTGCTGCCGCCATTTGATTTGAATTCGAATCATCATCAGATTCGAAATGTCAATCAGGTTAAATAAAATTCAAATAAACCAAAATATACCTTTGAAATTTGATAATTATAATTATAATTTTTTTTTTTTTCATTTTATTTTACAGCCATTAAACATTAATTGTTTATGAATTTATATGATTGATGATGATTGAATTTGATGACGATGATTCGATGATGATGGTTGAAATTGAAAAATCGTTTTTTCCTATACATCAAAATAGTGATGAAAAAAAAACCAAACAAAATCTATAGAACAATGATGATGATTCAAAATATTATCGTCCTTCGGCCTTATGTTTTGGTGGTCGTATATCTTTACGTTTGAATTTAGCTTTTTTATTAAACGTATGCCAACTATCTACACGATTTTGGCGACTTTCTTCAAAATTTTTTTGCCATTCTTTTTCGGCTTCTTTTTGCTGTTGTTGTTCAATTTCTTCTTCACGTTGTCGTTTTTTCTCCTCTTGTACTTTATCTTGCATCATTCGTCGTTTACGTTCTTGTTCGGCAAATAATTTCATTATCACAACACGTAATGATTGTTTATATTTTTCTGGATCATCTTCATCAACACGAGGATCTTTTCGCGAAGGATTCAGTTGTTTCAAACGTTTTCGTTTTTCTTGAATTTCTTTATTTAATTTATATTTTGCTTCTTCAACAATTTCCAATGCTTTTGTACGACTTTTTTCATCTTCAAGTACTTTATATGCTTTGGTTAATGCATCAAATGCACGTTGTGCTCGTTCTTGATCATTTGGATTTTTATCAGGATGAAGAAGAATAGATAATTTTTTATACTGTTTCTTGATTCGTTCAATCGATGCATCTGGATCGACGAGTAATACTTCGAATGGATTTAGATTTGCATACGTTGATCCGGGTCGTAAAAGCCGTTGAATTTGTTGTTCTGATGTATAGATTGAATCTTGTTTTTCAATCGTTTTCACTTCGGAATAGAATGAATTAAATTCATTACCACTACTACTACTACTACTGCTGGCCATTATTGTTGAAATATTAATTATTTTAATTATTATATAATTTTAAGGCGATAATGATAATGGCCAAGAATCGACAATAAAATCGAAACTTTGCAAAATTCGATGAAAATTTTGTAAACAAAATGCAAGACATGTGAGACATTCACATATGACATGGTAATTTTTTCTATATAGAATTTTCACGAATAAATAAACACACATAAAATCACACATATGAGTCGAAAGTTTTGATGACTAAATATTGTTTTGTTTATCATCAAATTATTTATTTTTCATTCTTAATGACAATAACGATAAAATCAATGTGGAAATTAATTGTTATTGTTATTGAAGATTTATTATAAGAAGAAAAATGTCATTTATGAATGAAGAAAAATGGCTAAATGTAATCGGTTCCGATGGTATTAAAGATGAAATCGATGGTAATAGCACCGAAACCATGGTTATTCAGCTCAAAGATCTATCACCGGAAGATGTGCAAGAACCAAAAGTACGTATAATACCGAAGAAAACAAAACGAAATGCTTATTTTGTTAAAGATCAAAGTACAATGCTATCCGATGAGGATATGCATTATCAAATGATTAATACAAACGATATTGTCGATAAAAAACCATTGTTGCCCGAGCTTATCTATTGTGACGCCAAAATTAGGTATGTGTTTGTATGTTTATAAATTATTAATTATTCGGTTTTGATACAAAAAAAATTCTTGTTTTCATTTAGTGAAAACTTTGATAAACTAATAAAAATTCCCGAAAGATTTTTGGCACCAAAACTTAATCCTTATTTCACAAGAAATCTAAAACGTATAAATGAATCGGATGTCGAAGATTTTCAAATAGATTATTCTGAACTACAAAGTTCATCAAAAGAATTACGACAATTGCGTAAAAAACTACTATCCAAACGAATGAAACAATCGATAAAAACAAAAAAGAGACCAACCGAGAAAATTCCTGTAATCAACAATGTAAAAGATATTCATCATGATCATTCAATGATCGAAACATTAAACTGCACAATTAATGTAAAGAATCATAGTCATAATAATAATCATAAAGATAAAGAAAAAGATGATCAAACATCAATATTGAAAAACATTGACATAGATTTCAAACCAACAATATTGTTAGGTACAAAAACATATTCACGAAAAAAGTTTCACCAATGATGATGATGATGATGATGATAAGAATTTTCAAAAGAAATGAAATTTTTTTGCATAATTACTCCATATAAATTATTCACGTGTACATATTCTACGATTTTGTAAACGATATATTTCCTTTTTAAATATAATTTAATAAAAAAAAAGAATCAAATGATTGATTGATTAATTGATTAATGGCCAAGGGTATATCTCATATATTTACTCGAAATCACCATCGCATATAATATCTTGAACATTATTGAAATTAAATAAAGAATTTTCATAATTCTTGTCAATAGATGGTGTTGTTTTGTTTAATTTCATTCATATTTCTCTGCTGCTAGCAATCGAACAATAAACGACTACAATTGACAATCGACGTAGCACCGTAAATGATATCGCATCTATTGATCTTTCTGGACAGACAGCTCTCGTTGCTTTATTGTATGTATTTGTGTATTTGCATCCGAAAAAAATGGGCCGAAAAGATGACGAAACTGATTCGCCCGGCAAATGTAAGTTGTCATTTTTGTTTTGTTCCAAATATTATCTCCATTTTTTCCGATAAATCAATTCATTCAATCATTATCAGTAATCATTTGAGAAAAGTTTTAATTTTTTTCGCGCAAAATTTCATTTTATTTTGCACAATTATTTCAAATGAAATTCAAAAATCAATCAAAAACATTCGTAACACACGTGGACTAATATGATTTTTAAACAATGTTTATATTTATATTTGCATGCCATTCTATTGACTATAATGTTTGCACTAGAATTAATTATCGTTATATCAAACAATTAATGAAAAATTTTCCAATCATCAATTAATTAATCCGAATCGAATCGAGCATATATATAAAATTGTTATCCTTAAGGATAACTATAAGCGTAACTATTTCTATAGCTCAATTGTTCTATTTTAACATAAAATAATTTTGCTCCGCCTTATTGTTAGTCGATCATTATGCTACTACCCTTTCGTAAAAATTTTCCGCCCCTTTTTATTTCTCGTACAAACAGTTACGAACAATGGAATCCCCTCTTTTTCTTGCCTATTGTTGTTTTTTTTTGTGTGTGTTTATTATACGGCGAAGGACGAATCGATATCTGATCGATTGTTCTTGATTCTTATAATACTGTTTTTTCAGTTATCTTCGAGTGTTCATTGTAGAAAAAATCACCCTCAGAATATTTGTAAAATTGTTATATCCCCTTAATGAGGGTGTTATGTTTCAAGTAATATTTCTTTGCTGCTAGAACAGTTATTTTTATTCTTCATTCGCTCTAATTTATCTTTTTGTTATCCATTATCCATCCACTATTCAATTAATTCGTATATTCATTAATTTATTTTCAATTTTAACTTATATATATTGTTTTTAATTTCTATAGCAAATGACAATAACGGTGATGATTATGATGACGACGACAAGATGATGATGATGTCAAATGAACAAGATGATACTGATATGGATGAACAACAACAACAACAACAATATCAACATCAATCCGAAGGCATGGATGATCAAAATTATGATGATGATAATGAATCAGCTGCAACGGAAACCGAAATGAATGATGCTGATGATCCAGAATATGAAGCTGATTTACGATCACATGGTAAACGAAAAACACGTGCCGGTGGTAGTGGTAAAGATTCATCATCATCATCAAGCAGGCGAAGTAAAAAGAAAAAACGTAAAAAAAGTCAACCGGATTATGATCAAGATTATGATGATGAAGATGAAGATGTTGATGATGGTGGTGCGGTTGGATATGTTGAAGAAGAATCATATCAATCAACATCAGGGAAATCAATATCGACACGAAAAGATAGTAAAAAAGAACGTGCACAAAAAAGTGTGTCAGAAATCTGCTTTGATCTCAACATTGAAGATATCGACTATGAATTCACTGAAGCTGATTATCAAAATTTGACAAGCTATAAAATATTCTCTCAGCATCTACGACCATTGATTGCAAATAAAAATCCGAAAATACCGATGAGTAAAATGGTAGTATTGATTTCGGCCAAGTGGCGTGAATTCTGTCAAAATAATTTATTTCAACAACAACAACAGAATTTGCCGATGATAATACCCTCTGATGAAAGTGGGGATACGCGTGGAAAATGTCGAAAATCAAAATCTGGTAAAGGTTTAGTACCATCGATTAAAATAAAGATTAGTAATATCGGTAAACGTAAACGTGCAAACAGTTCGGAAGAAGAAGAGGATAGTCCTGGTGAGATGAACAAAAGTGACGAAGAATTTGAAGCCGCTTTAGAAGAAGCTCAAATGCCATCACCATCAGCGAAAGATAGAAAAAAATCAAAGAAAAAAATGAAAAAACGTAAAAAAACAAAAACGACCGATAGTTTTCCAGGTCATGATTCTGAAGAGAATGGCTATGAAACTGACCATCAAGATTATTGTGAAGTTTGCCAACAAGGCGGTGAAATTATTCTTTGCGATACATGTCCACGAGCCTATCATTTAGTTTGTTTGGAGCCTGAATTAGAAGAAGCACCGGAAGGAAAATGGAGCTGTCCACATTGTGAAGGTGAAGGTATTCAAGATCAAGAAAATGATGACTCAATAGAACAACCGACCAATGATCATCATATGGAATTCTGTCGTGTTTGTAAAGATGGTGGTGAATTACTTTGTTGTGATGCATGTCCATTAGCCTATCATACATATTGCCTGAATCCACCGTTAGAAGTTGTACCAGATGGTGAATGGCGTTGTCCACGTTGTTCTGTTGAACCATTAAAAGGAAAAGTAGCCAAAATTCTTCATTGGCGTTGGGTGGAAAAGCCAAAGAAACCACCTCCAAAAATCGTTGAAACAAAAACTGAAGACGAAACAGCAGAAACGCAACAACAAGAAAAACAGGAAGAACAATCATCGACAAAGATGGAACCAGAACCAACGCCATCGACATCCAAAGCACCACCACTACTATCATCGGCTTCACATCATTTGCAAAAAGAGCGAGAGTTCTTTATTAAATGGCATGATATGAGCTATTGGCATTGTAGTTGGATTAGCGAACTTCAGCTTGAAGTATATCATCCATCTTTGTATCGAAACTATTGTCGTAAAAATGATATGGATGAGCCACCACCATTGGACGATGGATCAAGTTATGGTGAAGCCATATCAATCAGAGGAGAAGGTAGTGAAACCATTAATAATAGTAAACAACCCGAAGAAATTACGGCAGCTACTGGTATGAAGCGAAAAAAACTTAGACGAAATGATCGAAGTGACGTAAATCTTGAGGAACGATTTTATCGATACGGTATACGGCCAGATTGGCTCAACATACATCGAATTATTAATCACAAAGTGTTACGTGATGGCCGTTATATTTATCTTGTAAAATGGCGTGATCTTCCCTATGATCAAAGCTCGTGGGAATTTGAAGAATCGATTGAATTTCAAATTCCAGACATGAAGAAAGCTATTGATGATTATTGGGATTTAAGACAAGTAGCCGAAATAGCTGCTGGTAAATCCAAAAATCAAAAACTTCGTGGTCGTAGTAAAAAAAGAAGTGAGAGTTCCAAAGAAGAAGCAGGTGATGTCCAACAACTGCAACCTCGACGCTACAGTCCACCACCTGAAAAACCTATTGTTGATCCGAAAAAGAAATATGAACGACAACCTGAATATATTGATCATACCGGAATGGAACTCCATCCATATCAGCTTGAAGGTATCAATTGGTTGCGATATTCATGGGCTCATAGAACCGATACAATTTTGGCTGATGAAATGGGCCTTGGTAAAACCATTCAGACGATCGTATTTCTATATTCACTGTACAAAGAAGGTCATTGTCGTGGTCCGTTTCTTGTTTCAGCACCATTATCTACTATAATCAATTGGGAACGTGAATTTGAAGTATGGGCACCTGATTTCTATGTTGTCACATACATTGGGGATAAAGATAGCCGAGCTGTGATTCGTGAACATGAACTCAGCTTTGAAGATGGTGCCGTACGTAGTGGATCGAAAGCATCTCGAATGCGTAAAGATATTCCTATCAAATTTCATGTATTGCTCACATCATATGAATTGAATTGTATCGATGCAGCTACATTGAGTTCGATTGAATGGCAAATATTGGTCGTCGATGAAGCACATCGTCTAAAAAATAATCAATCAAAATATTTTCGTGTATTGAATACGTACAAGATTAATTACAAACTACTATTAACTGGTACACCATTACAGAATAATCTCGAAGAATTGTTTCATCTTTTGAACTTTTTAAGTTCAGAAAATTTCAAGTAAGTCTCACATTCTCTTTTTTGATTATATTGATATATTGATTGATATTGATTTCTACCTTTTTTTATTAAAAATTTTCGCAGTGATATGCAAGGATTTCTCAATGAATTCGCTGATCTATCTAAAGAAGATCAGGTGAAAAAATTACATGATCTACTTGGACCTCATCTTCTTCGTCGTTTGAAAGCTGATGTTCTTAAAGGCATACCTGCTAAAAGCGAATTCATTGTTCGTGTTGATTTGGCATCGATGCAGAAAAAATATTACAAATATATTCTTACTAGAAATTTCGAAGCACTTAATGCCAAAGGTAGTGGACATCAGGTTTCCCTCGTAAACATTATGATGGATTTGAAAAAATGTTGCAATCATCCCTACCTGTTTCCTGGTGCGGCTGTTGAAGCACCCAAATTACCAAATGGCCTTTATGAAATAAATGCCTTGACCAAAGCATGTGGGAAACTTATCTTATTACAAAAAATGTTGCGTAAACTATATGAACAAGGCCATCGAGTATTGATTTTTTCACAAATGACTAAAATGTTGGATATTCTTGAAGATTTTCTCGAAGGCGAAGGTTATAAATATGAACGAATTGATGGCGGCATTACCGGATCACTTCGACAAGAAGCCATTGATCGTTTCAACGCTCCAGGAGCACAACAGTTTTGTTTCCTTTTGTCCACCCGTGCTGGTGGTCTTGGTATCAATTTGGCTACAGCCGATACGGTCGTTATTTATGATTCGGATTGGAATCCACACAATGATATACAGGCATTTAGCCGTGCTCATCGTATTGGTCAATCAAACAAAGTGATGATCTATCGATTTGTCACTCGTGCATCGGTTGAAGAACGTATCACACAAGTGGCTAAAAAGAAAATGATGTTAACACATTTGGTAGTGAGACCTGGTATGGGTGGCCGTAGTGCTGCAATGTCCAAACAAGAACTCGATGATATTCTGCGATTTGGCACTGAAGATTTATTCAAAGATGAAGAAGGTGCTGAAGATAGTACAATTCATTATGATGATAAAGCTATCGAAGAACTTCTTGATCGAACAAAAGAAGGAATCGAGCAGAAAGAGCTTTGGGCTAATGAATATTTAAGTTCATTTAAAGTGGCATCTTATGTTACAAAAGATGCAGAGGATGAGGAACCTGAAACCGAAATCCTTAAACAAGATATTGAAAGTGCCGATCCAGCCTATTGGGAAAAACTTCTTCGTCATCATTATGAACAGCAACAAGAAGATCTCGCTCGAACATTGGGCAAAGGTAAACGGCTCCGTAAACAGGTCAACTATAATGATGCTATGGGTGGTTCGCAAGAAGATCAAAATTGGCAAGAAAATGTCTCAGATTACAATTCCGATTTCTCTGTTCCTTCAGGTATGGACTTTTGTATCAACTAATTGATTTTGTATTTATTTATTTATTTTTAATTTTATTTCAAGACGGTGATGAAGATGATGAATATGATGAGAACAGAGAAGAGAAATTTATGCGTCGTAAATATCGTGATCGTAATGATAAAGATCGTCCGTTACCGCCATTATTGGCCAGGGTTGGTGGCAATATTGAGGTACGTATTTTTTTCTGCATTTGTTGCGACGCTTTTCCAGGATTGACATTACAAAGATATCTGGATTTTTTGATGTGTTTATCCTTTGGAAAATTTCGTCGCTATATTATGATTTGTGATGTTTAGAAAACAAATGCTCGACAAATAGTTTCGCAAAGTTTTAAAGGTAGTCACTAACATTTTTTTTGTTTTAGGTCTTGGGATTCAATGCTCGACAACGAAAAGCATTCCTGAACGCTATTATGCGTTACGGAATGCCACCGCAAGATGCATTCAATTCTCAATGGCTTGTTCGTGATCTTCGTGGTAAATCAGAAAAGAATTTTTGGGCCTATGTTTCATTATTTATGAGACATTTATGTGAACCTGGTCCTGACAACGCGGAAACGTTTGCCGACGGTGTTCCTCGAGAAGGTATCTCTAGGCAGCATGTTCTCACCCGTATCGGTGTCATGTCGTTGATTCGGAAGAAAGTCCAAGAATTTGAACATATCAATGGATTCATTTCGATGGAATTGCCAGAAATAATGATGCCTCCTCCACCTCCAAATAACAATGCTGAGGACCTTCAACAACCACAAACAAATGGAAAACTCGATGATTCGATAGACAATCAGACAGAGGGCGCTAAGACTAAAGAAATCAAAGATGAAGCTGCCGATGATCATGATGTTGATAAAGATAAAAAAGTGACTGAAGAGAGAGCAGGGACTGAAAACGAATCTGAAACCATGAACAAAAATGGTACCAGCGATAAAGAAAAAGATAAGGAAAATATTCCAACGGATTTATCCAGTGGTATTAAACCACAGCATCAAGCTGATATAAAATCATCGAAAAAAGATAGTAAAGATAATGGAGTACCAAGATTTATGTTCAACATTGCTGACGGTGGCTTCACCGAACTTCATTCCTTATGGACAAATGAGGAAAAAGCTGCATCCGGCCGTGAATATGAAATCTGGCATCGACGGCATGATTATTGGCTTCTTGCCGGCATCATTAAACATGGATATGGTCGCTGGCAAGATATACAAAATGATCCTGTCTTTGTTATCATAAATGAGGTAAGGTTTTTTGTAATCTATAGTTTTGTTTCAAATATCCAATCATTTTTTTAAATAATAGCCTTTCAAAATGGATGCTGGCAAAGGAAACTTTTTGGAAATCAAAAACAAATTTTTAGCACGGCGTTTCAAATTGCTTGAACAAGCATTGGTCATTGAAGAGCAATTACGTCGTGCTGCATATCTAAATTTAACCCAAGATATTAACCATCCTGTGATGGCATTGAATACTCGATTCGCCGAATTGGATAGTTATGTTGAATCACATAAAGATTTCGTTAAGGATTGTAGCCAAAAACCAGTGAACGCTATCTTGCATAAAGTATTGAATCAATTGGAAGAATTACTTTCGGACATGAAATCCGATGCTAGCCGATTACCAAATGCATTGGTTCGAATTCCGTCCGTTTCACAACGATTACAGTTATCGGAAAGAGGTAATTTCAAAAATATATGAAATTCTTTTCATTTCAATTATAATCATTTAAAATATTTTTTTAGGCATCCTGTCTCGATTGACCACACAGCCACAACCATTTGTTGTCAATAACCATATGGATTTGGCTAATCAAGGACCAGCATTTAGTAATCTAACTACGGCCGCCAAGTGATGGTCATTTCAATATAGGTTCTTTTTATTAATGATATCAAAAAATCTAGGAATTTCCTTTGATTCCTTTTTGCATTAACCATTCATCCCACTTGTTTGCATATGTCAATTTGGTCTCACATCCACTATCATTTAGTTTTATAATCATCATCATCATCATCCCTCCATTCATTCATTGTGACCATCACCATCAATTACTAATCATCTTTGGTTTTTAACTATATAATTCATAAATATTCTTTATTCTTGTACTATGTAAATTATTATCACAATTACACAGACTCAGCTAAAATACTTCTATACGCATTTTCAAATGACAACTTCAACTTTCTTCTAACAATTTGATATTTAAGATTGTTTTATTGAAAAAAATGATTTTTGTAGTCATCATTTTCAAAATCTCATCACACACACACACACACACATTATTATAATTTGTAATTTGTTTTACACAAACGCCCAAATTTACATTTATTGCAAGAATGATTAACGATTTGTCAAAATTTTAAAAAATTTCCTAAAAATTACTTATATCAATATGAATAAATTGATTATTAATATTAATAAATTGGATGTAAAGAAAAAAATCCCCTTTAAAAACATTACACCGTACAAGCGATACAAATAAAATAATTATGAAAAACTAAGAAAAACTTGAAATAATCGAGTGTGTGTGTGTGTGTGTGTGGGTGTCGAATCTAAAAATTTGAAAATAGTACAACAACAAAAAAAATCAAAATAGTAAATTATAGATAATCTTTTATATAATGATTCAAGAATCGATTTAATCGGTATGGTACCATCCATGGTTGACATATATAAATAGGGTACATTATTGTTAATTAGATTCATATTGTACGGTTGCATGGTCTACTGGTCATATTAGGATTATTAACAAATTATTATAATTTATCCATTCTGATATTATGCTGTTATGAATTTGTTTTTGTGTGTGTGTGTGTGTGTACGAAAATGGGTGCAGATTCTATACATATAATGATAGATAGATATGTAGATAAATCAAGCTGTTACCTAATTTTTTTGTTCTAGAGAAAAATATAGATAATATAATGGAAACAAATTTTTTCTCGAAATAAAACGATTTGTGTATACGAAATATAATCATTGATATATGATAATGGACTTCTATATCTTTGACCCAGTTCAGGGCCAAATGGTTTTTCATATTTTCATTCTATGAGAATAAACCATCTACAGATACCCATCCATCCACACGTTCGAGAGTGTGTTTGGGCAGATTCGTGTTTTGAATAAATAATCCATGATCGATGAACCACAATGATGATGATGGTCATGATAATGATGACGCACAACTGATTCAAGAATCAGAAATTTGTTTTTCTTTTGTTTTGTTGGAATTTATATATTTTTCTTGATTTAGGGTGACTATAATTTATTCATTCCGTGTTTTATTGTTGTTTTTGAATTTTTGGCTACCGAATTGCTTACTATTATGTAATACATATGCGATGTGGATTTGTATTCACCAGATTCAATTAATCATTGAATGGCATACAATTAAATGGCGATACCATTGGGAATTTTATTCTGTTTCATAACGTTGTTATTTGCTACAATTTTTTTGTTCGATTAGTTTGACAATTTGAAAATGATGATAATGATGGTAGAATCGGTCAATCTAAAGTTAAGTCAGTTTATAACCAAATTTCATTCCAAGTAGTGACTTAAATTCCATTAAAATTTAGACATAATCATCATCAATTATTAAATGCCTAATAGTATGGGAAAAATGAAACAGTCATCATGTTTTTTAAATTATTTCGTTAGAATAATAAATGAGAAAAAAAATATAATATAATCCTATATAAGCGTAATATATTCGATTAATAAAACAAAACAAAACAAAAATTTCTTTTTTTTTCCATCCATTCATTCATATTATCAGTGATCCACCTCTCAAACATATACATAACATTTGTATATATACAAAATGGAAGCAATCTCAAATGTACTATGTAATTCCATTTTTCCTAATTATCCTTCACTAGTTTTTTTTCTACCTTTTTATCAATCGTATAAAAACGTCATTCATTGTTAATACAATAATTTATTAAGCTATATGATTGCTCATTACTTATGGATTACATACCAAAAAAAAAAGTTGTAGTTGAATGAGAGAAAAAAAGGATTTGATTCGTGATAGTGGTTCGATTATTTTTTTTTACGATCATTATCATCATCGCAGGGTACAAAGAACTCTTTGGTCGCATGGTAGCCAAATTTTTTCTATAATGAAATGTAATTTATGTTTTGACCAGCAATGACAATGAGATTGTCCGGTTGTCAAGGCTGTCAACTAGTGTAAGTATTCTATTCTAGCAGACGGAAGTGACCGTTTTAGAATTCAGAATCCCAGTTAGATAGTCTCAGGTGTTCTGACCCGGACAAACAAAAACAGAATAAAAATTCTTCATTGTGACTGATCGTTAATTCTAATTTTTATTCATGCATAAGAATTGTGGTATGAAATGTTCGAATTTCATTAGTGACTAACCGTGGTGTGTGTGTGTGTGTGTGTTTGAATGTGTTTGACTACTATGACTAATTTCACCATTATGGGCAAAAATTTTTTTTTTATAAATTTGAAATGAAACATTTTTCTCTCATCGTATATTGCATTAAAGGCTGGCGTCATATCTATTTAATTGTTTCATTCGTCTTGATTATACAAAAAACTGAGTTGCTTCATGTGTGTATGGTGTGTGGTGTTTATATATCATCACAATGAATTAATGGCTTTAATTCTTGATTTAAATTTTTGATTAATCCCAAATAACGAATGAATGAATAATCATCGATTGCCAATAGATTTTAATATTGGTCCAGCACCATCGTCAACAATATCTTCGAAGGCTATTCGTGAGGCATCAGAACGAAAGGCAAAAAAATTACATTTCTATCAGAATGGCCGGCCATACGGTTCAAAGTTGACCGTATCAATTATACCGGGAAAGGAATTTACCGGTCTTGAACAATTTTATGAATTTTTAACGGAAAAAACTCGCCTTTTAAATGGTGTTCATTATATATTCACTTCAAATGGTAAACTAATTCGATCATTGGACGAACTTGAACATGATCAAACATATGTTATATCCTGTTCCAAGAATTTTGTTCATTTTGCATACGGATCATCTAATCCATCGCAACGGTTAACTACCGGTACACCAACAAATGCTGTCCGGCACAAGTTTGCACGTGAAGATGATCTCAAATTATTGCGTCCATTATCATCAAAATTTAACAATGTTTATGCTGTTAATCATCATTATCATAAATTGAATCAAAATATTAATAATAATTGTCATATAGAAAAACCACAACAAACAACGATAATTCATACACCTAATCGTGATATACGAACCGTTACGATAGTCAACAATAAAAACCATGATATTCATTCGAAAGTAATTTTAAATTTAAAAACACCAAAATCATTCGATCTTTTGTTGACCGATTTAGGCGATGCTGTTCAACTAAAATGTCCAAGAGTTATGTTCACATCGAATGGTCAAATGGTAAGACAAATTAATTCTTGAATTTTTGTTTACAATAATTTATTTGGTTTTCAATGTTTAGGTGAATAGTATATCACAATTAAAACATGATTTAGCACACATTAATCTATTCTATATTGATAACGAATATCCTCATGAACCATTATCAATGTATCCAAGATCACCTACACCGAAAGGCTATCAATCACCAATCGATAATAATTGTTATCACTGCAATGGATTTCCCATGCAACAACAGCTAGAAACATTGATTTCACATTCATTGTTGAATAACAATATGAACACAAATTTCTCATCATCAGTCCAATCAAATCAGGTAATATCCCCTACAATCAATCATGATACTTTACCGTTTTCTCCGGAAGTTACAAATCGTCGTATAAATCGTCAAACGCAAGCAACCAATCAACGTAAAATATCAACACCAAAATTCGATATGTCCACACCATTATTTGTGGATCGAAGTAAACAACCTGAACATCAACAATGTCTAGGACCAATATTTGGTCTTGATCAGATTACTTCGGATAAATATAATCAGATACAAAATTATGTGGAAAAATTGCTCAACGATACTTCAATACAGATTCAAAATGAAGGTCTACTAGTATCACCTAGTATTAGCCCACAACAAAATCTCAATGTTCAACAACAACAACAACAGCAGCAATCTAAAGCTGAACGAAATCGTAAGAATTCAATGAAATTGAAAAAACAACAAACGGAAAGAAATTCTCCAAAACGAACTAAAAGTTTGCCAAGAGGTGCCATGAAATTGAATCCAGAACCACCAATTATATCTAGGGGACCAATCAAACAAGCCGATAAAAAGCTCTCAAGAATATCACAGATTAAACGACCTAATGCCCGAATCGATACATCAAAGAAAAAAGTTGGAAATTTAAATAAAAGTAGCGATGATATAAACTATAAAACAAACAGTACCTTCAGCGAAAATGATTTATCATTTCAATGTCAGCATTCAAAACGATCACTGCCCACATTGAATCGATCAACAGAAACAATCAACAAACAAAAACAAAAACAAGAAACTTTGACGCCAATCTTAAAACGAAAAGCCATTGGATCGAATGAAAGTCTTAAAATATCGCAGCATAAAACACCAATTAACAATAATTTTATCCAGCGACAAAGAAAAGCGAAATCTCCTACTCCTTGTCTGCGATTACAAGTTCCAGATAATAATAATGAAATATTCAACACATCAACGATGACAATACGCGCGGGAAAATCATCAGAAAATCTATTTTCTAATATAAAAAAGCAACCCTTCAAACTGCCTGTGAAATCCAAAAGTTTTGTCCTATCTTCCAGCAATAATAATCAATCGAGTAATTCAACAAAAATGAAACGAGGACCATCGGATCTTAACGTTGGTGCTAAGGCCAAATCATCTATAGCGCTGAACAAATTGCGTGATATTGAAAAGCATTTGCATGGCACGCTTTCAACGTCTGAATATTATCTGGAATTAGACAAAGTGTAAGTTCATATTTTCAAAGAATTTATGGTTTTCAAATTTTTTTTCCCATAATAAAGCTACGGTTACAATGGTAAACAAGTACAAAATCTTGTCTATTTGAATACCGAAGAGTTGGCATTCTTTTCCGGTGTGTTTGCCATATTATGGAATCATCAATCCGGAAAACAAAGATTTTATACTGAACATGAACATGATATTTGCTGGTAAGACAATATTTGATGGCATGTTGATTATCAACTTCTAATCAAATCCTGAACGAAGCCTTAGAGTAGATCCTAGCTGTGAATACATTGCAACTGGACATGATACGAATTCTACTATGATGATTCGTATTTGGTCAATCAAAACGCTAAAAACGGTTAAAATTCTAACGAACAAATGTGAGCTGATCGACATGGAATTCACGACAAATGTATAATTAGCGGTTCAGAAATTTGTTCATTTTTTTACTTATCTAGTATTTTTTTTTTTTTTTGTTAGAATTCACTCTTTATGTTGACAGGTGGTAAAGAATCCAACATAAGTCAATGGAATTGGAGGCTTAAGATTAATATTGCCAATACAACGGTATGTTGGAATTTTGAATGATTTTTTTAAAAATTAAATCTTGATTGTAGAAATCACTGGACAATAACGAACAACTATACGGTTTGACTGTTCATCCTACCGAAACCGATATTGTGGTCACTTATGGCAAAATGCATTTGGTTGTATGGCATTTCAAAAAAGATCGATCCATCGATAGCAGGACTGCATTACAAATGGTTTGAAATTAGCTATCCATTCGTTATGAAATTTTTAATTTTTTTTCTCATTTTCATTTAGCAATCAAAAATCATTAAAACTATTCATTGTGCTGCTTTTCTCCAGGATAATAGTTTATTAACCGGTGATTCTCAAGGCAATTTAACCATTTGGGCACCATTCGAAGTTGATAAAGTATTAGAATTTGCCATCAAAGAAGTTAAAGGTCATGAATCGCAATTAACTTGTTTCAAGCTGACCAAAGAGAACATATTGATTAGTGGTGATCGAGATGGTGCTATTAAAACCTGGGATGTCAATGATAATGAATTTAGATTGTTAAACGCAGTAAAATTGCCATCGATAAGCGGTTCGGTATCGGCTATTACACCGCCGAAGAAATTGGACGAATCAATGAATATTTACATTGGAACTTCGAATAATTTTATCCTGAAAGGATCGGCTATAGAAACCGAAGATTATCAGATCATTTTTGAGGGTCATTATATGGCCATTCGAACATGTTCATTAGATTACAATAACAATATTTATACGGCATCGTTAGATCGAAAAATATGTAAATGGAATGATTTTGGCCTTGTTTGGAAAACGGATTCTAGTGTAAGTGTAATATTTTATTTATTGCCAATTCAAATGAAATCATTTTTCATTGATTCTATACATCAGATACAAGGAATGTCCTCTAGCGTTCATCCGGCAGGTCAAGTATTGGCAGTTGGTTCCGCAACCGGTATAATTGCAATTTTCAATTCTGGTTCCGGTGAACCAATCCAATATATTCAATTAACAACCGTTTGCATTGGTTGTATGTCATATGATGTAAATGGTGATTTTTTAGCTGCTGGATGTCAGGATGGATGTCTTCATGTGATACCTGTTCGAGATAATGGACATACATATGATAAGGTTTCCATTCTTAAAGGTCCATCGCCAATATTAACCTTACAATGGTCAATCGACACACAATTCATATTAACTTCAGTTGATGATAGTAAGCGTTCAATTGTTGTATGAATTTTCAATAATTAAATTTTTTGTTTATTTTCTGAAGACATGTATCAGGAATTGATACTATGTAAGTTTATTCTATTCATAATGATTAATCAATTAACAATTTTATTTTATTTAGGGGATTTACCCAACACACGTTACATTCGAAATGTAACAAGTTTTTCCGATAATCTTCAATGGCATAATGTCACTTGTAGCGGATTAGAAGATGCTCGTGGTACATGGGATAATGAAAAATTCAAAGATGTCATCAATATTTGTAAGAATTATTCACCCAATTTGAAATGTATCGTTACTGGTGATGAAAATGGTTTCATAAGATTATTTGCTTATCCCTGTTATGATACTAAGGTTAGTTTAGATAGCCATTTATCAACTTGTAACGTTTTAATTGATTTTTTTCCCATTTAAAAAGGCATCATACTTTCAATATAAACAAGGTGGTGGTAGCGTGACGGATGTGAAATTTGCTCCAAACGAATCATTTATTGCATCATGTAATTTTAATGGCACTGTTTTTGTTTGGCGTTTAATTGAATATCCAAAATTGTCCAAGACAATGACAAAATCATAATTTTGCAAAATATTGCAAATGGATACATATATTTTTTTGTCAATGTAAAACGAAACAAAAATTGAAATAAAATTTTTATTCAATTTAAAAATCAACAAACAAACAAAAATTTTCATCAAATCAAACAAATTCCGGTTCCACATTGACCACATCGATTGTGATGGATGGTGTTTTCGGATGTTGTCGTTTTATTACTGGATTATTTTCAATAATCATTTCAATTTCATTATTGACCATTTCAGTTAATACAGGATAGATCTGTTTATAATTAATATAAATAATGGATTAATAATATGATGATGATGATGATGATTACAAAAAAAATTATTAAGAAAAACATCATACTTTGATAGAATTAAGTTTTTGATAAAGTTCAGCAACTGTTGTTGCAGTAACCAAAATGCAATTGACATTTTCGTTTTGTAGACACCAAGCTATGTTTTAAAAAAGATTAGCAAGATAAACGTTAATTTAATTTTGAAATTTTAAACAAATTATATTATACCTAACGCAAGTTGTGTGAGATCGCATTGAAGTTTGTCGCATAATTTTTGTAATTCATTGAATTTAAGCTGATTCTCTTTGTTCTGTTGTCTTCGAGTGATATGTGAAATACCTTCATCATTCTGTAACGAGATGGGCGACCAAGTAATACAACCAATACCGGCCTTATGAAATAGTTCAAGCATTTGTAATTCCATTTTATCTCTAGAAAACATATGATATTCCATTTGTTCACAAATTGGCGGTGGACAGTTATATTGTCGAGAAATGGAGAAAGCTTCGGCAATGTGCATTGTAGAGAATCGTGATGTGCCCCAATAAAAAATAAGACCGCGATTGATTAGATAGGACATTGTTCGAACAAGCTCTTCCATTGGACACATTGCGTCCAATTTATGTACGATGATAATGTCAATATATTTCGTTTGTAATCGACGAAGTGATGCTTCCACTGCTTCAATAATAAACTTTCGCGATAAACCTGCACCCATATGAGCTGATGGTCCAGTTTTCCAGAATATTTTTGTCGATATAATATAAGAATTTCGTGGCCATGGTCGTCTTTTCAGTACTTTACCTAATAATGTTTCAGCTCGACCATTTTCAAATGCATCACCGGTATCAAAGTAATTGACACCATTTTCAAGTGCTGCTGTAATTATTTTTTCGGCCGTATCTTCAGAAACATGGCTAAAACTATTCCATGCTGAAAATGCAAGAATCGGAACACGTAAACCATTTTTTCCAATATTTCGATATTTCATAGCCACTCTTTCCTGTGGTGGTAAATGATTGATAGTGATGATATTATTATTGTTGCCAGTTAATGAATCATCAATATTATTATCATCAGTATTTGAATATATTTTATCGAAAATCTGTACAATATTTTCATTTTTGAAAAATAATTCTTTTTTCTTGTCCATGGCTGCATGATATTGTGAACGTTGACGATCAAGATCACCTTGATCAAAGGATTTTGCTTTATTATTCATCATCATGATGAGCGGTGTTTGAGAATTTCGTTGTTGTGTTTGAAAATTATTATTATTATTCATTGCCGTTGGTTGCGTTACATTGGCTGTTGCTGATGGTGATGAAGCCAGATAATTATGGAAAAATTCCTGATGATTATCATTGACAACATTTGATGAATGTAAAGTATCTTCATTAATCATATGATATTCTTGTTGGCTGTTTGACATTTTTATTCCATTGAATGAAACAGAAAAAAAACGAACTAAACGAAAGGAAAAAAAAAATAAACGAAACAAAACTGATAACAACAATCAACAAACAAACAAAATAAAACTACTACAACGAAAAAAATATGGTCGTTGATCCGAGTTTAGTCTTGGATGGATGAGACAAAAAAAGAAGAAAAAAAGTAAACAAACAAACAATAAAATAACAAACCGAAAAATTATGAACACAAACAAACCGAGCGAAGAATAATTTGAGCAGCATATAGAACTATATTCTACCAATGTTGCTCACATCATCCAAAATGGAAAATATTCTTCGTTACGGAAGAATCTATTGGACGCCATATTATTCTTTGCTATATATCATCGATCGTGTGTCTGTGTGTGTGTGAGGGCAAACCAGAATATACCACATATGGCTATATTATGCGGGGACGAGGAGAATGAGTGATTTTCGGATTTTTATCAAATTGAATGAAAATGAAAAACAAAAACAAAAAATCATGCACCAAATTTTTTTTCAAAGAATTACAAAAAAAAAGAATAAAATTTTATTCTTGAACTTAAGCTTTTGTCTATCAATGTCTGTGTGTGTGAGTGTGTGTGCGCATCCATGTGTGCCTGGTCTGTTGTATCGAATTCAAATTGAAATTTTTTTTTTCTTGAATTCTGGATTCGGTCAGTTTTATGTGAAAAAATTCGCATTTTTTTGAAATTTTTTGTTGTTGTTGTTGCTTTTTGCCCCCAAAAACCATAAAGGGCTGACTAACTGTTTAGACCAGTTTAGCCTGAATGTTATCAAAAACTGAAACACCGATATGATTCAATATTTGTTCGATTAGGTCCATCATTTCCGTTCTTTGTCGTTGGATGTTTTTCTTTTCGTTTTTTTTGTTTTGTTTTGTACATATTTTGATGATATCACAGCAATGAGCATAGGATGAGTTTTTGTTGGTGGAAAGTGAAAGGAAATACAAACACATGCACACATATATACGAATTATTTCGACAAAAATACGAAATTTTGGAACCAAAGTCTCTAATCCAGACATAAATTAAAAAAAATTAATCATAATAGTAGTACAGATACATTGAATAAATTAGAATTTTAAAAAAACCATTATAAATGGATTTCTTTTTGCAATGATGATTTCAAAATCGAAGATATGAATGGATGAATAATGTTAGTGTGTGTGTGTGTGTGTTGAGATATATTTGTAATGACTAATGTGAATGATAAAATAATGAAAAATTTAAAGTGTACAAAGATTTTATCAAGCTATTTGTGTGGATTAATTTTTTTTTTTTTTTTTTTTTGCTTTGTTTTTCTTCGATACATTCGAATATCGAATATGGATGATGATCAGTGTTTTTATTCCTGTATACTGTATGTGTGATTGCTCTTTGGCGTTCGAGACCATATATAAATGGATTTAGAATTTACAAGACAAAAAAAAAGACAAAAAAAACGAACAAAAAAAAAAGTATTGAGAATCATTGGAAATTAGAGATTGTAATAAAATTGGGAGACAAGAGCCAGGTTATTAATTTGAAATAATATATTAGTTATATTATATAATCGATTGATCCAAATCATTATTGGACATTCACTAATGATGTAATCTGGTTAGATTTGATTATTTTAATCAAATTGGATTGAAATTGTATCATTTTTGTTTCATGCCCAATAAGTAGAATTATTATTAGTATTCGAATTATTCGATAATGATGAAGTCTGTACTGTTGTAACGGTTGTTGCTTTTGGTACGGACGATTTGACAGCCTTTAGTGTTGAACCATTATGAAATCGTTGTTGTTGCTGATGATGAGTTGTAGTACCGTTTCCTGTCTGCCTATTTGTTGGTTGACTTAGATTATCTAACATATTCTGTGCGATCATATTGGCAGATACAATTTGATTACTTGCAGGTGCTGCAATCACAGCAGTTGTCGTTGTTGTTGCCGGAGTTTCAAGTTCTATTCCGTTCGTAATCAAACTTGTCACAAGAATATCGTTAAGATTCAAAGCGATTTCCTCACCGAAATTTTCTTCTTTAACTTTTTGCCCTTGTTGTTGCTGATGGTGTTGAAGATTAGTTTGTTGATGCTGCTGTTTTAACGTTTGCAATACAATTTGTTGAGTATCTTTCTGGTGTTTAGGATCGAATCTCATTTGCTCAAAATGTGATAAAAGACCTTTAGAAATAATATAAATAAATCAATCTAAATGTATTAAATTTGGAAATTAAAAACTTACTATATTCATTAGCAAAAACGATCGAACATATACTGCATGGCCATAATGTAATTGCTGTTGTCATCGCTGGTGTGGTAGCTAATGCCATAGCTGATGAATTGGTTATATTCGATATTGTCGATGATGATGATGATGATGAAGATGATAATGATTCTTGTTGTTGACGATGTTGATGATTAATTTCAAAATGTTTTTTGAAAGACGATTCATCCAAATAAATTTTATTACAAAGTTGGCACGTATATGTTAGGATACTTTGAGTTATTGGCTGGGATAATAATTGATGTTGCTGTTGTTGTTGTGGCTGCTGTTGATTTGGAATCATTTGCTGATTTACACCAACGGTTATTCCTAATTGTTTTTCTATATATATACAAATGATGATCATAATAATAATAATATAATGGTTTTTTTATGTTACAATAAGAATATTATTTAATTGGAATTGTGGAATCGGATCGAATAGAAATGGGATCAAATATATAGAGTGTCATTTAGTAGCAAAGTAGTTTGGATTTTGATTCAAGTTACCTACGATTTGCGTAGGATTCATCAGGTCAGCATGTTTCTAAAAGAGAAAAATAAATTTGAATTAAATCAACATTTAAGTTCATTTTAATATGAGAATAATAAATTCTTTCTGCAAACCTTGGTCTGATGGTGTAATAATGAATTATGTCCTTTAAAACCTTTTCCACAATGTGGACAGAAAAAATTCTTATCAACATCTTTACTGGATGCTGATGATGAATCCTCATGTGTTTTCATATGTTGGGTTAGATTCGATTGTTGAATGAATGATCTTCCACAATCACATTTAAACGGTCTTTCACCGGTATGTAGGCGGGTGTGTTGCTGAAGATGACTCAATTGTTTGAACTTCCTGTTAATAATGAGTTGAATTAAAATTATTGTTCTATTATATCCTAATTGATTATTCGAAGTTCAATCGTAATACCTTTCGCAATATGTACATCCGTATGGACGTTCGCCCGTATGTAGTCGTGCATGTTGGGCCAATTGATGAACGGATGAAAAAGATTTACGACATTCTGTACATGAATGTGGTTTTTTTCCAGCTTGTGATAATGCAGCTGCTGTTGCTGGTGATAATGACATTTTTGATTTTTGTTTGTCCAATCAATTGTTGTTGTTGTTGCGGAAATAATTTATTAATTTTTTTTTGGCTGAAATTGTTTCGTCAACTGAATTATCAATCAATTTACATGGAAGAACGGTTCAGATTTGATAATCATTGAACTTTTCTTATTAATTTATTCAATTTTCATTAAATTTTTTTTTTTTTTTTTTTTTTTTTGAAATAATTCCCTCGCAAAAAAATGATGATTATCATTAAAAAAAATAAAAACAAAAGACACCTGGAAAAAAAATTCACAAAAATTCATTTCAATTCATTATTTAATACACACAACACACACATCATACAGCACAAAACCATGGTGGCAGACACCGACGGTTGGATGGACAGAACGACAGACAAAGTGAGGGTGTCGAAGCTACAAAAAAAAAGGCGTTTAAGACTCATTATTATTCGTTGTACCACTACTGCTGATGGCCGTTGGCACTATTATGGATGTCTACAATGGCTACAAATGTAGCAAAAAACAAAATAAAAAATGGGAGCTGGAATTGATGACACAACGAGCCAGGTGAAAGATAGTAGCATTGGAATAAAGTATATAAAAACTGAATTATAGCACCATCTAGTGATAATCAGATTAAAAATGAAAAAAATTTGTCAAATATAAAAATCAACAAAAAGAAAAGCCTTGGATACAGAAAGAAAGAAGAAAAAAAAAAACATGACAGGACAAGCCAACAAGCATATGAATATACAAAATACGCCAAAAGATCGGGATTCATAGAATTGAGAAAAAAAAATATGCGCGCACATCGAATTTGATTTCGAAATTGATTTGTAGGCAAAAAAAAAAAAAAAAAAATAAAAATGAAAACAACAAAAAAACCCAAAGACAAAAATGAAAATGTGATTCAATTTATTTTTGTAATTGATTGATTAGAAAAAAAAATTTTTTTTTTTTTTGTTCAGCCTTATACCACACCATTACATTAAAATTCAGGAAAACAAAAAAAAATTGTTAAATAAATGGATGAATCATATATGATCAATGGATGAATTATCCGGGTTTATGTATGTATGTTATTAAGATTGGTTGATTGATTATTAATATTTTTTTGTTGTATCTGATTTATATTTGAAATTTCAAAAAAAAAAAAATAATAATAAAATAATGCGATTTATCAATATGATGATGATTAATATGAAAATGAATACGCGATAAAGTAAGAGAATGAAAAAGAAAAAAAAATCCAATAAAATCATATGGGTGTTTTCAGTAGGTGTGTGTGTGTGTGGTATATTTGTCCATGCAAAATTGAGCTATATAATATATATGATGAATCGTGTGTGTATATATATATATGAATCATGGATCATCATTCTATTGTTGATAAAATAAAAAAAAAATTCAAAAATTCAATCGATTAATTTAACGAATATATGTTCATTAGGGTTAGTAATATTTAAATCATTCATTGTTTTTTTGTTTGTTTGTTTGTTATCATTATTGGATTCATTGGACATATGTGTGTGGGTGGGTGTGTAGGTTATTATTTTTCATTCGGGTGCACAAACAATTTTTGTTTCATCGATTTTGTGTTTTCAAATCAAAATTTATATAAAAATAGAATTAGTTTGTGTGAAATATCTGTATATGAATGTGTGTGTGTGTTTTTATTCATTTCATATATTGATGATTATTTGGTATTATTTATAAATATATCGTTCATATCTACTAAAAAAAAAATCATTCAGATTCGAATTGATTGATTGGAGAAAAAAAAACAAACAATGTTTCGTTTTTGTATTTTTATGTTAAATAAATTGTAACCAAGTAAACAAGGACATTGATCCACATTTGATATAAAGATTTAGGATAAATCTTTGATCCGTATAGTTTTTGTATCATCATCATCATCATCAGAGTATATATATAAAAAAAAATTATCGATGTTTTTTTTCATTTCATGTGTGTGTGTGTGTGTGTGTGTGTAGTATATACAATAATTCACACGCATTATAATTAGATATAATATATAAAATTCATCATCATTCATGGCCACCTCTAATACATATATCTTTTTATCTTCCACATAATTCCATGAAATTTTCACTGTCAAATTTTGGTTTTCATTACTGTTGCTGTTCAAAAAAAAAAAAAAAATTAATTGATAGGATTTTGATGTATATCTTATATATCTTGATTATTAGCGATTAGTTTGGCTTTAATAATGATGATGATGACAGAGTGACATACATTATTATTAGTAGGTTGAATTTATTCAATATTTTTGAACAAAAAAAAAACGAAAGAAAATTTTTTGGTTGATATATTATTTTAATCTTTTTTTTTCATGGAAGCAAAATGGTTATTATGATGATGAGATATTAATAATTAAAAGTGGTATATAGGATGAATCACAGACACACTGAACATTGTCGATAACATAATTAATGAGTGGTGATGATGATGATTATTTTGTTGTCATTGTCATTAATCGGTCGTTTCTTTCAATGAGATCGAATGTTGTTGTTGTTGTTGTTCATTACCAACAATAGTTGTTCCAACAATGTTGGATGTTGATGTATTTACAAAATTACGTATCTGATTCAATGCAATCAATTGATTTGGAAATGAAATCGGCTGATTAACGGCAGCATTCTTATCTAATGATGATAAATTCGTTACAATTGAAGATGATGTTGTTGATGATGATTTTTTATTACTCGCATTGACATTTACACTACCACTTGGATTTGTCGCTACAACCATACCGGTGATTGTATCCATACCAGAAATTTTATTCGGAAAATTGAATGGCTCGTGCGTTGGAAAATAAGACGTCATTCGAAATGTTTGATTATTTGATGAATTTATGGAATTTTGTGGTAATGGAAATGCTGTTGTACTAGTCGTAGCTGATTTATTGGAATTATTGGCGATCATTTGTAAATCCAGACCATTATTATTAACGTAAATCGCTGATGACGATGGATCGAATGTCGATATAGGTAGAATGCAATGATTTTGTTGACGATTAGCATTCGTTACTGATAATTGTGATGAATTAAGGTTACATTCAATTGGATTCGATTTGGACCAATAATGAATATTATTATTATCGATCAAATGTATACCAGAAGAAGTGGTTGCTGCGGTTGCATTATCACCTTGTTGTTGTTGATGGGAATGTTGTTGAAGTTGTTGTTGATGGTGAATATGATGATGCTGAGCCGATGCTGATGAATTTCGTTTCAATGTAGTTGTTGCCACCGAACCGGAACCACCACTAGCACGATCCGTATGTTTTTGCAAATGTTTTTGTAGATAGCTTTCCTGTGTATATGATTTACCACAATATTGACAAATATGTGTCTTCAAGTGTTTCGAATCTTTATGTTTAGGTATATGTTCTAAAAGGGCCCTCTCACTTTCAAAACATTTATAGCATGAATTACCTAAAAGGTTTTTTTTAGAGTTAGGTTATTTCATTATATATATTGCATTACAAATATATTACATTTAAATGGCTTATCCGTTTGATGCGAACGCGAATGCGACTGCAAATTTGACAATTGAGAAAATGCTTTAGTACAATTTCCATAACGACATTTATACGGTTTATCGCCGGTATGAGTCCGTTGATGCTGCTGCAGATGTGATAGCTGGGTAAATTTTTTAAGACAAATTTCACAAAGATAGGGACGGATACCCAAATGTATCCGGCTATGTTGCGATAAATATGATGAATTAGCGAATGATTTAGTACATTCTGTACATCGGTATGGCTTAGCTTCACGCATATGTACCTGTGTATGTAGTTGCATGTCGGCTTTTGAATAGAAAACCTTTAAAAAAAAAGAAAAATAAAATTAGATTAAATTAAATAAAAAAAAATCTGGCCAAAATAATTTCAAGTAAAAAATTTGACCAAAGTAAACAAAATTAATCTGATTAAATTATTAATAAAATAAACTAGATCTGTGTGTGTAATAACAATAAATCAGAATCAATTTGATTTTTTTTTGTTGAAATAAAAAAAAAATTTTCATTTCATTACTGATGATTTAGATGTTACGATCGTTGTCGTCGTTTTCGATGATGATGATGATGGTGAAGATGGTGAATGGCTAACAACAACAACACTTGTATGATTATTATCATGAAGATCCATTTGATTCATACTGTTTAAATTTTTAGACTAATAAATAAAAATGCGAAATGTTTCGTTTTTGTTAAGAAAATTTTCCATCCCCATAGAAAAAAAATGATCGAAAAATGTAGATGATAATGATATTGATGTACAATCATCATAATCGATAATTCAATGTATCGATTATGAATGAATGATTATTTAATGGACGAGTTAAATTGGGTGATGGATGATGATGGCCACCATCATCACCACAACCAGTGGCTATATGGCCGCTATAAAAATGTGATCAGCAACAGTTGTTGATGGATCGAATGATCATTGCCGCATTAGATTTGTATTATCATCATCATCATCATCATCATCAACAACAACACACACACACATAAACACATTGACATCATCATCAAATTGAAAAAAATAAAATCAATACAGCCCTTGTTTTTGTTTGGTTCACAGTTAAAAAAGTTGAAACAGAAAAAAAGTGTTTGATTACTTTATTTGATTGGTGTTGATGAGCTATGTGTTGTTACTCTGTTTCCATTTTTTATCAATTTTTTTTCTACTTTGAACTGATTATATCATTCTGTTAATAATAATCAAATCGAATCAAATCAAACTTATAAAATCAATCAATCAATATCAAGGTTTGAATTTGATTTTCTAGGAATTGGTATGAACATTTTTTTTTTTTTTTTTTTTGATTGAAATGAATATTTTTTTTGATGATTTCTATTTTTTCCTTGTTTATTTGTTTGTTTGTTTGTTTGAATTATTTTATCAAATTTCATGAGAATTATAACCAGAAAAAAATAGTAACAAAATTAAAACATTAGAGAAAAATAAAAATCATCTCAAGCCATCTCACCTAAATTTTTGAAAATTAAAAAAAAATCGATTCCCTAAGCAAATATTGATGAATGAAACCAATCGATTAAAGTTCATATAATAATTTTTTAACATTATCCTACAAATCACAAGTGAAAAATTCCAAACCAAAAAAAATATTGTATGGAGAAAAAATTAAAGAACTTGAATGCTCATCATATCATGCATGAAAAAAACTTTTTTTTGGAAAACAAAATTTCCAACACACACACACACATACCTGTGGACACATTTTACATTGATATTTTCGATTAAATGGAGTTATACTGCCATTGGTCGACAAACCATGTTGATGATGATAAGGATTTAGATTCTGATTGGAATTTGTTTGATGATTATGTTGTTGTTGATTTTGTTGAGAATTGTGATTAGATTGAAAATGATTCAATGATGAAAATTTTGATTGTTGACCACCAACAACAGTATTATTACTATTATTACTAGCTATACTTGTTAAAATTTGTCCAACTGTCGATGTTGATGCCACTGTCGATGTTGTTGTTGTTGTTGTTGATAATGAAGAAGAATTATTAGTATTAAGGAATTTGTTATTGAATGATGTCGATTAAATAATGTTGAATTGTTTGGCGATAATGAATCAGTGTTATTATTATTAATATTGGAAGAAGAATTTATTCCATATACAAATCCAGAAGAATTCGTTGTATTGGTTATAGATTCATTTTCATTGTTTATAACGGGCGTTGTTGTTGATATTGTTTCATTCACTGGCAACGTTCCATTAGAAGTTCCTAAGGTTGGGAACAAAAAAAAAAGAATGAAAAAAAATTATTAATGACAATCAATAAATGTAAAAAATGAAATGGATAATAATTTCAAAATAAAAAATGATTAGGATAAAAAAAATCAATCAGATTACACCACAGGTCATCTACATTATTATTTACACCATTCATGATCTGTGTACCATTTTGATCATCATTATTATTATTAACATTGGTTGTTGTTGTATTTAGTAAATTTTTAAATTTAGGTTGATAGAGAAAATTTTTTAATTTAAACAATGATATCACTGGTGGTAGATTATTCTGTTGTTGTTGATTCGTATTTTGATGATCATCATCATGTTGTATAATATCATTCATTTCAATAATATTTACTTGTTGTTGCTGTTGATCATTAAACATTAGAGATGATGATGATGATGATTGTGAATGTGAATCGATTAGATTATTGTCATTTCTAATCAATCGATCACCATAGATTATTGTATTGGTATTATTGGCATTTATATTATTATTATTGCACAAATAATTATAATTATCGTTATTATTATTATTATTATTGATAATCGATAAAGATGTTGGTGATTGTAATTGTAAAGGTGTCGATGATATTGCTAAGGATGGATTTGAAAATGATTCCATTTTTGCCGTCGTTTTCTTCATCATCATCATCATCATTATTGATGAATCATCTTTAAGATCTATTATGGTCATTTGGTCGAAAAAAATTGTGAAAAATATATTTCTTGATAGTAAATATAATAACAATAATAATAATAATAATAACAAAGACAACATTGGTACCACCAACATCATCAAAAACAACAATAACACATCATCATAATCATCATATCATCATCAACAACAACATCATAAATGACGAAACCAAAAAAAAAAAAAAAAAAAAAGTGCAGCAATACACACACACACACACACAATACATACGGCATGAAATCAAAAAATGGACTATTTTTACAAATTGGCCATAAACACACACATATATACAACAATTCTATTCGTTTTTTATTTTGTTGTAAAAAAATGTTCCAGAAGAAAAAAAAAATGGCAATGGAACTTCATATAGTTTTTCTGGTTCGTATATACAAAAAAAAAGTTTTCACACACTCAATTCATATCAATTGGAATGCGGTACACACACACACACACACACTGTATTATTATATTGTGTATAAGTTTCATAATAAAATAATGTGAAATATATGCAAAGTGAAAAAATTTGGAACAAAAAAAAATAAATAAAAATTTTTTCACTTTGGTCCAAAAGAAATTTTAAAAAAAAACTTATTTATCCCATACAATCACCATCATCATCATAAAATGCTGCTAGAACTAGAACTAAATGGGGGGATAAAACACACAAACAAAAAATTAATTGCTAGATGTTCAAATTGTTGAATGATTCTCAAGCTAGTGTTAACGCCCCGAATATGATCAAAAAAAAAAAAAAAAATTCAGGATATTCATTACAATACCACGGTTACAACCATAGATCATTATATAAAAATGGTTGCGGCCGAAAAAAAAATGAAATGAAAATTATTTAGGAAATTTAAAAATCGAAACAAAATGAATATGGAATATGCTCAAAGGATAAACGGAAAAAAAACACGATCGATACAGTTTATTACCGGTTTAAATCATTTTTTTTCTGGTCAGTATATCGAACATACACACACACACAGACGCAGAAAAATAATTCAATCAAATCAAATTGAAACCATATTTTGTCAAGTGAAAAATATCCACTTTTCATCATTCGCATCATTTTTTTTTTATATTAACGTATCTTTCATTTTCAAACAACCAATGAGCTAAAAGTTCATATACACAACAACACAAATAAACATCATCATCAAGCCATCCATACAGCAGCAGTTGACATTCACGACATAGTCCTTAGAGCAAAAGGTCCTTGCCCTTTTTTTCTGGTCGTGTCCTTTTGATTTGTCCTTTAATTCATATAAAAGTACTACACACACAAAGTTCAAAATGGTTACCAGACTTATTCCCTTTCCCCCCCGCCACACACACACACTACCACCATCATCACTTTTTCATGATTCGACTGTTTCCCATCCTCCAAGTCACCTTGAAAATAAAAATGAAACCCTTTCACATGATTTTAAAAACGTGCGGGTTAATAATACGTAAAATGGTAATACGTATAATAATAATCGATCTAGCGGTATTATAAACCGTATTATACACAAATCGGTATAGTAGATCACTTTCTATCTTTCTCGCACTTTAATGTTTGTTTGTATTAGATTTAATTGAACGAACGTTGTGTTTGCTTAATTTCAGATAAATTTAGAAATTTTTTTTTAATCATAAAAAAAATTCCATTTAATCAATGAAGAATTTCCGGAATATGAATACAATAAAAAGTCCAGAATGAATTCTTTGAATAAAAAAAAACCAACAGTAAACAAAATTTTCTTCTTGATGAACTGACCTTCATATTCACATATTGTGAATGGCTTAATTTCATTCATTTTATTTAAATTGTTGAATGATTCTCAAGCTAGTGTTAACGCCCCGAATATGATCAAAAAAAAAAAAAAAAAACAATTCAGGATATTCATTACAATACCACGGTTACAACCATAGATCATTATATAAAAATGGTTGCGGCCGAAAAAAATGAAATGAAAAAAATATTTAGGAAATTTAAAAATCGAAACAAAATGAATATGGAATATGCTCAAAGGATAAACGGAAAAAAAAACACGATCGATACAGTTTATTACCGGTTTAAATCATTTTTTTTCTGGTCAGTATATCGAACATACACACACACACAGACGCAGAAAAATAATTCAATCAAATCAAATTGAAATCATATTTTGTCAAGTGAAAAATATCCACTTTTCATCATTCGCATCATTTTTTTTATATTAACGTATCTTTCATTTTCAAACAACCAATGAGCTAAAAGTTCATATACACAACAACACAAATAAACATCATCATCAAGCCATCCATACAGCAGCAGTTGACATTCACGACATAGTCCTTAGAGCAAAAGGTCCTTGCCCTTTTTTTCTGGTCGTGTCCTTTTGATTTGTCCTTTAATTCATATAAAAGTACTACACACACACATACACAAAGTTCAAAATGGTTACCAGACTTATTCCCTTTTCCCCCGCCACACACACACTACCACCATCATCACTTTTTCAAGATTCGACTGTTTCCCATCCTCCAAGTCACCTTGAAAATAAAAATGAAACCCTTTCACATGATTTTAAAAACGTGCGGGTTAATAATACGTAAAATGGTAATACGTATTATAATAATCGATCTAGCGGTATTATAAACCGTATAGTAGATCAATTTCTATCTTTCTCGCACTTTAGTGTTTGTTTGTATTAGATTTAGTTGAACGAACGTTGTGTTTGCTTAATTTCAGATAAATTTAGAAATTTTTTTTTCATCATAAAAAAAATTCCATTTAATCAATGAAGAATTTCCGGAATATGAATACAATAAAAAGTCCAGAATGAATTCTTTGAATTAAAAAAAAACCAACAGTAAACAAAATTTTTTCTTGATGAACTGACCTTCATATTCACATATTGTGAATGGCTTAATTTCATTCATTTTTTTTTTTGATGAAAAATTCTAAACAATAGAAACCGTTTTTTCACAGTGACAACAACAACGAACAACAAAAATCTACAAGGCGGAGCCATTAACCGTTTCATTGATTTTTTTTTTTTTTTTTTTGAAAACTATAGTTTCGAAAAAAAGGCGTGTATGTAATGATTTTTTTGTTGTTGTTGTTGTTGTTGTTGTTGTCAAATACAAACAAAAAGACAAAGACAAACACACTTATTTTATTTACAATTTACTATTATATTATTAGCTGCCTATGCGCAACACATTTTTTTATTATTATTTCCCTCCCAGATTTTTTTTTTCTTTCGAATTCAATACTATCCCCTGCCTACTGATTTTTTTTTCACACATTTCACAACAAAAAAAAACACAAATGAACAAAAATTTCTACAAGACAATTGTGTAAAGAAAGAAAGAAAAACCTTAATATCATCCAATCAAAAAGCTTGATTGTATATTTCCTACCCCCTCACCTAATTGAAAAAAAATCATAAAAACCATTTTTTAATAGCCAATGGTCAATCATTATTGAATATCATGAATATGAATGAAGAGAATGTTGAATGAAATCATTTTTATTCAACAAAAATTGAATGAAAAAGAATCTAATATAGACCATTAAAGGCACCTGTGTGATTATTATGATATATATGTGTGGCTGCTCCACACACACACAAAAACACTCACAAAATATTGATTGATTTAATCATCATCATTCCAAAAAAAGTCAATAACTATGGCCAAATAACCATCAACTATTGGCCATAATAGGATTTTTCTATGAAGCTATTGGTCATTTTCTTTCTATTTTCAAAGCTATAAAAAAAGGAAAAATTCAAATAACTGGAAATCATAACCTTTCTCTGTTCAAACTACTAATAATAATTATACAAAGAATGAAAGTTTTTTGAAAATAAAATAAACATTTGATTCGATAACAAGAAAAAAAAGTGCAAAGATTTCGTTTTTTTATGATCAAATCACGACCATGTGACCATGATCGGTATGTTGTATAATGAAAATTAAAAAATAAAATGTCCATCGTACCCATATAACACTAATACACACAGCATTTGAATATAGCCATTTAGTCATTTTGTACATTTCTAGCTTACCTGTGATTTTTTTTGCCAACGATAAAGATGTAGTTTGTTGTGGAATCAACGTATTATTCAATTTCAATGATGATGAACGATTAGAATTTTGAGAATATTGATGAGCAGGCCACTCAATACTATTCCATGAACCACGAGCACATAATGATGATGATGACGATGATGCTGATGATGATATATTTTGTGGTGATGATGCTACTGATGAAGAAGATGATGATGATAATGGTGGTGGTGATGATGATGATCCAAAATTTGTATCAATTTGATGTCGATTTGGGTGTTGTTGTTGTTGTTGATAGTGATGCTGTGTTGGACTGTTGTTGTTATTGTTGTTGTTGTTGTTGTTGTTGTTATTCGTGCTAGTCGTCGTGCCATCAACGTTGGTTTGTGTTGTTGTTGCCGTAGCTGCCGAAATGACCGAAGACGACATTACCGACATCCATCGAATAAGATCGGAACTAGCAGCTGCTGCTGCTGCTGCCGCCGCTGCAGCCTGATTCGTTTTTACTGGCATTGAACGATTGAATCCTTTTATTTTATTTTTTTTTTTGATTAGAAAAATGAAAATGTCAAAAAAAAATCAATAAATAAAAATAATTTTTTAATTTCTAAAATCTAATATAACCAAAAATTACCATTAATTTCATTCGAATGATGATGATGATGATGATATGGATGATGATGTGATGAATAATAATGATGAGCAGATTGTTCCGATGTAGCTGTCGATGATGATCCGGTTGTTGGCCATAATAAGGTTTTCTATGTGTTTATGTAAAATAAACAAACAAAAAATTTGTAAAACAAGATCAAACAAAGAATAGGCAAAAAAAATAACAAATTGGATACGATTCATTTGAGATAAATTGATTTACACAACAACAATGAAAAAAAAAAGACAAAAACAAACAAAATTTAATTCAAACAAGATGACAATTGGAAAAAAATTTTATTGTCAACTTGATTCAATTTCATTAAATTGAATCTTTTTTTTTTGGTTGGATCTAAAGAAAAAACACTCGAATTCGAATTCACGAATCAATCAGCCATAAACTTTTTTTTTTTTTTGGTCCACTCATTCGACACTAAAACAGTTCGACCAGGTAGGTCGAAATATAAAATGAATTCGAATCGAACGCTTCATTGATTTGAACCATCTATCGCTTCTTCATCAACAAGTGGTTAAACATTGATTTAATGATGATGATGATGATCATCATCATCATGGTGATACCGATTGACATTCAAATTGAATTTTTATTTTGTTTCAATAAAATCAACAAAGATTTTATTTTTTTTTTGTCATCGATGTGAAAGATCAAAGATTTTTCAACGCTTTATGTTCATACTTGATTCGGTTTTAATTTTGTTTGCCAGTTTGAATCAGAATTTTGGATAATCGACAAAAAAAATTCAAAGTTTTCAACCAATATATATGATCCAATATCGTAGTAGTAAGTCTATCATTATCAATTTCGAATCACACATTAATGATCACTATTGATTAGAATCGATCGATCAATCAATTAGGAGTTTATATTCAATAGAACAAAAAGGAATGTTTATGTACAACTAACTATCAATCAATGATTCGAAAGAAACTTTTTTTAAATTGAAAATCAACGAACCATTTTCTCGAATGTAAAAAATTTAATCATCACTTGTACGTTATTCTTTTTTTTTCTTCATTTTGGACATATTCTCTCTCTATGCTCACTGGTTCAAATAAGTAAAATTTATTTCATAACATCAACATAACAACTATTCTGATTCAATTAAACACTTGATTCCATTAATGACATTGGTAAGTCAATAATCATTATCGATTCATTTATCATCATCATCATTAAATTGGCCATATCTAATATTGAAAATCATTATTCAATACTATGAAGATTTAAAAAATCAATCAATTTTAAAATTGTAATACTAAAATCATTGTGTGTTTATGTGTTTTCGTGCAACTAATCGTATACTGTTTTTCTTTTTGAGGAAAACATTTATGATATTTATGATCGAGTACCGATTATAATCAATGGATTGAAAGGGATGGAAATAAACGAAGTGACAACATTCCATTATGTCATCATCATCATCATCATCATCATCATCATCATCATCATCATCATCAGTATTATTATTGTCATATAGTGTAAAAAGTCAACGATGTAATTTTTCCATCCATAATTTCTATATAACCCTCACATGAATGAATGAATTGAACTGAACTGAACGAAAAAGAAAGCCATCCATATCTAATCGATCAAAGTCAAGAAAAAAAAAGAAAATTCAAAAATACATTGTGTATATACGCGAAAGTATGAATCAAAAATACAAATAGCTAAACTTCTCAAGCATATAAACGAACGAGCGTTCAAAGATCATCATGAAACGAAAATGACAACAAAAATGATGATCCAAAAGTCAAACAAAACAATAAAAAAAAATCCCAAAGAAAGGATTTCCGAGCAATCGATTTTTTTTTTTTTTAGTAATATGATCCACAAAATTAATATTTGTGAAAATAACAAATTTAAAAAAAAATCAAGTTTGACCTCATTGTTGTTTTTCACTTTATCCTTTCATTATCATAACCTTCAAAAAATTCAAGGGTAAAAGCAAATAATTCTTTCAAAAAAAAAAAAAATTTTTAACAAATTATGGTCTCAAATCACACAACAACAAAACCAAAATGAAATCGAGAAATAATCAGAAAAAACATGGACATACCTGAATTTCGCAATCGAGCATCGTTTTCGATTATTATTGTAATATAATGGTAGACACCCACACACACCGAGAAGATGAACAACAAGAAAAAAAAATCAGCAATCGAAAAAAATGGACAAGAAAAAAAAATTTTTTTTGCAAAAATCAACCAAAAAAAAATCCAAAGAAAAATCGATTTGTGTGAACGATGTGAATATTCGAATGTGAATGAAACAATGTTTTTTTTTTGGCTGTTGAATCCCGTTATCCATCCACAACATACACGCTAAGTTTTTTTTATCCAAATTTTTTTTCTGGTTTTCTTTGGATTCAACAGTTATAACAAAAAAAATTTTTTCAATCAGCCACATCCTCGATAAAGGCGTCAACCACCACCGCCACCGTACAAAACAAGCAAAAAAAAAATTTTTTTTTGTCAATGAACGAAAAAAAACAAAATAAAAAAAATCTCCACTACCGCTGAAAAAATGCCAATGGAAAGAAGAAAAGCAAAAAAAAACTCCTCCTACCATCGTCGACCGTTTTTTTACAATAATGCAATCCCGAAGATAAAAAAAATCGACAAGCCAGTATGTGAAAGAAAGGAGGTGGCTAATTTAAATTTTAGAGAATTTAAAAAAAAAATCAACACTTTCCTCACCAAACAACGGGTTAAAGTAAATGAACGAAAAAGATATGATAAATGTAAAGATGTGTGACATTAAACACTAGCATCGACCCATTTACCGAGGGTCACCTTTAAGAATTTTGAGAAAAAAAAATTTTTCAATTTTATTAATCTTTTTTTTTTAGCTATGAAAAAAACAAGAAAAAAACAACAAAACGAAAGGGTTCAATCTGATTGTTTTTTTGTAAAAAAAAAAAATTTTTTTATAAACATGAATAATAATTCGATACGATTTTTCTATGATAAATAGCGATGTTTGTTAGTGTTAGTGTGTGTGTGTATGTGATCCAGTGAATGATACAAAGTTATTTTTTTTAAGGTTGATTTTTTGTTGTTGTTGAATTTTTTTTTTTTTTTTTTTTTTTTTTTTTTTTGGTTATATAATGATGATGATAATCACAAAAATATTGTTTTTCAAAGGCCTTGAATGCAGAATGAAAAAAAAAATTGGCTCCGTATATGCATCTTGAAAAATTGTTGGAATATATGGTTGAACAGCGACAGCGACAGCGATAGCATCAGCATCAGCAACAAGTAAGATTGAATCACATGGCCAGAAAAATGGCGAAAAACAAAAATAAATTTTCAAAATAGATGAAGCTGAGTACCTGAAAAAAAAAATGAAAGATATGATATAAATTTATTCAATTATATTGAAAAAAAAACATTGTGTGTGCGTGTGTGTGATCCAAAAATGTCATCATCATATCAATATCAATATATATTTTGTTGACAATGATATTAACAAATCATACACACATATGGTGTATGCAATGTGACAATTGTATCAAATTTTTTTTCATACATCATTCATTTCTTATTGTCATCATCATCATCATTATATATCAAGGATAAACATCTCAAACACAAAATTACCTTAACCAAAAAAAAAGGGATTATAATTTCTTTCAATTTCAAAAGAAAATAAAAATTCAATTTACATTGATTTTCTTGTCATACATTAAATTTAAATGAATCAAAGGGAGAGGGTATTGTACTACTATCAGTTTCGCTCATCACCAATAATCATCATCATCGAGATATAATGACAGATTAAATGGAAAGAAATTTTTTTCTTTCATTTTCTTCAATTCAAAATAATTGTCATCAAAAAAAGGATTGAATAACAATAATTCGTCATACGAATGATCATCATGATGATGATTCTCAGCCTTGAAGTTGAGTTATCATTTTTTTTCACTCAGGTCACATCACTGAGGTCAAATTCGACACACACGCACACACACACATGTTTGTTATCTTGTTACCAAAAAGAAAAAAACTCACCTTTGAATCCAACTTCCGGACCATTATTACCAACTATATGATGATGTACAGAAAAAAACAGAAGCAAAAAACAAGGACAAAAAAGGGTTAAATTTCAAATACTTTAGGTAAATAAAAAAAAAAAAATTCCAACAACGAAAAAAAAACATCATGAAAAGGAAAAAAAACGCAAAATCCATCCTGCATTGCGTTTTTTTCGACATCAACAACAAACAACTTACCGTTAGTACATTCTACGGGTGAAACATTTTCATCCATCATATCGTCAACCTGAATGATGATGAGAAAACGAAAAAAAAATTTATAGAAAAAACTTGATACGGAAATGCAAAAAAAAATTTTCAATTTTCAAATTCCCATCCTTGTAAGCAACCTTGACATTGGGCCGTATATATCGTTATTTGTTGATTATTTAACTACAATAACCGCCGCCGCCGCCGCCAACACAAGACCACCTATGCACATCATCATCATCATATATAATATCATTACATAACGAAAGAGTTTAACAACCTGCCCGAGAATGATTGTTGCCAGTCACATAAAGAGATTGTGGGAGAATGACTATTATATGCATATGAATGAGACAAACATATTGTCGAATGGCAAAGGTTATAAGGTGCTTTTCTCACGATCCCGACTATTACGTACGGGTCTAAACTTTCTTTTCTTTTTTTTTTTCTCGCGCTCGCTTTCACTCATACAATCAATTGTTTGCCACATCAAAGAGCTAAGCGCGATTACCAAAAAGCATCAAGTGTTGTAGCTTTTTAACCGTAAGCAATGTATTGTTCACAAACATAATTGATTTTCATAAAAGCCCGGTGATTTCAATCGAATTTAAAAGAAAAATTAGATATCCAAAATGGATATTTTCAACCCCTTCTTTAGTGAAATAAAGATAAGGTTTTTTTCTTCTGATTTGGTTATAATTATTTGGGCTGTTTCGTTTTTACCTTTAGTAACAATGTAGTGTGTGGTTCGATTTCCAATTCTCCAATTGTACAATTATTCTGTGCCGATAACAATTGTTTACCATTATACCATAATACTTGATCATATGTGGCCACATTAAAATGTTGCATTATCTATGAAATCATTGATACATAGTGAGTATTTGAATTTTTTCAAAAAAAAAACAAACATCTACCTTAACTTTAATATCTTTTAATTTATCATGTGATGAGGAAAGAATTTCCAATTCATTAAACATACGCCGTTTTCGTAACGTACGTTTTCGTTGATTCGTTTGTGACTGCTGTTGATTATTTTTTTGTACCGTTTCGAAATCATTCCTATGTTGTTGATTATGATTAGAGTCGATTATTTTAGATTTTTTGATTGGCTAAACCCCGCATCAGAAAAAAAGAGAATAAGTGAAAATTCAAGTTAATGGAAAAAAAATTCAATAGACATACATTATTATTATTAAAATCTTCATCAGTATTCGCTTCCTCGGTGACAATTTTTTTCACATAAATAGGTAATTTATCATAGATAAATCGTTTTTGTTTCTCTTCTTGAACAAATGTCTGATGACAATAAGAACAGAATCCTGGTTTTAATTCATATTGATCACAATTTTCACTATCATTTATTCGAATAAATGATACATCGATGGAAAAGTTATAAAATTCTGTCAAAGCTGTCCATTCATTTTGGTCTAAAATAAGGTAACTAACGCAAAGAAAAAACGATATTCAAAATTTCGATCATATGACAATGATGTGTGATGATTATTTTACTTACATTTTATCATATCCAACATATTTATCATCAAATGGTGGAAATATGAATAATGAATGTTTGGTACAAATAATATTCGATTCATATTGCATCAATGAATCAGGTGATGGCGTTGTATTTGGATGTGAAACAAATTTTTTCCATGCCATATAGAATTTTGTTGCAATCATATGATAACAATGTCCGGCAAGTAAATCAGGCCAATAACGAAAAAGTTCACCATTGTAAAGATTAATCAGACTAGAACGTTGAATCAAAGCTATATCATAGTTTTTATCACGAATAATTTGTCTATTACGATCGATTTCCTATTTTTACAGAATTTAAGATTAAAATAATTTAAGAAAAAGATTTCTTCTCATCAAACATACCAAACAATCCGAGCAAGGCGATGCATTTTCATCAAATTCTGGTGATCCAGGAAAATGTTTCCTTAATATTAGCCAAGCTTGATGACGAATAAGGGTACGTTTGGATGAATCAGAACAAAGCTGTCCATGTTGACAAAGAAGATCTTCATTAAAATTAAAATTAGTAGCTAAATGTAAAAATGAACAGAAAAAAAAATTCCATAATCAATTGAATTCATAATTGAAATATAAATGAATAATACAAACCAGGTTTAAAATCAACTTCATATTGGCGTTTAATAGAATCGATTCGAAGATTTTTCCATTTTTTCATTGATTCTTTGCCCACAAAATATAGATTTTCATCTTGACAATTTTTAAATTTACCAAGATTACGAATCAATTTTTGATCATCATCAATCGTCTGTTTCAATCTAGACATATACATTCGATATTGTATACATTGTTTACAGAAATATTCGGGTAATTTCAATCGAATATCACTTTTATATAATGAATAAATTTGATCGGCACTTTCTGTTGATATGCATTTATATGACGAATCTACATTTAGTTTTCCATGCATACATAATAATGATTTATTATCGATAGCGGGCACTTCATCCGATGTGGATGCACGAAAAAAATTCATCAACCATGATTTATCGATAGCATCAAATGTTTCATTTAATTGACTATGATTTTGATTGTTATTCATATTGCTACTAACAGTTATATCACATTGCTTTGTTTGCGGTTGAATCAGTTCCATTTTGGAGAAAATTTGACGGACCAATCTCTGATGGTTAAGCTCTTTTAGCCGTTCTTGACACTGAAGGAGGAAAAATATTAATTTAGAAAAAAAACAGAATCAAATTTGTATACGAACTTTTTGAATTAGTAAATCTTCTTTTTCTTGCAGATATTTTTGATTATCTTTTTCAATATAATCAACAAGATAATCGGGTAGATTGGATTGCCTTAATTCATTCAGTAATGGTCTATTAGATTCAGTATCCAGTTTATAAACAAGCATATAGGCATTTTTTGATTTATGGAATCCTTTTTCATTTCGACCATTACCAGTGCCATCATTGTTGCCACCATTTTGGCCGCTATGAAAATCATCATCATTATCGATTTTCAGATTAAAATCTTTTAATTGTTCAACATTTTCATCGTTAAATTTGAACCATAAGTTATCTTTTTTGATGAAAGTTATATAATGTCCGGAATAGGCGGTTTGGCCTTCATGTATGAGAACGGCAAACAGATTGTATACATTTGCATTGGTGGGATTTGTTTGTTCTGGCCGCACGAATTTGCTCATATCAAGTCGTTTAGGAAATTTGAGAAATGAACTAATTTTTCGACTATGGCCATTCGATGATTCAAAACGAAGTAGCTGTAGATTCAAAACTGGTGGCAATTTTCGTAATTCAATAAATCGTTTAGCATCCTGTAATCCATTACATATTTGACATGCATATCTATTTGTTCCATCAAGATTTTCTTCCTTCAGATAATCACCAATACATTCATCAATATCTTTGAATCCTTTAACACGAAGAAGAAGTTCGTAGAAATCTGATTCACGTTCACTAACAAATTTACATTTGCTACATCTGTAATTGGATAATAAATAAAAAAAGTTTATGATTATAAATTCAAACGCTCAAATGGTAAAAACAATGTGAAAACTCACTTGATTATGTAAGCAATTTTCATACAATACTGTTGATTGATTGTTTTCTGTATAGATTTATCATTCTCATGATTCAATTTATTCTGTATGTATGAATTGAAAAGACTTAAAAATTCATGAGTATCTTGTTCTTGTGATGCATCTAAATTTAGACATTTGATAAATGGTGTTGGATCAACAACTGATCGTACACTGTATTGCATCATAGACAAAACCAATTGAAGACATGTGATTGGATTTACGAGAAATTGTTCTGATAACGATGATGTTGGAATTAAATTTGATATGGCATTTGGTCGCCATTTGTATATTGCTTGCCTTAAATCGACATTATGAAACCATAGCTGTAGGAATGTATTTATATAACATGTGGCTCCAAGATTTTTTAAACCACGAAAACAAAATTGTTCTTCACCGGCTAGATTTTTATCCTCTTCCTGTATATCTTCCACTTGATTAATCAGCCACGTTGCCTGGCCAAGACCTTTAAGGCAACGTGCATTATTAGTACAATTACTAAAATAAAATGTAAAATAAAATTGCATTGTCATATATGATTTCGAAAAATAAAAACAAGAAAATAAAATAAAATTACATACCGATTTGCGCGTGATTTACATGGTTCAATATCTAATTTATAAAATTTCAGAATCATACAATCCAAGAATGTATCATTGTTATGCACATCAGTAGCGGCCGTTGCATGATCCATGTTAGTGAAATAATTCTTGTTCGGCGATAATTTTGCCATTAATATTCGTGTTTGATGATTATCAATATATTCGATTTTCATACATTTCACTGTATTGTATCAATTATTGGAGAGGTGTTATAAATATACTTAAATTGAATGAAACAGTAATATATTACAAACGAACAGAAAAAAAAACACTAAAGGATTCAGCAGAAAAATGAAAAGATTGATACAAAATTCTTCGTTGATCGCGTAATTTATTATAAAAATTCACATCACCGAAACAGATACACATAGAAAAACATTGGTTTAACACTCATAACATACGTTACCGATTGATTTTTTTTCAATCTTCGGCTACAAATTCAGTGATGGCGCCAAAAAATAAAATTTTTTTCAATTGATTTTTTTTTCGACTCAATTTTATTTCATTTTTTTTGATAATGATAACACATAATAATGATTGTGATTAACATAAAAAAAGAAGTTTTTTTTTTCATTTATCAAATCAAATTATATTTAACACATTTTTAAATAATTATATTCTACATTGAAAATTTCACCTGACCACTGCAAACCAATTCTAATGCTTTTGGATAAATTTGATGTTCAACCGCTTTACCACGTTCAACCAATGAATCATGTGTTTCACCTGGACGAATATCTACTACACCCTGTGCAATGATTGGTCCAGCGTCCATTTCTGGCACAACAAAATGTGACGTACATCCAGTAAATTTTACACCATATTGTAATGCTTGTCCATAAGCATCCATTCCTTTAAATGCTGGCAATAATGATGGATGAATATTGATCATTTTACCCATCCATTTATTGACAAAATTTTCCGTCAACATTTGCATGAAACCAGCCAAACAAACAATATCTATATGAGCATCATCTAATGCTTTGTTTAATAATTGATCATATTCTTCGCGTGATTGTATTTTCTTCTTGACAATCACTTCAACTGGAATACCTGCTTCCCGGGCAAACTGTAATCCTGGTGCTGAACTTTTATTGGATATGACCATGGTCAAATTGATGCAAGTTTTATGTGCATTACGATTGACATATTCGATTATGGCTTTCAGATTGGTTCCACTGCCCGAAATCAACACAGCTACACGCTTCTTTTCTCGTTCTGTTCGTTTAATCGTTATTTTCGATGAATTACGTTCAATTGCTTGAGCAAAATTTCTAACAATTACAGCTCGATCAGATCTTCGAATAATTTTGCCCACTTGATAGCTTTCTTCACCATTTGAAGTTTTAATTTGATCTTGAATAGCATTGGCATCTTTAGCACTGACAATCAGCACCATTCCTAAGCCACAGTTAAATGTTTTTTGCAATTCATGATCGGCAACATTACCGGCATGTTTAAGCCAAGTAAATATTTCATGCATTGGCCAAGACATTGCATCCAATTCGACTCCAAATTCTTTCGGTAAAATACGAGGAATATTTTCGATAAGACCACCGCCTGTTATATGTGCCAAAGCTTTGATTTTTCCAGTTTTAATAGCAGGCATCAAAGATTTTACATAGATTTTCGTAGGCGTCAGAAGAATATCGTGAAATTTTCTTTGTTCATCAAATTGATCTCCGAAATTGACCTGATTGACTTCCATAATTTTACGGACCATACTGAATCCATTCGAATGAACACCGCTTGATGTCAAACCGATGATGACATCACCTTCAGCAATGGAGCTTTTTCTTGGCAACATTTGTCTTCTTTCAACAGCACCAACGGCGAATCCGGCTAAATCAAAATCATCTCCAACATACATGCCAGGCATTTCGGCCGTTTCTCCACCAATCAAAGCACAATTTGATTGAAGGCATCCATCGGAAATACCCTTGATAATATCGGCAGCTTTATCCACCCGTAATCGACTACAAGCAAAATAATCGAGAAAAAATAACGGTTCAGCTCCTTGGACAAGGATGTCGTTGACACACATGGCAACCAAATCGATGCCAACCGTGTTTAAAATGCCCGTATCGATTGCAATCTTCAGTTTGGTTCCGACTCCATCAGTACCGGATACAAGAATTGGATCCTGCATTCCAAGTTTACTCACATCAAACAGAGCGCCAAAACCACCAATCTGTTCCATAACACCGGATCGAGTTGTACGTCGAGCAAATTCTTTGATATGTTCGACTAATTGATTTCCTGCATTGATGTCAACACCGCTTTGTTTGTAATCAATTTGTGTCTCCAATCTAGCAAAGGTAAATATTATTATTTTATAAATAATTTTCTCTCATTCTGGTTATCAAATTACCGTCTAATTGCTTTGCTGGCAATATCGTTTCTAAAGAAACTTTTTTCAATTTTGATCATCGATACGGCATTTCGTGCTTTGATGGCCGCTTGTTTCAACGAATGATCTAATGCCACAATGGTCATAATTCGACCACCACTTGTAACAAGATCACCATCTTTCAAAGCAGTTCCACTGTAGAATGCATGAACATCACTTAATTGATTCAAAATATTTAAACCATGTATTTCAATATTTTTGACTATTGGTCCTGGATATCCACCACTTGCAAGAACAATGCCGACAGCATAACGATTATCCCATTCGAATCGAATTTCATCCACTTGACCATACATACAGGCCATGAAATGATCAAAGATGTCTGATTTCAATAATGAAAGAATTGATTGTGTTTCTGGATCACCAAATCGACAATTAAATTCAATGACTTTTGGGCCATGTGGTGTAATCATTAGACCAGCGTATAATAGGCCAACGAATGGATGTCCTTCCTGATGCATACCATCGATGGTTTTCTGAATGATATTTTCTTTGATTATATCCAATTGTTCATCGTTTAAAAATGGATATGGACAATAGGCACCCATGCCTCCGGTATTTGGACCTTCATCATTATCATATGCTCGTTTGTGATCTTGTGCCGGCAACAAGATTCGATGATTCACTCCATCGGTCATGGCAAACACAGAAACTTCATCGCCATCAAGAAATTCTTCAACGACAATCTCATTACCAGCTTTACCAAATTTTTTACGCAGCATCATATCATCGATAGCTTCACACGCTTCATCAACCGTTTTTGCAACGATCACTCCTTTACCAGCGGCTAAACCGCTAGCTTTAATGACCAATGCACCTGTAGAACGGACATATTCTTTGGCTCGTTCATGATCGGTGAAATTTTCAAAAGCAGCCGTTGGGATGTTATATTTTTTCATAAAATTCTTGGCAAAAGCTTTATCACATTCAATGCGAGCTGCTTTTTGGCTTGGTCCAAAACAAACAATTCCATTTGAATTCAATGAATCGGATATGCCTTTCGACAAAGGATCTTCAGGTCCGACGACTACCAAATCGATTCGATTGTTTCGACACCATTCAATCAATTCGTTATGATTCGATAAATTTAAATCTGACCAATAGAGATATAAAATCATAAAATTTGAATCAAATGTAAAGAAATGCCATACATACCAATCATGGAAATTTTACCACCGCATTGTGATAGACCACCGTTTCCAGGTGAAACAATTATATTCGAAACCTTTGGTGATTGTGATAATTTCCAAGCAATACAATGTTCCCGTGAACCATTGCCGATAACCAACACTTTTTTAGACATTTTTTTTACACTTTTTACAAATTGCTAAAAACCAGAAGCCTGAAATGATGGTAAAAATTTACGCAAAAATAAATATGGTGATGGATGGACGGAAAGTAACTGCAAATAAAATTAAAATTCAGCACATAAAGTCCTTGAAACTACCAAGCAATTTTATTTTTTCTATCATATCATAACACACACACACAAACAAATACAAAAATAAAAATAAAAACAAGATTTATATCATCAGAAACAAGAGTGGCAATAAGCAAATATTCACGTGAAAACTTGAAATTTTTCTTATTCGTATCATCATTTTGAATCGAATCGTTCGATACATTCTCACACTGGGCATTCCCCTAATCAACAACAACATTTCAATACCGTGATCATGTCATCATTCTATTCATATACGAACTTTATTTTTACAATCTTGGTACAGGCGCTTATAATTGATAAGATTATATTATAAAAAGAAATGATTTTCTTCTAACTACTACGAATAATTAAATTTATTTATTTCGAAACAATGATAAGAAATATTCAGAAAAAAAATGATATCATGATGATGATGATGATGATGATGATTTACTCAGTCCCAATGTGGATTTGATTTTATTGAACCATCTATGGAAGAGAGTAATAATAAACAAAATTGATTGATAAATAATGATAATTGTCGATAAATGAAGATGATCGTATCATACCCTGATTCTATTGTTTGTACTTTTTGACCATCGGTTTCCGGTGGTGGATCTACATCATTAGTTCGAGCAAAATGATAACAAAAAAAAATTTTCCACACATAATACAAATGAGACAAACTTACGTTCAAGATCATGTAATAGTTTTCTAGCCAATTCATATTTTAATGGAATAGGTTGATTTTCTTTGGCCATTATCATTTTATGTCTTGTTATCGCCTGTGGTACGGTGAGACCAAACCATTCAGCTTCTTCAAGCTTCATAATTGAAGATTGATGGAATTATAGCCAGAAAAAAAAGCGCTCCAATATTTACACTTACCGGTATGATACAATCACCATATTTCTCCAACATTTGTTGTTCATGATCTTTATCTTTAAATTCTTTTCGAGCTAATTTTAGTAACATTTGACGACGAAGTGCTAGACCTAACTGTGATTTTAGATCCTGTACCTTCGATCGAAGTATATAGTTATCGAATCCATAATAATCATCGATCAATGATAAAGTTCGTCGCGTACAAATAATTTGAAAATGAGTGTCTAGAATTTCGCTATGCACTACGACTTTTTTTAAATTCGGAAACCAATATTTTGGTCGTCTATTGAGAATAAGTTGAAAATAAATTTTATATCACACGAATTTATACTTACGGCCAACCAGCTTGAAAATATTTTCTAGGTTTTACATAACCTTTGACGATACCTTCACCTCCCCATAGGCCAGCATCAGCTTCTTTTGGATAGGTCACCGGTATAGGAACATCAGGAACTCGTATTCTATACTCAAAATGAATTAGAGCCTGATGAATAAAAAAGAATCGATAAAAATCTTACGGTTTCGAAAGATCCGAATCGTATTTATAATCAAGAAAATCTGTAGGCACTGGACGATCATGAACACGTTCGGAAGGTTTAGTCAATTCTTGTCGATGACGATAAAAATGATCAGGTAATCGGGCAGTAATATGTGGAAATGACCACGAAGGTATTCGGCCGTACCGAACCATGATATTGATGCAACCAGCTGATCCAGAAAAAAAGAAAAGAATAAAAATATTTAAAAGATCACACGAGGTTTTGAAATCCTCTATATTTTTATCGATAGTTAACAATCGATACTTGAATATTGTTTCAAATTGTTTACGGATTGTCAAATAACCCACGTGCATTGAATTTGTGTTAAAAATAAAAAGAAATGGATTTAAATCTAATCATCTATAATGATGGATTTGATTTGGATAAATCCATCATGAAATTGATCGAATCCTGTCTTAAGTGTATGTGTGTTTGTTGTTGGTCATGATTTGTTGATTATTAATTCTCCAATTTTATATTTCCTTGATAGTCGATTACAAACGAATAGCATTAGCTGTTCAAATTACTGGTTGTGGTAAAGATGTGAAAATTCCAATTCCACCAACTATTAAACTTCGAGGTAATCAAAAAAATATAAAAATTTACACACGATTAACTGTCCAAATCGAAGATTCTAACAGTTTATTTCATTTGGTAAGTGGAAATGATGATTATCGATTAAAGATTCTTATTCGAAATATTTAATTCACTAGTCAAAAAATGAAAACCTAAAACATTACGACATATTGGCTATCGAACCAATGAATGAAAAGATTCTCAATTATTTGAATGGTGGAAATTTTGAATTCGATATTCTCACATTTAGTTCGATTAATTCGTCAATTGTGAATATGATAAAAAAGGCCAATTTTTCACTGGTAAGAATTGTTACTCGTTCTGATTTTCTTTACCTCTACATTTATTTTCATTAGCCCATTTCAAAAGGAATTGGTATTGAAATCAATTATTCAAATTGCCTGTCAAGTTCATCACAACGTCGACAAACTATAGCATTTGGACAGATGTTAGTCGATAAGACCAGGTCAAAGGTTTGTAGAGTTTAATATATTATCTTTATCGTGATAATGCTAATTTTCACTATTTTTTCACACCTACAGAATATAATCCTATCAAGTGGAACCAGTATTGCTACGAACATTAGATCTCCACATGATGTCATCTACATGTAAGAAAATACAAATTCGAACATTCTTTTTTTTGTCTTATTCTTTTTCTTTTCCCTATATAGTGGTCTATTGTTCGGCCTACAAGAAAATCAAAGTAAACGTTCATTATATAAAAATACGGAAACTGTTATCAAACATTCAGGTATTTTTAATTTTTGTTCTATTTTCATCATAATAAAAATAATTGATAATAATAATAATAATTTAAAAAATAAAATAGAATTACGACGAAATATCATCACAAGTATTATTGTTATTGATGATTTAATTAATAATAATAATAATGATGGTGGTGGTGATAATAATAATGATAATATTTACGATGAATTATGTGCAATGGATGAAAATTTGAAAACATCAAAAACGTCGTCCAGTGGGATAAAACGTTCGCAGCCATCAATCGAAACAAATTCATCAACAATAATCAAAACCATACCGGAAGCGAAGAAACAGAAAACTTAATCCATTTTGATGATTTATATTATTTGTCTACATCGGTTTTATAACGTCGTGATTGTCGTTTACTACTTGAACTTTCACTTGCATTCTATAAATATATTTTGTTCATTATTATTAATAATAATAATAAAGTTAAAAAAATAAATTTAATCACAAAAAAAAATTTTCACCTTTCGACTTGAACCTGAAGAATCATCTTTTGTTTTACGAACTTGTTTCATCATATCTGGAGCTTCTTGAATGGTCGATGATGGTGTGGAATCTTTGGTCTGCAATTAAAAGATTCGAATTATTGGTTTTTTTTTGTTCAACAGCCACATTTTTTCAGTGATTTCAAACCTGTCTTTTCCGTAACGATGATTTCTTTTCATGTGATGCTGATCTAGTTGGCTGCGATAATGATGATGCAGGATGTGCCATTTCCGATTCTTTAAATCGTTTATCATTTATTGTCAAATCACGCTCAGTTGATCCTCGAGTGGACTCTAATTTTCGTTTACGATAATCATTGTTAATGCTGCTATCGATATCATCTTTGTTAATACGATAATCACCACGCTTAGGTGAACTGGATGCAGATGATGCTCGTGATTCGATTTTGATCGAAGCAACTGTAGATTGATCCTTAGAATTGGCAGAATGACTTGAAATTGATAATGAAGATGTTTTTTCCTCAGATTTCTTTATTCGGGTCATCGATTCAGATTTATATTTCTTTGATGATGATTCCATCGTTGTTTCAGGTTCAACAATCCGACTTGATGATGTTTTGGATGAACTACTTTTACTAGATTTACTACTGTTGCTGCTAGAGAGCTTTTGGGCATCATCTCCGCGGTAGGATTCTTTTTTAATTTCAATGGTTGTCATTTCTGATTTTGCTTGTGATTGATTTTGAGAGCCATCAGAATCTTTTTGTTGTTGAGCCTGTTGTTGCTGATGGAAGGATGAAGAATTCGATGATTGCATTTTTTTGCTCTCTTTTTCATGGAATTCACTTTCAGGTATAAAAGTTCCTTTTCTGGATTTTAATTGACCCGAATATCCAGTGGCCAAGACAAACAAATCGGGTCGTTTTTCTTTTTCTTCAGTGCGAATTTTTTCCAAACGACGTTCAATAGCTTGTGCAAAACTGATCATTACTGGAAAATGTGGTAACAATTTAGTCAGAACAATTAATGAATTACGTATCTGAATATAATCGCCCGAATCAAGACAAAGAATAAATGCTTTGGTCAACCGATAATGCCATTTATGGCATACATGACGATACGATTCATAGTCGATATGAACGGGATCTTTCTCACAAAATTTCGTCACAAATCCCGGATATTTTGCGCATTCTACTTCAAATACTTTAATATCTTTATGCCATCGCATGACAATGACGAGAATGGCGCATAAAAATCTTCCATAATGATTTGCTTCATTTTCTGTACATGAGCTCATCGTATTCGAAATGTCTCCGAAAATTCGATCCAAACAGATTAGCGTGGAAAAGTTGGGTGTCTTGAGACAATGTAGAAAATGAACAAACCTTGCACAATACAAAGCGTCCAAAGCTGTAAATTTACATCGAGGTATCAAACAGTGTTGAAGAAAATTCGTAGTCACATCTATCTTGTTAACATTCGATTCGAACCAATGTTTTTTTTCATTTTCCAGACGATGCATTACTTTAGTCACATGTTCATTCTGTTGCTGGGCTTCATTCGTCAATTTGGTTATAATACTTATCAGCCGATCTTTTTCTTTACGTTTTTTACTTATAACCATATCCTTACTATCTTCAAGAATTTGAATTTGTTGATTTATTTTGTTTCGTTCACGAAGATAACTTTTTTCAGGAACTTGAAGATCATACATTGTGAGTGTCCAGAAACTGATAAAAAATCTAGCACTATTAAGTAAAGAGTTAGTATTTCACTATTAAAAAAATAAGTTAACTTACTTCAGGTCGATTGAAACCTGGCTACTCAACGCTGGTTTTATCGATTCTACCATCGGATTCAGTACCATTTCACTGGCCTGATTGAAACATTCGAATAGGACTTGTTTGGATTTTTCACCCGTTCGTTGGGCAACAAGTTCTTCAAATACCGAGGTAATATCATGGCTAATCATGGGTCGCATTAGGAAAAAAGTGACATCAGGACTAAGATGATATTCCAATAGTAATTCTTTTAATGATGGTAACCTTCGTTTGTAATCATCGATTGTCAAAGAATTTGAAAGGAAATTTCCATATTGAACAAGTGTCTCTTGACATTGATCATATAGCTTGCCAATTAATTTAAGATGAGTGTTTTCACTCTGAAACACGATGCAATTTCGTTGCTGTGCCATAAGAATACATAATGGCATGGCCAAATTGTTTTCAAGTAATGCTTCTTTTAGCCGGAGAGTAGATTTCTTAATGTTTCGAATCTGATTGAATGATCCACCTTCAGTTCGAAGTAGTTCACCGCCGCTCAATGCTTCAATTTGTTCATTGGTCATTTCTTCTGATGTTTCAATGCCGGTCATTTTTTGTACGATCTCTTTTAGGATTAATAGATCCAGACATTTTCCAAGTTTTAGTTGATTGGCCACAAACTGCAATAAACCAGGCAATTCAATCTGATATTTTTTAATAGCAGATCCACAAAAATTAGCCAAACTAAGAAGCCAAGGTGAAATACTCGTTCCTTCATGTTTTGAATGTTCACGCGATGGATTTGATAATGCTTCTATGACACAAAATAATAGAACATCGTACGATACGGATGATAGATATTTGAGCGAATCAACAACAGGCCCAATTAAATTATCATAAGATTGAATCTGTCCAAGCATCTATAGAAAAAGATTAGATTGAAAATATTAATTTCTAAATACTCTTGCACTTACATATTCAAATAAAAATGTTGGATTCGAATGACTAAGCTTGCCGATCGACCTTCCAGATTGTTTAATACTGTCTTTATCTTTACTTATTCGTTTCATAATGTATTTGATACGACGCATTGTGAAGCATTTCATTTTTATCAGCAATGGATTTGTTGGTTCAACTTTCCAAATGTTATACAGAAGGAATCGTTCATTGTATGGAAACAGGCGCATCAATGACCATAGTTCTTCACCAAGAGCAGAATTACTTTCAATAAGCGAAAATGATGGCAAAATGGTAACGTTCAAGAGGTTTATAATTTCATAACGAAAATCATTGAAATTGGCCTGTAAAGCAGAACGTATGATCCTGAGCAATTTTGTCATAAGCATTGGATCACGGTAAAGATATGGGCCAAAGGTTAAAATCATTGGCATAATTTTCGTTCGAAATTCATTCATATTTTCAATTGGTTCGAACGAATAGTTTCCATCGGGCAAATGAATCCGTGTCGATAGTACGGATGGTAATGTTGACATTCGTTTATACAATGGACCAATAAGATAGTGTATCAATTGACTCAATGCATCACCAATATCAGGATATGATATGGCAAAATATTCAGGTAACATTTGCATCAATCGTTGAGCATTAGGCCAATCACCCAATTTTAATAGCGCTAAAATGAAGCCAAGTTTTTGATTACCATTAATATGTTGTGATCGAACTTCTTCAAATATATTAATATCTTCATGTTTGGCTCCTTCCACGGATAAAATAGCTGAGATTTTTTTCGGAAAATTTTTCGCTTCGTTTATATCATTTTGATATATCTCACAAATTTTCGAATCAGATGGAGACAGATATGGATAGAGACTTTCTATATGAATCAGATTATTATGCAAAAGTAAAGCTACTACATCATATAATGCAGATGGATCTTCGATTCCGTTATCACTCTGAAATAATAAGAAATCAGTGGATTATTAAAGACATTTCCAGAAAAACCAATCGATATGGACTTACATCATTGTAGAAACTAAATTTAAATGCCAAAATCTGATTCAACGTTACAGGATTGTTGGAGAAATTTTTGATTAATTTCAGGAATGAATCCCGAAGATATAGACGGGCTTCGAAACATTCAAGTATAATGTCAAGCACACGATTAGGATCCAAATTAAAACAACCAATTAATGATTTGATCGTATTTAACATGTAATCAGGATCAAATTGGCCATCCTGACATAGTTCAGTGAATAATTTACTATAGCCTTCACTTTCTTCGCGAAATAGATTGAATTTTTGTTGTTTATAACTTAGAAGTAAAAATGAATAAAAATAAACATTAATAATTCAATTGATTGATTGATAACCTACTATAGCTTGGTCTTTAATTTGATGAATTTGGTTGATGCCGCTTTTTCATTGTTGATTACTTTAGCATCGGCTAGTGTTGAATAATCAAGTCGTTCTTTGAGCAACCAATCTGAAACTATATTCTGAATAAAGATAAATGTGGCTTATTAATTTTTTTTTTACAAGATTTATTTTTCTGTACAACATACATTATTAGCGAGTTTAAGAAATTCGATAAAGTTTTCCCGCTTATTTGAATCAATCTGGCCAAGTACTTGACTTTCAATATCCAATATGGTGATGACATCGCTTAGAATGCTTGTGATTTGTTCATTGGATTTCTGGAAATTCAAAAATAAACAATTAGTCAATCACAAATGCTGGTGGTGTGGAACATAACGATCGTTTTCAATTACAATTATTTCATAAAAAGTTGAAACAGCTAAATCGGCAATAACTTCTCCATGAACCACCTGAAGACCAAGATGATAGATAGTCTGACGAAGTACATCGACGTCATTTAATGATGAACAATGTTTGATTCTGTATTAGAATTAAAAAAAACTCAATGATTAACCATTTGAATTTTCATACAATAGAAATTACATTTCAGTTTTGTTGTCTTTTTTTAACAATGCCGGCATTGTCGACATAGTTGTAACCATTGTTCTTGCTCTAATGAATTCAATTTTCTAAGGTCAATGATAATAATATATTGACTAACTAAATTAAATTATTCTGGAATTCCAGGTCACAAAAAAATCAAATCAAACTTTCACTCTTCAATTTTTTTTATATTGATTGATACACACACACACACAGATCACACAAAAAAATGGTACATGAACGGCATTATGATAATCGATTTGATCGATACAATCGATGGTTCAGAAAATGACTGAAATTTTTCTGCGTCGCATAGCCAATGAAATAATTCAACAACCGAATGAATAAAACTAAAATTTCATTCATCTATGATTAATACAAACAAAATTGGTCGACAAATCAACGGATCAAATTGAACATTATTCATCGATCACCAACGACGACGGTGATCAATTTAAAAAGCTTTGTTACATTGTGATCATTTTAACATTCATCGGTTTTTAACATTGACAAAGCCAAAGAAGAAAAAAAAACATTGTCAAATATGTCTGAATTTGATAAGACAGTTGAATCTATTCGCCAGAAATTGATTCCAATACGTGATATTGTCGTACGTATGCATTCAATTCTTATCTGGAACAAATCTTATCATGCACCGTGCATTATCATGTTGGTCACTTTTATTTTCATGTAAGTATCGTTTGTTTGAATTTTGTTTTTTGTTTATTTGTAATCATTTTTTTTGTTTTGTTTCTCATTTATAGGTGTCTATGGCTAGTACAAGTACCTATTATTTCAAAAATCTGTTTCATTGGCATAATAGCCACATTAATCGATTATTTTCTACCATTCCTTAATGAAATTTTTGCATTACCTAAATGGAATGATTCAGCTGAACAATTATTCAACGATGAATGCCATTTGATTGCAGAAACATGGATAAATGTAAAGGAATTTTATCAACTATTCTGTTCATGGAAATATACAAAGACTAAACTTTATTATTCGACATTGTTAACAACATTGATGGCTATTGCCTGGATTGGTACACAGATTCATAATTTATTGTTGCTATACATGGCCACAATGTTTATCGTATTGTATCCAGGACTTTCACATTATAATATGATTGAAGATTTTTTTCTTGCCATTCAACGACGATTACGATCACTATTTTCCAAACATAGGCCAATGAATCCACCGAAAAAAACCAATTGAAAACAGCTTGTAATTGAAAAATTTGTTTTCTTTTATACAGATCTTTATTTATAGCAGCTTATTGTTAGTTATACATATATGATCATTATGTATGATCTCTTTAAAAAAAAAATATTAATAAACGTTTCCGAATCAATCTTAATAGATTCATTCGATTTGTTTGAAAAATTTGAATTTATTTTTTTCCATGTTTTTTTACATTGAATCTTAATTTTTTTGATTTTTGACACTTGTGCACACACACACACAGATACTTTATCTCTGTATCATTTATCAGTTACAAGTCAAAACAAGCCAAATCTCGGATGATGATGATGATAATCATCATATAATCAATTAAATTTCATTTTAAAAAAAATAATTATCAAGTATCCAGTACAAATTTTGATGATGAAAATTTGTAAACATTTTCAATCTAGATCATCAGGTATTTGATCTATCTGATGATGATAATTGAAATCGAATGTTGTTGGATCGAACTTTCTTGAAGACCTTGGATAAGATAATATAATTGGTTGGTTCATCTTACAGATAAAAGTTGTTTTGAAACGTGAAACATATGTTGTTGTTGTTGTTTTTTATTTCTCTAAATCTCAAACTAAAGTTTTTATTATGAGAATTTATTTTTTTTCACAAAAATTATCAGGAAATTTTTTTTTCTTTTAAGATGCTAACGACATAAATGATTATATATTATAGATTGACCATATATATGTTTTATACCTGTTGGGTGTCTGTGTGTGTACATGGAAGTAAGGTGTATCATTGTACAATGAATCTGAGTATATAAACAGTACATACAGAAAGTTGGTATTTTTGGTGTTGCCAGAAATTCAACAATGATTATGATGATGATGATGATGATGGTGATGATAATGATAATGATAATGATGATCAAACAGCATTATATGTGTGGATTATTGATGGCTTAGTATGCAAGTAATACAGTGAAATTAATATTGAATATATAAAGTAAGTGATTCATGCATAAATTAGATAGAAAAAAAAGGTGTTAAATGTAATCATAAAAAATAAAAAAGAAAAAAACAAAAATTAATCAGAAAATGATAAACACTAATTATTATTATGTGTTAGATGTTAATTGATTTGAATGGTAGCAGCAGCCGGTGCTGAATTAGTAAGACCAGGTTCATTTGATTGTACAGCAGCACGGAAACCATTTTCATCGGCAATATAATTAACGGTACGGAATACACCATCACGATCAATATATGAATATGAACCTTTTACCGTACCATGTTCATCCATTTCTTCTTGCCGGGTAATGGTGAAATTTGCATCTTTTTCTTCATAAGCAAAATTATATGGATGTGGTGGTTCTTCTTTTTCAGCTGTCGTTGTAGCTGGTGCAGCATAAACGGCAATAAACAAACAGCATAATGTTAATGTAATGATTTCCTATTTATTTCGAACAATTTTTACATTGTTTATTCATAAATAACGAAATGATTAAAAAAATGAAAAAAAAACAATAATAATTAGATTCATCAATATCAATATCAATTACACTTGAAAATTTAGTTTTAATTTGAAAAAATTTAAACATTCAAAACACACACACACACACACGAACTAACATCTGTCTTGGCCATCATCATCATCATCTAATTTGGATATCGTGTTTCGAATTCGAATCGCTCAATCAATCAATATTGATCGTGTTTAACAACAACAACAAAAAAAACAAATTACTGAAATTACCTTGAACATTTTTATTCGATTTATATTATTTAAATCTACAATGGATCGATGAATTACTACGAAAATGAAACGGTTATTTTAAATTGAAGAAACGAAAAAAAATTTTTTAATAAAATCAATAAACAAACAAACAAACAAACAACAACAACAAAAAACACGTAAACGTACCACACTGTATAAACAAAAGTTGATAATGTTTTTTTGTTTTGTAAACTAGGATTCCATGGACAAGTGTTTGACTTTTTATATTGTCCAGCTCGTTCGTCGTTTACTTTCTGGAAGATTTTCTTCTTTTTTTTACTCTTCATCAGTGTCTTGTTCGTGTTTTAATTCATTTTTATTCGATCTTGGATTCGAAGATTCACATTTTCCATCCCCATTTTATGCATATAATATATCATTTGTCCATCCATTTCATCCGTTATGTCCACATAGTTTATAAATGATTTAAGGAAAGAAAAGAAAATAAATAAATAAACAGTACAAAATGATGGTCACAGAAAAACAACAACAACAACAACAACAAAAAAGAAGACAACGATGCATTTGTTGTAACGATTATCAAAACAGACGTAAATGTTTATCTTATCATTGTGAATATATTGAATGTTCTCTTCATTCTCTCAATGATGATGATGATGATAGTGGTGGTGGTGATTACATAAGAAAAAGTTCTTGAAACGTTTTTTTTTTCATTCGAAAATGAAGAAGGAAAAAAAAGAGGAATTGGCCCAGAAGACTCTTTTTCGAATGTTCCTATGCGGGGGGGCAATGAATCGTTCTCGTTGTTGAAATGTTCGACAGTGAAGCTAACATTCAAATTGTGTTGTGTACATTATTTTCAAGTTTAATTTTGTTTTTTTTGTTGTCGTCGTCGTCGTCGTTGTTGTTGTTGTTGTATCAACACATCCAGGTCGAAAGCCATTTCAAATTTTGATGTAACCATAAATTATTTTCATTGATCCTTTGACTTTCTTTCGTTTGTTGTTTCAAGTATGATCTTCATCTTATCTGAAGATTGACAAATTAAATGCTAAATATGATCATAATAATAATAATAATAATAAATTTTCGAATGTTACAAAAACAATATGTGTGTGTGTGAAAATAAATGGACAATCGATTATAATCTTTAATCGATAGATATGTTATTCACAAATAACGTAATCAATTTTTTTTTATTCACACACACACACGAAAAAATGTTCGATTCTTTTTTTTTCGTTCACATTCGTCATAAATTATCATCATCATCATCAGTTTCTTTAAAATTCGAGGACATCTTATCGTCATCATTTTTGTTGTTGCTGTTGTTTTCTTTTTATTTTTTTTTTTTTTTTTGCAAAAAAAACTTGAATATATAAATGATTTTTCCACCATTATCAACATTCAATGATGATGACGATGAAAAATAATGTACATTTGCATAAAATGATGATGGCAAAAATTTACATTACAAATTTTTCTTTTCATTCTTGAAATAGAAAAACAAAAAAATTCTAAATTGAATCCATAATCCATCATCATTGATTGGATTATGATCCTGAAAATAGTTTTTTTTTCTCTCCACTTTTATCCCTCATTGCTCATCATCATCATCATCATCATCATCATCATCATCATCATCATCAACATCATTATCATCATGACATTACATGAATTGAAAATTTTGTTAAATTAAAAAGGACATTTCCTTCTTCTTAAAGAAAACAAAATCATTTTGCATCTTACCCCCAAAACAAAATACAAGTATTGGAATCCAAAAACGATCATCATACATGAATGTCACACATACCACGTATATATACTCTTGTGTATGTGTGACCTATGCATTTCGAACATTTGGCTGGAAAAAGAGAAAACAAAAAATGTTAATCAATTTAGTCTCGTGAAAAATAAATAAAAAAAAATAATGCAATTGAAATTCAAAATTTTCAAATTGAAAAAATGATGATAATCCTCTTTAACAAAAAAAAAGAAGAAAAATTTGACACTGATTCAATCACTGACAAAATCTCATTGATTCATTCAATTTTACTGTATCACGCATCATTCTTTCTGTTCGCCCCCCCCACACCACACACACACACACAAACAAAACGAAAAAAAGAGCAACAAAAAAATTTTTTTTTTTTTTTTTAAAATTTTATCCGAAAAAGATCGTGATGACGATGACTTGATGATGATCATAATCTTTTTGTATGTATATACTTTGCATGGCCGATTTGTTTATTTTTATTTAATTTTTATTCGAAAATTGAATAAAATTTTAAAATTCATTGGTCATCACACACACATAATTTACAACATTAAAAAAAATGAATGAACGAGAAAAAGGGAACAGAAGAAAAATAAATAAATTTTGTTTCAAGTTGAAACAAAATGAAAAAAAAAAAAAATTTTTTTTCATTTTCATTTTTTCTATGAAAAAATTTGAGAAAAAAAAATTTCAAGTTCACAAAACAAAATCAATACTGTGTTGACATACACACGTATAAAGGAATTCTGTAGAATATAGAACTGTAAAAATATGGTCTGTGCGTGTGTGTGCGTGTGTGTTTGCATTTTTGACCTGGTCGATTCGATAACTTGAAAATTTTAATACAAAAATATAAAAACAATTCATGGCCCCTATTTTATTATGATCAGATCATCATCATCATCATATATTATATTCCAATAACATTTGCCTGTGTTTGCTTGTGTGTGTGTGTGTGTGTGTGTGTGATTCAAATTCATAATAATGATGAGAGATGGGCAGCAATAATAAAAAAAGTAACAATGATGATCAGGCCATATTTTCATTGATGAATTGAATTGAATTGAAATAACTGTTGTTGTTGTTGTTGTTGTTGTCGATGTATCTCTATATATGGTGTATCCATAATACGTGATTCGAATATTTGGAGATAATAACAACAACAACAACAGTAGAAAGAAAACTTAAAAATTTTTCAAATCTAGCCCATCTGTTTGCCATAAAATTTGTGTGTGTGTGTTTTTTATTATCATTTGTTAAATCGATTGTTGATTCACTTTTTTTTTTTTGATTGTTGTTAAATTTCATTCCAATTTGATGATGATGATGATATTGGTCAAAGTCAATGACAAAGTTTACAATGATTTCATGATTTTCAAATTCCAAAATACAAATACAAACATTTATATTATGAACGTACTCTGTCTGTATGCTGATCGATCCATTCGAATTATTTATAAATTCGAATCATTGAATTCCAAGAATTTAGCGAACAAGAAAAAAAATTCATTTCAAATTCAATTCATATCGTCTTGTTTTTCATTTATTTATAATTATATGATCATCATTTTCAAAAACAAAAAAAAAAATGGAAAAAAAATTGATTATAATAATCATCAGACAATAATGGTGATGAAAAAAAAATAGTGATGATGGAGAAAGAAATTAAAATTCCAGATTTCCAAACACAAGTACACAATTTTACCACCACGTTCCAGGATCATGATCTTTCCTCTCTCTCTCTCTCTCTCATTCTCTCTCTCTCTCTCTCTCTCTAGCATTGCACAAACACACACACACACACAATTGATTATTCTCTATTCATGATAGATATTCGTAGTCAAATGGTGGAGGTTGTATTGATGGATTTTTTTTTTCTCAAATCAAATCAAATGGATCATCCTCCCTATGCTATCTATCCAAATATAAAACAAAAGGGGAGGAGGACAACTAAAAAAAAAAAAAAAAGTTTCACTTGTTAACGGGTCTATACTCTTCTTCTTTATTTATGTATTTATTTGGGCGATCATGTTTTTTTTTTTTTTTTTTTATACAATATATATTAATATTTACATCTGTTGCATATATGTGTGTAACCATAAATTGTGTTACCATATATTTCAATTTCATTGTACACGAGACATATTTTGAAACATATAAAAACTAATTAACTTGGATTCAAATGTTTCATTGATAAACTACAAAATATTGTAGCTGCTTGACTGCCAAAAAAAAAAACAAAACCAAACCAAAAATGTTCAAAGTAAGTAATCGATTTAGATTTTCAATCCATTTCCAATTGTTAATTCATCCAACTGTTTGTGATTGATTTTAAAATCAACACGTTTTCATATATAACAGCATCTTTTTATCACTATTTTCTGCATTTATTTGGTTTCGGCTGCACCAACACCAGAAGATGAAAAACCTGATCCATATTCATTTGCATATGATGAAACCGATGAATATGGTACAAGACTTGCAAGACAAGAAACTGCTGATGAACGTGGTGTTGTTCAAGGTACATACACATATTCTGATGCTAACGGTTTAACTCGTACTGTTCAATACATTGCTGATGATGATGGTTTCCGTGCTAATATTGTGTCAAACGAACCAGGTCTTACAAACAGTGCACCAGCTGCTGCTAATTATCAAATTCAATAAATAAAAAACGGTACGGTTTTTTTTTCTCACCGAACAATCAAAAATCAAGCCACTTCCTATTGTAGCCAAATGTCTTATGTCCACGTATTCTGTATTTTTTCACAATGATAATGTTCGAAACATTCCTCTCTTTCTCTCTCTCTCTCTCGCTGTGGAACACATTTTCTTTTCAAAAATTTTTTTAAAATAAAAATCTAGTTCTTAATTGTGATATTTGTCTGAAATCTGTTTTCGATTTTTAATTTTATTCATCATTCATTCATGAATTTCATATCCGTAATAAAATTTATGAACAAGCCGTCATCATAATCTCAATATTTATTTCTTCATCATTTTTGGCCATCAATGCTGTTTCACAATTTGATGAATTGAATGTTTCCATTTCAATGTCATCAAGATTTTTTTTTGTCGATTCCTGGATCAAACTCAAAATTGCTTCAAGGGTTTTTCATTTCTTTATCACGAATTTATATTTCATCGGAAATTTTGTGTATTTCACAAAAAAAAATTCATTTTTCATCATCACTATCATCTTTGATTTCAAGGTTTTTTAAATATTTTTCCACCATTCCAATATTGACATCAAATTCAAATGCAAAAGATTGAAACATTCGAATAAAAAAAACCAAACATTTGAGCGTTTCACTGATGCTATTTTTTGACTATATGATGATAAATGAAACATAAACATAAACAAAAAATTGCTTTCCACTTCATATTCCAAACACACACACACACACACACACACACGCATTAATCATTGACCATGACCTATACTGTTTTTTCGATACAATAATTTGATAAAAAGGAGTGTAGAAATTTTGAATCACAAATTTTTCTATTAAAATATTAACTGAATAATTGGATACACCGTATCCTTAATCAATTATTAGCGATTTCGAAAAACAAAACACACGCACACACATAGACAAACAGGCAGATAGACAAACCATTGTTAAAATTAACATTGTTCACTTGAATGAATGAATAATTGAAAATCTATTAGGTAATGCCTGAATCATCATCATTTTGAATCGAATAATAAATGTCTAAATAAGATATGCGTGCGTGTGTGTGCGTGTGTGCGTGAAACGAAGAAAAAGTGAAAAGAAAAATATTTTTACATGGCCATAATTTTATTTTGAAACTTGAAATTTTTTTGTTTGTTTGTTTGTTTGTTTGTCTGTTGTTATTTCATCAATCCTGTGCCATTATTATAAAATTTTCAATTACAAACATCCGGATTTGATGCTTGTTCACACGCTTGTCAACAATAAATTTTTTGTTGTTGTTGTTGTTGTTGTTGTCCAAAATGATTATATAATTTATTCATCATTTCATTCGGCCACTGTTTGTCTGTATGTCATGATTACAATAAATTGAAATTTCTAACAAGAAAATGGAAAATAAAATTTTCAATTAACTAATTTTTTCTTTTTTGTTGTTTGATTCGGTAACAACAACAACAACAACAACAACAACAACAAAAAATCCATTTTAATGTCAAATCATGATGACATACAAATATTATCTATTCACATGCAAACACACACACACACACACACGATTCATCGTTCCAAATAAGAAAAAAAACTCGAAATTCAATTTTTAAACGAAAATCTAAACAATAATGATCAACCACCAAACAAACAATGAATGAATGTATATTCTGACCTATAGTCGTCGACATTATTTAGAGCAAGAATGAATGTATCTGAATATTATTATTATTAGTTTTACATTGCTATGTATGATTGAAATTTGACATTTATGGTCAATGAAAAAAAAAAAAAAAACAAAACAGTCAACACCGAAATCGATTTCAAATAGTGTCAATGATCTTTTGTTTTTGTTTTTGGTACATTCCTTCTAAAATTTTCATTAGTTTATTTTTACCCACTGTTCATTGTTGTATATTTGTCGTTTTTTTTCATTTTCATTCCTTCTTATTTGATGATCATTAATTAACAATTCCATCAAATAATAAAGAATAATCAATAATTCCTACCTAAAGAGATCTTTATAATACTAATAATAATGATTCTTTAAAGTAGTTGTAATCAATTTTCAGTGTAAATTGTCAAAATACAAAACAGAATTTGTTTGTATAATGACAATCATTATATTTTTCAGTATTAAAAAATAAAAAAGAAAACACCAACATATAATTAATTTCTATCAACGAAATGTGACAATCGAAGCTTCTCTTGTTCAATAGCAATAGCAAAATTTGAACAATACATACAGTTTATTGTTGAAAATCAACGATAAATGACGATGAATATCCTACCATTTAAGCGAAAATCCGATCATATTATTCGTCCATTGGTTAAATATTCATTTCATTCATTGAAATATTTGATTATTCGAATCAATTATCAATTATGGCAATATCAACAACGACAAATACCATTAACATATTCATCATTACGGCCTGCCATTCTAATTACAATCACTGGATGGATGAGCACGATAATGTGGTTTTCAAAAATTCAATGGGGACGAGCTGTATTTCCTATTACAAATGATGATTCGGCACGTATATTTCACATCTCTTGTTTTACAATTTGTGTTAAATTCATGACAGTTGTCAGTTGCATTTTGGAATTTTTATGGATCATATTTATACGTAAATTGTTGAAATATGAATCGGGCCTCAATGATTTTCTTATCTATTATTCTAGTCATCATAAGAATATTGAAATGGAAATTACTTCTCAAAATAGAAAATATCTTTTCAGATTAATAACAATTGCCGATTATTTATCGATTGAATCGGCAATCATATTCGGTTTGGCTATCACATATTGGATGTTAAGAATTATTTATGAATTATTCATATTATTCAATAACGATCAAATTTCTACCGTGGTTCTCTTGTTTTCGATTCAAATGATTATAATAGAATACATACATTGTTTGTTCTTAATTTCATTGATTTTGATGCCATTCAAAGCATTGATCATAGTAGTTGAACTTATTATCGATCAAATTAAACAATTTTTCTTGGCAATACGATCATTATTCGATCTTCGATTATCGAATACAATGAAAATGCAAATCGTTTGGCATAGTTTCCAAAAAAAATACAACCGTATTTTCAATCATATTGCAAAATTGAATGCTGATCTCAAAATGGTTTTGTTGGCCATGGAAACCATATCAAAGGCATCGATTATTTTCTCCACTATATTCTACAGTCAAGGAGTTACCGAAACTATACATGGTTCGATATTCGTCGTATGTCTTATATCTATATTTTGTCTGGCCACCGGTGTCTATGCCCGATTATCGATATTTCCTTCATTTAATCAACAATGTTGTAAACGATTATTGGGATGGAATGTTCGAATATCACAATTACATTCTCGAATAAATGATGATAATAATAATAATCGACGAATAAATAAACATCAACATATACAATTTAATAAATTAATTCCTCCAAAAAATTGTAATCGTAAATCTTTGTTTCTATTTACTATCCGGCAACAAATCAAAATAAATCTGTTTATGCAAACAATGGCAAAAAATCGTTTTGGTTTCAATTGTGGCCAGATATTTTTTATCGACAAATTTAAATATGTTGAATTAATGCTGATGAACATACCATTTACAATTATGTTTTATGAGAAAATTTGTCTTGATATTAATAACCGGATTGATAACAACAATTAACTATATATCGAAAAAAACGTCATCTTGTGCAAATAACAAATGTATTAAAATATTTCATTTCAATATATTTAAACTGAAATAAAAGATGGAGTTACATATGACACATTGAAATGACTGAATTTGACATTTATGGCCAATAAAACAAAAAAGTTAACACCGAAATAAAATTCATTTGAATTTGGTTTCAGTCTAAGAAACCGATATTAGCAACGCATTGTTAAATATTTGCTTTCTTCTTTTCATGCCTTATTATTTGATGATCATTAATCACCATTTCCATTGAATAATAAAGAATAATCAATAATTTCTGTTTAAAAGATCTTTATGATGATTATTTAAAGTAGTTGTAATCAATTTTCGGTGTAAATTTTCAAAATACAAAACGGAATTCGTTTGAATAATGAAAATCATTATATTTTCTTGTAATATAAATGAAAAAAATACACCTACATCTCATTAATTTTTATCAACAAAATGTTACAATCAAATCCTTTTTGATTCAATAGCAATAACAAATTTTTGAACAATAATAATAATTTCAGCGAGATACATACAGTTCTTTGTTGAAAATCAACGATAAATGACAATGAATATCCTACCATTTAAGCGAAAATCCGATCATATTATTCGTCCATTGGTTAGATATTCATTCCATTCATTGAAATATTTAATTATTCGAATCAATTATCAATTATGGCAATATCAACAACGACAAATACCATTAACATATTCATCAATACGACCGGCCATTCTAATTACAATCACTGGATGGATATGTACGATAATGTGGTTTTCAAAAATTCAATGGGAACGAGCTGTATTTCCTCTTACATATGATGATTCGGCACGTATATTTCACATCTCTTGTTTTACAGTTTGTATTAAATTCATGATAGTTGTCAATTGCATTTTGGAATTTTTATGGATCATATTTATACGTAAATTGTTGAAATATGAATCGGGCCTCAATGATTTGTTTCTCTATTATTCTAGACATCATAAGAATATTGAAATGGAAATTACTTCTAAAAATAGAAAATATCTTTTCAGGTTAATAACAATTGCCGATTATTTATCGATCGAATCGGCAATCATATTCGGTTTGGCTATCACATATTGGATGTTAAGAATTATTTATGAATTATTTATATTATTCAATAACGATCAAATTTCTACCGTGGTTCTCTTGTTTTCGATTCAAATAACCATAATAGAATACATCCATTGTTTGTTCTTAATTTCATTGATTTTGATGCCATTCAAAGCATTGATCATAGTAGTTGAATTTATTATCGTTCAAATTAAACAATTTTTTTCAACAACACAATCATTATTCGATCTCCGATTATCATTATTCGATCTCACATCATCTAATACAATGAGAATGCAAATCGGTTGGCATTATTTTCAAAAAAAATACATCCATATTTTCAATCAAATTACAAAATTAGATGATGATCTCAAAGCGATTTTGTTGGCCATGGAAACCATATCAAAGGCATCGATTATTTTCTCCACTATATTCTACAGTCAAGGAGTTACCGAAACTATACATGGTTCGATATTCGTAGTATGTCTTATATCTATATTTTGTCTGGCCACTGGTGTCTATGCCCGATTATCGATATTTCCTTCATTTAATCAACAATGTTGTGAACGATTATTGGCATGGAATGTTCGAATATCACAATTATATTCTCGAATAAATGATAATACTAATAATCGACGAATAAATAAACATCAACATATACAATTTAATAAATTAATTCCTCCAAAAAATTGTAATCGTAAATCTTTGTTTCTTTTTACGATCCGGCAACAAATCAAAATAAATCTGTTTATACAAACAATGGCAAAAAATCGTTTTGGTTTCAATTGTGGCCAGATATTTTTTATCAACAAATTCAAATATGTTGAATTAATTCTGATGAACATACCATTTACAATTATGTTTTATGAGAAAATTTGTCTTGATATTAATAACCGGATTAACAACAATTAACTATATATATCGAAAAAATAACAATTGTATGAAAATAATTTCAATATATATATATTTATAAACCGAAATAAAAGATGGAGTTACATATGACACTTTGAAAATGATACAAACATTTATCCATAGAATTTCTATATTTTAGTTTTTCGATATTTTATATTGTACTACAAATTCATTTATTTTTTCAATACTAATTTAATATAATGAATTTATATGTTGTTAAATTATTAATCATCATCGCCATTAATTACCATCATCATCGTTATTATTGATAATGTCAAAATGTTGTTATTTACAATGACATTTTAGGATAATTTATTTGATAACAATGTAAAACGTGCATAAAGTATAATGATCTATATGGGTGGAAAAAAAATCGATTCATTAAATCATTTATCATTTACAATCAAGAAAAAAAAAAAAACAAATTTACCTTCATGAAAACCGATTTTGTTACAACGGTCAGATCACCAATACGAATGCCCCATGGTTTACGGCCAATTAAACGTTCATTGATCAACATTAATTGAAATTTTAAATAAAGATTCGATGAACGATTTGTTTTATTAATACTACGTTGTAGATATGAACCAATGGAATTTAATTGTTTATTAAATACTGATATTGAATATGTCATCAAAATGATAATAAGATAATCTAATAATAAACAATAGATTAATACTAATAATGTAAAATATGTTTCCACACTTAAATGTCGTAATTGACTCAATACAATTTGACTTGCAAAAATGGTTAACGCTAATGCAAAGAATAATATACGGGCAAAATATTTGCCCAATTCTTCTACAAATATGATTAAACGTGTATACATTTTATATGATTGTATCATATTCATATTTAGCTGTGTTTTTATCCGTTTATTCGGTAACCATTGTGTACCGAAAAAAAGTATTGTTGAATAATTTTCAATATCCCATTCAAAACGTCTAGATAATTTATAGCCCCATGACAATAGATAGAATGCAATGAATATTGGACAATAAATGAATGTGAATAAAAAATTCAATGCAATAACATTCATATGAAATGTAAACATTCGTATTATTATATATTTGATTGTTTGATCTGAATAACATTCAAATATTTCACCAATTAATGCAGTAAAATGGATAAAAACTATGTGAAAAAAATTTCAGAACAAAATACATTATTATTATTATTATTATAATCGAGTAAAATTTATGATTATGAATAAAAATAAAATACTTACAATGAAATATTTGAACAAAACTATGAAATCGATTGAATAATGATTGTAAATGACTGAAATTTGATGAAATTTTTATGCAGCCATAATCCATTAGAATGGATGATGATCGAGAGAATTGCTGTTGTTGTTGTTGTTGTTGATCTTGTCTTGTATATTGTATCAACGTACGAAATGCTAATGATTTTTGTGTTCGAAATGAATCATAAATGATTGTAACTAGTACTAAACCTGAAACAGCTAATATCAATGATAGATTGGATTGAAATGATGAACTAATCATAATGGTTATGTCACCAGAAATAAATTGAAACCAATCAGTGAATTCAATTAGTTTGAAATATTTCAATAAATGATATACAATCATTATGGCTGTTAATAGAAAACGAATCTGTTCCTTTGTAGGCAATGAAAATAGTATCCATTTTGATTCAAATGATGATGATGAATTTGGAATTAGAAAAAAATTTGTATAAAAATGAAATATTGATCCATATGTTTTTGGTTCATAAGAACTAAGATAAAACCATGATAATCGACGATAAATCAATGATAGAATTTTGTCCATAGAAATATTATTATTAGCCATAATCATTTGATCATTTGGTTATCATCAATTGGTTGTTGTTTCAAAAAACGACAAACGAAATGACTAAAAGAAAAAATTTCAACAATTTCTCGATCATGTTTCTGTTTTTTGCTTTTGTTTTTTTCATCTATGTTTTAATAATTTTCGATGAATTTTTTTTTTGTCAATTTTAATCATTCATATCATTCATTTTATTTGAAAAAAGGTAAAAAAAAGTTTTTTTTTACTCGTTAGTTTTCAATTAAACGTTCGATAATTTTCCAGGTTCGTTTATTATTATAATCATTATATTTCAAATATATCTAGTTTTTTTTGTTTTATTTTTAGAATCGATTATAATGGGTTTTCTTTTTATCTGGATCTTGTTGTTGACGTTTTTTTCTCGTTGTCACAAGAAAAATTGATCGTCCTTGGGTTATAATGGAAAAAGCAATAAATGATCATTTGAATTTCGTTTGAATTTTTTTTTTATTCAGTTTTGCCTTTTTATACAGAATTTTTTTGAATGTCAAATAAACACATTCATATGAATTCAGAATTAATTAATAAATTTTATTCAACAGAATCGCACTGCTCAATTGAGAATATGAATTCAGAATAATTTACTTGAAAGCATAGTAAATCTTGCATAAGCCATTATTAACTGGAAACAATAATAAATTAATTGATCAATTAAAATTCAATTAATTAAGAAAATAATGACTTACTTTTGCAAATGTTGCTGTAGTCATAACAGTAATGACACCCAATTTCAAACCCCATGGTTTTGAACGTTTTACTAATCGTTCATAATACATTAACATTTGAAATTTTGAACGAAAACGTGATGGTGATGAATTCATCAACCATACGGTACGTTGTAAATCATAACGTATGGAATTTAAAAATGAATTAAATATTGATACAATAAATGATAAAATGATGATGATTACATAATCCAGAAATAAAAAATAATACAACATGATTACAATATGATGATCATTTTGTATGAATTTCAAACTATTCATTATAATTTGGCTAGCCACTATTGCCTGAATCAATGCTATCAGAAATATTTTTGAAAAATATTTTTGATAATCTTCGATAAATATTATTAATCTTGTATATATTGAATATGAATCAATAAAATTCTTCTCAATTCTTGCCAACATGGAACGTTTTTCATAATTATTCGTTGTCAACATTGTTCTTATTAAAATGTATTGTTTTAGATTATTAGAAATTTTTCGTTTAATTTGTAAAATTGTTTTAGATGCCATCAAGATTATGTACAAAATCCAACAAAATGGACCATAAACGTATGAAAACAGAAAATTTAGGGTGATAACTTGAAATTGTAATGATATAAAACGTAAAATTATCTGCCAGAATGGTCGATAACCAAAATTTTGTGGATTCAATTCAAAATATAGACTAATCATATTAAGGATAACTGTCCGAAAATATTGATCAATTGATTATTTGCATTGGAAAAATTATTGATCAAAAAAAACTTACAATGAAAAATTAGCGAATACCAATGAATTTGAAAAAATAATTGACGAAATTTTATAAATTTCAATCCAATTTCTTTTTCCAAATAAATAAATAAAATGGCCGTTGAATGTGAATATCTGTTGGGATTTTTTGTAAATAATTTCTCTATAGTAATACTATTATCATTATTCATTTCTATCGTAAAAATGATGAATGTACGAAATGCACGAGATTTTTTCGTATCAAATGATTTATAAATACCGTAACCAAAAAATAATGCCGTATAACCGAAAAGCCATGACATAGTTTTTTTGAAACGATTCCACATTATAGTCTGTTGTCCAGTGTGTATGATCCATATATCACCAATTATGAATTTCATCGTATCCGAATATTGGATGGAATCAAAATTTAATGATATAGAATAGCAGCTTATAAAAATCAAAATGATAAAACGAAATTGTTCTTTTAATGGTAATAATGAAAATAAACATTTTGATGATGATCGATTTGATGATTTGATTAACATAAAGCTAGCATAAAATTCATATAATGATTGATGATTGAAACTTTGTGATGACGATGATGGTAATGAATTGAGATAAACTATGGATAAAATTTTAAATATAAAAATCTTACATCTATCAAGCAACATGTTCATAAGATTTTTTTCAGCCATTTTGGTTTTGTATGAAACACACTAATGATATGGCAAAAATCAAATTCATTTATAGAAATCATCGCCATATCTTTTATAAGAATTTACAGTTTTTTTTCGTGAAAATTTTTTTCAACTTCGTTATGGTTACTAATGAATTTTTGTAAAGAAATGTACATTTTTTTTGTGTGTGGGTGTGTGAACACCTGATCTCCATTCAAAGACAATATAAATCATGCCGAAATGTACATTTTCATTTCATAGTTACGAAATCGATTTGTCGTTGTTATTTTGGTAGAATTTATTTTCTTGAAAAAAAATATTACTTTTAAGGAAATCCGGTACAATATGGTTTCGAATGGTGTTTCGATCATTTTTTTTTTTTTTTTTGACGTTGAAAATGATGAATTATGAATGTTGTTTTTTCATTTCATTTTTCCAATGATTTTTAGGTGAATTTTTGTAATGAAATAATAAAACGAGCATATACAAGTATGATCTATATAAAATGGATAAAAATATTTAGATTTTAGAATCTCAAGAATGAACAATTTTAAAATTTCAAATATTACTTTGGCAAATACGGCTTTAGTAAGAACGGCAATCATACCGATACTTATACCCCATGGTTTTCTATCGATCATACGTTCATAAAACAAAAGTAAACGTAATCCATTCAGCCATGAACGATTATTATCAGCCGCATTCATGTCACGACAATGTACGACACGTTCCAAATCAAAACGTATGGAATTAAGTTTTGAATTAAATTTTGAAATAAAATATGTAAATAAAATTAAAATTGAATATTCTAATAGCAGACAATAGACAAAAATTATCCATATTATCCATCGAATTGAATGAATATTACGTAAACATAATAATGTCATCTGGCTAGCAGCAATATTGACGATTAATGTCCAAAAAATTAATCTAGAAACATAACGTTGAAAATCTTCAATAAATATGATTAATCTTGTATACATTCGTAATGTTTTCATTAGATTTTGATTGATAATATTCATGATGATTGGAATATTATTATTATTATTATTATTATGATGATTATTAAATAATTCATTTAATAATTGATAATTTTTTAATCCATTCTGGATATCCATTCGTATATTTCGTATGATTTTTAGACCTAATTTCATAACATAAATACCGATTATTAATGGACAACAAATGAATGTTAGTAAACAATTGAATACAATCCAAATAGATTGTAATGATATGAAACGAATAATCAATTGCCATAATGGCCATGTAGATGAAAATTTTTCCAATTCAATAATATACATTAAAATGTTAAGTATGACTGAAATGAAAAAAAAAATTAAATCAATTTTTTTTCCATAAATAAAAAAAAATATTTCACTTACGATTAAATATTGTGATAAAACAATAGAAAATGTCAAATAGTAAACGAAATTGATGAATTTTTGGCGAACATTTTTTCGTCACATATTTCATCAGAATGGATGATGAACGAGAATATTGGCCAGAATTTGTTGGAATTTTTTCAAATTTTTTTGTATAAATTACAAACATACGAAATGATAATGATGATGATCGGGGATCAAATGTTTGAAATATAGCAAATACAAGCATCTGTGTGCAGAAACCGAAAAACATGGCCATATATTTTTCCGATTTATTATTATTCACAAAAACATTTCTTGTTATATCACCAAATACAAAACGTAATGTGTCCGAATATTCAATAATACCCAAACTGAATGTTATATAGTAGAAAATAAATATTTCGATAATCAAGAATCGTATTCTTTCCTGCCATGGTAATGATTGAAATCGCCAACAATCATTATGATCAATCATTATTAATCGTGTATGAAAATCATAGATAGAATTATAGAATTTTGTTGTAAATGAACAAAGATAGAATCGAGAAATAATTTCATAAAAATTATATATTTTTATCATGGAATAAGACATTTTTTTTGCCCATCAAAAACAATGCAAAACAAAAACACATGAACTATGATTCTGTGATTCTGTTTTGGAAATAATAATCACAATCATATCTAAAACAAAAAATATTCAGATTTTCTATATCGACCCAAAAGGAATTTACACACACACACACAAAACTTTTATTACCATCATTATCATAAAGAAAAATAAATTTGAAAGTGTCAAATAAAATTTATTGTTGTAATCACCTGAAATAGTCCATAAACACACACACACACACACATGGACATTTATGAATCTGAAGATGAATATATATTAATAGAACATCGAAAAAATGAAGAAATCATTTTTTTTGCTAAAAAAAAGATTGAACTTTTCCAAAAATCAATACTTACTTTGGAAATTTTAGTAATCAAAAAAGTTTGTGAAATTTTATTTTTATATTATTGATGATAATTTATTATTTTATGCCCATCATCACCGCCACCACCACCACCACTACCACCACCATCATCAAATGAGGCTTTATTAACTTCATTTAATGTATTACTTAATTTGCCTGATAACATTGTGAAACGTATGTAGAATATAAGAAGCTAGAGAATTGTTTTACAAAATTAAATTAACGGATGAATAACTGGAACTGAAAAGACCACTTACCTTTATAAATACAGCTTTTGTCAATACGGTAATCACACCTATTTTTATTCCAAATGGATTTTGATTCACTAAACGTTCATAGAATAACATTGTCGTGAATTTTGAACGTATCGATGCCATTTCGTTTGTCCAACGAACAATACGATTAAGATCCATACGTATTGAATTGAGGTCGGCATTAAATTTTGATACAATAAATGATAACAATACAATGATTGCATAATCCATTACAAGAAAATAATACATAAATATCATTATAACTGTACTATCGGGTGATAAATGTTTCAAACAATTCATTGTTATTTGACTGGCAACAAATGTAACTAATAATGCACATATAAATAATCTTGACAGAACAATCTGTACATCTTCAGCAAATATAATCAGACGACTATATACACGTATATTGAAACATAATTCATATTCAATTTTTCGTAAGAAAATTTGTAAAAATTTTGTTTGTAGTCGTAATTTTTTCATTATTAATGATCGATAATTATTCATTGATTGATTTAATTCAATTTTCAATACTTTTATGGATGTAAAACCAATATATAATAGATAACCGGCAATCATTAATGGTGAATAAATATAGATGAACATAAAATTGAATGCAATATATGCAAATTGTAGTAGAATTATACGTAAAAATATCAAACGTAATGGTTTTGTTTGCAAATATTTAGATAATTTGAATAATTGTATGCACAGATTTAATATCACTGGTTTGTTATGAATGTAATGAATTAATTGATTAGTTTTCAATTCAATCACTATGAATGTGTGTGTGTATACTTACCATGAAAAAATTGTGCAATACAATAAACACGATTAAATATTTGACGAAATTTTTGTTGTTTTAAATGAATTTTTTTATCTAAAATTTTTAATGTTAAAATTGTAGCACGTGATATTGGTTGTTTGGTTTGATGTTTCAATTGTTCAAATATGAATGGATCATCACTTTGTGTTATCAGTAAAAATGTACGTAAACCAAGTGATGATAATGTATGTAATGAATAATAGATTATAATTAGAAACATTAATGATGCAAAACCAGCCAATAATGATATACTAAATGATGCAGCAATAGAATCTTCAGCAATCAGATTGCCAAGATCACCGAATAAAAATTTTGTATCATCATCAATATTGATCCATTTGTAACTGGTACAGAAATAATATATAACCAAATATATTGATAAACACCAACAAATTTTCTCTTTTATTGGTATAAACAATATTGCTCTACGATGTGTGATTAACATAAAATTTGTATAATAATGATAAATTGATTGATGTATTTGTGGTGAAAATGAACTAAGATATAATCGTGACATTTGATAATAGATATTATTTAAAAATGTTTCACTTTTATAATCTGTTGCTGTTATTGTGGGTATTGCCATTTTGTTGTTGAAAATCAAATAAATGAATTGGAATTTTATAATAATTTTTTTCAAGAAAAAAAATAAAGAATCATCATTTCTTCTCTTTTTAAACATTCTTTTTCGATTTAATCATTCTTTCGTTGAATGAGAATGATGAATATATGTAAATTTTTTTTCTCATTTATAAACGACATAATTCAAACAGGAACTTCATGCAAATGACATAAATGCTTTCTTTGTGTACTTAAAATAAATAACAAAAAAACTTCATAATAACTTCATTTTAAATTTTATAATAATAGTAAGAAAAGGAAAGAAAAATGTTCAAAATAAAATATCCATTAATTGGGGGTTGGGGAAAAATAATCGATGATTGATTCGAACAATCGATTGTTTTGATGATAATGATGAGAGATGATGGATCCACATCAAATAATAATGATAATTATCATTATTATCATCATCATCAATTTTAAAATTCCATCGAAATATTTATTTAAATGTAGCAATCCAATTCTGGTGGTGAAAAAAAAATTTCATCAAAAAAACTCACCAATAAATGATCTTCTAAATGTTAAGCAACCTAGCAACAAAACAAACAAAAATGAATTGGAAAAGAATTTTTTTTTTTTTGAAAATGTAGAAAAAAAATCTCATTACCGAATGATTAATGAATCATAGAATTTCGGTTGGTTCGTTTAATTTCTTTTCTTTAATATTTAACCATTATTTTGTTGTTGTTGTTGTTGTTTCTTTTGAATTTCGTTAGGCAAAAAATAAAAATGTCAATGTCGATAAATATCGTTACAAGAAGATCGACCACCACTACCACCACCACCACCACCACAAACAAGATCAATTTCATTTGATGTATTATTTAATTTATTCAATAACATTGTAATACGTATGTAGGTGATTATTAACTGAAAAATCAAAATCGATATTAAAAAAAAACAACAACAACAAAGTCACAAGAACAACTTACCCGCATGAATATGGCCGAAGAAAGTACGGTAATTGTACCAATTTGAATGCCAAATGAGTGTTTATTAACTAATCGTTCATAATAGAACATCATTTCGAATCGTTGATGATTATCACAATAATCGTTTGTCATTCGTATAATACGTGTCATTTCAAAACGAATTGAATTAATTTTTGAATTGAATTTCGATACAATATATGATAATAGAATGATGACGGCATAATCCATGATTAAAAAATAATACATATAAATCAAAATGATTGTACTATCATTGGATAGATTACGAATACAATTCAATGTAATTTGACTGGCAACAAATGTAACTAATAATGCACAGAACAATAATTTCGCCAAAACAATTTGAACATTTTCAACGAAAATAACAATACGGCTATAGATATTAAGATTTTTAGCTAAATCCGATTGAATTTTACTTAATCGATACCATAATGAATGTCGTTTAGTAATAATGAAAATCGTTTTTATCAATTTATATTGACGCATTGATTTATATAATTTGTATTTAACTTTTTGTATTACATGAAATCCAATATAAAGAAGATAACCAGAAATTAATAATGGTGAATAAATACCATGTAGAATCATAAAATTGAATGCAATATGTTGAATATGTAGGCTAAATATTCTTGTCATTATATGCCAAAATGGTTTATACCATATATATGTTGTCATACGGAATGATTGTATGAATAGATTTAGAATCACTATAAATGTAAATGGATGAAATGATAATATTTTGGAAATTTTATTCTTACTTACTGTGAAAACATTGTGCAACACAATAAATTTTATTGAAAATTGATTTAAATTTTTTTCTATTCATTTTTATATCAGTAAAACAATAATGAATGATAATCATTGATTGTCGTGAATGATGATGATGTTGTTGATTAACAACAAACAAACGATGATGATGATCATCATCAATTTTATTTCCAACACAATCATCATCATCATCATCATCATCATCATCATTAAGCATAAATAAAAGAAATGTTCGCAATGAAATTGATTTGTTTGTATTCAATGAATAATAAATGATTATCAATAACATAATCGATGTAAAACTGGCTAATAATGATATATTTATAGCTAATCTAGATTCACTAGTAATCCAGTGGCCAATATCACCGAATATAAATTTCAAATTATCATTAATGATAATGAATTTCAAGCTTATACCAAGATAATAGATGATAATCAGTATTGCTGAATAGCAACATAATTTTTCTTTCCATGGTAATAATGACCATAATGATAATGATGATGATGATGAATATTCATTATCAATGCCATCCAATAACATGAAATGTGTATAAAAATGATAGATTGATTTATAATTTATCGGTGTGAATGAACAAAGATATAATCGTGACATTTGATAGTAAAAATTATTTTGAAATTTTTGCCAATTTTTATTACCGATTATATTCATGATGATTGATGAATAATTTTTTTTTTTGCAAAATTAGTGAAACACAATTTCATTACAACGACCACTTTGGTCACTGTTGGTTGATGAATAATGAAAAGAAAAACGTTTAAATACAACGAATAATGTTGTTCTGGTAAGAATCGCTTAAATTCTTAATGAAAAAAAATTGTCAGCAATAGTCATTGTGGTGAAACACACGATGTTGAAATGACGAATACAAAGGAACATGAATTAATTCATTTAGATCATGATTCTGTTGATATTTGAATCATTTATGAAGAGAAAAAGTTTTTTTCTTTTTTATTTCACGTTAAATACAAACCATATAAAAAACAGCATTCATTAATTCATTCAGTATTCAAATTCATTTGTATTTGTATTTGTATTTTTTTTTATTCTGAAATTTTCTTACAACAAAATGACTTCCAATATAATGATCATACTTATTATTGTGTTTTTTTTCTTGGAATTTTTCAAAGAAGAAAAAACAATCAACAAAGAAATGAATCGTTTAAATTATCAAACACGACCATGATGATGATATCTATTACACGAATATATTTGAGGATAGCAAAGTAATCGATCCATAAAATGATCAAGTGATAATATTCTAAACAAAACGGGAAAAAAATTCCAATTTTTCAATGTTTCCATAGGTTACAACAACAACAACAACAGCGGAATTTCATTCAAATTTATATGATAAAATCGTGAAACGAATATATAAGATAATGATCTATTTTTGGAACCAAAAAAAAAATTAATTAAAAAAAATGTAAATTCCTCATAATATGAACATACTCGCATAAATACTGATCTTGTCAGTACTGTAATTGAACCGATGCATATGCCGAATGTTTTTTTGCCAATAATACGTTCATAAAAACATGCCATTTGAAATTTAAAACGAAAACTTGATATCGAATTCATTTGGATTATTACTTTTTCCAATTCAATATGTAATGAATTTAGTTCGGCATTCAATTTGGAAACAAAATATGTTAGTAAAATGATAACCAAATAATCAAGACATAGAAAATAATAAAGAAATATCTTTATGGTCATATGTTGATTGATGATTGATTAAATGTTCCAAACAATTTCTTGTAATTTGACTAGCAACAATTGTCACAATCAATGCCCATAATAATAATCTGGAAAGATATTTTTGTACTTCTTCAGCGAATATGATTGTACGTATGAATATGATTGTTGCTTTTTTAATCTCCCATTGTATCACTGTTATTGTTGATGATTTTGTTTTCATATCAGAATAATAATTATCATTATTATTATTAATCATTATTGATCGATAACGGCTCAATTCATATCTTATTATATGGCGACAATGTTTTACATTACGAAAACCAATTAAAATCAGATTGGCAGCAATCATTAATGGTGAATATACTGATGATAGTAAAAAAATTATTACAGCAATATTAATCTGCATCATTATTATTCGTATGATGATTTGCCATAATAATTTTCCATCGGATATATTGTCCGTATTATATTGATGTAGAAAAAGATTTAATATAACTGGATTTTGTTTTGTTTTGTTTTTTTTTTTTGAAAATGAAAATGAGAAAAAAAATGATAAAAATTTTATAAAATGAAAATTTTTTTTTTTTTTTTAGTTTACATACAATGAAATATCTGTGCAAAACAATAAACACGATTAAATAGTTGTCGAAATTCATATTTTCGATTTAAAATATTTTTCTCTATATAACGGAATAATGTCACTGTTGAACGGGAATAATTTCGATCATTATTATTATTCATTTGATCGAGAATATTATCATCACCACCAATATACAAGAGATATGTTCGTAATGCATTACAATTCTGTGTTTGAAATGTAACATGTATGATCACTAAAAATATTAATGACGTAAAACTAGTTAATGTTAGAAAACTTTTTTCCAATGATGAATTATGGCTATCGCCAACAACTAGTATTGTTAAATCACCCATTAAATAACGAAATGTTTGATTATTAATATTGTAGCCAAGTGTTAATGAAATATAATAGAAAACAATAATCCATGATATTAATAATGTAAATTTCATTCGATTTGATAATGATGACAGCAACAATAGTGATGATGATGATGATGATGATGATGTTTTGAATTCAATAACATTAGATGTGAATAATAATGATAAATAGATTCATATTGATTTGGTGTATATGCACTTAGATAGATAGGGCCAAGTATTAAATACAAACGATTTAGATATTTATCATTAAAATTAATTTTTTTCATTAACCAATTTTTTGCCATCATAATTTTTACAACCATTTTTTCTATCATTAATTTTATCGTCGTCGTCGTTGTTTTTTTTGTTGTCAGCTACGAATATGATCATCATTTGATTGAATAAGAATTAACATGAAAATTTTTCCAGGTTTTGTAATAAAAAAAAAAATTATTGTCATTCATTCAATACTTTTGTAGAACGCAATATTTCAATTTACCTTCTCGAGAATATGACGATTTATTTTTATTCTTGAAGAATTTGTCAACGTTTGATCACGATAAGATTCGATTTAGTCTTTTTTTTTATTCTTTGCACTCTTTGTTGATTGTTATGTGGGTGTTTTTTTTATATCTAATAAATTTTTATGTATGTGACCTTTAACATGACCAGTTTGAATAAAATGTCAATGCATGCGTTTATCAGATAATTATCGTCATTCCATTATAGCAACAAATTCTGATTTCGTAGAATTTTGTAGAAAAAAAAATGAGAAATTTTCCAATTTACAAGTGCGATAACAGTTTTCTTGGAAAATACTCACATTTCATAGGATATGACGAACAAAAATGACAACAGCAACAAAAAAAAAATCGTTGTCGTCAGTTTTTTTTTTGTTTCTCAACATTTATCAATCGAATGGTTTCACGATCGATGAAGAGAAAGAAGAAAAAAAAATTAAATATCTTAATAATTTCCGGCTCTACCATTATCGATTTTGTTTTTTTTTGCAAAATTTTTTCTTTGAAAAAAAACCATTTTAAATATCAAATATTTGAAAATATGGATCGAGTGCATGTGTGTGTGTGTTGGTTTTTTTCATTGTAAACAAAATTTTCTTTTATGAAAAAAAAAATTATCATTAAAAATTGCGATGAACAAAACCTTGAAAACTTTCTTGAAAATCGAATAAGGTTGGTCGCCCCTTTTTATGAATTGTTTTTCTCTTGTTTTTCAAAAGATTTCTACAATCGACACCAATGTGTGTGTGTGTATATGGCCGAAATTATTATTTGAATTTATTTAAAAAGTATTGGTGATAATTAAAAAGAAACAGTGGAAAAAAACCAAAATTATTTTCAAATTAAATGAAAAAAATGATGATATTGTTGATGATCCATTACATCCATTATAATCACATGGACATATTAAATCGGATTGATTTTTATAACAAGAATAATGATAATCATCATAACCACATTGGCGACGAATAACCATTTGTTTATTATTAGTTGAATAAATAGTTAAACATTGATAATTGACAATATTTATGGACCAATTACATGGTTGAAAATATTTTCGAATATTTGATGGTGTCGAATACGATGGTATACCATGTGGAATAGCATTAAGACATTGGATATCAATTTTTGAATCACAAATCCAACAATATAATACGATTGGTGATGATTTTTTATCCGACAACATGGTAGTGGTGACCATTGTTGAATTACCGTTGACCATCAACGGTGAAATTATTATTATTAGGAAAAAACAAATACGAATCATTATCATACCATATGTTGTTGTTTTTCCAAAAAAAAAAAAAATTTGACAATTAGAGAGATCATCAACATTATATACAGAAGATGGATTTTGATCACGCCATTGCGTTGTTATTGAATTGTAAAGATCATTTTACTTTTACTATATCATAATGAGTACAGATGAGTAGAGATGATGATAACAAAAAACAAAGAAGAAAAATGATGATCAGTTTATGTTTAAATATTTGTTGCTATGTATGCACATTTTTTATATGTTTGTTTTGCAACATCAAAAAAAAATGTCAACAAAAACAATTGATGATTATTGAACCAAAATGGTTAAAATAGAATGAAATGCAAATAAAAATTTTTTTTTTTTTTGAATTTTTTTTTCAACATCGGTGTCATTCACATTCGATTATGATTCTTATTACCATATGTTGATGATGATTTATTCGATTTGAACATGAAATAAAATACAAAAAGTGAATAGATAAGAAAGAATAAAAATAATAATCCGGATATTGTTGATACGAAACGATCAGCTGTGTGAAGTAGACAAAAAAAAATTAAATACATTTATCGAATTAATGGATAAATGAACATATATATAATGAATAAATTGCTTGTTGCTCTCTCTCTCTCTCTCTCTTCTTACCATCATTCATTGATTGTTGTGATTGTTGTATGTAAGAATAATCACCACAATCTAACCATTCATAAAATGATTTTGTTGTCAATACAAAATATTTATCATGATCAATAATTGTATTATGTGTGAATATCAATAGATAATCTTTAGATATTAGATATAATTGGCCAGTATTCGATACTAGAAATCCTGAACGAACATTTGAAAAGATTAATTTTGATTGATCAATATCATTACATTCATTGATTGTTGATCCGATTTCCATACGATTACGATCAATGTTTGATCGTTGTACACAAATATTATAACGATTATGATTTTCATTATGATCCAATAGATATAATCGACCATTATCCATTAATATGGTACGATTATGACAATCATTAATGATAATTTTCTGATATGTACGATTCGTTCGACTTTGTTCGACATTCAGAATCAAACGATTCATATCGAAATCAAAACGATATGTACGATATAAATGATCAATTTTTGATACAAATGTCACTATTAATTCACTATCGTTATTATTATCACAAGTATGGCCAGGTAAATATATGGAAATGGGCATTTTTTCTAGATGACGTAAGCTTATAAATTTATTCATTACAGGTCCAAAATCATGGATTTCCGTATCGGTCAATAGATCGAATTGAATGTCACCAATCAATGAATTGATTGTAGTATTATAGGCAATCCATTTATTTGTTAGAAATATTAAATAATTATCATGAAAAAATGGACCAACAGCAACAATATGGTTGATAATTTCTTGACGTAATTCGAAACAAGTTTTCTGGTGTATATCAATTAAAACAAAAAATGATTTTTTTTTTTCCAATAAAAAAAATTGATATTTCATTCAATCATACCGGTTTAGTTTGAACGTTGACAATCAATTCAATGATAATTGATCCATAAAATAAAAACAAACAAAAGTTGGTTTTCATAATAATTTGTTTATTGCTCCTTTTTTAGCAAAAAAAAAAAAAATAAAACGATTTCACAACGACCTTATTGGTAATTTCATTTTTATATAAAATCAAAAAATAAAATCAAAATTCTTGAATTTTGAGTTTATTGTTGCGTTTTGTTAAATTACATAAATATATACCCAATCGATGTGATTATTTTCGAAATAGTTTAAACTGATATTTGTTCCGCTTTATTTATCAAAAACAATTCCAAAACATACGCAGTTATCCAAAACGATCGGTGGGTACAAGATATTATCAAATCAATAATGTGATTACACATATATGCAATCGATTACATTTGTTGGCTCATTTCTTCCAAAATTTTAATTGATCAATCATCTATTGCGAAAACAAAAATCACTGAAAATCAAAAATGAATAACGATGTTGATGTGGAAAAAAATCAAGATAATGAATCTGGATCATCACCACCACCACCACCACAGCCAACAAAAATTACCGCATTCAATGTTGGTAATAATAATCATCGAATGTATCCAAATCATCTTTATCCCATCTATATGACCATAATATTATGTTTGGTAATCATTACTATTTCAATTTTAATTTCATATTTAATTTTATTGTTTACATCGAAAAAAACTTGACATTCATTTATTTATTCAAATATTAATTTTCAACAAAAAAGTTCCCATCTTCCTCAAAATAAAAATAAAAACATGGATAATTTTTTTTTTTTTTTTTAACGAAATTTTCGCTTCTTATATATTATTATTATTATCTCATCGCCAATGGTGATTATGATTTTCAATAATGGTGCTTAATCGCATGATCACATGTTTTGAATAACAATTCGATACATTAGCAGTCATATAAATTTCATATAGACGATTGATTATTTCATTGAAATCTGATGATTGTGAATCTGTTTCAGCTGAAATGAATCGATTGTGACATAAATTTTTGATCGATTCTAAACCTAATGTGTCAATCAATATATATAGACAGTCCATTTTAAATTCAGATGGCATATTGAAATCAGAATTTTCATCTAATGATATGTAAGTCAATAGGTTCATACAGAAAATGATCATTTGTGAAGGGATGGCATTCACACGATAAAGATTAGCAATCAATTTAACCAATGTAATTGTATAAATTTTTAAATGACGATCATTCGTATTGGCGAAATTTGTTTGTTGAATAAATTTTGTTGCTTGATCATTTATTGAATTTTCCACATCTTTTAAGCATAAATATGTAAGAATATTGCCAAGTTTAATCACTGGAAACATAGAACGAATTTTCTCTGAACAGTATTCTGAATTCACTGGCAGTTCATATAAGCTTTTCCAGAATTTAGCTAAATTTTGTATACTATCATCGGACCAATAATCTCGGCTAATCATTTCAAACATTCGTTCAACAATTTTTTCAAAATAATTACAATCAATACCCAATGCACAAAATTCGATCGATTTACGATCAATATTGGCCATATTTTTCACATCAATCATTATACGTTCGATAGCCATCAGATGTTCATTCATATCGAAATATGGATGCCGTTGCTGTATATGATGCTGTTGTTGTTGATGATGAAATTTTTCTCGAAGTATGATTGGTGATTGAAAATATGAATTTGATGCATTTTGATTGGCGAATTTCACCGACATCTAAAATAACAATTTGATTATGATTTGGATTGATTCACAATTCAAAAAAAAAAAATAAAATTCCAAAAATTATAACTCACTTGTTGTTGCAAAACAACTTGCGAATACAATGGATAATTCCGTTGTTGTTGGTGTTGCTGATTATGATGATCATTTTCATCATTATAGGAATTGTCATCATTGACGTTGTCAACATCGAACATTTCAAAACAAGTATTATCGGATATGATTAAAGATTTTAGTTCCAAAAAACAATATGTTCGTATGGCCATTTTTTCCAAAGATAATCGTGTTCGAACATAATGAACCAATACATTATCTTCGAGTTGATTGGCACAAAGTTTCGGTAACAATTCGTTGTAACTTTTTCGAGCTCTTTTTATCCAATTCCAACGTTGCAAAAGATATTCATCATCCTTTGCTTTTAACAGTTCATCATCATCATCGAGGCTCATTTTTTCAACGTCCAATAATAAATGTTTATATTTTTGAGAATGATAAACAAACTTATTTTTGTCCATTTTTTTGTTGAAAATCGAAATTTTTAAATTGTAAAAGAAAATAGAATGCTGACAATGAAAAAACTCAAAAAAAATCAAAAAAAACATTTGCTTATATACGTCAGTGTTAAACGCACGTTAAACGGATATAATACTCATTTGTGGGTCACACCGTTGTTATAACCGATACAATCGATACTTGTACTTTTATAGAATATTTTTCAATTTTAAAATCAAAAAAAAAAATTTTTTTATTGAGTTACATTTTTTAATTTCATAATGAAAAAATTATCAAAAAGAAAAAATAAAAAGAAAAATTCCTATTACACTCATATTCATAGATGGAATATCTAAAATGATATTATCAAATAATCACAGGTAATAAAAATATATTGTCTTTTTTTTTGGGAATTCCATTGCTGGCATAATGGTGAAATCTTCATTGCATCAACATGGATCCGATGATTTGGTAATGAAATATCCGATAAAAGCAAATAAAAACATTATCAATAAAAAAGTCACATTAGATGTAGTGGTCGTTTCGATCGATTCTGGTTTTCTGTTTGTTTGTTTATTTTTTTTTTTTTTTGATCAGGTATATGAAATTAAAAAAACAATTGATAAATTTTTCTTTTTCGAACTTATCATCATAGATATATGGTATGTTTACCCGAATGGTATTGATGAAACATTCAAATGATGAAGATTATTGGTCGATGAATCGGATGAATATAATAATAGATAGGAAATGCGTATCAATTCATCATTGGCAACCACATAATAAGTATCTTTTTTCTCTGTAAAGAAAAACGAAAAAAAATTGAAATTTTTTTTTATTTTTCAAAATCAATCAAATCTATTATTACTTTTAGCCTCAATATCTGGATGATCGATAATTTCACACATGGCAACACAGCTAAGTTTTTTACCTAAACGTGATCCTTTAAAATTATTCGCTCCAAACGGACTGAATAGAATGGCCACTTCAATTTTTGAGCTAAAATATGTTCCAATACCCAACATACTTCGTTTATTTAGGCTATATATTAATCCATTGTGGAGAATGGAATGAAAATTTTCCATAGGTGAACCATGAAACGCATAGAATGATCCATATTGTGCGGCTAGATCGTTGAATTTACGATTACGTTGACAATCATTCGGATGTGTTATGGCAAACAGATAATTTGGTCGTAATCGATTTCGTTGTTCTTCAAGATTATCTTCAAGAATATCACGTGCCTATTATTGAGGATATTGTGATGAAAAAAATAAATATTAAATGGTCGATATGATTCAAACCAAACCTTTTGATCAATGTCTTCGATTCTGACTTGTTGTAGATTGAATGATCCTTGCGAAAGAACCCAATGAACTAATTTCACTGTATGACGATCTTGATAGCATTGTGGTTGTTCCGTCTTACGTAGTAGTACACGATTTATTGGGTCGGATATTGTTTCAAAAACTTTCATCTATAAATGTAAGAATCGAATTGTATTGTCACATAAAACAATTCCAATTACTTACTAATTCATTACGACGAATTTCTTGATGGTCATTATCATAATAATCACTGGGATATGGTTTCAACAGTGTTGTCGTTTTTAAACTATACAATGCCGATGCAAACAATGTTAAACGTAAATCATAACAAAGATATTTTTGCGGCCATTCATTTGGTAAAAATTGTTCAAGGAAAAATTTTTTTAAATTTTCAAATTTTTGTTGTTGTTGTTTAGGTTGATGGATAACATTGTCATCATCATCATCGTCATCATCATCATCAACATTCGATTGCAGATGATTTTTGTCAACATACATTATTGATTATTTGATCAACATTCAATGTAGAATCATGGATACAAATTCTGTTTTGTTTTTTGTTTTATCAAACGATGATGATCGGTACATATGATAGATTTCACAGAAAAAAAGTGTGGCGAGTACTCTCCAATATTGACTGTTACTCTACAACATTGATGAGTGAGCGCCAATATTGGCGAACATATCTATCATCGAATCATAGATCGAATTCGGACAATTGTCTTGGAACATAGATCTCTGATTGGACAAATTGGACAATTAACTTCGTATGTTGTGTGTAATCAAGATATTGAATATGAATGCATTTCAATAATTTAAATTTTTGAATCTAGTTTAATATATTTCAATGAAATCAATCAACGTTGTGAACGACACTATCGATAGACAAATCGATGAATCGATTTAGTTAAATTTTTGGAGAATATACTCTCCAATCCAACTTTCTTTTTTTGCTGTTATATGTGTCTGTGATGCTTTATTTTTATTTTTTAAAGATTTTGCGCTGAAGCCGGCCATTTTTCTTTTTTTTATCGCTGTTTTTGTTAACAATTTTCTTGTTTTTTTTTTGGTTGTTGTTTGTGCATCATTTTCTATATCGGTAGTATCTAAATTTTCATCTCAGATTTCACCATTTGATATCATATCGTATGTAGTTGTTGAGTTATTTATTAATTTACATATTTTATATTTCCTCATTTTGATAGGTGTTTATCTAGCATTAAATCGAAAAAAACCTGAAAAACTCACGTTTTTTTTCGTTGTCGATTACGTGTGTTTTTGATAATATTTACTTTCAATTTTGAAATACTCGAATCGAACAAAAAAAAACTTGAAATTATTATCAAGTCTTGAAGAACGATTTCATTCAAAACAAACTAAACGAACAAACGGCAAAAGCCGAAAAATTCGAATTTCATTTTATTTCATTTCAAAAATTTAAACATTCTAATTGAGCAAAGATTATTTTTACAAAAGAAAAAAAAGAATCGAAAAAATTTGCATCAAAATATGGGCAGCCAAGTATCACGTTGTGATTATGAATGGTCATATACGGGTATGTTTATACGTTTTTTTTTTTTTTTGATCATGAATTATTGTTTGATTATTATTAATTCTCAATATATTTGTTTATTCTTTCTATAATGATTGATCGATTAAAAAAAATTTATCCAACTAATAATGGAATAATCGAAACTGTCCTTTCGATTGATTGATTGAATGATTCGTTCGAAAAAATGATCCAACTATATAATAATATATAGATGAACCACATGCAACACGAAGAAAATTAATATTGAAAAAATATCCACAAATCAAAAAATTAATGACAATCGATAGCCGTTTTAAATGGATTGTTATAGCTATTGTAATCATACAGTTAATCACCGTATATTTATTGAGTCATTTTCATTCATTATGGCTATTTATTCTGTTTGGATATTGTTTTACTGGTGTATTGAATCATACATTAACATTGGCCATTCATGAGATATCACATAATCAAGCATTCGGACCGAATCGGCCATTATATAATAAATTGTTCGGTATATTTGCTAATCTACCGATCGGTTTTCCAATGAGTGTTACGTTCAAAAAATATCACCTTGAACATCATCGTTATCAAGGTGATGATGTCATCGATACCGATATTCCATCACGTTTTGAAGCAAAAATATTTACTACAACTGTACGGAAATTTATTTGGGTATTGTTACAACCATTTTTCTATGGATTTCGGCCATTTTTTGTCTATCCAAAACCACCAAACATTTTTGAATTGTTAAACCTAATCATACAGCTGTTGTTTGATATTGTGATTGCTCAAACACTTGGTTTTCGTATGGTTTTATATATGGTTTTTTCATCATTGATTGCAATGGGTTTACATCCAGTTGCTGGTCATTTCATCTCCGAACATTATATAATGTTCGATACAAACAAAAAAGATTTGATTGAAAAGGCTAAAAAACTTGAACAATTGAAAAATGGTGATGAAATTACCGTCGATGATGAATTATCTAAATGTGAATTTATCAATGGTGTTTATGCTCATAATGGATTAATGCTCATACCTGAAACTTGCTCATATTATGGACCATTAAATTGGATTACATTTAATGTTGGCTATCATGTTGAACATCATGATTTTCCATCCATACCAGGTATATTATTACCTCAAGTACGAAAAATTGCACCGGAATATTATGATTCATTACATTCACATCATTCATGGACTAATGTTATTTATCGTTACATAATTGATCCAAATATTGGACCATATTCACGAGTGAAACGTCCACATCAACCAAAGAACAATAAACCAAATGAAGATTAATCAATCCAAATCGACAGAAACACAATGAATGAATTCAGGCAGCCAAAAAAAAAAACAAAACAAAACAGCTACATTAATAATGATGACTTGCAGCAAATTGTGAATCTCATAAATCAGCTATTAACAAAAACTATATATCCATATATATGTGTGATCTTTTAAACATTAATGATAAATTGAAACAAAACCAAAATATAAGATTATATTAACCGTTATTATGTTATTTTATTTTATTATTATCACTATATCCTGATTTATTTGAAAGAAGAAAATATTATTATTCTATAGATCAGGACTACTCGGCAACCATTCGGCAGCTAAAAGCCATATCATTACATTGGCACTGGTCGAAAAAGTTGGAATACTTACTAAAGGTTGCCGCCGACCACTGTTCTAGTTAATCTCAATTTTATTATATTTACTTGATAATTCAAATTGTATGTCGGATTTTTTTTTTAATAATTTCATCAATCACTAAAGTGAACTAATGATAATTCTATCGATCAATTTTGATTACTTAAATTGTATTTTTGAATATATTTTAATAATAATAATTGTGACTACCAACCATTCGAATTTTATCAATTTGAAATAAAAAAAAAATTGAATTTTGAAAAAAATATATTGAAAATTGACCATTATCGATAGTATCGCCGATTTTTTTATATAGTCGTTCATTTCGAATCACATGTGCCACGTGATATAAATATTGTTCTACCTTTTTTTTGTTGTATCGGCTTTTAAACATTTCTAATTTTAATCATCAATTCTAACTAATTTCGTTGTTTGTTTTAATTTTTTTTCCATTCCATAATAAAAAGATGCCGAAAAAAAAGAAAACTAATCGATTCGAAGATTCGGATGATGAAGTGCCATCAATTATAACCGATGATGATTTGAAGAATGCAAATGATCAAATAGTGACTACTGTGGGTAAAAAAACGAGTCAACAAAAGAAAAATAAAGATAAAAAAGTTGGTAAATCCTCACAAGACGATAAAGGTAAGTTTTTTACCAATTAAATTAATTGCTTGAAATTCTGAAATTGTTATTGCAATTGAAATTAGGTGAAACCAAATCAGAGACGAAGAAATCATCAAAACCAGTCGTCAATGATGATGATAATGATGACGATGAAAATGTTGATGATGATGAACAAGAAAATAACGAAGGTGATAATGATAAATCAGTTGATGAAGTAACGAATAAAATGGCCAAATTAACACACAAAGAAAAACGAAAACTTAAATTACAGAAAGCACGTGAAGCAGAAGAACAACTATTAGAAGAATGTATGACTTTGGATAAGAATTTTACCATTTCCACATCTGGTGCATCATTAGTGGATAATGCATTGAAAGTGGAAGAATTTTCAATGAGTGCTGCTGGTAAAGAATTATTGGTGAATGCATCATTATCGATTACATTGGGTCGTCGATATGGTCTTGTAGGACCGAATGGCCATGGTAAAACAACATTATTACGTCATATTGCCGATAAACGTGCTTTACGTTTGCCACCAGAATTGGATATTTTACTTTGTGAACAAGAAGTGATGGCCGATGAAACACCTGCCGTACAGGTTGTATTAAAAAGTGATAAAAAACGTGAAGAATTGATGGAAGAATTGGAAAAACTATCCAAAACGGATAGCCTAAAAAATTCTGAACGTATGACAGAAATTTATGATGAACTACAAGCTATAGGTGCTGATAGTGCTGAATCACGTGCACGTCGAATTCTTGCAGGTCTTGGTTTCGTAACGGCCGAAATGCAAGATAGACCGACAAAAAATTTTAGCGGTGGCTGGCGTATGCGTGTATCATTGGCACGAGCATTGTTTATTGAACCATCCATACTATTGCTAGATGAACCGACTAATCATCTGGATTTGAATGCTGTCATATGGTTGGATAATTATCTGCAGGAATGGAAAAAAACATTGATTATCGTGTCGCATGATCAATCTTTTTTGGATAACGTCTGTACGGATATCATACATTTGGATCGACAAAAATTATTCTATTATCGTGGAAATTATACACAATTCAAAAAAATGTATGAACAAAAGAAACGAGAATTTAATAAAGAACTGGGCAAACAGGAAAAACAATTGAAACAGCTAAAACAATCTGGTAAATCAAGTAAAGCAGCAGAAAAACAGATAAAAGAACATCAGGCACGAAAATCAGGTGAACATCAAGTGGGCAATCTTCTTAAACGACAAAAAGATTACATGGTACGATTTACATTTGTTGATCCACCTTCGTTAAGTCCACCAATTCTTGGTTTACATGATGTTGATTTTGGTTATGAACGCGAAAAATTGATATTTAAAAATGTAAATTTTGGTATCGATATGTCTTCACGTATTGCCATTGTTGGTCCAAATGGTGTCGGTAAATCAACATTTCTAAAATTACTTGCAGCTGAAGTTGAACCTGTTAGTGGTGAATTGAGAAAAAATCATCGTGCACGTATTGCTAAATTTGATCAACATTCTGGTGAACATTTACCAGCATCGGAAACACCAACCGAATATCTGATGCGTGTATTCAATCTAACATATCAGGATGCACGTAAACAACTTGGATCATTTGGTCTTGTATCACATGCACATACAATACCGAATGGACAGCTTAGTGGTGGACAAAAATCACGTGTTGCATTAGCCGAAATGGCATTACGTGGCCCACATATATTGATACTTGATGAACCGACCAATAATCTTGATCTAGAATCGATTGATGCACTGGCTAAAGCCATTAATGAATTTCAAGGCGGCGTTATCGTTGTCACTCATGATGAACGATTAATCCGTGAAACTGATTGTCAACTTTGGGTGATTGAAGATCATTCTATTGCTGAAATTGATGGCGATTTTGATGATTATCGTGGAGAAATTCTACAGGCTTTAGGTGAAAAAGTCAACAATCCATCGGTTTCAGCACAGATGGCTGGTGCTATATGATATGATATATGAAATTATTATTGTTGTTAATTATTTACTTTTTTTTAATTTAAATTATTGCTTTTTCCTGAATCAATTTTTGAATAAAAAAAATATAAAATCCTTTTTCATTAGATATTGAAACGTCAGATGGCGTGAGAGTATGAGTAGTATGGCTCATGATTTAAATTTTTGTTTTGCATGTATGTGTGAAAGAATCATTTCACAAATACCAATCAATCGCGATTATGATGATTGAATACATTGGCTAAAAATGACGCTAATGATGATGATGATGATGATAATCCAAAATTTTATCGTTGTTGTTGATAATTTATTGTTTTTTCGGAGTAGTAATTTTATTCATTCCATCGCGACCAACTTGTGTTTCATTTTCCATCTTCTGTTATAAAGGCTTAACAATGACAACGGAACATTTTTTATCGATTTATTTATGGAATCATTGTGGCCGTCTTTAATTCAAAACCAATTCACTATGGGAAAATTTTCATCATTTGGAATGAACTTTGATTATGACGATCTGGTTGGCCATGTTCCATTTTTTTTGTTTCCTTTTTCGTGGTAACAGTAAACTGCATATTTGGAAGGTTTTTAGCACTCAATCTTGCAGTTTACCCTGCTTACTTTTTTCTCTGTGTATGTAGTGTGTGTTTATTCGAGTCAGTGGTTTTGACACATGTTTTGTAAAAAGTTTTTTGTGATATAAGACACTTTTTTGAAATAAACAAAAGTTCTTTTTTTCAGATTTGTTTTTTTGTCGATTCACTACAGCATGACATTGGATAAGAATTTTACCATTTCCACATCTGGTGCATTATTAGTGGAAAATGCATTGAAAGTGTACGAATTTTCAATGAGTGCTGCTGGTAAAGAATTATTGGTGAATGCATCATTATCGATTACATTGGGCCGTCGATATGGTCTTGTAGGACCGAATGGCCATGGTAAAACAACATTATTACGTCATATTGCCGATAAACATGCTTTACGTTTGCCACCAGAATTGGATATTTTACTCTGCGAACAAGAAGTGATGGCCGATGAAACACCTGCCGTACAGGTTGTATTAAAAAGTGATAAAAAACGTGAAGAATTGATGGAAGAATTGGAAAAACTATCCAAAACGGATAGCCTAAAAAATTCTGAACGTATGACAGAAATTTATGATGAACTACAAGCTATAGGTGCTGATAGTGCTGAATCACGTGCACGTCGAATTCTTGCAGGTCTTGGTTTCGTAACGGCCGAAATGCAAGATAGACCGACAAAAAATTTTAGCGGTGGTTGGCGTATGCGTGTATCATTGGCACGAGCATTATTTATTGAACCATCCATACTATTGCTAGATGAACCGACTAATCATCTGGATTTAAATGCTGTCATATGGTTGGATAATTATTTGCAGGAATGGAAAAAAACATTGATTATCGTGTCGCATGATCAATCTTTTTTGGATAACGTCTGTACGGATATCATACATTTGGATCGACAAAAATTATTCTATTATCGTGGAAATTATACACAATTCAAAAAAATGTATGAACAAAAGAAACGAGAATTTAATAAAGAACTGGGCAAACAGGAAAAACAATTGAAACAGCTAAAACAATCTGGTAAATCAAGTAAAGCAGCAGAAAAACAGATAAAAGAACATCAGGCACGAAAATCAGGTGAACATCAAGTGGGCAATCTTCTTAAACGACAAAAAGATTACATGGTACGATTTACATTTGTTGATCCACCTTCGTTAAGTCCACCAATTCTTGGTTTACATGATGTTGATTTTGGTTATGAACGCGGAAAATTGATATTTAAAAATCTAAATTTTGGTATCGATATGTCTTCACGTATTGCCATTGTTGGTCCAAATGGTGTCGGTAAATCAACTTTTCTAAAATTACTTGCAGCTGAAGTTGAACCTGTTAGTGGTGAATTGAGAAAAAATCACCGGGCACGTATTGCTAAATTTGATCAACATTCTGGTGAACATTTACCAGCATCGGAAACACCAACCGAATATCTGATGCGTGTATTCAATCTAACATATCAGGATGCACGTAAACAACTTGGATCATTTGGTCTTGTATCACATGCACATGCAATACCGAATGGACAGCTTAGTGGTGGACAAAAATCACGTGTTGCATTAGCCGAAATGGCATTACGTGGCCCACATATATTGATACTTGATGAACCGACCAATAATCTTGATCTAGAATCTATTGATGCACTGGCTAAAGCCATTAACGAATTTCAAGGCGGCGTAATCGTTGTCACCCATGATGAACGATTGATCCGTGAAACTGATTGTCAACTTTGGGTGATTGAAGATCATTCTATTGCTGAAATTGATGGCGATTTTGATGATTATCGTGAAGAAATTCTACAGGCTTTAGGTGAAAAAGTCAACAATCCATCGGTTTCAGCCCAAATGGCTGGAGCTATATGAAATTATTATTGTTGTTAATTATATTCTTTTTTTAATTTATTGTTTTTTTCTGAATTAATTTTTGAATAAAAAAAATTATAAAATCCTTTTTCATTAGATATTGAAACGTCAGATGGCGTGAGAGTATGATGTATATGGTTCATAATTTAAATTTTTGTTTTGCATACATTTATGTTTGCCCAAGCCAAATAATTTCACAAATACCAATCAATCGCGATTATGATGATTGAATACATTGGTTAAAAATGACGATAATGATGATGATGATGATGATAATCCAAAATTTTATCGTTGTTGTTGATAATACATTTTTTTCGGGGTAAACAAATAAATAAATAATGATGATTATGGAGCAACATTAACGAAGAAAAAACAGGTTAATTGGATTCAATTAAAACAATATATCGAAAGTGAATGTGTGTGTGTGTTTGTGATGAATGAACGAACAAAATTTACGCCTCGATCACTTTTTTTTACATCGTTGATCAATGTTTATTATGGAGTGATTATTATTCGTTATTTGCGAATAACAAACAAACAAAAAAAAAAAAATTTATTATTTTGTATTGAGCAAGACCGAAATCAACTATATTTGTTCTATTCGTCTTTTGTTATATATATATCATGTTATTATTATTCGAATTCATTGAACTAAACTATTTTCTTTTTGTAATCATAATCATAATCAATCAATCAATCAATGGATGGACGATATTGGGAGAAAAAAAATTCAAATCATAACTAATAGAATTTTCGTTGGTAATATCGATTAAATCGATACAAAAAGAGTGTGTAGTAATCAATTTTGTTGTCCTTCACTTTACTTTCATGTGTGTGTGTGTGTGTGTGTGTCTCTCTTCCTATTCGATTCGAAATAATTTTTTTTCTGTGTACTTTTTTTCAAATCACAATTAATAACAAAAAAAATAATGACGATGATGATGATTCTGACAATGACAAATAAATTTTCACCAGTATTTCATCATTTTTTCCCCAGTTGCTATTCATTTGCATTTGAGTAATTTTTTTTTTTTTTTTTTTTTTGACCAATTGCGTATAATGTCGTCATCGTTTTAGAATGAATGAAAACAATAGCCAATTTCAGATTCGATAAAAAGGTAGGTTTTTTCTAATAATAATTTTCCACATTATTAAAATGTTTAGAATTTTTGGCATGTTTCGAATAGAACGAAGCGAAAGAAATAGAGAGAGAGAGAGAGAAGTGAAAACAAATTAAATTATAGTGGTTTTTGTTGTTTTTTATGTAATAAATTAGTTTGTTTCCAATTCCCAATTTATTTATTTTCACGATTCATTTATATTTATATATTCAATTTAATTTCTATATATGTGGTCTATGTTTGATTGTTATCATCATCATCATCATCATTTTTTGTTTTTTGGATCATTTTCATGTGTTCATTTAATTTCCAATGCAAGTAATGTATTCCGAAACATTTCATTCAATTACATGTGTGTTTTTGTGTTCCAAGTTCGTTGTCCTATGTCATCATTATCATCATCATTACTGATGTTGATGGTACGAGAGATTGATTTTGTGATTAGTTGGATTTCATTTACTGTAGACCGTAGTACAAGAGGGTATCATAATGATGATGATGATTTGGTTATTGTTGTTGTTACAAATCTATTTTCCATATGTTTATTTCTTGATCAATGTATGTGAATGATGCAATCAATGAGATTATTGGACTCAATGATGATGATATGATGTAATTTCAATGCCCTAAGCTTTTTCTAGACTAAATTCCTTTTCAGTGATTTTTTTTATGTAAAGCTAAAACATGACACTATTGACACTGATATAATCATCATCATCATCACTGACATGTCATAGTGGCAGTGGTTCATCATTTTTCGAAGTTGTACCACATTTGATTGAGTTTAAACCAAAAGATCTTGGACATTTGAGGTCATTTGAAATTAAATTTGTAAGTGTAAACTTGGAACCTTTCCTTTCACTCAATGGACCATTCTTGATTGAGTTTTTTTTCTTCCAACCCTCTTTTTTTGACAACCAAATATTTTTTTGTTCAATGCTAGGAATTTGTTTTTTCATTTCATTTCTTTGAATCTTGTTTTACCTGGTCGCTACCTAGCGACAATTATAATATTGACTTTATGTTTAAAAAAAGTGAGAGAGAGAAGGTAAAATCCAGTTTTTTCCAGCTTTTCTTTTTTCTCTCTCTCACACACACATTTATTCTTTTCTATTTTTTTTTTAAATGACAAACGATGATGATGATGATGATGACGACCAACAGAACAATGTCGATTGCTATTTAAATAGCGAATTGTGATGTTGATGTTGTTGTTGATGATGATGATGATGATGATGATCGAATAGTGGTGAATCACGAACAACAACAAAAAAAAATAAAACATGCATGCACATTGAATTTCATGCGTCGTCTGTTTCGTTGTTCGTTGTTGCTAAGGGTCTGAAAATCTATCTGAAAATAATAAAAGAGGAAATAGCTATATCTCCTTATATTATAATGACCTTTAACCAATAAGTCATTCTGACTGATATACATGGTATATATAGTAGTCATATAGCCTCTGATATATATGATATGATGATTTAATGACCTCGTGCCCTTTTATTTATTTTTTTTTATATTTTTATTTTCAAATATACCACCACCACTTTTTCATTAAATGAGATTCTAGAATCTAGATGAAATTTTTTTTTTTTTTTTTTTTTTTTGATTTTATTTAGATCCATATATAAATATAAATCTATAATGTGTGTTCTGTTTCAAGCATTAAAAGGACATGATGATGATGATGATGATGATGAAAAAAAAAAAAACCCAAACCCATACGCATTTAAACAGCTGAGCGATCATAATTTCTTCTGCATTTGATAAAACATGCCTGCAATGCACAATGCTTCATATATATTGAATGAATGGAAAAAAAATATCGTCTGCATTTGCTACATGCATTGTGGATGATAGAATAGAATCCAAATTCATTTTTTTTTTTTTTTTTTTTTGATTGAAATACAATGAATGATTAGATGAATGACGTCATGCAGCTGTTTTTTTTCTGGTCAACTATATATATTGGTTTACTATGCTGCTACTACTACACACACCCAAGGATACTGTTTTTTTTTTTAATGTGAATGTGAATTCATCATTATTATTATATATTGTCAGAATGGCAATTTGTTTGTTTCCAACAAATGTTTGAGAATGGTAGTGGTGGTTTTGGAGATTTAAACACATGATGACATGCGTATTTATGTGTGTGTGTGTGTGTGAAGTTTTTTCAGGATCAGGATTTTTTTCTTTTCATTCAATTATATTATCATTTTTTCCTTCTTTCACTCTGTTTCTTTCTGCTGATTGTTGTTGTTGTTGTTGTTATATTTTTATTATTAAAAGTGGTGGTAGTGTTCTGTTTTGTATTGATATTGTGTGTATACTGGTGTATAATGCCATGTTATAATGAAGGAAATCATTTGCAAATACAGTATAGCTAAGAGAAACGAAAAAAAAAATATCGTCAGTCAAAGCATAAAATGTGTATGTTGTTGTTGTTGTTGTTGTTGTTGTATAGTGCATAGCAAAGTGAAATAAAAAAAAAGAGAAAAAAGTTTATTCCATATACAGTGAATAGAGAGAGAGAAAAGGTCCAGGAAAGAGAAGATCATCATTATCATCATCATCATCAACATGAGAGTATAGAGTATAAGCCAAAACCCAAAAAAAAAAATTCAATTGAACCCAAACACCATCATCTTCATCATCATCATCATCATCATAATAATAAGTAGAAGTAGAAATATTTTGGAACAATTTGTCCATTTTTCTTCAAAAAGAAAACATCAAATCAAATGTTTTAAACATCATATATTATGTGTTATTATTGAGTGAATGTTGCAGGTGAATCAGGCAAACTTAGAAAGAGAAAAACAGATTTTCTTTCTTTTTCTTTTTTTTTTTGATTGAAATATTTTGAGAAGAGAGAACGAAATCTTGTTTTCAAAAAAAACGTCGTCGTCGTTTCGTATTTTCCACACATTTTGGCCATCATCAACATCATCATCATCAACGACATTAACAACAGCGTATATTTCTCGTCGTTTTTTGTTTGTTTGTTTATCCTTTGAGTTTTTTTTGTTGTTGTTGTTGTCTTTCATGTGATTTTTATTTAATATTTGGGTCCATCCATTTAAAATCAACATATATAAGACATATATATTGTTTTACAACAACATTCTGAAGAATTACGGTAAGTTACGAATTCGATTTAGATTTATTTATTTCATTTCATAAACCGTTTTATCTCTCTGTTCATTTTTTTTCTGATCCATTGTTTTGTATTTCTTTTTTGTCGTTTTTAGATTTGATAAAATCATACTGTACGAGATTTTTGTTTTTATTCGAAAAAACACAAATATTTTTTTTTTTTTTTTCGTTGTTGATTTATTTGATATTGTAATCAAAGATAAAAGTCTAACTTGCTCTATCTGAATTTTGAAGATATAATATATATATAGAGTGAAATAAACGAAACGAAAACAAAACAAAAAAAAACCAAATCAAAATATGCGAAATATTTTTATGGAAAAAAATTATCTTTTTAATCACCGAAATAATAATAACAGTTATCATTATAACAACGAATTTTATAATAATAATAACCAACAGAAACAACAATTTCATCGACCAGAATTGAACAACGACGACGATAACGAATATGATTCGAATACAAAGATCAACAACAAAAAAACCACAGCAACGATCAAATTAATATCATTATTATTATTATCAGATGATAAAATCATACAACCAATAATAATAAAGGATAGAACTAGAAAAATAATAATAACGTATAACCATAATTCGCTTGTTTCTGTTGTTATTGGTAACATAATAATCAAACAACAGGACAATTCTAAACGTCATTATCATCATCATCATCATCATCATCGTAGTCGTTGTCGTCTGTTTGGTGATGATTTTGATGATCATCAACAAGAACAAAATGATATTACGCTAATAACTAAATGGTTGATCAATATATTTGATCAACATTCGAATCATCATTATCATCAAGATGACCATGATGATCAAATTTGGCCATAAATTGATGGAATTTTATTCGTACGAATCATCACTCGATGTATCTATGGCCAAACATCAATATCCATCTGCATCATCATCATCATCATGGTCATCAACATCGACAAATAAAGATACAATGAAAATGAAAGGATAGTCAATGATGATGATCAATATTGTTCCATCATTGAGTTGATGATGATGGTGATTGAATTGAATTTATGTGATGTATAAGTGTGTGTGTGTGTGTGAATTGAATTTTGACCTTTGATTTTGAAAATTGGCGATTTAGGGTTCATCAAAAGTGAAAAATTTCAACATCTATTTTTTTACGCACATGCATATGTGGAACATTATGTGACTGATTGATCATCATTATGACGATGGCTTGATGATTGACTACTTTTGTTGTTGTTCATAACGTTAGTTATCTTTGTTTCCGTGTACGTGTTTGTTTGTTTGTTTGTTTGTGTGTGTATCTTCCCATTTTAGTAGTCAGCCAAAATTATGTCCAAATGTGTGGTGTGGTGTGTGTGTGTGTGTGTATGTAAGTTGTATGATAACAATGCATGATGATTCACGTTGGTAACTTTTTAAAAATCTATCCTGGAACAAAAGACGAAGAAAAATTTTTTTTTTTTTTTTTTATTTTTCTTCTTAGTAGACAGCCCATCGTTTTATAGTTTTTTGTCAAACGAAAAAAACAACATTTTTGCTGTTTGGTGTTGAATCATCATCCAGAAATATCTTATTAACAACGTCACACGCACATGATAACACACAAACCACATATATATAAATAAAGCAATATATAAAAGAGTGATACTTAAGAAAAAGAAAAAAAGAGAATAACCAAAAAAAATGCATCAACACGGAAAAGATGTTACAGCTACAGCTACAGCCAATAATTTAGCTGGTCTTAATATTGGCGATGTTTTTCATGGTGGTGCTGGTGGTGGTGATGTTGGTGTTATTGGATGGCGAGGTCAAAATAATTCTCCATCCTCATCATCGTCGTCAACAACAATAAGATCAAATATCATTGGTGATGATGATGATGATGATGATGATGATGTAACAATGATGAATGAAATGTCTACAACAAATATGGCTCAATTATCATCACCAGCCACATCTTCAACATCATCAGTAACCAGTAAAATTAATGAAGATTCGACATCTATACGAAATCAATCAATGATAATTGGTCATCAAGCAACAGTAACAACGATGACCACTAGCAGCAGCAATAATGATAATAATAATAATCGTTATAATTCAAATACATTTCCATTGATATCAAGATCATCGATTAAAAGGCCATTAAGTTTGACACAGGATATACGTTCATGTCAACATCAACAGCAACAGCAACAATTTTATCATTCATGTAATCATAATACACGAACTGATAAATATCGTTGTGGTTGTAATCAAAGTTCAAATGGTGCTGGTGGTGGTAGTCATAGTGGTTTTCGTTCTCGTTCAAAAACAATACATTCATGTAATTCTTATTATTCAACCTATCAGAATCAACATCATCACCATAATAATAATCCTTATAATAATATTCATTATCACCATCAAAATAATCTACTACGATACCAGGATTTATATCATCAACAAATCAACAATAGTTGTACTAGTGGTGATGGTTTTAATCCACGTGGAACAATGCGTAATCTAATTGTTGAATATCGTACAAAGACGCGTAAAGTTGATCCATTATCTTCATCAACAACAATATCATCATCATCTATGACACCATCATCATCAATTAATGATGATAATGGTACTTCTACAATGGATGGTAGTAGTAGTAGCTGTAATGGTAATGGTGATCCCAATACGGAAGTAAAAAATACAACCGTATCATCAACGGCATCGATATCTGCGTCAAAAGTAGAAAAAATTTTCGAAGATGATGAAGAAATGGAAACAATTATAGAACAACAACGTGATAGTGGAAAGAATCTTGATGATGATGGCTTTAAATATTGGTAGCGATACGAATAATAAAAATAAAAATAACGATAATGATGATGATGATGATGATGTTGATTCCTTATTATTATCATCATCAATAAAACCATTCGATGGTATATTACCGGATCCAACAAATCCATTGTATAACAAATTCAATTCTTCATCATCAACAACAACGACATCGACTACATCATCATCTTCGATGTATAGACGAATTTATCATTACAATCATCATCATCATGACCATAGCCAACATTATCATCATCATCATCATAATCGCTATCCTTATGATGATCATCGTTGGCTAAAACGTGGTGTTGGTAGTACAATATCAGATTATTCGGTAAAAAAATGGTCAACAACAACCACAACATCAACATCTCCATTGACATCAATAACGTCATCACTATCTTTGACGAATATTGAACCTGTATTGACGACATCATCATCATCATCGATGACGTCAGCAATAGCAACAACATCCACAATAAATGGCAAATCTGAAACCCGTACATCGAATGGATCATCTCCAATTATCAATGATGATGATGATGATGATTTGAAAAACAATAATGCAAAGCAAAATACGGAATCAATTCTATCATCAAATGATATAGCTATTACTGCTGCTGCTGCTGCTGCTGGTCCATCAATACATACGCATACTATACCGACCGTAGCCGAAAAGGAACAATTTCAACGATCTCTGGATAGCGCAACTACATTAGTCTTTCATCGTCGAAGCGGTCTTCCTCTTAATTCTAGTCCTGTAAGTAGTTGTTTAAAGATTATTATTATTATTTTAACAATATTTATTTTGTTTGTATTGCAACTTTCACAGCCAATTTAGTTAAATTATTTGTTGAATTTGACCTACATTTATTATATTTATTTGTTTCTTTTGATCACAAAATGGAACATATAGGAAGAAGTTGGATAGAGATTGAATTGAAAGAAAGAGAAAGAAAAACCTATTAATGATATGCATGCATGCAGGCATGTTTAAATTATTTTTTTTTATACTTTCCAAAGGATGATGATGATCATCATCATTATCTATTAAATGTACATGTAATATATGTGTGCCCTATAGGTATTATAAAAAAAAATTTGTAAATCCATAAGTAAAAAACATGATGATGAGGATCAATTTTAATAATGACATAATTTTCAACGGATTAAACTTGTTTTTTGTTTGAAAAAGTATTGATTTACTGTTTCCATTTTATTATATAATTGCATGATATATCATGAAAATGTTATTCTGAAATATCTATCATCATTATTGACCACTATTGGTCGTATTGTTTTGTATGATAAAATTATCATCATCATCATCATCTCAATTCATGATTGTGGAACAATTTTCTTTGAATTGTTAGTGGTAGTAAGTTCTTTTCTCATCATAGATAATGATTATTATATTATTATCATTTAAGTTGGTTTAGGTTTCTTCTCGTTGTTTTGTGTTTTAGACTTGAAGAGAATATATACAAAATGATGATGATGATGATGAGAAGAGGGATACAAAAAAAATGACGTATAACCAAATGGACATTAATTAGGATGAAATCATTCATTCGTACGATGATGATGGGTTTGGTTATATGTTGTTGTTGTTTAATTTTGTTGCTTGTCATTAAATTAGCTTTTTTTTAAAATGAATAGTAGATTTTTTTGCTGTTGTTGTTGTTGTTGCTGTTGTTCCGGTTTAGTAATTCAATGATAATGTATAGGATCCTACCTGCTGGAACTCATATAAAAAATTGATTGAGCAATTGCATTTCAAATGGAAAATTGCTTTCGTAATTTATATATGAAATGGTTTGTTTCATGTCAATTGAAAATTTATATTGCCATTATCATTTGCAATGCAATTGCAAGTGAGACTGACCACCATTTCATCAAGGTTTTCACAACACACACACACACACAAATCATCTAGGTTCCAATAAGTTTTCAGGCAAATTTTCAGACAATTTCTCAATTTTTTCCTTGTTATGATTTCGTTTTTTGCATTTTGATTTTACTCTTTTTTAAATATTATAGGTTTTTTCACATTTTCTCTGCTTGATAATAATAATAATAATAATAATAATGACGATGATCTTGATCATTTGCCAATATTTTTTTGTTTCCCCATTATTTGCATGGTTATCTGAATCGTTTTTTTTCGCATTGATGTGAATTCTTATGATCTTTTCCGGTTTTGTTTTGGCCAATATTTCCCGGTTACATGGTTTAAATAGGAAGAAAGAGAGAGAGAGAGAGAGAGAGAGAAAGTCTGTTTTTTTTTGGTTTGTTTCACATTACAAACATATTTATTGACAGTTTTTTTTTCTCGTTTCATTTTTCATGATTATTATCAATATATAATCATTGGTGTTTAATTTATTCATTTTTTTTGTATATGCTCCATTTCCATCCTATTTAAATTTTGTTTTTTTTTGCCATTTTCACATAACAATGGAAATCCATAAAGACAATATGTGAATGGATGGAAAACATTTGATCCATGTCTATATATGATGATTTTTCTCTGTTGTCATTTTTTTCTCTCTCGTTCGTTCGTTCGTTTGTTTGTTTGATTAATCTGAATTTTTTTTCGACTCATTATCCAAATAACTTGATTGAGTTGCATTAATAATAGTTTCCTATTGGAATTTTTATTTGATGAAAAACAATGGAAAAAAAATTTTCAATTTTTCCAGAAAAATAAACATAAAACTTGTGAATGATGATTGTAATCTCCGTGTTTTTTTTCAGAGTTTTGACCGAAAAAAATGGGGAAAGGAAAATTATCATTGCAAAAAATGAGCACTTTTTAATGATCATTTGTTGTTCATAGTGAGAGAAATGTAGAAAGAAAATTTATTCAAAATGAAATTTTATACATTCGTCTCATCTCATCTTGTCAATGTAAAAGATCATTTTCTAATGAAGGATTTTTTTTTTCGGTTTTACAGATTTTCTATTTATCATTCAAAAATAAAACACGATATATTAATCATCAATAGTAACACGCACATACAATATACGTATGTATATAGCAACAAATATATATCTAAATAGGTTTGGTATGACCTAATTGCATTGAACTATATTTTTTTTCTTCTCTGTTTATGTCCTTCTTATTCAAAGTGACAATTTACTATTGCATAGTGAGAGAAATGTAGAAAGAAAAATTTATTCAAAATGAAATTTTATATTCGTCTCATCTCATCTTGTCAATGTAAAAGATGACATTATAGCGAGAAAAAAAATATGAAGATTTTCAATTCAATGTGATAATGATATTTGATGAAAGAATCGTTGTTGCACTAAAGTTGATTATATTTTTTCCTCATACATAATACATTTGTATGTATATCTAAATTTTTACTTGATGTTCGAATGAAGGATTTTTTTCGGTTTTACACATTTTCTATTTATCATTCAAAAATAAAACACGATATATTAATCATCAATAGTAACACGCACATACAATATATACGTATGTATATAGCAACAAATATATATCTAAATATAGGTTTGGTATGACCTAATTGCATTGAACTATATTTTTTTCTCTGTTTATGTCCTTCTTATTCTTTTGAGAATCAGTGATGATGATGATGATGATGATGATAGCCTATTGCTTCGAATCCAATGAGACCAAGATCTTGAAATTTATTTCAAGGAGAAATAAGAGAGAGAGAGAGATGGAGAAATCAATGATGCCTAGAAGCTTCTTGAAACTTTTTTTTCTGAATAGTTTTTTTTTTTTTTTTTTCATTTGTTTGTTTTGTTTTTATTAAGCAAGACAAAAACTATAATAAACATCCAATTATTTGGACTTGAGATTGTGAATTGATTGGATTTAAAAAAAAACTTTGTGTGAAGAGAATGAACGAAAAAAAAATTATTTGAACAATTATTTAAGGACGTTTGATCAATTTGTTATCCTGAAAATGGCATCTCTCTATCTCTTTTACTGTTACATTTATGAGAATGACCAAAACAAAACAAATGATCAATTTTACTGTAGGCATTTGTGTTGTTTATTTTCCATTCGATCAATCGATTCGATTCGATTTTGATTTCAAAATTTTTTTTTTTTTTTTGACACATGAACATATGGTTCTAACTTATCGTATCAGATTGCAAACCTAAAAAAAGGCGACAAGATTCATTATCTTTTTTCCTTCTTCTCTCACTTTATATATCATTTTTTTTTGTTCTTTATTTTTCATTTGATTTTTAGCTACTTTGACAACAACGACATATGTATCCTTGGATTTTCTCTTTTTTTTTTTATTTCGCACATTCACTCATACTGTTTTTTTCTCACCATCCATTTCATATAGTAGTAGTACGTATATTTGGCTATGTATGTTTGGTGTAAATATATTGAAAACAATATCTCATTTTTCAAACAACAACAACAACAACAATAATAATAATGATGATGATGAACGCCTTGGCCGCGAATAGAATATGTGTGTGTGTGTGTGTATATGAATATTAAAAGAAACAAATGAATAGTGTATTGTTGTTAGTGAAAGAATAACGAAACCAATGTTATTATTAATGGAGTAAAATGGGAGCCATGCCATTCATTTATATGTATGTTTCATGGACAAAATGTTTAGTACAATACAATCATAAATGATAATAATGATGATGATGATGATGATTGTGGATGATTTTTCTATTATTTTACGAAAGAAAAAATAAATGTGTTAAAAAAGGTTTACTATACAAAAGATTTAAATGTGACTTGTGAGTGTTTGTTTGGATAGTCGTTCCAAGGTTCCAAGGTTTTGATTTTTTTTTCTTGAAGTAAGTGTGCTTTCACGTGTGTGTGTGTATGTGTGGGCAATTTATTTATTTGATTTTTTTTTATATGAAATCATCAAATTTAATGTGGTGAATAATAATAATAATAATTTAAAATTGTCGATTGTCTGTGTGTGTGTGATATGATAATCGCATAGTTATTTTCTGAGCAGGAAATCATAAAGGAGAAAAAAAATAACCCTGACATGATAGTGTATGTGTGGATATAAAAAGTACTTAAATTTTTATATTTTTTTGGATATTTTGATTATTGATTCAGACTTTTTATAAATGAAATTTATATAATTATGAAAAATAATCATTAAGGATTTTTAATCGATTTGCTATGTTTAAAATATCATTAATGATGATGGATAAAATTGACAGGTGTGTGTGTGTGTGTGTGATATAACCAATGATGAGATATGATAATGATCATAACTAAGATAAAATCATGTTGAATATAAATCATTTAATATAGGTATCCATTCATGCATCATTAACTTTTTTGTACCAATTCTTTTTTTTAATTTAATTTGTTTTGTTTTGTTTTGTTACTTTAATTCAGGCTCCAATTCGTAAATCTGGAACTTGTTTCGATTTTGACAGTTCTCTTACATCTGTGAATGCAATTAAAAAGTAAGCAATTTTTTCGTTTGTTTGTTTGTTAAAATACAAGGACAAATTGATTTAAATTATTTGGATTTTTATTTGTTTTTTTTTTGTTTTTTTTGTTTTTCACCACAGGGCTCTTTTCCATAAAGATCCAGACGGAAAAGATGATTATCATCATCCGAATCTTCGTTCCAAACTAAGTCTTTCAGCCCCTACCACTACTAGTGGTTTACTTGGAAATTTTGAGGTTTGTCTTTATCTCTAAATTTTTATTCATTCATTGATAAATAATTGATTATTTTTTTCTGATTTAGGAATCGGTATTAAATGGTCGTCTTGATCCGGCTAGCATTGTACATGGATTTACAGCCGAAATCGGTGCAAGCGGTGGCTTTTGTCCATCACATAAGACTTTTCCTGTGACCGTATTTTTCTATACTCTACAAGATACAGATAAAGGAGAGAAAATGTCTTCACCATATTTGGTATGTGAAATTTTTTTAATCATTATTTTATCCTCATTGTTTTTGTTTTCCTAAAATCTTACAACCATTGTCTGTCACAACAATAACATTAGGGCCATATCAATCTTGGTGAAAAAGGATATCATATACCTCGACAAGGAACTGTACAGGTGGTAAGTTTTCTTTGGCATTATAATTTTTGTGTAATGATAATAAAAAACATTTTTGTCCATATAACTCGTGCATTAGACTCTGTTCAATCCAAATAGAACTGTGGTAAAAATGTTTGTCGTACGTTATGATCTTTCTGATATGCCACCGAATTGTCGTACATTTTTACGACAACGTACATTATTCATGCCAAGTGATGCTAATGAACATCATCCGGATAGTCGTAAATGGTTACGTTACCTCATCCATCTCAGGTATATTGAGTTTGAGTTTTCGTTGATTGGTTGTTCGAAAATTGATCCATTTTGTTTGTTTTTTTCCTGAAGGTTTCAAAGCTCTAAATCTGGTCGTATACGTTTACATACGGACATACGGATATTAGTATTCCGGAAACATGATCTAGATGTAGCTACAATGAATGGTGGTGCCCCATATGAATTACGATCATTTGTTCAGATGCCTTCCAATCCAAAGTATTCGAAAAATATTAAAACCTAGCAATCATTCAATCAATCGATGGTTCAATGATCATCGCATTCATTCATTGGAATTAATGTCATTTTATGGAGAAAAAAAACCAAACACATTCTAGTTTTGAATTACATATATGGGGCAATTTTTTCTCTTTTTATTTCTTCCAAAATTTTGTTAAGAAACAAAAATATGTGGTACAAATATAAATACTAATGTAAACATACACACACACACACACACACACATACGATACCTATAAGAATTGATGATCATCTTTCTCTGTCTTTATCTTATTTTCATTCATTCTTTCTTATTTTCCTCATGTGTCTCAACTAATGAAAACTGTCGATATTTAAAACAAAACAAAAAAATTTTGCCGATTGATCAGTCCAGAATAATAAACAAAAAACAAATTGTATCGAAAAGGAAGCCCGGCCATTATTGTTATTAGAAAGCAATCCGTGTTTGGAATCGAATCAAATCAATCACTCGATTGAACACAGTCAATCTTTAGTGGATTGTAACTTTTTTTTCAAACTGTTGTTGAAATTATTATTTTCAGATACAAAAAAAGCAAAAACAACATAATATTATATGATAAATAAATTATAATAATGATGAATAAACAAAAAAAAAATTTAATTTGACAAATTTACTTCCGATTAATCGATTTTTTTTCTGTTAACTTTGATAAATCAAAATAAACTTTTATTATCAACACATTAGTCAACCCAATTATTAATTATGATGATATGATAATATCTATATCCTGTTTGCATTTATGGATGTGTGTGTGTGTGTGTGTGTGTGTGCATTCATCCTGTCTGTATTACACCCGAGATCCTATATATTGATGATGACGATAATGAATATTGGACATGTATTTGATTTTACCTGGATGATGAAAAGATGAAAAAGCTAATAATGAGTAAATGTGCTTATAATTGTGTGTGTGTGTGTCTTGGTCTGTTTTATTTTTTTGATAATTATTCTGTATACAATGCAATATTTTCAAAATTTTGTGAATGAATCATAATAAACACAGTTTTTTTACCCATTCTCCATTCATATTTAGCTAAATCTACAGAATCGATCACGATATGGAAATACGGATACAGAATTTGGAGTGTCGGAAAAACCATTCATTGAACAGATTGTTCGCGTTGTATTAGGCGCTGATTGATCATGTTGATGTTGATGGTGATGATGATTATGATTATGATGATTACGATAATCCAACGATGATGATGGCGTAGACAATGGGGTTGATTTATGATAATCATTATTATAAATATTATTATGTTTTAGATATTTTAATTTTCTTATTCGAATCCAATAACGAATGGATGTACCAAATGAAACAATTAATAATAATAGAAAAAATAATATCATTGAAATGATACCGATCGGTCGTAAACAAATCATTTCTTCATTTTGTTTATTACCAAGTTCATCTACGATGATGGAAAAAAAGATAAAAAAAAATTTCATCGATAAATTTGAAAGAAATGTTTTCTTACCTTTACTTGATTGAAATGTCATTTCTTCATCTTGATCATGATGTACTTCAAGCGCTTGTACGAGTGAAATACTTTCGGACAAAATTGATGCGTTTGTTGTTGTATTTAGGCCGGTATCAAAATTTTGTAGTTTTGCTGATCGTTTTGATAGATTACGCCAATAACATCTTTGTGGCTATTTGGTAAATGAAAAATTGATCAGAAATAAAATTTAAAAATTTTGGGCAAGAAAAAATCCACTTACCGGACAACGGTTGTGACACATATGAATATCACATTCAAGATATAATGCTAATGATCCGGTGAATCTGAATGCTTTTATATAAGCAAACAGGCTAACCTGATGTCCATTCTCAGGCTTTATATGTACCACGAAATGGACTGATTAGTTTTTCATTCGTAACACAACCATTTGAATCAATTAATTGTAATCGTTGTTGAGCACCATTATGAGCGATACAATTTTTAACCAAAATATCGAAACCAACTTTATCGCTTTTCATATGAATCAACAATGTTAATGGATCACCAACGGTAACGGGGCCAGTAGTACGTGTTCCAGCAATACCGAATCCACGACGGATTTCCATTTGACATTGTGGTGGATTAATGGTGAACACAACCGGGCTACCAGTGTTGGTTCTAAATAATAAACAAAATGATGATGAATAATTCATGAATTGAACAAATCATCATCAATAATATTGCTTACTCAACATTGACGGATGGAAATGAAACTGTTTTCCAAAAATCACTACCATATTCACAAGTTAAACGAAAATGTTCATCATATTCTTCTTCAATCAATGAATTATATTGAATGGATAATGTATTCCACATTAGATGATCACGTCTACGTGCTTCACCGGGCATAGATGGATGATACATTTCCTGTCTACCTAATGTTCCGCATTGATTCAAACGAATAAAAAATTCATAATGTTTACGGCCCGATCCATTCACGTATATACATTTTGAATCATGAACATAACCAGAACTATAGATAATACCATTGAATGTTCCATTAAAACGAATAACAACTTTCATATATTCATCCGAACATTCAGCAACAATATCTAGAATCAAACAAAATCAAATTTATTTTTGTTGTTGTTGTTGTTGAGAAAGTTGATATTTGAAAAAAATACACATACGTTCAACACGTGTCATATTTAACTGTCCTATAATCGTCGTAGGTGAATTGAATATAATTTCATCATCAAACAAAGACGATGATGATCCACTTGTTGTTGCCGATGTGATGTGAAAATTTTGATTTGGCAAATAATGATAATTTATCGGTTCAATTGTAGCTTCAGTGATTGCTGTTGTTGGTGCTGTTGTTGTTGTTGTTGTAGTCGTTGTTGTTGTCGTCGTCGTCGATGACGATGATGAGATTGGTCCCATATTGACCGAAATTTTAGCCGTTGTAGATGTTTGTAATGGATTTCGAAATCCACTTGGAATACCGGCTATGCTTGACATGTATAATGGAAAATTTTGATGACGGATCGAATCTACCCATCGTAAACGATTTTCATTATTATTAGATGATAACGGTAATGATAATGATGATTGTAGATTTATTGTGTGATTTGTAGTTACATTATCACTTTGAACATCAGAATGTATTATGCTAGTTTCATTGATCAAATCATTTTCATCTGTTGCCGTTGTTGTTGTTATCATTAATACACCATTATCCGTTATGTTTGGAAATTTATTATTATTATTATCATCCAAATTCAAATCATTCGATGATGAAATATTTATGGGAAGAAATTCATGTGTTAATCTTGCTGATTTATAATAAAAACGATTATTACGAAGTTGTTGATCATTTCTAATTAACTACAGTTATTGAAAGTGGTAAAGAAAAAATTTATAAAAATGATCAAAATCAAATCGAATAACTTACATGTACATGATTAATATAAACAATGGTCAGAATGAATACAATTTGATATGACAATTCAAATGCCATTTTATTGTCGTCGTCGTCGTCGTCGTATCACCAATCTAATTATAGATGGCGGTAATAAAAAGAAAAATAAAATCAATAATCTTTCATTAAATAACAATAAACAATCTGGCAAAAAAAAAACAAAACAAAACAAAAACAAGTGGGTAATTTCATTCGCTCTGATTTTTCCAAAATCAACTAACCAGTTATACTAGGTAGAAAGAAACAAAAGCAAGAGATAATTTTGGATACTATTTAAATTTAATTAACATTCAAAGAAAAAGATGGCCAGAGAAAACATGGATAACAAAGGCGAGTCAATGAATGATCATATATATATCATTTGAAGAAGGGTAAAGTAAAATTCATGAAGAACACTTCCGTGTTCCAATATGAGAAAACAAACACTTGGAAAAGTATATCGCCATAAAATAATAAAGTAAAATAATATTGGTAGTAGCACTGATGATGATGATGATGATGGTAAAAGTGAATTGATTGTATTTCCATTGATTTTCATTCATGATTCTTCCCGGTTATCGAAATGAATACATATCTGGCTGACAACACACGAGACAAATGCATAAAGAAACGAATAGAATTGTGATAACCAAATATAAAAAAAACAGGTGAAAAAAAAATTAGCCAAATTTAAATTTCAAAAAAAACCGATGATAAACAAACCCTCTAATTAGCGCCATTTATGGCTAAAACCATCATCATCATCATGATCAATGTAAAAAACTAGTAGCAACAACAACAACAACAACAACAAAAGAAAATTGATTGAATTTTGAATGATTTTTTTTCTTTCCTTCTTTTTGTTTGTTTGTTTGTGCGAATGAATGAATGAATGAATGCAAGAAAAAAAATATATATAAAAAAAGCTAGGTCAGATAATGAAATGGTGTACTACTGATTATTCGACACTAAAACTAACGTCATATTTTTGAATTACCCACCAGTTGTTTTCTATTCATTTTGGACAAAACCAAATTGAGAAAAAAAAAATTCGAATCAATACCGTTGAAAGGGTGTTCATTGAAAAATCAAAAAATTGGCCATGGCCATCTTTTCTTTTATCCTTTAACATTCATTCATTCATTCGTTCATTCATTCGTTTATTCATTGAAACTTTTGAACTTTGACTGAATAGAAAATTAAATGAAAAAAAAATTCAATTCTTAAATTACACAACACACATGTATGTCAGATTCGGATTGATGACAAGGCTGAATTGACAAAAGCTTTACAAAAAAAAAATAAATTAGTGTAAACTTTTTTTTTGTATGAGATGTGTATGTGTGTGTGTGTCTATCCATCTTTTGTCGGCACATATTTTTTAAAAAATTCACGGTGATGGTGTTTATAATATGGACAAAAATGTTCAACAACAATTTTATAACAAAAGGAAAACAACAACAACAACAACAGCAGAGAAAAATTGACATGACAATCGAATTCATGATTAGAAAAAATTTTTAAATCTTTTTTTTTTTGTTCAAATTCACATGTGTCTTCGAGGAGGTGGTCTTCACACACACACTGGTATTTTGAATGGTGAAAAAAAATTATTTATTTCGTTTTCCTGATTCATTCATATCGGATAATAATAATAATCGTATTGGAAACAATTATAATTGTGCTTCAATTCAATGGAATTTTTATTTTCCGGAATAATCTTCATTTTTGTCGTCGTTGTTGTTGTCATGAAGATGGCCATTGTATATATATATATGAATGTGATAATTAGAATACAGAATTTTTTTTCCTCAAGACTGAATGGAAAAAATGCAAAAAAACATTGTAATTCGAATAAAATAATTTGTCTCCAACATCAATGATGAACATTTCAATTTAAGTAATGATTTGATTTGATTTGATTTGATTTTTTTTTTGAATTCAAATAAATTTGTTTTGCTACCGTTACATTATCATTATCATCAATAATGATGATGCTGATATTGTGTTTATAACTACCAAAGTCCCATCAAGACATTTATCTAAATGATGCTCATCATTGTTGGTTACCATTATAATGTTGATGATGATTATCATCATCAACATTATAATGGCAACCAACAATCAAATTAATGTTGATAATTGATTCTCATTAAAACTAATGATATATTATTATCATTATTTGTTCAACTAATGAAAATTGTCTGTTTTTTTCCCATCATAAACGAAATGAGTAAACTTTTCTGAAATGTTACGTTTTTTTTTTGTTGAAAATTTTATCATCATCATCATCATTATCGTAAAGGTGACCAGAATTATAAATGACAAAAAGGTAAAAAAAAAGTTATTTGAAGAGAATGGTTAGGAAATTTATAAAATTCTCTGATGAAGAAAAAAAAATTTCCTACTTACTTACAATTATAAACGAATGAAACGACAACAAAATATTCTTGATACTGATAAATGATGATTGATATAGATTGTTGACAAATGAAATGACTGTTGTTGATTCAGATGGTGTTTTTCTTTTTTTTTTTTCTGTTATTGCATTAATGATGATGATGATGATGATGATTATCATTAAAAAAATAGGTGTTAATTGACAAAATTGTTCACACAAAACACACACATGAAAAAAATCTTTTCGTCAATATCATCACTGTGTATTCTCAGTTGATTGATGACGGAAACGCTTGTGAAACTTCATTTATTTTTTTTCTAATTTTCTTGACAAACAAAAGATGATGATGATGATTTTTTTTTCTCAATGAATCATGCACACAACTTTAGAATAAATGAATGATAAAAATAAAACAAAACAAAAACTTTTTTTTCTTTTGACAACTTTATTCTGTTCACAATTTGAAAAAGAAAATGAAATAAAATTCTATGATGATGGCTATGACCAATGCATCAGTGTTTGTATGATACAGTTGAATAATGGATTTATCTCGTTTGGCCGTTGATTAAATATCAAATGATTCAATGAGAATTTATTTTACCTACCCCCAACAACAAAAAAAAACACAAAACCATACCCAACAACTAGAATTTTGTCAAACGGAAATACATTCCTCAAATAGTTATGGTGTAACCAACGGTTAAATGATCAACAACAACAACAACAACAAAAAGAGAGAAAAAGAAAAAGAGAGACAGCAAAAGAAAAAACGATTCTACAGAGTTTTAAGCTACCCCTTTTCAAAAATCAAGTAACTTTTCTTCTTCTTTCGTTTCGATTCTCTTTGATTTTCTTTCTCTCACTCTCTTTCTTGCTTTCTTTCTTCACACAAAATAACCTTTTACCTTTTGTTGTTTGATTGTGAACATTGTATTATATTTTATTATTTTTACTGTTGTTGATGTTGTATAATAGTAATTCGCATAATATATCCATTGCGAAATCACAAAACAATAATCATTATCTTCGTTTGTGTGTGTGTGTGTGTGTTTTTAAAAATAAAGAGAAAAAAAGGGGTATAATAAGATTTTGGATGTTATACATAATCAGGGATGATGATGATGATGATGAATTTACCATTTCACCTTAGCACCGAATTATTTTAATGTTTTTTATTTGATGATGAAAACCGTTGATGATGTTCTGAATTAATTCTCGGGATCCAACAGGATTTTTGGCCAACATTTTTTACCATTGTTGTGTGTTTCGATTTGAATGTTGATTGTGATCACATGTGGGCTATTCAAATCAGATTAAACAGACAATAAAAGATCAATTTCAAGCTTCATCATTGATATGATCACCACCAACCAATTAACCACTTACATTTGGACAAATCTGGCGACAAACTAATAATGTACATTGTATATTTAGATATTGGCTACCCGGAAATTTAAATGCAGGAAATGTTGTATAATAAACTTTTGATTCGGATCCAACATTATGCATCACCTTGAATGCTGTCATTACGGTTGAATCGACTGGACATCTATTCAGAGAAGAAGAAAAAAATCAGATTGAACAGAAAAAAAAATGTTGAAAGAAAAATAGAGAAGAAAAAATAAAAAAAAAAAGAATTTAAAATCATTTTCAAATATTACAATGTGTCATTCACATTAGTATGAATGAATTTGATCATTTTCATTGTTAATTTGTAACAAAAATCTTTTTTTTTTTTTTTTCGTATAAACCATATAATTACCAGTATATTTGGTAGTATAATAATAATCGATAATTTGTCAATCAATTAGTCAGTAAAAGATATTCATTGACGGTGATTTTGATGATGATGATGATGATAATGATGAATAACAGCTGCTGAGCGTTCGATAGTAAAAAAAAATCCGATAAATTCAATTGAATCAATTCGATCAATCAATCAATTGAAAAGACAGGAAAAAAAACTGTAGACGATTTTTCTTATTCTTCAACAACAATTGTTGTCCGACCTAATCGAAGATTGTTGAATCGAACAAGAAACAAAACAAAAAAAAAATGCTCGACAAAACGGAAATTCTAATGATTTGTATTCATTGTATTGATCATCGTTGTTTCGTGGTTAACTTGAATGAATGAATCATATCAATCATCATCATGATCATGATGATCATTATCATTCAGCAAAAAAAAATTTCTAAACACGATTTTTCAATAAATAATCATAATGATGATGATGATAATGATATAGATTGATTGAATGGTTCACACCTGACTTTGATATTGTTTTTATTATGGATTCTGGATATACAGAATAATAAAATATGAATTGATTGATTGATTTGGACATCTACAAATGATGGTTGATGGTCATTTTTTTTTATTCAAAACAGTTTTGGGTCGTATGATGATGATGATGATCATCATCATCATCATCTTCATTATTTCCTATTCATATGGCCTAAAAAATCGTATCGTTAATCATCATCACCATCATCAACTGGACAATATCATAATAAATCAGTCAAAAGTGTGGCCATAATTTCTACATACATGATTTAATGATTATATTCAGAAACAGAATATCATCATTAATTTTTTTTTACAATGTTTGTATACAAACCAGAAGTGATTATATATTGTTTTGTTTCGATTTTCTAGGCCACTAGATTTGAACATTATCATCATCATCATCACCAAAAATGTATTTTGATTCATCAATCATTGTTATTGTTGTTGGTGAAAAAATTTCATCCAAGTAATACAATAATCGAATGAAAAACATTGAAAATTCTTGTTTCGAATGCTAAAATTTTCTTATCATAATCATTTCGCTATTCAATTCAAATCTTCATCGATCATATCAATCGATGAATTTTGAACTATTTTCACATCAAACGATAAGATTCTATCAAATTTACGAAAAAAAAAAAATTTTAATATTTGATGAATTGAATGATTATGATTCAGAATGAAAGAAACATTATTGTTTACATACAAAGACATACACAGATTCTGTTTGTTTTTTAGCTTTTTTCTCCTATCTTTTTTTTCTACTATTGGGAAAAAAAAAGTTTTGTAGAAACAATGAACATAAATCTAGATAAATAGTAAATTCAATTGATTCTTGACATAAACACACACACACACACACTCAGGCAAACAATGTATACACAAGAACATTATTTGATTCAATCATCATCATGATTTGTGGAAAAAAAAAATCTTCAACAACTTCTTGTTGTTGTTTGTCATCATCAAGTGACGAATGACAAAACACAAAACAAAACAACGACAATTCGTTATTTGTCTTCCTGGTTTTTTTTCTTATCACTTTGAAAATGGTAGGTACAAATGACAAAATGGTCAAAAAATAGATCTTGAAATGTTTTTTTCACCGATAAAAAAAACAAACAAACAACAAATGAAAGATAAAAAAAAATCTTTATAACTTACCCATCTTGATTTGTCAATTCATAACGCATTGTATCATGTTCATCATATGCATAACAGGTAGATATTCTAGAATCATAATCATCTATTTTGTGAATTGTATGAAATAAAGACAACAAAAATGAAAAAAAAAATTCATCATCATCATGAAAACAAAAATCAACAACAATAATTCGTTTGTTCGCTATTTTTATTTATTTATTTATTTACCTAGTTGCCTTGTTCTTATGATCAATGTTACATCATCACCTAGTTCTACATTATTATCAATCAATTTTAAGAATGGTATACGCCCACGTAAGATATCCATTCGTGATTCAATCAGATTTGTTATATCAATTTCATTGTTCATCATATGATGATGATGATGATGATGATGATGATGATTATGATCACCAATATTACCATCATCATCATTGTTGTTGTTGTTGTTGTTGTTGTTTGGCCGTTGTCGTTTTTGTTGTTGTTGATAATAATCATATATCGATGTAATTGTTAAATTTGCTTTTGGCATTATTGATCGTGTATGTTGTTGTGGATATTGTTGTTGACTACTTACTTTTGCCGGATATGATGATGATGATGATGATTGTGATTGTGATTCAGTTTTATCATCATTATCATCCATATCAATCACATCTTCATCTTCATTTTGATCATTATTATCATCCATTTTACGATAAAAATCATTTAAATTTGAATTATGTTCCATAATTATATTTTTTGTTACTCTTGGTGAACATTGTACAATAACTTTACTATCATATTTTTGTTCAATTTTTGGATCATTCTGTATATAAAGTGATAATTGATATGTATCATCTTTACTTATATTTAATTGATGTTGTTGTTGTTGTTGTTGTTGGCGTTGTTCTTGCTGCTGATGATGATAATGATGATGATAATATTGTTGTTGTTGTTGTTGCTGCTGTTGAAGATAAAAACTATTCATTTGCATCATATCATTATTATTCAAAGCACGACGAAAATTAAATCCATCTAGATTGATTGTCTTTTTCAATATAAATGGGTGGAAGAGAAAAAACAATATCAACCAATATTAATGATTGATTGATTGATTGATTGAAAGAAATATGGAAATATTTATCAAAAAAAAAATCACTTACATGTGTATTGATGAAACCATCATTATTTTCATTCATCATCATCATTGTTGTTGTCGTTGTTGTTGTTGTTGTTGTTGTTGATGGTAATGATGATGATAATGTATCATCAACATTGGATAATAATGATGTTTGATTCGATTGTCTGCTCATCATTGTATCATTGAAATTGGATTTATTATTATTATTACCATAATCTTCTATATTATCAGCAAAATTTGTATTCATCATTGAAAATGGCTGTAATTTTTCAATACATTCACTTAAAAATGATAATTCCAGATAAACGATCGATGCACCATTACCACGTATTGTACATGAATCCAATATTTCAATTGGATAATAATAATGTCCATAAATTTGTTGTTGTTGTTGATTTGTAATCATTGGATTCTGTTCAATTTTAAACATTTTATATGCATAAACTAATCCTTTGAATGGTTTATCAAATGTTAATTGTACATAGAATTCTAATTGTCCACATGATATTGATGCTATATATTATTCGGAGAAAAAAAAAGAAATAAAATAATATCACGGAAACGAAATATTAAAAATTCTATCATTACTTACATTGAAATTGATTTTGTTGATATGAATATGGTGGCTGCTGCTGTTGTTGTTGTTGTTGTTGTTGTCGATCAATCGGTAAACCATTATTACTACCATTATTATTATCGATATTTGAATTCATTATCTGTTGTTGTGGCTGCTGCTGCTGCTGCTGCTGTTGTTGTTGATGATGATGATGAACATTATCAGCAATTGATTCAACATTTTTTTCCTGTTTTTTCATTGGATTATTATTATTATTGTTGCTGCTGCTGCTGCGAATATCGTTTAATGGTAAACGATTACCGATAACAACATTGTTGAATAGGAAACAAATCTAGAATTTATATTTTTTTTCAATGAAAAAAAAAAAAAAATGAATAATTGAAAAAATTGCGGAATTCATCATCATCATCATTATCATCATCATCATCATCATCATTGATCAATCAACAAACAAAATGTATATGGTGAACAGAATGGTGGACAGAATATTTTTTTCTTCTTTCTTTTTTTCTTTAATTCAATTACATCAAATGTATCATTATGTCTGATTCATGAAATGTGAATGTTTTATTTTTTATTTTTTTTTTTTTTTTTTTTTTGACAATTTAATGATTGGATAGCGAAAAAAAGTTGTTTGATTCTTTTTTTGGTTTGAAAATTTGACACACACACACACTTAGAGGTCAAATTTATTAGAAGAAATGATTTGTGTGTGTGTGATATTCTAATTTCAAATCATTTAACAATAAAGATTCTAAAAAAAAGAAAGAAATTACTAACTGTTTTCTGCTGTCAGATAATAAAGTCAATGTTGTTGTTGTTGTTCAAAAAAAAAAAAAGTGATGACATATCGTGGAAATTCTATAGAACAGAAAAAAAATACTAAATTAGGAAGTCAAAAGTCAAGTCATTGGTTTTTTTTTCTCTATCTGTCTTCCTGTCTTTTTTTTGAATACCCAAATAGACAGGTAATGGACATTTAAATCGGTGGTAATTTAATTACCATCACGATTATCAGCCCGAACCGATAAACGGACTGTTTGAATGAGAAAAGAGGAAAAAAAACTCTGAATAAAATGAAATGACCTAACAACAATTGAATAATGGTTGATCATCATCATAAAACAACAATTTTGATAAACTAGAGAGAGAGAGAGAGAGAGAGAGAGATCCTTTATAATGTTGTTTTAAAAAAAGCAAAACGAAAAAATCAATCGACAAATCGTAAAACTTTTTTCTTTTTCTTTTTTTTTGGCACGAAAAATTTTTTCTGGATAATATCTATTAAAAAGATGTTGATTGTTGTTTATGATGATGATGATGATGATGATGATGATGATGAGCTTGGTGATTCACGAACATATATATTCTACAGGTAAACAGCTCAGGATCGTTATTGTAATGATGATCCATTGCCATCATCATCATCATTGTGAATCGAGTATTTTTTTTTTTTTTTTGATTGGCATCCAAAATTACCACAATTTGGACCAATCCCTCTCTTTCTCTCTACTTTCTTGGAAATGTGTAAATAGTAAATATATTGTGTGTATATGTATGTTTCGCGATGCAAAAATGGCCATGAAACAATGATAATGAACGAAAAAAAAATTCTTTACACAGAAAAATGAAAAAAAAACTGATAATTCGTTCAAATTCGTGTTTGATGAAAAAATATAATACACATACATACATAATAGTCATATCAATCATCATTCATTAGGTATGATCAGTATTTTTTTGTGTGTGTTTGTGTTTAACAGGTGATTTGATCACCAATCCACATGATTATGATTTATTAAATTGTTTGATCATCTGAGGTTCATCTTGGTGATGATGATGATGATGATTTTGAATAGGGTTTATTTATTTATTTTCTACCAACATGACCTCATCATCATCATCATCATCATCATCATCATCATCATTTTCTCAGAACTTATATTTTCAAATTGGATTATGATTTTTTTTCTATTACTTTTTTCAACAATGTTTAATCGAGCATTAAACATACACACACACAAACACATATTTTTAGAAAAAAAGAGTGGAAATCATGGTTCATCTAACACACATACACATAGTCGAGTACTTTATTATTATTAGTATATAATTTCAATGATGCTTACCAATAGAAAAATTGTTGTTTGGATAAATAGCATTGTGATATGAATTTTATGATGATGATTAAATAATAGCATTGCATTTTTGTTGTTTTTTATCATTCTTGTTGTTGTTGTTGTTGTTGTTAGATGCTGTTGTCGTTTTTGCAGTGGATCCATCATTCACGATCGTGGTATGTTTTTTTTGTGTGTGTGTACAGAAAAAAAAACAAATATTGATTCGATTCCAGAAATTTTTTTTTATTTACCGGTAAAAATTATTTTATTGATTACAATTGATGCGGATGATCTCATTCATTGGTCATCAGTCACACACACACACACACACACACACACACAGAAATATGTTAGATTCAATGGGGAAAAAAATACAAACAATCAAATACGACACAAACAAAACGAAAAAAAAAATCAAAAACATTTAGATTTTTGGTTGAATGAAATTGAAAAAAAAACAACAACAATTCAATGAATGTATCTTGTGTGCATGTGTGTGTGTGTGTGTGTGTAAACCATACCGTTTACTAACAAATTGGTAAAAAAAAATCAATAGAAAATTGTCGAAGGTAGAAAAAAAAACTCAAGCATCCTTTATGGTCAAGATGTTGCTGCTCATTCATTCATTCATTCATTGAAATTCCATTTTTTTTTTTTTTTGCTCCTAAACTAACCAACTTGATTGGTAGCTCTCTACTAAGGCAATAAATCTCTTGATAATGTTTGATGAAGGTGTCAATTGTCGTCGTTACTAAAGCTGGACCATAACTTGGAAATTTTTTTTTTTAAAAACATCCATAAGCATCATCATCATCATGGTCAGACATTTTTAGGAAATTTTTTTTTCTTGAAAAATAAAAAATTTGATCTACCCATCTTTGAACGACCAACCAAGCAACCAACCAACCAATCTACATTACCTGTGTGTTCAATGTGTGTGTGTGTGTGTGTTAATGAATTTGATCAAGTTTTTTAGATAATTTTTTTCCATCATTTTTTTTACCGATATATTATATTACATCATATCATCTGATGTAGAATCGTCAACAAATAAAGAGAGAGAGAGAGAAAAAAAAAAGTCAAATATGTAATGAATGAAAAAGAAAAAATGTTGACCATTTTTTCATCTCACTCTATAGTTCGTTGAACTTTAAACACCTTTTTTGCGGTTGTTGTTGTTGTTGTTCTCCTCGTGGTTGTCGTAGTTGTAATACATTTTCTCAGATTTTATCATTTAATAAAAAAAACAATAAATAGTAACCCTTGAATAATTAAAAGCTATTCTTTTATTTTCAGTTAATTAATCAATTAATTAATTAACTTTCACATCATAAATAAATGAATAGAGGTAATTTGAATTATGTCCTTGATTCTGATTTTATGTGGGAAAATTGTTTTTCAAAGAAAAATACAAAATTCGAGAACATTCTATAAATTCTATTTCTCTGCGTGTGTATGTATGTGTATATATGCGTTTTATTTTGTATTTTGTCCATGATCCAGAAACACTACTTATTCGGTTTTTGTACCCGCACACATACACACAGACAGAAAGAGAATTGGGAATTATATTGCATGGACTGGGAAAAAAAATCTAGGTTCATACATGCGTTGTTTGTTTCTGGATCAAACAAGAGTCATTGAGCTGTATTTTTTTTTCTTCTCTGGGTCTTGATGTTTTTGCTGTTGTTAGTTGATCGAAAATTCACCAATTTGTTTCAGTTTGATTGAGTGTGAGCTGCTAAAAATGCGTTGTAGATTTAGATCATCATTGTCATCGTCGAATATTGTTATAAATTAAAGAAATCAAATTTCCATAATTCGAACCGAAAATTTGATGATCCATAAAAAATCATCATCATCATCATCATCATCATCATGAGCTTAACGACGGAAGAAAAACAACGATTATGGCATCTATTTCAGGCATGCGATACCGATTCAGATGGATTAGTCAATCAGAATGATGTGAGGTTATTATCATCACGAAGTGAATTCTCTGATTATAATATTGAAGAGATAATCGATCTATTCAACACCGTAAATAATGATAATGATGAAAATTGTATCATGACATTCGAAGATTTCATTGAAAAAAAGCTAGCTCATGAAAGATTAAGCCAGATGTCTGAAACCACTTCGATATCGTCCGGTTTCACAAATACAAGCACGGATGAATCGATTACGGATGCAGCTGCAATCGAATATGGTAAACGTTATTTTAATCATCGCCATCATCGTCAGCGACAATATGATGATAATCTGAATAAATATAAAAACAATTTAAGATTTTGTGATGAAATTGATAGTACATTATCGAAAAGCATGGATAACCTTCAATTGGATGATGGCGGTGTTGTTGATTTTCACGGTAATTCGGATGCAATTACACGAAGAGTATTTACGGCCATTCCGATGGGTCGAAAAAATCATCACCATCACCATCAACATCGTAATATCATCACAGATCATCGTGCGGCAGCAGCTGCACTAGCTGCAAATAAATTCATTGTCGATATTAATCGTTTTAAAAGCAATAAATATCTACTTCCCGAAGAGATTGAACGATTCGATATGAGTGATGATGCCAAAAAGAAATTTGAACTTATTCGTCAGGTAAGCAGTAATTGAATTTTTTTTTTGTCACCATTAATTTCCACCATTCGATGTTAGGATTATTTCAATTGTCTAAACGAATTGAGTGAAGAGAATGAAAATATTTGTGAAGAATTGGATCGTACCAGGAAGGAACGGAATTATTTGCGTGAAAAAATTGATATATTACGTGAAGAATATGGAGAAAATCTACGAAAACATCGTGAACAATGGCTTTGTGAAAGGCAAAAACTTGAACAAAAAATCACCAATCTTGAAACTTATGTGACGAAAATTCAACATCAACAAACATCAATTTCATCATGGCCATTGATGATGATGACGAATAATCCATTGTTATCTGATGTTATCAATGATAATAATCCAAATGAATCGGCTCAAGACTATCTTTACAGGTTAGTGATAATATATACATTCAGTGTTTAGAATTATAACATTGGCAATAAAAAAATTTCTGTAAAATTTTCCTATAGTGAAAATTTTAAATTACATCAACTTGCCAATAAAATTTCCGAACTTGCATTATTCTTATCGGAAATCCTATCGAATCTTCGTAAAAGTGAAATTGATATTATGGTTGCTAATTATCGTGCTGCTGGTATTGTTAAAAATGGTAATTAAAACTTACGATGATTTTGTTTTGAATTAAATGATTAATTGTGGTTCATTATTTCCAGTTACAAATCCATTACATCGTAATGATATAGACGAAGAAAATGATATAATGCAATGTTATGAACGTGCAATGGTCAATCGTTCGATGATTGAACGTGAAGCAATTGATTTTGTTCGAAATATTGATAAAGAAATTCTTGTCCAATATCTATCACCATTGGAATTTCAGAAATTATTCAACAAAAACAATAATAATCGTCAATCGACAACATCAACAACAACAATGGATTTTCAAGAATTTCAAAACATTCTTTCAGATCTGTTGATTAAATTAAAAGATGATCTTCGTAATGTGAATAAAACATTGGATCATCATCATCATCATCATCATCATATTCAACATAATGCTCAGAATGATGAACAAAACGATAAACTTAGTATAGATACATATAGTACCTATCTACAACAGCATGATTATAATAATTATAAATTATAAAATAATCCACATACAGCAAACCTAATTCAACAACAACAACAACAACAAGGGAAAAAACGCCGAAAAAATGGTCAAATCACATCATGCATCAACCAGAATAATAATAACAATAACAATATATCATATATATACTCGTATATTTACCACGTATCTTATTATCTATATATACCATATATATTCTTGGGCATTTCATTAAGTGTGTGTGTGTTTTTTTTTTAGTTTTAGAAAAAATAGAATTTATTATAAAAAAATCTAAAATGATGATGATGATGATGATGATGATGATGAAACCATGGCAAAAAAAATGATAGTGGTGGTGTAATTATAATTGTTTGGCAAATATATTGACAGAATTCATTAAGAAGATCAATCGATTATTCTTTTCTTGGATCTCTCGCATATTCATATCTCACAAATCAGTAAAGAAATCTAAGCTGATTAATCCATTCCATAAAATGTGTTATCCGGGTATATACATCATGAAATCCTGGTTTAGCACATCCCGATCCAAATGAAGTGACACCGGCCAGATACCATGTGGAACCGATTTTACATTGTAATGGACCACCAGAATCACCCTGAATGCTCAAAAATTGTATTCGATTTTTATTTTTGTTTTTTTTTTTTTTGAATTTCGAATTTTTTTTCGATTTTTCAAAGTTTTGAAATTTGAATTTGAAAAAACAATAAAATTATTCGGAAACTTGAACAAATAAATCAAATAAATAAATATACATACATGACATGTTCCTTTTCCACCTGTTTTCGTCACATGGAGAAACAGAAAAAAAACCAATCAATTTTAATCATTGATAAAAAGATGAATTTTTTTTCAACTTACCACGTTCATCTTCGGTACCGGCACAAAGATGCCAACTTTTTATTCCAATTTTAAATTTAGAAAAATATGCCTTCTGACATAATGCATTATCGAATACTTTGATTCGTACTTTTTGCAATACATCGGATCCTTTTTTATCTATCGATCAGAATTAGAATAATGAATAAAAAAAAATCAATCAAATCTAGGGTTGTCAAATGCGGGGTCGAGGAGGACAAAAAAATTTTTTTTTTATTGGAAAACTTGCTTAATAATACAGTTTTACATTGGTTAAAAATTTTTTTGTTAGATAAAAAAGTTTCTTATAAAGAAGGACATCTGTCCTCTTGTCTTCCTCTGGGTCTGGTAACCCTAACCGAATCAATTAAAATTATTATAAAATTACTTACTATGATCTAATTTTCCCCAGCCAGATGCAACACATTCTTTTTCAAAAAATTCAGTATAAATACTTGGTGGTAAACAAATTGGTTTCACAAATTCAGATGTTATCACCGGTTTAGCCAATTTCATTAATGCAATATCATTATCATAGCCTTTATATAATGGATAATGAAATACTTCTGCCACCTGATATGTTTGTTCATAACCATCTTCCATTTTTTGATGATATTCACCAACACGTACTTCCCAATGTTTAGCTTGTGGTAACATAAATAATGGACTGATTTATAAAAAAAATTTAAAGAATTAACATTTAGAATTGATAGAATATGATGCACATACTTAATGATACAATGGGCAGCGGTTACAACCCAATCATTATCGATGAGTACACCACCACACCAATGGCCAACTTTACCCGCTTGTGGATGTGTTAATCGTATTGAAACCTTTTTGGTTATTTTTTTTCCAAAACAAAAATCATAATTATCAGTCAAATTGAAATCATTTATCAATTATTGGCTTTACCTGCCATGGAAATTCACCCTCATACGAACGATTACCACCGACAATTCGTTCGGTCAATGGAATTTCATTATTATATCGATTAATTCCACAAGCTATGAATAAATGAATGAAAAAACTTTTTCAATTTTTTTTGTGACAAAAATACAAATACACACATATTTACCTTGTTGGCCATCGTCTGATGTTTTCACTATGATACAATGATGAATGATTATGAAGATGACAGAATAAAAAACATCTAGCGCCTCTATGCGCATACTCTCGATTGTTTCGTTGAAGAAACAAATTCAATTCTTGTTGGCTTTTTTTACTGTTTATTTGGTTTTCCGGTTATTTTTTCAAAAAAAAAAAAATTTTTTTTTCCTTTTGTTTGTATGTGGGATTTTAAATCACCAAAAAATGTGCCTGTAATAACTCTCGCCGTTGTACTGTTGTTATCATCAAAAATTTTTTTTAATCATACAACATTTACAATCGACAATCGACAATTTCCGGTGATCAAAATTCACAACACGCAATAAATCATCCGAAAAATGAATTTAACTAAAACACAATCCAAAACAAAACAAAAACCGATAACATATAACGATTCGAAGATGAACGACAACAAAAAAAAAGGACGAAGACCACGTTGAACTTTTAGTAACAAGTAGTATGGATGCTAATATAAATTATATGTCTATGTCTATATGGCTATGACCACCACCACCACCACCGCCATCACCACCGCCACCACAACAACAATCATTAACCATTAAAATGTTGTACGGTCAAAAGCATTGAACGGATGATGGTGGTGGTGGTGGTATGTGATCAAGTTTATCTCTGTAGCCATAACCTAGAAGAAGTTATGGTCAATGTCCGTGTATGTAAAAAAATTGACTGAATGATCGTTTCGGTCATTTTTTTGTGTGTGATGAAAAAAAAAAAAACAGTAGCAAAACCTGCTTGTCGGCTTACTATTTTGATAAACATTTCATATGATATGATCATCATGTTGGTCGGTTGTGGTGGATTATCATTGAATTTGATCTTTAAAAGGGGCAATATAATCATCATCAAAATCATCAAAATGATTTTATAATGGTATCGACATCGTTTTTTTCACCCAATTTTTTTCGGATTTTGAAAATAAAAAAAAACATTATCATTGATTATATATAGCCTTCTGTGTTGTGATCATGATAATAACCAAAGGATTAATGATTGATTGAAACCAAAACAACAACAACAACAACAACTTATTACTCGTTATTCGTCGTCTTATTGAGCAAAAGAAAAAATAAACAACATTTATTCTTATTAAGCAGCAGAAAAAAAAATCAATAAATAAAATAAAAATTATTTACAAATTCAATTTTTTTCAGAAAAAAATGATTATTACACAAAGAAATCATTCATATTGAAGGACTGTGACTGACATTCAAAAAAAAAAATTTGATAATCTAAAAACAATCAGAAAAATAATGAACAAAAATCAATCAAAAAAAAAAATCAAGATCAATCAAAGTTAATCGATCAGGTAATTGATTCATGAAACAATAGTGGTGGTGGTGGTTGTAATGATGTTGTAATAACCGGTCATTGTTTTTTTTTTGGTGGTTAGTCATTCAATTTGTATGAATATGAATCCAATCGACAAATTCAGTGATACGTGTATAGACACCGGGTAGATTTGGTCTTGCACATCCAACACCTAATTTAATTGATGGCAAAAAATCAATTAATTTTTTGTTTCTAATTAAAAAAAAATTTTTGAGAATAAATAAATTACCCCATGATACTAGACCAATCAATATGATATGATTATCATCACGTAAACTAAGTGGTGAACCAGAATCACCTTGACATGAATCACGACCACCATCTTTATAACCGGCACAAAGCATATTGGAGAAAATTTTCTCTCTACGACCAGCATTTTTCATCCATTCTTGGCAATCATCTGAATCCAATACTTCGACATCAACTTTTTGCAATATACCCGGTGATGTTGACACAGCGTATTGGGTTCGACCCCAGCCAACAGCTGTTGCTTTTTCACCGGTAAAATTTCGTCCTATTTTTTGTTTGTCCATAAAAAAAATAAATAAATAAATAAATGATGATTAGATTAGATTAATTTTAATTTGCTCGTAATAATTTTTTTATAGTATAATAAAAATGGGACTGGAATGAGTCAAAAAAAAAGACAAAATAACTAAAAAAAAAAATAAATAAACCTTTCGGTGGCAAACAAATGGGTAATATATGTGGCCTATATATCACATCTTGATTAAGCTCTAACAATGCAATATCATTCTGATATGTTGCCGGATTATATCCTTCATGTACCACTTTACGTCGGACACCATATTCTTCATGTGGATATTGTTCAGTCTGTGCTTTAAGATTATAATCACCAAGTCGTATTTTAATATTATTTGCCGGTGTTCTGTGGAGAATTAGAGTTTTTTTTTGTTATTGGGAAAAAATATCGATTACAAAAGGCATACTTATAGACACAATGTGCAGCCGTTACAATCCAACGACGATTAATTAATGCACCACCACAGGAAATTTTTTGATTTAAAAATTGATGTTTAACAATGGCCACTTGCCATGGATTTTGGCCAAATTTTGCATTTTCACCACCAACTATTTTAGCATTTCTTGTATACATTATACGGCCACATTCTAAATTTTAAATTAGTAAAAAAATAAATCATCATCAATTAGGAACGAGAAAATGTTTGAAACAAACCTGGATCGGATACTTCTTCCGGTATGACTGAGGTTGTATTCTGTGCAATTGTTTCAAATGGTACACAACAACTCCAGAATATACCACCATTACATAAATCTAATGGCCGATGTCCAGACATCCAACATGTTATACCGAATGTACAATGATGTGTTTCACTTTGATAATGACATTTTTGTGGAAATGCTACAAAAAAAATTTCATGAAAAAAATGAATCATTTTGAACACAATACATTGATACCATACTTACATAGTAAAAATCTGGCAATACTCAATAGATTCCATAATGTATTCGATACTTGTTTGGAATCATATGGTTGATCCGCCGCTGTTGTTGTTGTTGTTATCGAACCGGTAGCTAATAATGGATATGCATTCAATGGTGACAATGAATTCAGTGATTTATAAAAACGAAAATTTGTTAAATTTGTAATGGCCGCAGTTGCCGTCGTTCCAGATGAACGTGAAAGAAAATGTGATTTCAATCGATTATTATGACATATTGATAATAGATTGATGGTGACTAGGAAAAGAGAAAGTCCTCTAAACATTCTATGTTGAAAATAAAAAAAAAAAAAACGAAAAAAATTAATCAAAAATTCAATATTTACAACAAATCAATACAATCAACCAGAAAAAAAACAGAAAAACCCATTTATTCATGAGAAAAAAAAAAAAAAAATTAGGCCAAATGTCCATTTTCAATTTCTTTTCTAAATCTAAATCATCATCGTCGACCATTCATTCGAAATGAATGAATGAATGAATATAAACGATGAAATGAGAGCGAAAAAACCGACAACATCACCACCACCACCGCCACCACTTTAAATCTAATTTTATAATCTGCTTTTTTTCTTCAGAAAGAAAGAAAAAAAAAGACACTTTCAGTATCAAAGGGAAAAAGAGAAAAAAAAATATTTGACCTCTCTATCTCTCTCTCTCTCTCTCTTTTTTGAATGAGGTGTGAATGACCGAGAAATCAAAAAAAAAAACAATAAATCAGCAAGAATCGATCAATTGTCACAGCCATGTAACATTGACAATTGATTAAATTGAATCAAATTGTCTACTGACTAGTTGGCCAGCCTTTTTCATTTTTGGTGATGTATTTATATATAGACCGACATTTAAAGTGTGATGATGGTGATTTCTTAAAAAAGAAAGAAAAATGTTTTTTCCAAGAAATACTGAAAAAAAGATAGGTCAAAACCTACTTTCACACACACACACACACACACCGACAAACCATTTTTTTCAGGTGAAAATAAGACGAACCATCACCAACAATATCGTTGTTTCTGCTGTTGTTGTTGTTGTTGTTCAAATGATTTTTTTTCTTTTTTAAAAAAGAGAAATCCCAAAAACCTGTACACACTTGATGATGAGATGTGTCATGGTGGTGGCTATTATACACAGACACACAGGACTTCATCACATTATAATGTTTTGTATGGTAATTCTTATCATTTTTTTTTACTATTCACAGGGCTAATTTTAGAAATCATCCACACACACACAAAAAAAAAGATCATTATTGGCTTGAAAATGATAATATCGGTTTGGATTTCATTTGATATTAACATAACGGTACGAATGTACGTAATGATGTGATGTGAAAATGAAAATGGAAACAAACAAAAAAAAAATGAATTACCACTTATTTATCTGGTGGTCAGAAAAAAAGAGAGAGAGAGAAAAAAATTGCTTGATGCTATATGATGAAGAAAATAAATCCTGACATTAATTGCCAAAAATTGTTTTCTTATGCAAAAAAACAAACTCTCAAATATCATAATCATAATCATAATCATAATCATAACCATATCGAATAACAGTGATGTGGGGATGAAATAAAAAATTCGTTTTCATTTTAGAAATTTTAATTTTAAATTTAAAAAAAATAAATAAATAAATTCATCACAGCAATTGACCATTGGTCATTATTTTCAAAAAGAAATAGCCGGTGCCTATGCAAGATGTAAATATTAACATCCTTTAAGTAATGAACTAGGTTTTTATGTCATAATAATTATATAATAATATTGTTATTATATGATCGAAGATAATTATATTGGCCACACATACACACAGCAAAAAAAAATTATTGATTGATTTCATATCAATATTCAAGTTTTTTTTCTTCTTCTTCTTCTTCTTGGTGCAACCAGATTTCATACTGCAAAAAAAAAATTTTACATTTCAACTTATTATCGTTCGGTTATGATCATGAAATAAAAAAAAACCCCGAAAAAATAACAAAATCAGACAACCTTGACTAATCATTCGATTTGATCATGTAAAAACATCATCATCATCATCATCATAATCAACAACAACAACAACAAAACCATTGACCGGAAATCAATGTTTCCATATCCGGTTCATTAACTGAATAATTGGGAAAATAAACAAAGAGAGAAAAAAAAACCAAACAAACAGAAAACAATACATTTACCGAGTACTAGATCATTCATTCATTTGTCTTATTTCGTTAAGATGAATACTGGTATTCCAGCCAAGAAAAAAAAACGAGAACAAAAATAAAATTGTAATTAACAATGATGATTATTCATACTGATATGGATTATATAATGAAAAAAAAGAAAATCCAACAACAACAACTACATTGACAATGAAGACGAACGAAAAGATTCTTTCAATTAATGATATTAGAATAGAATTGACAATGAACTTAACCTAAATGACAAATCAGCCATATTGGCCATGATTGACTGACTGACTGACTTGCTGACATACTGAATGAATAGTGAATGAAGAAATGAGTGAAGAAAAGAAAATAAACCTTCTTATCTCTCTCTCTCAACTTTTCTGATGATTTTGTTTCTTTTCATTTCTTAATATTCTTTTTTTTCTCTAACACAAAAAAAACAACATTTCAACCATTCAATATTTTTTTTTGTATGCTGTACCGATGACATCGAAACGAAACAAAATAAAACAAAACAAAAAAATGTACGGTCAATCGGTCGATTGTGGTTGTTGTTGTTGTTGTTGTTGTTGTTGAAAGAAATTATTTATTCCAAAATAATAATGATCATCATCATCATTATGATGACGACTTAGGTATAACATTTGGAATAATAAAAATAATGTTCATTTTTTTTCTTTGATTGAAATAAATTCCATAATGGACATTTTATCATTTTTTTTTTTGCTTCTTTTTCATCACTAACTACAAGTGGGTCACAGATAGTGACCACATGTGGTCATCATCATCAATGATGATGATGATGATGATGGCTATTCTCTTCAACGAAATAATAATGTGAATTTTCATTTTTTTTTTTTGAAATAATTTTTACTTGGGGGGTACACAATTCCTTACAAATAATTTGACCATCTAATATATTACCATGTGAATAATAATAAAAAAAAAAACATTGTTTTGTTCAGTTTGTTTGAAAAATAATAATCATTTTTATTATCATGAAATGATGATGATGATGATGAAGGTCAGTGAACAAACAAACAAACAAACAAGTGTCATTTCATCATCATTATTGAATCTTGATAATCAAATTTTTAAATTGAAATTTTTTTTTCAACTGTTTTTTTTATGGATTATACACTCGATTGATGATTTTATGATTATTGTGCTTGCCCAGTGTGTGTGTGTGTGTTGGTGATTCATCATAAACGATAATGATGATTTATTATTATCATTTGGAATTGAATCATAATTTGATTATGATGATGGTGGTGGTCATTGATTGTTTGTTTGCTTGTTCGTTTGTTGAATTCTTTGTAGATTTTCGTCTTGTTTTTTTTTTTGGATTTGGGGTGTGTGTGTGTGTGTGTCTTTTCATATATGGAAATAAGGGTGCGGGTTGGTGTGAACAAAAACAAAAACAGAAACCAAAATCAAACGGATAAATCTTATAAATGTGTGTATGATTGATTATTGATTTGATTCTCGTTTGTTTCACATACACACACACACACACACCATTCAGATTTTTCAAGATTAATCGAATTGTTTATCGATAAATATTTCTTAATCAATCAATGGATTTTTAAAACAAAAAAAAAAAGTTACCTGCATTATTAACTGTGAAAAACAAATGATAAATGAAAATAGAAAAAAAATGATAATGATGATCAGAATATCTTTATTTTTTTTCAATTAAATCGATAAAAATTGATTGATTGAAAATTGTTGATAACAATGATGATGATGATGATGACGTTGATGATAACGATATCGCCAATGATGTTGTTGTTGTTGATGATGATGATGATGTTGATGATGATGATGTTGACAACATTTATTATTGATTAATTGAATCAAAAATAATTGATCAGATTGGAAAATCATTTCATCCAACAATAAAAATTAAAATTTGAAGATACGGATACGTGGATCATTTATTGATAAAACATTATGATTTCGAATCGATCATGATTATATGTTGTTGTTGTTGTTGTTGTTCAAGCGTACAAACACTACACAAACACACACGCACACACATACACAAATTCGAAATTCATTGAATTTGACAAGCTAAAATTAGGCTGTTGTTTTTATTTCGATATGGTGGACAACATGAATATGACATTGTGAAAATGAATAGATTCTATGACAATTTATTTTGTAAATTGGACATTATTATGTTGTTGTTCAATGTTTTTAACCGGCTACATCAATGGATCAATCATATGTATGTGTTATTGACAATCGATGATTGTTGATTGTGTTTTGGTGATGGCGAAATGGAGAAAAATTTTCTTTAGACAGAAATTTTTTTTTTTTTTTTTTTTTTTTGGGCAAAATTCTCTTTCAATCTCAAATCGATTCTCTCTTTTTTTTTTCTTTTTGTCGATGTCAAATTTATGAAAATTGAAAATCCATCAAATTCACGGCGACAACGATTTCACACACACACACACACACACAACAATCAAGCACTAAGCAACAGGTTGAATGATGAACACATCAGCACCACCATATACACACACACACACACACACACACACACACACACACACATGATATCCACCTTGGTAATGATTATCAATATTTGAATGGATGAAAAAAAAAAATTTTTTTGTTAAGAGACCAAAAAAAAAAAAGAGCCAGAAAAAAAAATCAAACCTAAACATTGAACGAATGAAACGTGAGACAGATAGATAGTGATCACAACGAAATGCATGAACACACACACACACACAGGCACACATACACTTATATATATAGAGTCATCAATGAGAGAAATCTTTTTTGAATATTTTTTTTCTTATTCACAAAACGAATAATAATAATAATCGCACACACACACACACCATCATCATCACCAGAGAGGTAAAGAAACTAGAAATTGAAATGGAAAGAGAAATAAGCAAAATATACCATGTGTGTATGCATCTCTCATCATCATCATCATCATAACACACACACAATGTTTTATTTTTCCAAAATAAGTAGGAAAATGGGTTATTTGCCTACATCATCATCATCATCATCACCATTTCATTTCATTCTGAATTTTGTTTCATGAACAAATATTAATGATGATGATGATGATTTCATCCGAAACGAAACCAAAAAAATCTCTCTTTTGTCTTCAAACAACACAAATGCACAAACCAAACCAAGTTATATGATGCTGGGGAGCGGGGAAGGATGAATTCCATCATGAAAAAAAACTGGAATAATCAAAAAAAAAAAAAAAAAATGGTGAAACGAATCGTGAAAATTCATCATCATCATCAATTAGAATATGAACCGGTGAGATGATGATTATTATTGATGAATCATTATTCTATTCATTCAGATTTTTTTGGCGATAAAAAATAGATATAATCCACACCTTTATAGAAGTTGTTGCTGTTGAATTAAATCCAACATGGTGATCAATCGATGTGTGTGTGTGTGTGATTATGGGTGGATAAAAACAGAAAAAAAAGATTCGTGCAAAAAAAATTATCCAATATTGATCGATCGATTGATTTTCTACATAAATCTTCAAGGAAAAAATTAAATTCATTCACAGATGATCACCAACAACACAAACCTAATACTCTCACCTATCGCGAATTAGAAAAAAAAATCTCAATTGATAATTATCATCATCTCGATATACACGCTGTTTAATTTACATTTTGATTATCGTACGGAAAAAAATCTAGCCAGAAAAAAAAATATATAAAACAAAAAATCGGATCTAGGTCACTAGGTCTCATTTGGTCAAAAAAATCGAAATGAAAAATAGAAACATTCTGCTGTCGATCATCATGATGATGATGATGATGATAATGATTGCATTATTTTTTCACTTTATTTTTCGTTGTTACTGTTGTTGTTAGTATGTTTACGCTTTCAACAATTTGCCTCGAGCATATTGAGAACGAACATCACAGCCAAATTTTTTTTTTTTTTTTTTTTGATCAGATCAGATGATTTCTATTTTCTTCTTTTTTTTCGGTAAATTATAATTTATATATGGGCCAAAAATAAATGTTTTTTCTTTCTGAAAAAACCGAATATAGTGCATGTGTGTGTGTGTGTGTGTGTGTGTTTGTAAACAAACAATGATGACCAAAATACCAAAAAAAAAAGCGGATATTGACCACCACCACCACCACCACCACTATTGTGTTAATTGATTTACGGACACACACATAGTGGTTATTTTGTGTTTATTTATTTAAATTAAACAAAGAAAACTGATGAAAAAAAATAGTAGAAACAGCTCTTCAACATGATGATTATGATTTGTTTGTTTTATTTGTGTGCACAGGTTCCGTTCAGTAGATACACAATGGGAAAATATTGCGAATTTTCATTTTTGATTCAAATTCACATTTTTTTTTCATTCATATCATCATAATAATTAGTGAGATGGATGCATTTAAATCTTAACTGATGTTATCATCATATTCTTCTTTTTCATTTACTTGGTTTTTGTATAGATTTTTTTTTATTGTTATTTTCTTTGATATAAAAAAAAATTCATTCATGTATGAAAGTTGTGTTTTCAACACACGCATCGATAATTGTGACTTATTCTAACAAACCAATGTTGCCATCTATTGGCATAGAATGGAAATTTTTCTACTATTTAAAAATTCACATCAATAATTTGAAAACTGGGACAAATTTCATTTCATTTCATTTCATTACTAAGTAACCATCATCTTCATGATCTTCATGATCATCATCAACATTGAAACAAATGGCACCAAGCTAGATAATAATAATCAAAACAAAAATAGAAAATATATACTATAGTTGATCAACAAGACCGGTGGCATATTTTGCCACTGCCCAGGCAATAATAATCGGTCATTTTTTTAATGAGTTTTCTCTGATGACCATTTTGCCGGTCATTTCCATTGCCATGGTCAATTCACAAGAAAACGGTCACGATATAATGATGATGATCTTCTCATTATTATTATTATTATTACCGAAATAAAATGATAATAAAAAAAAAATTACTTTTATCTCTATTTACCATCCACTGGCTGTGAATTACTGAAATGTTGTTGTTGTTGTTGTTGTTGTTATTTAACAAAGATGAAGAAAAATTAATTCTTTTTATATTATTATTCAGAAAGAAAAATTCAAATGATAATTGATGATGATGACGATGATGATAAAAAATGAATGGAAAAAAATTCTATGAACAAAGATAATAAAGTTGAATGAGTGTGTGTGTGTGTGTGTGTGTAATTAAAAATTTGTTGTTTGAAATAAATATCATTTGCATAATAATAATAAAAATCGTAATGGTCAAGCAACTTTAAAAAAAAATTCTTTCCTATAAATCTGGTCAATCAAAAAAAAAAAAAAAATGTCACATTGAAAATCGGTGGGAATCATTCATTTGATTATTATTGCTGAATCAATGAATCAATTTCAATTGATGTTAAATGATATTTGAATTTTCTTTTTCCTCTTCATCATGTAATGTTTGTCGTATCCAATCCACCGTATGTGATACACGATGATAAATACCCGGTTGACGAGATTGTGCACAACCAAAACCGGCCGATGTTATACCGGCCAATGTCCAACGGCCATTTATATTGATCACTAATGGTCCACCGGAATCACCCTAAATGATATATAAAAATATTAAGACGTGAATTGAAGGTAACAAAGAAAACACTTACAACACAAGCATCTTTTTGTCCATCTTCATAACCAGCACACATCATTTCGGAGAAAATACGTAAATCAATACCACGTGTACGATGCCATGTTTCACATTTTCCATTATCAATAATTGGTACATCAACTTTTTGTAATAAACGTGTTCCATAACGATTACCTTGAATTTGTAAACAAAAAAAATATGACCAGATTACCATTGTTGTTCCAGAAAAAAAAACTTACTTAATGCTGGATCAGTTTTACCCCAACCAGTGACTACACCTTTACGTCCTTCAAAATTTAAATTCTCTTCAATTGGAAGACAAACTGGTAATACACTATCACTAAAACGAACCGGACTATCCAATTTAATGAGTGCAACATCATAACGATCCGGATGACTGGCCGAAAAACGAAAATTCGGATGCAATATAACGCGTGATACACGAAAATATTGTGGTGGTATATCCTGAAATCGATGATCTTCAATATCATGTGCACCGATAATCACATTTAATTGATGCATAGGAGCTCTGTAGTAAAGTACAAAATCCAAATTCAATTCATATGATTTGATTCGATGTAATTGAACTTACTGATAAATACAATGTGCAGCGGTAACAATGAATCGTGAATTAACTAATGCACCACCACATTGATGTTTAGTAATTTTTATATGAACTTGCCATGGAAATTCACCAAAATATGCATCCTGTCCACCAATAATACGACTACGTGGTTTCGACATTGGTTTACCACAAACTTAAACCAAAAAAAAAAAATTGCAAATTTTAAATACCATGAATAAATCGAAATGATCACATTACTTACTATCATCAATATTATAATTTCGTGCATAATATTTTCGATTAACAATTTCCTGAAATACCGATTTCATAATATTATCTGGTCGTGTACGACGTATAGCATTATTAACTGCATAATCAAATTCATTTTGATTACGATAAGTTGTCATCGATTGTGGCTCATATGGTGAAAGTAGATCATTTTTCTGACTAAATGATTGTTCAAATGTTGACGACGATCCAGAATTATAACCCGATAATGATGGTGATGATGATGGTGATGAATGATGATGTTGGTGATGATGATGATGAAGATATTGTATTGGTGATGTACTATAATGAGAATCTAAACTATGAATTTTCATATTCATTACGCTATTATCCGTTATTAATGGTTGTTGTTGATTACGAAATGATGATTTTAAATGATTATTATTATTATTATTATTATTGGTCAACGAAATCATATGTAGTGATGTCATTGATGGTAATGAATTATGATGATTAAAATGATGATGATTACGATTATGATGGTGATGATGATAACCATTATTATCATTGATCAATAATGAACTACCACCAACTGTGGAACGTGTATCATGATTCAATGATGATTGCACTGGTGGAATCGGTGTTGTTGTCGTTGTGGTGGTGGTGGTGGTCGTCGTCGTCGCCGTAGTCATCGTCGTTGTCGGCGATTCAAACAATGTTAAAGATGTCGTAATCGGTGTTAATGATGATGGTGATGTTTGTTCGGATGAAATTGTTGGTGTTCTCTGTTGTGATTGTTGTTGTTGTTGTTGTTGTTGTTGATAATATAATGAATAACTAGGTCCAATATCTAATTTCTGTGCTGCTGCAGTTATTGTAGATGGTATTGGATTTTTTAGTCTTATATAACAACATGTAAGTGATGGATTCTCTTCACAACCTTCAATCGGTATACCATTTGCTAGATAACATAATAGATTGAATGTACATGCTGTTTGAGATCGATCATTCGAACATGTGCTTGGATGATGAATCACTGTTGTTGTTGTTGTTGTTGCCGTATTGGCTATAATATTTGAAGAGGAAACGCCACCATTATTCGTACTACTTGACATTATCATTCCTGAATTTCCGGTATTACTACTACTATTATTATCATTATTATTAATCGAATGTAATGTTAATGGTGTTATCGATGATGATGATGATGATGATGATGATGATGATGACTGATGGCTTCTTGGTGATATTTGTCTTGATTCATGTTGTTGTTGTTGAGGAAGTGAATTATAATTTTGATGATATTGATGATGATATGGATGATGATTATGATGATGATGATGAGGATTATTATTATTATTATTATTAACGTTGATCATCGAAGACGAAGATGCCGACGATGAACTTGATGATGATGATGGAATTGTTCGATAAAACGGAGATGATAATGTTTGAGAGGATTGTTGTTGTTGTTGTTGTTGCTGCTGCTGCTGCTGCTGTGATAATGATAATGTCGATGATATCTGTTGTGATGTTGAAGCGATATTATCATTATCATTATTATTATGTAAATTATTATTTAAATGATAATGATTTTGTTGTTTATTATGATCGATAGCACGTCCAGTACGAATGGTATAAATTCGTGTTGGTTGAAATTGATTAGCTTTTGTTGTTTGTTGTTGTTGTTGTTGTTGATGATGATGTTGTTGTTGTGATAAATAATAATTGGAATGATGAGGATAAGAATGATGATGATGATGTTGTTGATGATGATAATGATGATTAGGATGAGGATGTTGTTGTTGACATAATATCTGATGATGATTATGATTGGCCAATATGGTCAATAGGATTATAATAGCTACCGTTTTTGTTGTTGTTGTTAATGTTGTTGTTATTGTTGATTGTATCGATGATAAAATCGATAATTGAAAATGATTATTCCAACAATGATTTTTATTTATTGATGACATTTTTGAATATAAATTTTTAAATTGTTGTTTATTCTATCACCTTGTTGAATAAGATTTCATTATTATTATTATTTTACAAACATTAGTTCCAAATGGATTTTTTTTTTTGGCTAAACCAAATTGATGACTGAAATCATAACGTTGGTTGGTCGTCGTCGTCGTCGTCGTCGATCTGACTAGTTGTTTCTTTTCAACCACTTCTGTTCACGTCAACATGTTATCGGCAACAAAATATTTATCGTCATCATCTTGAAACTATTTCATTTGGAAAAAAAAAAACGATAGAATGTCATTTTGTGTTTGTTTGATTATGACAGAATGATGGCAAGAGATGACGACGAAATCAAACCCATGACAAGAAGAAAATTCAAAGAAAAAGAAAAAAAAACGAAGAAAAAAAAAGATTAACTGTGATTCAAATATTATTTAAAGCAATGTTGAATGTGTGATGAAATTTGACGGAGTGAAGTGCCTGACAATCATCATTATCATCATCATCATCATCGAACAATCATCATTGTCAATTTTAATTAAGAAAAACAGAAAAAAAACTTGAGCTCATTGATAATGATGATGACAAAGACAAGTAATTTTTTTACCATTTTTCTACTAATCTTTTTTTTCTTTCTTTCTTTGTTGCCCGTCGTTCGGGTCGGTCGATTTCGGGTTTTTTGTTTTGTTTTATTTTGTTTTTCTTCTTCTTTCGGATCGTATCGGGCCGGTATATATGTGAACAGAAGAACAGAGTTTTGGACAACAAAAACCAAATGAAAAAAAAACCTCAATAATAATCGTTGTCGTTTTTAGCTACTAGAGCAACTAGATCATCATCATCATCATCACAAAATATAAACAAACTATAAGCAACAACAACAACAACAACCACGATGATCATCGAAATCAATGAACAACAACAACAACAAGAAAGCAACACAATAGAATTTGTTTTTTAAAGAGCCAACCTGGTAACTAACCAACAACAACAACAACATAACAAAAAAGGGATAGACCAAACACCAAACACACACACTGAGAAACACTCTTCTACTAAAAAAAAAATCTTAAAATTGGCCATCGTTGTTGTTGATGATCGCTCTCGTTTAATTTGGCTTTGACTTGCTTGGCTCTCATGGCTCCCGAAAAAAAAATCAAATTTTTCATACAAGAAAAAAAAAGGAGAAAGATAAAGAAAACCAGCCAATCAAAGTTTCGACGAAGTTTTTAAATATTTCAAAGCAAAAAAAAAAAAATCTTCGACGTGTTCAATGAAAAAAACGATAAAAAGAATAAAAAGAAAAAATATAACGGTGTGTGTGTGTGTGTGTGTGTGTGCATTGGCATGCATTGGTTGTTACGGTTTTTCGTTATTCATCTGAAATCATTCATTCATTCATTCATAATCATATGGTCGTTGTTTTTTTTTCGTTGTCTTTTTGAATCACTGTGAATATATGTTATATAATTCAAAAACAAAACAAAAATATGATAATAGCGAAGATTGCCCATTAACAATGCAACACATTATGTTGAGATGAAAAAAAATACACAAAATTCTGATAATCATCATTGGTAAAAGCAAAACAAAAAAATTGAACTGGTTTTTGTCACCACCACCACCATCATCACCGATGATGATGATGATGATAATGAAAATCATTGAACCATAGAATCAAGTTCATTTTTTATTATTATTACCAGGTACAATCATTATTTCGTGTGTGTGTGTGTGTGTGTGGTGTGTGCACAATGATCGAATGAATGAAATAATTTTTTAATTAGTAATGATGATGATGATCATCACAATTTGAAACAACAACAAAAAAAAACTGAAGCTCTAAGAAAATGAATGAATGGTTAGTTGATCAAAATTTTTTTTTTTTTTTTGAATATGTGACCATTTGATCATTCATTCATTCATTCATTCATTTGTTTCAAAAATTTATTGTTTTTCATTTTCAAATGAAATGAAAAAATTTGTTTGATAATTCTCATTTTCTTCTTCTTCTTCTGTGGCTGTCGTTGTTGTTGTTGTTGTTGTTGTTATTGTCATTGTCAATGGCCTGCACTGTCATTGTCATTGTTGTTGGTGAACCTGTTTTTTCTTTTCTGAATTAAATTGAATTGAATTTTATTGATTGATTTGATTTTAATTCTATTTTGTTGTTGTTGTTGTTGTTCCAATTTTATTTTTTTTTCAAATCAAGCATAAAAAAGTATTTTGATGATATAAAAATAAAATCAGAAAAAGAAATCAATGACTTATTAATGAAATGTGAAATCGAATCGCATTTAGAATGCATAATCAACATTGATGATGACATGATGGCCATATCAGATAAGAAAAGACTACTGAGATAGTGATTGGTTACATGTGGACATTGACATTTGAATTGGAGAAAAAAAAAGAAAAGAAAAAAGAAATTCATTATGATCAATGAATAAATGTGATACAAGCTTTCGATTTTTGTTTTTTAATCACGACGAACAAAAAAAATGACCATATTTTCAATTTCAACATTGCGGTTATTAATAGCCAAAAGATACATAGAGAGACAAAAAAAAGTGAAAGATTAACCAAATGATTTGACGGTGATATGTCACTGAATAATTTTTTGATTTTTTTAAATAAAAAAATAAAAATAAAAAAAAATGAAAAACAGGATCATTATCGAGAGTGAGAATGGTTGTAATCATTTTTTTTTGAAAAATTTATTTTCAGATTTTCTAACCAAAATCATATATCAATGATCGGCGACAGAAATCAAACCACTTATCGATAGCAACAGTGTAGCAGTGATCACACTCTAACTATATATAGTTGACATTGTTCGATTTGTTTTTCTGTTTTGTTTTTTTTTTGTTTTGTTTTTGTTTTGTTCTGCCATTCACAGGCTATCATCAGCTGTGAACAATCGATCATGATTGATAGATTGAAAATAAAAATCAATAGATTCATTGAATTTTGAAATGGATCGCGTGTGTGTGTGTGTGTATGCTGTTTAACAGAGAAAAAGCTGTTTTTTCCTGTTATATAAAGAATGATGATGATGATGATGATGATAATAATCACATGTTTCCATTCATTCATTTATTCGGGATTGAAATTGCTAAAAATATCGAATCAGAAAAAAAACCTAAATCAAAAGAAAAAAAAACTAAATCCGAAAATGAATGCCATGAATGTTTTTCGTTTTTTTTTCTCGCAATTTCAGGCCAAAAAAATTTCAATCTCCTCGCCTTATTTTTTTTTTTCTCTGGTATTTTTCTTTTTGACAAATCATCATCGACTTTTTTTTTGGTAAATTACCACCACCAAAAATGTCGAAAAAAGACAATTGGTGATAATTTATCATTTCAACAAAAAAAACAAGAAAATTTTTTTTTTTTTTTTTTGATAATAAATTATACACCACAAATCATCGGTTGAATTGATTATAATCGGATTTCATTTTTTTTTGAAAAAGAAACCTGAATTTTTATGTTTTTTTTTTTGTTCTAAACCAAAATATTGTAATAAAAAAAAATGTGATCAACAGGTTGTTGTTGGTTATTGTTGTTGTTGTTGTTGTTGATAATAAGATTATTTCATCATCATCATCATCATCATCATCACTTAATCTTGATGAATAATTGCACTTGTCTGGATGAATGAATGAATGAATGAATGACCCAGAATATATGAAATGAAAATCAACGATTGTAAACAATGATTCAATGATTCAATGATTCGAGTGCAAAGTTTTATTCACAAACAAATTCAAAAGATAAAATAAATTTTTTTTTTTTTGAATTGAATTTATATATACACAAAATTATTTTGTTTGTTTGTGAAAAAAATAAATACATGTTAATGGTACGTGCAAAACAAAAACAATCCAAAATCATTCACACACACACACACACAGGATGTCATTTATTATCTGTTAATGATTGTTTTTTTTTTTGATTATAATTAATGTTAATTATAATTACAATTATACAATTTCAATGATATCATCTTGGAACAATTTTTTAATGTTTAATACAGATAAACAAACACACACACATAAGATTAATTGCTATATAACTGCATTGTGTGTGGACAATTTTTATTGTCATTAATGTTTTCAATACAAAAATCAATTACACACATCAATAAGATTAATTGCTATATAACTGCATTGTGTGTGGATTGTTTGATTATTTTTTTTTTTCATTTCACCATTATCATCATCATCATCATCAGCAGCAGCAGCATTATTGTCATTATTCAATTGGGTCATTTTCATTTTCAATTTTCAAAATTCAGATTCAAATTTTTTTCAAGATGATAATATTTCAATTTTTTTTGTTTTGTTTGTTTTGTTTTGTTTTGCAAAGAAATAAAATTAATTTGATTCAATTTTAAATTGTTTTTCAATCAATTACTACTTACTATGATGGCTGAAGATTGTTGATATCAATTTCTTTGAAATGAAAAAAGAAAAAGAAAATTGTCCACGAAGAAGGAAGGAAGTATACTGCACACACACACACACATGAAAAACATCAATCGACAACGGCTAAGTGTGGCCGGTGGTATTCAGTTATTTTTTTTCAATTTTCAAAGAAAAAATCATTAAATGATTATCCGGAATTGTTTGTGTGTTGTTTGCTCTGTTTAGAAACGTTTATTTTATTTTATTTTTTCATTTCTATTGTTGATAATGATGATGATTATATTTAATGATCATGATGATGATGATGATGATGATGATTATCGTTGATTATCAAGAAAAACAAATAAATAAACAGATGAAAAATTTCGAACTAGATGTGTCGACTTTTGGTGGGGGTGGTGGTGGTTGAATTTCATTTCATTTTTTGATAAAGAAACAATTATCAAAATTATTGTTGTTGTTGTTTTTTGATGATGATATTGGCATTGGATCGGTAACAATTTTTTTTTGTATTCGATTCGATGATCGATTAGATACCTTGAAAATAATCTGTATGAATTGCCGAAATAATGTTCCCGTGAAAAAAAAATTGATTGATCGATCGATCGTTGATCAATTTAATTTCACACAACACACACACACAATGTTGTTTCGGTAAAATATTTTGTATACAGTTCAAACGATCAAATCACTTGACCAAGTTGTGTGTGCACAAACAAATGTATGTGTGCGGCCTTTGAAAAACATCATCATCATTCAAAATTAATGTTTTTATTTTTTTTTCAGATTAGTAATCGTAAACAAAAACAAAAAAAATATCACACAAACATTGGAAAAAAATTTGATTTTTTTTCATATGTGAAATATATACACACACACGAACATAACAAACGAAAATGGTGGAAAGAAAAAAGTAAAAAAATGAACTGAATATGTGGTGAAACAAACATATTTCGATGCTACTTTGGCGAAATAGAAAGAGAGAGAGAGAAAAAAAAAACTTGACAGCAATATATATGAATCAACAACAACAACAACAACAAAAAAAAAAGAGTAGCCAGTTGGAAATGAAATTTCAATCCAGACAGACAGACAAACATTGTTGTTGAGACATTTGAATGAAACTTTAGATGGATGGATCATCTTCAATATTTTTTTTTCCCATTTATTTGTTCGTTTTAGCGAAAAAAAATGTAAAATCGAATAATCGACTACAAACAAGTGTACAGGTGACAAAATATTACCAATACCATACACACACACGCACAAACCAAATGACCGGTTTTATTTTGTTGTTGAAAGTGAATTTCTTTGCATTTTTTTTCCTTTACAATTTCCGGCTATGTATTCATCATTTGTGTGTGTGTGTGTATTTATAATCTGATAATTATCGATTAAACAAACAAACAACCAAACAAACAAAAGAAAAAATGAAAATGGATCAATCTTCTTCATTGTTCACGTTGTTATTGTTGTTGGTTATACAAGAAACAACAACAACAAAAAAACCATATAACCCCATCATCACGACCACAAAAAAAAAAATTCATTATATGAAAATAGAAAAACAAACAAGCTTAAACAAGCTTTTTTGTTTCAAATATGAGCCGATTATTAAGTAGGGATAAAAAAATTGAACGATTATCATCATTTATAACCGGACAAACTATAATAATAATAATTACACACATAAACATCAAAAGGTAGAACAAAAAAAAAATTTCTAAAATTTTTCATAGAAAAAAAAACATGAAATTTTTCATTGTTGAAAGAAAACTAGAACAATTGATCATAGGTGATAATATATTTTGAAAAAAAAGAAAACAAAACTGACCAAAACAGGAAAAGAATTTGAATGAGCAAATAACTTTGCAATTTACAAGTAATAATTCAATTTGATTTGATTGGAAAAATAATTTTTTTTTGCATTTGAAACTTTGAAACATTTCCTCAGTCAGTGTGTTACATTTATATTAATCAAAAGTCTTTTTTTTTCTTGTAAAAATTATTCCAAAATGACATTTTGCCATGGATGCAATAATAAAATGAATGAACAAATTTTGTGTCTCTCTGTGTGTGTGTGTGTGTGTGTGTGCAACAAGTTGTCATCATTTTTGTTGTTTTTCTCGGTAACCTGTTTTTTTTTTTTGACCATTTCAATTAAATTTCCATGGATATCTTTCACAAACACACACTCACACACGCATATATATCATACATTTTATGAGAGAATCACACTTGCACACCCTTTTTGGTAATAGACAAAGTTACGTTATTAGTTATTTTTTTTTTTTTTTTTTTTCAGACAAGCATCTAAATATAAATTTTTTTTTTATATCCACATTTATGGATTGTAATAATAATAATAATAACAACAATAATCATGGAACAGAGTAGCGAAAATGTGAATAAAAGTGTATCATAATCATGTATAATGCGGATGATGATGATGATGATGATAATAACCGAAACCACCACCAAAAGAAAAAAAAATAATGTTTTAACCATTTTCAACTTTGAAAGAGTGAGATATTTACACAATAGCTACAAACGAATCATTTTTTTTGCTTGATGGCAAAAAAAACAATTAATGAACAGGGAAATCAGTGAAATCCAAGAGAAAAAAAAGAAGTTTTCATTTGAAATGAAAATGAAAAAGACAAAAATTTTTCATTTTTGTACTTGATGAAAAAAAAACATTTGAATCGTTTTACAAATATATGGACAACAACAACAACAACAACAACAACAAAAACACCATAAACAGATGGACGAGTGGAAGAAATCCCAAAGATATTATTTTTGGGACTTTGGTAGCTGCTATTTTTAAATATATTTTTTTTTTGGCAGATAAAAATTTTTTTGCCATAAATTTGTATACTCATCGCAAATGATATCAGTTTTTTTTTCTTCAACACGTTTTTATTTTATTTCATTTTTTGTCGCTTCAATAAAAAAAAATCATCAGCGATCATTATCAACATTGAAATTTTTTTTTTTTTTTGTTTCAATTTTCAATTTCATTTCAAATACATGTTTAGTAGTCGGTTATCATAATTTTTGGTTCAAAAATACAAACTTTTCGATTCACATTCGTTTTCTATTTTGCCATGGTGGTGGTTTGAAATAAAAAAATCTGTGATATGAAACCTTCAAAAAAAAAGTTAATTCAAGCAATCTAAATTGATTTGATACAAATCGGTACAATTTTTTTTTTTTGAGGACATTGTCCTTTAATCGATCGATCAATGATGAGCATGGTGATGACACTATTCTTGTATGTTATAATCCAAGTTTTTTTTTAAACACACACACACTGTATCAAAAGTTAATGAAAAGTGATCTTATTAAAAAAAAAAACAACAACCCCGACAATGATCAATGATTGATTAACGTCGTATAAGGTCGATGATTATGTTTTCCTCATTCGTTCGTTCGTTTCTGAATCGTTTTAACATCCCCCAATGATGGCAGAAAAAAACACTGCTGTTTTAAAAGTGATTATTTTATTATTACTAATGTCAGATTAGATCTGTTTCAGGATCATTCTATTATCAATTTGTTCATTTGTAATTATCATTTTTAATCAATTCAAATGCATTGTTATTTTGGTAATTCTTCCTGTTCCGATGATGGAAAAGTTTGTGGTTTTTAAATCTTTTTGGACCAATCCAGTTGTTGTTGTTTCATACACACACACATACAAACAAACAAAAAACAAAGAAATACTTATTTACAAACATTAAAAATATTCAAATGAGTATTGTGTGATGTGAATTGTGAATTTAAATAATTGTCTCATTTATTTTATTCATCATGAACAGTAACAGCAACAACAACAACAACAACAACAACAAAACTGACCAATAGATCATCATTATTGAGCAGGCAAAAGAAATAATAACAACAATAACAACAAAAACGACAACAAAAAACATTTTGTGTTCCTGGATCACTACTACTACTAGTTGTAGTATTAGAGATTATAAATCATTGAATTTGATTACTATTTAAACTAGGTACATGTAAAATAATCGGAAATGATTTTCATGTAATCGAAATATAATGAATATAATAAATTTATTATTATTTACATATTAAATATATTCACAGAAGTGCCCATTTAGTTTTTATTTGTCTGAATTTGTTGTTGTTGTTGTGGATGTTGTTATCATTCATTATTATAATATGGATATTATTCATTATTTTTTGCTATTGGTGGTGTCGGTGTCGGCGTTTGTGGTGGTGTTGATGGTAATTTTGATGAATGTCGACAGAAATATGATTTGATTGAATAAACATAATCTTTTTCATCATCATTATCCGCGGAAACACCATCTTGTGCATAGGATATATTCATTCGATGTTTATAATAACGATTGATCACTAGAATATTATAGATCAAAAAGAAAATAAATAAAGTGGTCAATTAGCAATAAATCGGATATATGAATTACAATTAACTTACAATAAAAAGTGGTCATCATTAATTGGATCCATGACAATAAGATTATTAATGTTTGTCCAGTTATTAAACAGGTGGTTATCATTGATGATAAAAATATTGTCGCTAGTAACCATATTGATAAAAACATTTCAATGAATAACCATGGAATTTTTGAAAAAATTCTCACAATATGACAGATATAAAATTGTAAAATGATTAATAATATGATTGATATGGAAAAATTCAATGATACAATAATGATAAGCCATTGGCATATTAATTTATTGATGATTATTTTATCCCTATTATTCGATGATGATGAATTACAATTCCGTAAATGTAGTAATAATATAATCAATGATGTAAACCAGATAATATTGATTTGTATAAATGTAAAACGACGACATTCACCAAGATCATAACGTATTCGTTGATACCAATGTTGTGGCCGTGGCTGTCTTTGTTGTATCGTTGTTGAATAATCTTGATTGTCATTTTGATTGGAATAAATTTTTAATCTTAATCTTGATGGTAAATCTTTTATATCTATCCATGGCTGATCAACAATATCATCGTCATCTTCAATTTCATTTTTATGTTTCAAATGATGTTTATTCGGCTTACAGTTATTATTTTTGTCTTTGTTTAATGATTCGGATGAACAATGTAATAAACTTGATGATGATGATGATGATGATAATGATGTTGATGATTGTGATCGATCAGATATTATAATCGATAAAAATGATTGAATTCTATCAAGAAAAGTTGTCATTTAATCAATTGATTGATTATCGTATAATTATACTCACTTTCACTCAACTGGTGGTCAATCGATATTTGTATCCAAATTGCATGATTTTTATATCGAATGATGGAAAGCAAAACCTACTGAAATGGGAACTGGCAAAAAAAATTTTCGGGCTAAATTCCATAATTAAATTAATGGAGCAAAAAAAAAATTTATTATTAATTTTTTTTCAGTTTTTTTCTATCACCATCATTTAGCTATATAGTAATAGTATATTTATATTATTGAACAACATGTAAATGTTTGCAAGGATAATTTCCAATTTCAATTGATAATCCAAGTATAATAAATCACAATATATGAATCCAAATTGTTAATTTGAAATAAGCAAAAAAAAAAAAAAAAGAAAACAGAATGATGTTCAATTCCTAAAAAAGAAAAAACAATCGATCGATAGTTGGTTGGTAATGAACGATTGAACATTATTGGATGTGGTTAATTATTTGAAAAAAATAAATAAGTCAAACATTAAGCTATTTGATTTCATTTGATTAAGTAACGAGATTATCAGAGTGGCATATATTCAAATGTGGTTGATGGTGTGGGAGTGAATGAAATAGAAAAAAAAAAAAAAAAAAAAAAAGTTCTTTGAATTTTTACACATGTTGTGTGTATATGTATGTTTGTGTAATAGGATGTAGTTTAAAACCTGGGTTGATGTAAAAGGATAAATACATTATCGGCATACACACATTCACAAGACATAATATCATATTATAATCATTATCATCAGATTATTTACAAACATTATAACGATAGAAGGATGGACGTTTTTGGGTCAAATATTTTTTCAACTGGGTACACGAAAATGTGCAGATGGAAATACGTTTGCCGATACCCAATCGGATGAACTACTAACACGATGATAGATACCCGGTTGGTATTGTTTGGCACACGAATATCCAGCCGAAACGATTCCAATTAAATACCAAACACCAAATTCATTAAGCATTAATGGACCACCAGAATCACCCTTTTTTTCATTAGAATAAAATTAGAGAAATTTTCCTAAAAATCCGAAAGATTCTCATACCTGGCAAGCATCTTTACCACCTGTTTCATAACCGGCACACATCATTTCATCATAGATTTTAATATTAATACCACGTTGTTTATGCCAATTTTCACAGATATTATTCTCAATTACAGGAACTGGTACATGTTGCAATACTTTTGGCCTTAATTTTGATCCTTGAACAACAACAACAACAACAACATATGATGATTAAAGGGAAAAAAACAAAATTATTAAAATCAGTGAATAAAAAACGGATGATTCCATCATACCTGCTTGTAAGGCACCCCAACCAGCAACATAAGACATACGGCCAATATAGATTGTATCTTTTGGTGGTAAACAAATGGGCATTATATTTTCACGATATTGTACAGAACGATCCAATACTAATACGGCTACATCATAACGATCAGCTTGTGGTGTGAAACGAAAATTTGGATGTAATTTAACTTCACTAACAGTAAATACTTCATGTGGTAGGCTTTCAATCTCCGAATGTAGAATATAATCGCCTAATGTAACCCTAATACTTGAAGGGTTATGTTGTGACCTATTTACATTAAATGAATGGTTGATTCAATAACGATGAGTCAGTGAACGAAAAAAAAACCATGGATTAATTAATTAATTTAGAATAAAAAAAATATCTATTTACCTAGCAACACAATGTCCGGCTGTGACAACATGAGCTGGTCCTACTAATGCACCACCACATCGACTACCGCCAACTTGTACAAATGCCTGACAAAATATAATTTTAAAAAAACAAAAATTAATCAAAAGAATCCAATCACCAAAGAAACAAACAATTCTTCGGTTGAATGAAAATTAAATTCAAAACAAAACATAAATCATCATTACATTAAATTACTATGGCAATAATCATTATATATTATATACAACCAATAAATCCAATCGTGATCAAATCAAATTTCTCTAGTATTTTTTTTTTCTATACATTGAAATCATCATCATCATTATCATTATCAACGCTAATTTGTTTTAATTTGACATAGAGAAGAAAAAAAAATTAAAGTTTTTCTTCAATTTCAAACAGGTGAATCCCGTTATCGATATTCCAGTGAGGTTGTTGTTGTTGTTCGATTGTATCGAAGTACAGCAACAACGGCAATTTTTTTTTTTAAAAATCACATAAGCAAGCAAAAAAAAAAAAAAAATTTATCTTTAGTTTGGTTCGTCGATTATTCCATTCATTCATTCATTCATTCATGTTTCATGTATGAAAAATATGATGAAACCAAAGAAGCGAATTGAAAATTAGGTCAAACACACCAGCACTATCGATGATGTTGTTGTAAACATATATATATATATACAACAGGTAAGCGTGTGTGTATGTGTTTTTGGCAAATAAACAAACAAACAAGCAGGTAAGCAAGAAAATTCAAAAAAAAAAAAAGAAGAGAAGCAGGTCTCCTTTATATTTTTCAACATTTGAATGGCGGTTGTTATTTTTTTCTTTCTTTCTTTCTCTGGTTTCTAATATGTTATATATCGAATGATGATCATACCTATGAATGATGTGTGTTGTGTGTGTGTGTGTCTGTGTGATCGATAGGAAAGAATGAATGGTATGATCTTAAAATAAAAATAAAATAAAATTTCCTATGTCTATCCAAGTGTTTCCACTATTATTACACTGAGGTAAAGAGACTTTGGATCATCATCATCATCATCATGATAAATCGGGTAGTGCTATGACCGAACAAAAAAAATCTCAACCTGTAATGAAAGAAAATGAAGATATGAGAGAAAAAAAATGATGATTTGTTTGACCAAGATGGTCCCCCGATTCAACAAATAACAAAAAAGAACACTTGAAACAACAACAACAACACCGGTCAAATGATGCCGCATCCATTCATTCAAACACACACACACACACACACCTACCTACATATGATGCATCCAATTTTTTTTTTGATCATATTTCAAATAATGAACAATCTGTTGTTGCAAACTTACATTACCATCACCTACGCACACACACACACACACACGTCAAAAAGTTTATATTGAAAAAAATACAAACCTGCCAAGGAAATTGTCCAAATGATGCATCCGATCCGCCAACAATACGGCTAATTCTTGTTGCCGATTTTCCGCATTCTAAAATAATCGATTATATTAATATGAAAATCAAACAAATATGATGCAGCTGACAGCTATTGTAAATACATACGTGGATCATTAATAACTGGTCCCCAATATTTTGGCTGTATATCCTGGCTACTTGGCGTTACACAACAAGTATGTAATGGACCACATGATGCACCCAATGAACCACCGGACATCCAACAGAATACAAAAAATTGACATTTAGTACCACCAACACAGCCAGGATTTTGTCGATCTCTCATACGCATTGTCGGTAAAAATCGTACAACATTATCCAATGCTTTTGCAAAAAAACCAGCTGATGCTAAATAAATTTTTTTTTTTTTGCCAAATTTCATAAATTGAACCAAATACCGATTAACAAGAAGAATTGATAAGAAATAAAAAAAAGGAAAGAAAAAAATTCAATTAATGGAAGAAAAATCCAGAACATATACACACACACACAAAAACGCAACGACAGATAAAATGAAATTAATCAAAAAAATAAGAAAAAACAAACACATACTGTCTGGTGCTGTCCGGTCGAGTATAAATTCATCATGATAATCCTGATTTTGATGATGTGAATGATGATGATCATCAATGATGAAGGTAGATGACAACGAAGAAGTTGTAGTTCCTATACCATCATCATCATCATCATCATCTAAAACACCAACACCATTGCCATGATGATGATGATTATAACCGACAACGATATCGGTCGTTCTTGCTGTTGTTGTTGTTGTTATTGGTATGAATGATGATAATGATGACGATGATGAGATCAATTCAGTGTTGGACGATGATGATGGTGATTCGAAATTCAGATTATATTTACGATTTCGATTATTATTATTCAATTTTTTAGTTGTTGTTGTAGTATGAAGCCATAATGGATAATAATAATTTGGTGAATGATCAATTCTAGGCCAAAGATTATTATATTCTGTATTATATAACGGTGATGATGATGATGATTGTGATGATGGTGATAAACGTGAATAGATAATATGCGAATTACTTGATGAAAACGCTGGAATATTGATTAGATTTGTTGTTGTTGCTGTTGTTCTTAATGTTTTATGAATATTTGTATTATACAATGGTTTAGATTTTGGCCAATAATTTGCTACGGCTGTATTTGAAGTTTCCGCTACGGATATTTGATCATCATTACCATTACCATTATCAATACGATTCGGATTAGCAATAAGTGATGCTGAATTGATTGTTAATAAATGGATTGACGCAGCAGCAGCGGCGGCGGCTGCCGCCGCTGCTGATGCAATATGTTGTTGATGATGATGTTGGAGGTGATTTCTTCTTCTTTGTTGTTGTTGTTGTTGAATTTTCGTTAAATTCAACGATATATCAGGCAATGCGATTCGCCGTTTTTGTGATTGCTGTTGATGTTTTGGTTGCTTTTCTCGATGATAGTGATGATAAAATTGGTTTGGATAATAATCTTGTTCTTGTCGTTGATTTGATTGTTTTAATCTTGGATCGATATCGTATTTTTGTGAATAAATATTTGTATTGATTATATTGTTGGCGCTTGCAGCGGTGGTGGTGGTAGTAGTACAGGTTACAACAACAACAACAATAGTAGTGACAACTATTATATTGGCCACTTGTATGATCACCAAGGCATTTAGCATCGTCTTCGACCTTTGGCCGCATTGACTGCATGGGTGGTGACGACTGTGGTTGTTGTTGACACGAATAATTGTTGTTTTTCGATTGAAACAAGATTCTGTTTTTGTTGTTGTTCGTTAAAATTGGTCATATAATTTTATTTTTCTTCAATTTATTAATTGAAAAATTCCAGAACAAATGATGGATTTTGTTGTTGTTGTTGTTGGTGATGATGATGAAATGAACATTGATGAATATTTTATTAGTACGAAACAATTTGTAGAAAAAAAGAAATAACACACATAAATCACTTCAATCCAGATCAATCATCATCATCATCATCATTCTTTTCAATATGAATCTTCAGTGAAACATTTCAAATTCTGATTGAAATTTAAACATCAAAACATTAATTATCATCATGATGATAATCATTGTAATGTGAATGAATTGAAATCGTTGAATGAAAAAACGTAGTGTTGGAACCTGACAAAATAATGGATTAAAATTTCAATTAGTCAAAAAATGTTAATCATCATGACGATGCTAATTTCATGCACAGACACACACACAGACATTAATGATGATGATGATGATCAATAATTACAAAATGGGAATAACACAAACAATGATGAAATTGGATTAATAAAACAAAGTAGGAGAATAAAAAAAATCAATCATCATACACATGGGAAAAAGTGGAACAAGAATCTGAAAAAAATATTTTAAATTGAAAATTTGAAATTTATTTTTTGATTGATTGAAAAAATCACACCAAATGAACAAACCTCAACTGAACGAACAAATGGTAACGAATGGTAATTTTTCCAACGATAATCATCATCATTACAAACCCAAGAGAAAAAAAAATTCAAATAGAAACATATGTAGAAAAATGAGAGAAAAAAATCTATCTCTCTCTCTATTGAACAAGCTTTCATGTGAAATAAATAAACAGAAAACAGGGATCCACCTGTTGCATAAACCGCTAGTTTTTTTTATCTTGCTAACCAAAACAAAACAAAACAAAACGAGAAAAAAAAATCAAAAGTCCAACGAAAAAAAAGCGAAGAGTTTACCTTGTTTACCTATACAGAAAGACTAGCTTTTTTCCACCTGTTATTGTTGTTGTTGTTGTTGTTTTTGTTGTTGTTGAATAGAACAGAAAGACCAGACCAGCTTTGTCCTGTGTGTCTGTAATAACCTAGAAACGGTTATTATATATATCGGGTTTTCATTTGAGTATTGTACAAGAAAAAAAAACCGAAAACAACAAAAACGGTTATAATGAGAAAGAGAATATAGTTTGTTTCATTCATCGTAACATACGAAGAAAAAAAACGGGATTTTTTGCTCGGGTAAATTCAGACATTTTTTTTAGCTTTTTCGACTATTTCTTAAAGCAGAGTGAGAGAGAAACAAGATTTTAATGTCTGTTTGTGTGTGTGTGTGTGTGTGTGTGTATGGGTAAACGATTGAACTGTAAATAAATTCATTGATAACAAATTTCGAATGAATGAATGATAAAACTTACTTTGTTAATGATTATTATTATTATATCTCGGGTTGTGAGGGGTAAATACCATATCATCATTTAAATAGTCAGTATTCATATACATTCTGATCTGATGATGATGATAATCGGATTTATTTGGATCCCATTTGAATGTAGAATTATGTAAAATGTATTCACGGTTGTATCTGTGATAAAATAAATGATGAATGATAAATAAGTACAGACAAAAATTATCAGATGATGGAAATAGAAGTAAATGCAAAAAACAAAGTTTGAATCTAGCTAGTGTGAGTTGTGAAAATGATGAGAAATGAGAAAAAAAACTGATCATAACACAAAACTTGTAATTGAATTTTTCATTTTTGTTTTCTTTTCTATTCGCCAGAATAAAACAAAAATGAAGAAGAAAATCTCAGGATTGATAAACTATTGACAAGTTTTTTTTTCGAAACTATTACATCACCATCATCATCATCATTATCATCGGTGATCAATCGACCGATCGATTGGCCAGAAAAAACGGCCGTTTCTGTTGCCATTTTTGTTGTTGTTTTTACGTACAACAAATTTCGGAAAAGATTATTTTTGTTTGGCCAAAAAAAAATTCATCTGCTAAATCGGTATATTCGTTTTTCGTTTTTTTTGTTTTTTTTTGCTTGCCAAATTTCGGGGTTCTCTTTTTTGCAAGTTTAGTTTATGTCTAATTTATTTATTTTTTATCTATTATAGACAATATATTCATCGAACATTTTTTTTTTGGTTGATAATGATATCGATCGATTATCGACGATGATAACAACATGGTTTTTAAAAATGATGATGATGATTTGTTCAAAAGTTTGAAAAGAATTGTTTTTTTCTTCTTCATTCAACGGTGGCTTCATTTTTCATTTCAAAGTGAGTTTTTCAATTCGCTTCGGGAAAATAATAATGATAATATAATACAGACACACACACACACACATAAATACGAACACAATGTACTTACTTTGGAAAGAGTGTTTGGTGAATGTTCCTGGAGAAAATAGTGAAAAAAAAGCAACATCAACAACAATCATTATTGATCAATCAATCGATTTATAAATAATCAGTAAAAGTTTTGTGAGGGCAAAGAAAATGATAATAATGGCATCTATTTTGGAACGAAGTGAATGGTTGTTCCCAAATAGTTTATCCATCGTCAAATCATAGAACATCAAAATATGATCGCGAATAAGGAACACAAACACAATCATCGATAGTATCGATAGTACCGTAGTATCGAATATCACATATTGAACAATTTTGTGGTTTCCAACAAAAAAAAAGAATCAATTTTTTTCCGATTCTTTTCCAGTGTTTTTTTTTGTTGCCATTACCAAAATCCGAACCAATCAACTAATTTTGATATAAATATAAAAAAACCGATTATCATCATTATGATTTATGGTAAAATGTGTATTTTTTAACAACGATACGAACATTTGAATACAAAGCCAACATATTGTGGTCACATGAGAAATCATGTTCTCTGAACAGTATGGTGACTTAAATTACAATCCATCAGCCATAATAATGACAATCATCATTGAATGGCCAATATAGAAAAACAAAGACCAGTCAATGGAAAAAATTGAAATTGAAATCTTCCATAATAAACGAAATTAAAAAGCAAAGACATTTTAAAAACAATTTCAATTCATTCATTCACTCGAAAACAAACGAACCGAAAAATTTTTTCAAAAAAATCATTTCATCTCATCATGTGTTTCTTTCCATTCCACAACTTCTAATTTTTTTTTCTCTCTGATTTGAAATCAATTGTATTGAGTTCATTCTCAGTGCAACTCAATCGATCGATCAATCAAATTCGAGCAATTAACCAAAATCTTTACCAAATTTATGAAATCATAGCAAAAAATCTACCATCTACACCATAATTAATAGAAAATTTGCAAAAAAAAACCGGAAACAAAATCAATGAATGACAGCTCCAATCCAAGAAAAAAAAAATCACACCTTTCTTATGTGACATTTTGACAAGGTACCAATTATTATAATTAACATAATTCAAAATAAACAATAATTTTCTATTTCAGAACAACAATTTCCATGGTGAAAAAAAACTGGTATCATGTTGTCGTTGCTGTTGACAACCAATAATAATTCTCGATAAAATACATAAATAGGAAATGATTTTATTTTATCAAATGAACCATTATGTTGTTTTTCATCCATAATAACCATGCCACTATCATCATTATCGTCATCATAGATAATTATAATCATTTCAGCAACGTAAATCCGTCCTAAAATAGTGGTATCATTTTTCATTCTGATTTCTTAGAATGTGGTTTCAAAAAAAAAAAAAAACCATACAATCATCGAAACATATAAACACCACGATCATAATAATTATTGAATCGGAAAAAAACTTTTTATCCATTTTGTATGATGATTACTTCTAAAAGAAGCGAAAAATTCGTTACAATTCATGAATATTGATAAAAAAATAACCGAAAACAGAAACGAAACGAAACAAAACAAAACAAAAAAATCGATCCATTCGGTTATTATCTATTATCTATTATGAACACCAATATGTGTTCAATCAACCGATTCAAATGTACGCGCTGGTGTGTCTAAAGTCTAAAAATGAATCTTGAAATGAATGAGATAGAAAAAAAAATTTATAAAACATTTTCGATGATTTTCGATGAATGGTGTATTTTGGATGAAAGAGAAATTTAACTTTCTCAAACAGAAAAAAAACGTTTATCCTAATCATAATCATCTATCGGATGAATGAAACACACACATATAGAGAGAAAGACAAATCGGCGATTAGCGAAAGTTTTTCTGATTGATTCGATTCGATGAATCGAATAACAACAACAACAACAACAAATCCTTGTCAAATGAATCAGATTTTTTTTTTGCTGATCAAATCGAAATAGCCAAAAAAAAATTAGTCAAATGTGTGTGAATGGAGAAAAAAATCCATGATCCAAACAAATCCAATGACCGGATTATGACTGCGATGAAAACGTAGAAAAATAAATCAATATATATCCAGCTTCAGGTATCTTGTGATCTGTTTGCTTTCATTCAGTCAGTTAGTCAGTTCAATTGGAAAAAAATTGGCAATTTGAAATCGAAAATAAATAAATAAATAAATATAAGTGAAAAAAAAACATAAATAGAACTTACCCGAAGATAAAATGATTTTTTTTCTCACTTTTTTCTTGATTGAAACTCGACTTTAATAAAAGGATGAATGAAAGTGAATTTTGAACATTTTTTTTTTTGCTCCAAGTTGGGTTCATGATCCGATGATCATCATGATGAGTCAAGTGAATGAATGAATGAAATGAAATGAATTGTCCTAATCTTTTGAACAAATAAAAACGATGATGACATCATTGACCAAATGAGTGGTCAATGATAAGAGTCGATGATGATCAGCTGGCCGTTTGTGATGAAGATGAATAAAAAGAAAAACATATTTTTCTGATGATAAAAATCGGCCTTATGACTAGTAAAAATAGCCGCTGTAAAAGTGGTCCAAAAAAAAACTTATCACCAATCAATGCAAATGATGATGTTCTTTTTTTTTCTTCTTTACACACCACTATAGTGTAAA